ACACGTCTCGACAGCACCTCAAGGAGTTGACATACGAGAAGCTGTTTTCGCAGGCGGACGGCAGGGACCTGGCTAAGCTGCTGGTCAAGGCCATTGTCAACCGCAACATCGAGAGCGGCTCAAACGTCGAGACGGTTGCGGATGCGCTGAGGCGGAGGTGCGGCAGCTTCTGCAGCCCAGACGATGTAGTCATCTTCAAGGCCCAGGAGTCGCTCAAGAGGGCTTCGGAGCAGCCCCTAAACACCAACCAATCCCGGATTCTCCTCAACGAGAGCTTGACCCTCTTCCAGAAAGTGGCTCGCAGCCTGACGTTTGGCAACCTGCAGAATGCCGTGGCCCAGTACATTGACATGAAGTACTATGCCGGCGCGGTGCAGCTGTGTCTCTACGTCGCCCGGGAGCTGGACAGGGGCAACGCTGCCTTGTCGTGGATCAACGACGGCAAGCCTGCGGGCGATCCCCGCGCCAACGCCTTCAACGAGAGGAGGCGAGTCTACGACCTTGTGCACGAGGTTCTGCGACAGCTGGACGCCGCCGCCAGTCTCGAGCCGCTGACGGTTGATGGACGGCCGACGCTGATCGCGACGAAGAGAATCGAGGCGTACGAGGTGGTCAACGGATCTGACGACGAAGTGTTTCACTTTGACCTGTACGAATGGTACATTGAGCAGGGGTGGACCGAACGGATCCTGGGCATCGACTCTCCGCACGTTGTCACATTTTTGCAGCGGCTGGCGAGCACGAACGTGGAGCATGCAGACCTCTTGTGCCGCTTCTACACCAACCGAAGTCGCTTCTTCGACGCGGCCGAGGTTCAGGCTGAGCTGGCGAGCTCCGACGTTGCGCTTGGCATCAAGGACAGGCTGCGACTGCTCAGCCTGGCCAAGGCCAACGCCAACGTAGCAACCGTCGGTATCAGCCGCCAGCAGCAGCAGAGGCTCAATCATGAGGTGACGGATCTGCTCGAGGTGGCCAATATCCAGGATGATCTGCTGGGCCGCCTAATGGCAGACGAAAGGATTGATGCGGAGAGAAAGTTGGAGATTGAAAAGGCTCTGGATGGTAGGATCATCAGTCTCTCCGAGGTAAGACGCTCCTTTGCTCATGATCTGTCATATGTCGCATCTCATCTACATATGCTAACCAACGCCTTCTACAGCTCTTCAACGACTACGCCGATCAGGCCGGATACTACGACCTGTGCCTGCTGATCTACCACACGGCAAACTACCGCAACCCCACGACCATCTCGGCGACATGGGAGAACTTGATCCAGCAGACTCACGACGAGGTCATGGCGCGGCATGACGCGCTGGAGGCGGGCATGCAGCCACCCCCCATGCCATACGAGGTCCTGACGAGCAAGATCCAAAACATTGCTCACCACACGTCGCTCGACAGCTTCGTCTTCCCGATCCAGACGCTTCTGCCACAGCTCTGCCGATACGCCGTCACTTGCCAGCAAGACGCGACGATTGGCGCCGACCCTACGTGGCCGGTGCAGCTCTTCCTGTCGCTGGGCGTGTCGCACGACATGATTGTGCGCGTGCTGGAGAGCATATTCGACACGCAGGACTACGGCTTTAGCGGCATGGTGCGCAACCGCGTCATCGAGATCATTGTCTACGTCGTCAGCGATTGGGTGGCCGAGGTGCGGCGACGTGGCGGCGCAGCCAAGGGAGGCTCGCTTGGGCCGTCTGTCAGCGACCTGCTGCAGCGTTGCGAGGCTGCGCTGCCGCTGCCGGGCCAGGGCCACAACAATGGCGGCGCGGACCTGGCGGACGTGCGACGGGTGCTGAGGATGCTGCGGAGAGAGGTGGCCGGGTTGGTGGAGCGGCTGCCAACGGCGAGCATGAGGTTTATGTGAGATGTGAAAGATCTGAGCGGGGTGGCCTCTCTTTCTGTTTTTTTTTTTCCTTCTAATTATTTTATACTCTGTTTGTTTATGGTAGCTACGTTGGAGGAAGGGAGAAAGGAGGAAGAGGGTAATCATTGTGTCTAGCTTTTCTCGCCCTTTTGTTTTTATCTCCAGGTGTCTTGGTGTCTTGGTTCAAAGCCACGTCCAAAGGAGAGAAACAAGGCACAAAAAAGGGGGCAAAGAAACGTGGAAGGAAACGGTAAGGGGGGAGATCATGGAAGTTGAAAGGAGGGAAGAAACGACGTATGTGATGGGGCGCTGAAACGAGTAAAGGGGGGAGGGAAGGAGGGGGGGTCCAAGTGTCTGATGAATCAATTGTATAAGAAAGAAAGAGAGTAAAGAACGAGAACAAGAACCAACAACGAAGCAAAAACACCCACACATCCACACGCAGACACACCCACAAACACTCACATGAAAGGGAAGGGGGGAAAAGAGTGCGTGCGTGTTACAGGAGTATGCGAAAAAGGCTGTGGATTAAGGTGAACGTATAGAAAGGTACATGTAGACGGATAGCTTTGGGGCAAATTCCCAGATAGATAGTATAGGAAAGGTACCTAGGTAAGGTAGGTCAGGCATTTTTTGTGGTGTTAATGTGTTTAATTTTTATGATGTTGTATGATGCATGATGTACGCTGTCAGATACGTGTTTGGATCTGTTGTATGTTCGTGTGGTTTTGTGATGGCCTTTGTAGCGTTGTCTGTTTGATTGACAAGGTTGCCCAAGGGAGGGAAAAGATAATGCGGGGAGGCGTGGAGAGGAAGAAGCATGAGAGAGGTGGCCAGTAGGACACACGGCGCAGGCGCATCTCAAAGGGAGAGAGAGGTCGGGCGAGCGGTATGAGGAAGCGAATCAGGTGAAGGGGAAAAGAGAAGAGTGGAAAGATGGCGGACGTGGACGTGGATGTCGGTTTCTGGTGAGGCCAGAATGGGAGGATCATGTAGGATGATACCTACGTGGTTTGGATGGAGGTATACTTACCTACACAAGGAGCGAGGTGGAATCACGACGGTACTCAATTCACATTCGTCAAGGTTCCTACCTAGGAGTTGAACATGTACTAGTTGTCGGCATCTCTTTTGGTCCTGTATAATGCGTCGCTTTTCATTGTGATATGTGGGTGACATGGTAAGTGACTGTATCATGAACATGACCTATTCGGGGCGTGGATGCAGAGGAAAGGAGGAGGGTTGTGTACCTAAGCGTCTGTTACCCGATGGAGAATGACGGGCCACCGGGAGGGACGTGTACTGTACGTACGTACGTGGCATGGCTTGAGTCGGCCAAGCTGCAGGTACCTGCATTTTCGACAAGGATCCTGTTGTTGAAGAGTTCCATGTTTGGCTTGCATACACGTGTACTAGTATAGCTTTGCGCAGGAGGATGGCGAGGATGTTTGATACATACTATCCGATCTGTGGTGAATATTGGGATGAGACGAATGGGAGAGGGTTGGGTGATAATTTGGTATTCCGGCTGGGGCGGGTTTGCGGGTATAAGAGGAGGGGGGAAGGGACTTGAAGTCTCGCTTCTTCTTTTGCTTTGTATTCTTGTTTGTGGTTGTAACTTTGCTTCCTGATCACTCTGGAGCACAGGACGAGATGTGAATTTGTGTTAGACTCTTTGCCAGCTGGTCTGGTCATTACATTCATTTCTTATATATCACGCTACCATTTTACATACTTCCTTTGTTTGATACCTTTCGTTTGCAATTCATGTCGATTTCCACTTTCAAGTTACGATACCCGCATTTGAACATGCAACTATACAACATATACTCTTCTGACCAAACAACATGGGCATCAGTCAGCTTTCCCGACTTCCATGATGATGCCTCATAAAATACGTTTCCTGGCCGGCCCCTCGTGCCCGTCTCCCGGCCCCACCACACTTTTCCTTCGGCCCCGATCTTTTCGTCCTCTAAAGCGTCGGAGCGATCGGCCGAAGATGCACGTTTTTTTCCTACCTATAATACCCCGAGCCATTGTGGAACAAAAACGAACATTATCTCTAGAATCTCTTCGAGATGGCCGAGAAAGGCTTGTTTTTCTCTCCTTCTTCAAACTGGCCACTGTTTGTTTTCAAACTTGGGGTTTCGTGGGGCTTTTGGGGGCATGTCTGCCAGGTCTCCCGTAGGCTGGACAGCCAAAGCCTCACTACAAACAGGCAGTTGTCAATAGATTGATGTCTGAGATGGATGGTTTTATGTTTGGGGGAGGTCATGTATGTATTTATCTATATTTGCAAAGATGATCCATGAGTCAGACTTGCACAGGTTTCTGCTGCGCTGGATAAATCTTGTTGGAGTGCGGGTGAGGTGGTGGATGGCATTCAACCCACAGCAACACTTGCCCAGGGGGATGTACTGCAGCGATTTGTTTCCCTTCGAGTATTAGATGATGATGCCGAACAGACAAATTTGAGCCTCGCTGCTCTCGGATGTCGGGTTTCTCTTGTGTGCCGGTGATGTGTGATGGCCTGGCCCGCAAAGAGAGCGAAAAACATGCTCAAAATGTAGCACACGGCGACTTCTCGGACACTTGCGTACCTTGAGAGACAAGCAGACTACAGGGATGACGAGTAATACGACAGAGCGATACGACACAGCTATACGACACAGCTAAGAAAATAAAGGTATTAGTACTACTAATTGATTACCTACTACCTAGATATATACTATACCTTATATTTTATATGTGTGTGTGTGTGTATGTATATGCCTTACCTTATGCTTCGCAAAGAAGAGAAACTAAAACGCCTCCTGGCTACCTACCTACCTCTACCTTGTAAGAGATGGAATAATGTGGCCGCGCGTAAAGTAGGTACTGGATATACAGGTCCTGAACATGGCCCTGAATCCTGCCAGGCAGCCACCTCACCCCTTCCGCAGGTATTTATGTAGCCCACAGCTCCTCCAGAGACGATGCCGAGATGCCTCATGCAGTCTACCTACAAAGCCAGCAGTTTCACGCTTGACTCTCACTCTTGATTGAATTCCCTCCCTCCCATAATACCAATTGGCGTTCAACGATTGCCAGCAGAATGGCCGCCCAACACGACGTCGAGGCCATGGCAAAGTCCATGTCCGACTTTTTCAAGGACACGGCCCAAAAGCAGGACTCGACCAAGCATGACTTTGTCCAAGCCTCGCACGGCATCATGAGGGCCATTGTCGAGCCGCTCGTCACCCAGATGGGCTTCCGCGAGACCCTCACCGAGCCCGTCGTCTTGCTCGACAGCGCGTGCGGAGCGGGCGTGCTGACGCAGGAGGTGCAGGCGGCGCTGCCAAAGGAGCTTCTGGAGAGGAGCTCGTTTACGTGTGCGGACAATGCCGAGGGCTTGGTGGACGTGGTGAAGAGGAGGATTGATGAGGAGAAGTGGGTGAATGCAGAGGCCAAGGTCCTTGATGCCCTGGTGAGTATATACATATATATCTATATCTATATAGATATATATATGCCTTTGACTCCCCCCTTTACATGTCCTACGGCTGCTGATTGATTGATTGATGTGGTGATGGTGATGTCCCAGAACACGGGGCTCCCAGACAACTCCTTCACCCATGTGGGCATTGCCCTGGCACTGCACATCATCCCCGATCCAGATGCCGTCGTCAAAGGTAAACAATCACCAGCGTCACTGCAAAGAGAGATTACGGGATATCATATACTGAAACCAAAGCCCAGACTGCATCAGAATGCTCAAGCCAGGCGGCATCTTTGGCGCATCGACATGGCCCAAGGCCAGCGCCGACATGTTCTGGATCGCCGACATGCGCACCGCCCTGCAGTCGCTCCCCTTTGACGCGCCGCTGCCAGACCCGTTCCCCATGCAGCTGCACACCTCGGGCCACTGGGACGACGCCGCCTGGGTCGAGAAGCATCTCGTCGAGGATCTGGGGCTGGCCAACGTCTGTGTGAGGGAGCCGGCGGGCGAGTACAGCTTTGCGAGCGCGGACGAGTTCATGGCGACGTTTCAGATGATGCTGCCGTGGATTATGAAGACGTTTTGGAGCGAGGAGGTGAGGGAGAAGCATTCGGTCGACGAGGTCAAGGAGTTGGTGAAGAGGCATCTGGAGGACAAGTATGGGGGGAAGGGATGGACCATTAAGTGGCGGGTGATTACCATGACTGCGACTGCGAGCAAGTGAGGGAGGGCATCTGCTCATGATTATGTGACAGCGAGCCAGTAGAGAGCCATATTGTTGTCTTCAGAATGTGAGGACCGTGATGGTTGGTGTTTGTTGGAGTGATAACTCGTGGGTGTTGCTATTTGCATGTGAGACGATGAACCATGCGCACCAGCCACAATCACTGTCCCCCACCTTACCTACCAACTTCAAGTTACCACCTTACCTTTACCTGATCTAGCACTGTGGCGCAGCTTGGTTTGACTGCTAGGTACCTACCTAGTAGTAATCAGGTACATTCTTCATCCCTGTGTCCTGGTGTCGCAGTTGCAGCTTGTCTTATCGCTGTGGCCACGCATCGAGTGGCAGCATCTTCAACTTCAAGTCCCGTCGGTCGCACTCTGGCCACGTCGCAGATGGATCGCAGCGGGATCTGAACCGCTCGCTCGGCAACTGATACCAAGTCAACAAACACACGAGACGACGGGACGCTGATATAAGGGGGAGGAGGGTAAGAGAACTCTACGAGGGGCGGAAACTTGGTCCGACAATTTCCCTCCCATCTTCACCCTCGACTCGAACTCGAACTCGATAGCCGCACCCTCGACCGATTGCCCACTCGTCCTCCAAGTCGCCATGCTGTTCGCCGTGGTCGCAACGCTTGTCGGCGGCCTGTCGTCGCTTGCCGCGGCCAATCTGCCGGGCACGCTGCCCTCGTACCACTACGGCGCCCCGATCCACGTCGAGTGCATGAACCGAAGCTCGTGAGGAGTCCCCTACTACCTATATATCATATCTACAGGAACCAGGCTTCATGTGGCGATAGCATCAAGTCCAGGTTTATGCTAACGCTTCTCTCCTCCTCGTCCGCGCAGTGACACGGGCGAGCACGTCGAGCTGGCCAACCACCAGCTGCAATGGATCCCGTTCCCGACGTGCAACGAAACCGGCGAGCCGCTGCAATTCCAGTACGGCGTCGAGACGGAGCTCAACTGCACCATCCCCCTCATCACCGACCCCTTCTTCCACCTGCTCGAGTTCTACATCCACAACGACGCGCCCCTGTCCTGCCGCCTGCCCGCCCGCCCGCCCGCCCACGTCGAGGTCGTCGGCGAGAAGCTGCCCGAGCAGGAGTACATCCCCCTCATCTTCGCCCTCGCCGGCACCCTGCAGCTGAGCCACATGCACATCAGCACCCACATGAACGTGCTGCTGCACAGCATGCCCAAGCACCACCCGCACCACCACGACAGCGGCGTGCTCGACTCGGCCGTCTCCTACAGCACCAGCCCGCTCAGCCACATGACGGGCTCCTTTAGCAAGAAGCTCGTCATTGGCGATCCCCTGCCGCTGACCTTTTCCGTCCGCTGGTTCCCGACCCCGATGCTGCCCAAGACGGAGGGCAAGGTGGAGTGGCAGGGCCTGGGCGGGCACATTTACGCCAGCACCGTCTTTTACAGCCTCGTTTCGTTCATCGCTGGCATGCTGGTGGCTGGCATGTACACCATGGGCGTCATCCTGCCGCGGAGGCTCAAGGGACGGTCCATGGGCGGAGCTACGCCGCTGGGATACGGGGTGGGCAATGGCTGGGGATACTCTAAGAGGAAGGACTAAAGGTGGTTGAGGAAGGGCTGAGTATAGTGTTTCTTTTTTGCGTGTTCCTGTATGTAACGGATATGGCGTGTACTTGTATGAGATTGACGGTGACTGGAGTTTTGGGTGGCTACGCGTTAGAGAAAAAAAAGGGGGGAACACTTTGATCACTCCTGGTTTGGCTTCAATGCGATCGATGTATCACCGCTGATTGTATTTGCTCTTCCCATCTTGTAGGGTATCCAGACCAGGGCTCCTATATATTGAATACTTGAATGACCCATTACTGCGTCTTTGCCTTGGCATCAGATTGTTGGACCCGAGGCAGCAGCCGCAGAGACATGTCCACAGCCAACACAGCAGCTACACACAAACATAAATCAGTCTCATATCACACACGAGACGTGATAGAAGATGGGGGGGGGGACAAAAACTTACGGATGACAGCAAACGGGAGATACGTCCCGTACAGCAACGGCCCCTTCTTGTCCGCACTCACCACATCCTCGCCCATATGCCACAGCTCAGCGCAGCACGCCGCGGCTCCCATGAAGGTGACGCAGCCAAACGCCAGGCCCGCCAGTTCCGCCGGTCCCGACGTCGGTTTGTTTGACGACGACGCCAGCTGGGAGACGAGGTACGCTGCGAGGGGCAGCTGGACGAGGGCTTCGATGCAGAGGAAGATGTCGAACCAGGGCTGGTGGGGGGAGTCTTGGGCGAAGAAAGGGTCGCCGGTGGAGGAGACGTAGAAGTTGCGGAGGGTGAGGAGGAAGTGCAAGGGGGAGGAAGGGTGTGCGTAGAGGGCTTTTGGGTAGAAGGATACGAGGTCGAGGGCTTGGGGGTTTTTCAAATGTGTTAGTTTGACTGTATAATCATGTGGAAAAGGGGGTTTGAGGTTTGAGGCTGGGTTTACCTAGCATGCCGAAGAGTTGGATGCTGATGATGAAGAGATACAGCCAGTCGCGCAGGGCTTTTCGTTGCGGCGCCATGGTAGATGGATGGTGATATACTTTTGTTATCGTTCTAGATGATGGTTGAGGAAGAGATTTCGAAGCTGTTTCTGTGCTCAATCTGTGGTGTGAAGCCGAATAAAGTGCTGACATGTCATGAGATGTGATGAGATGGAGTTGAGAAAAAGTACATACTAACAAGTGGTGGGGGGAAAACGTGGGGTAATCCGGACGGAGCCTTGCAAATATGTAACATCCCTGTCGACAATGCAGATGAAAGATACACGTACGCTGATGATGGAAATGATAATGCCAGCAGACGGATAAAAGAGTTTGTTAATCCCTTGAGATTCTTGAGACTTGTTTGTGGGTGATGATATGCCCGAGGGACATGCTTATAACATACGTAAGTTCTAACAGAGCCTTGAGTCCTTGACGATAACAGAGGGGATTCAAAGGGTATCTCAATGTTCCTTCCAACTTGGTAATATCTTCACAATTGTTGCCGGCATGCCTTGTATTTCTTGAAATAACAATGACTACAAGGGGATATTTTCAATGCGCCACTAAGCTGCATCTTGGTTTGACTTGCAACGCAGATTTGACAAAGTTTTCGGCGACTTTGTATTATGGTATCACAGGAGCTCACCTCAAGCCATGAAGACAATGACTTACTCCATCAGATTTTACTGCCAGCTTCAAGGGCTAAAGCAATAGACCGAAGCAAGTCATACAGTGAGCAATAGACAGCCTGATGAGCCTGCAAAATACGGTCAAACATGTACAATGCGGCTAATGTTTTTCTTCTCTTCCCGCGAGGGAGGCTCTTTCGATCTTTCCATCTGTTGCAAATGGAAGATTCCAGGGTAGGTACTGTAGGTAAGCCTCGAGTATATCGCGTATCCAACCATAACACAACCTTCACAACGGAAGCCATCCGAGCGTTTCCAGTAATAAGGTAATCCATAGTAATCTATGTACAATCTCGGGCCAGTCACTCCTTGCAGAGAAAAAAAGAAGAAAGCAAGAAGAAATCTCATCCCCGTGCCGCGGCCCTGGATCCCCCCCTCCTCCCCATCCCTTTTCATCGAAACGATCGACACCAAAGGGAGAAAGACGGCTCATGCAAGCACTCAAGATTCCCCCAGAAACATCCCACCGGACATATCTCTCACTGCACCAGAACAAAAAGGAAAAGAAAAAAAGAAATCAAGCAAATAAACAGAGGGCGAAAAGGGTTAGAGCAGGAGCTTATCACTGCGCCTGGGCAGGTGTGAGATGAGGCCCGACAGGAGCCTGCTCCGTAAACAGACAGGGCACTACCTAGCGAAAGAGTACACGATGCTTCTTTTCTTTTTGCTTCCTAAACTCCGCCGGTTCCTTATAGTCGCGAGACAGAGAACCCTGTGTTCGGCGACCTCGGGACATACCATCGAATCCCCGAAAACTCACCCGCTGAACAAAAAAGCTTCATCTGACCATTGAAAAGCTAGACACGGCCCTGCACAAGGGGGCCAGTCCACCATATCTGGCAAATGAAGAGCACAGACATAACAGTGACAAGTGTATAAGCGTTGTTCTCTCATCACCTCAAGGGAGAAGGTAGGTATAAAATATGACCGGGCACTATTGCTCCACCGGGTAAGAAAAAGAAATGTTCCCGAAGCCGCCTAGAGAGGAAAAAGAAAAGAGGCGAAGCCGCCCTTGTGTGATCTATCAGAATAGCATATTTGCTGTGTAGATTGGTCTAACAAGCACGCCGTTTCCCTTGCGGCCGTGCCTTTTAGCGTCGCTGTGCCGTGCCCGGATGCTGAGCCGGGTCTTTGGGCTCTTGGCTCGAAAACACCCCAGGAATGGCCGATGGACCGGAGCCTTGGTCAAAGGGTCTTCTGGTGAAGGGGGTGAAAGGGACAGAGTAGGTAGGCATCGTAACTGGGCCGTGGGTGTAATGAGCGGAGGGGCGCTGGTCCATGGCAAACATCCAGTATCCAATATACTCCCATTCGATGGTATATCACTCCTGTCAAGATCTGCAGATTGGCGACGTTTCCAGAAGCGTAATACACACCTCTCAGACATTGCACTCACCCATTCACTGGGATACAAACCGTGTCATCAGATATGATGTGGCATTTCATCATCTAGCCAAAGTCAGCAAGCACTCAAACTTGGCCATCAAACCAGGTGCGGCCGAAGGAGCGGCTCGCGCTCCGAATCGCGAGATCCCATCGAGCCCCCCCCCCCCCCTTGTCCATCTGTCTCAGTCAAAAACCCAGCAGTCAGTCACCCACGAGCAGAGAAGAATCACCTGATTTTTCTTCGTTTGTACTCACTCTGACTTCAAGAAACAAGGTGAAGGGAAAAGAATCTCGCTTGCTCTGCCTCGAGAGGGAGTTCAAGAAGCGTAAAAGAACTTAGCGAGCGACCCCTGTGTCTCCAAACCTGTGTACAAGCTCCCGGTATCGAGACGATCTGTGTCATGGCTCGGGTTGCCGAATGCTTGATGCTCATCCATGGCTGTGACTTCTTGGTGCTTCAATGTGTGCCAGACGCATCCAGGCCAACTTCTGCATGCCTAGCCGTCGACAGGTCGCTTGCTGCCACTAGTGATATCCCCAATACCTGGTGTACGGGATCGTCTCAGCTCCGCGGCCCAAAAGGCGGCCAAGCGTTACACACGTCCTCTTGATATCCCACGGACAAAGGAACGGAACAATATCCAAGTTCCTGGTAGCACCGATCCTGGGGTGCAAACTCCGGGATCAACCCCCTGAAGGGTGTGCCACCTACCAGGGGGGGTGACAAGTGGTATATGGTGATAGTATGTAGCGGTAATGCGCGCACTACTGGTCCTTCAGCGTGCTCGTGGGCAATTTCGAGTGTCTCAGCGAATCATGGTGCGGGAATGTGATGTGTCTGAGGCGCATTTGCCGCGCTGATCTACTTCGAGGATACCACATCTTCCTCATGGTGGGTTGCCCATGCGGCACGACAATTCTCGGGACAGGGTGGCTCGTGATAGCAAGGGAGGGTGTCCATTGGCACACCACAGGCAGAGAAGCGCGAGAGAGGGTGTGAAAGGGATGGCAGCAGTGACATATGCAGGCTGTGCTGCTCAGCGGACGGGCGGGGAGGTTATGTCTAGGTCAACTGTCTCAGATGAGCGGCGGTGGAGGAATGTGGCCGTGGTACGATGCTTAAAGCCACCAGGCTCCGGCCGGGGATGTCCCTGAGTCTTCCGGTGTCTTGATCTTGGCTTGCGCCGCGCTGTGGCGACAGGGCTCACAAATATAGAACAAGGCCTTGCCATGCCCGACCTGCAGCGATGCAGATGCGGCAGGCTAATATAGCACAGATTAAAGACACAGATGCGGTGTCGCACTATCATGTGATCTGCATGTCTCACCCGGAACTCAGTGCAGTCAGGATGTGGTGAACCTGATGGTCATTGGAGCAAGCCGTCGTGTGCCAGGTCTTTGTTGGGTGCGTGAGTTGAGATGGATGGTGGTACAACCTCGGAGCCAATCCGCGCTCCTTAGGGCATCTGGCCCATAACCCGGTTTCGTGCTGCTCGAATGCCTTTTGATGGCTGTGTGCTCTGCCGTTTTTGCCATCTGCAGCAAGGACTCGACGTCGCGGCACCTGCATGAACGCAGTCAATATGTCGCTCGCCGTTCCGGCTGCGGGTTGCAGATGCGTGTCTCGGGGCTGAACTCACCGGCATCCCGGCGGCAACGCTCTGCTGGTATCTTATTCTAAGCTCACAGGCACATGGCCCGATAGACGTATCGCCGCCGTGATCCGTGCCGCAGGAGCCTGTCATGCCGTCTTTTGCCGTCTGCCATGGGCCGGTATGATGACCTGTATGTAGCCGCAAACCGAGACTGAAACACGTCAGAACTACTTTCAGAAGTGAAAGCTTCAGGCTCATTTGTCGGTATACGAGAGTCTCACTTTCTGTGGGGTGCTTCTGTCGTCTGCAGTCCCGCAAAACAACGTTTGCGGAGTCGCCTCAATGTTGCTTCATTCTGCGAAGAGGTGTGAACCATTGGGTTATTTTCCGTCGATGCCACTGTATGATACCATGTGAGTCTCTGAACTAACGGTGCGAAACCAGTACTTGTAAGAGAAACAGATCACTCTAAGCTGAGAACACACTTAGGCTGAGATGTTGGCAGGCTGAGGCCCTTACCACCATAGGCAGTGATGCTATCGTGGGAAGATACAGTAGGGGTATCAGAGGCATATCAGGAGAGGATCAACACCACGAACACAGAGACAGGCTATGAGCGCACTTTGAAAGGATCAACACTTGCAGCACGTATATGTGCTGCTGCTTGCATAACAGCTTCATATTTCTGAAAGAATGGCTTGACTTTGCGTGCTAACACTCCGGGAGCACATCATGGGCAGTTGGGTTCTCTGTCATTCATTGAATTGGTGAAACGGATAGACGCTTGATGGATTATGCAAGCCTTTCAGCCAACCACTTCAAGGCTTCTTGAGGAATCCATTGACACCCTTTTTCTTCTCCTCGGTGCCGAAAGTGATGTAGTAGAGAGTCCTCTCGAACTCGTCATCACGTCCAAGGCTATCAGCTGTTGATGGAGAAACAAGACAGAACGTTGCGTCAGCGATAACAAAGATGATGATATTGACAAAAGTTCGAGGAAGAATCAGGATACTCCATACCTCGACAGATGGCCTCTTTCGCAAGCTGCATCGCTTCGGTTGCATTGGCGGCCAGGTCTGCGGCCACTTTGACGGTATTGTCAAGAACTGTTCCGTCCTCAAACAATTGGCAAACAAGGCCATGTGAAAGTCCTTCCTCGGCAGTGATGGGCTTGGCTAGGAGAATTGTCTGCATCGCCTGGATTGATGTGAGCGGTGTTGCATAGATCGAAGAGGTAACTGTGGCCGGTTCGGTCAAAGTTGACGACAATTGCTCCGGCATACCACACTCGAGGTATTATCTTGCGTGACTGCAAAAGTACCTCGACTTCTGCAATGGAACAGCAACCACACCAAGGCAAGAAAGATAAGAAGAAAGAGAAGTGTCTGGATGAGAGACGTTCAGAAATTTGTCGTTGAAGTCATACCTTGAACTTGCCGAGTGCTGCCGTGAGGCGCTGTGTGCCTCCGGCACCCGGAATCAGCCCCCGCTTGACTTCGGGCAACGCAAAGTAAGTTCGGGTTTGGGATGCGAATATCAAATCACACTGTGGACGCTCATACGTTAGCATTGCGAATCAAGCCCATTGGCTGATAGAGATATTCGTAATGCTATGCATATCTGTATGTTTAGAAGCGACGTAGAAAGGTGTGAGGGTGTCGGCGTAGGGCACTGAGATAGGAAGGACGAGATGCGTCCGACGTGGACTTTCACATGCAAACGAGAAGGAAGACAGCAGGAATGCAATGCTACTCACCATGAGGGCGACCTCGAACCCACCCCCAAGCTACTCCGCCAAAAGAACCATCGTAAATCAGCACGTCTTCAGGTATGTGGAGAGTCCAAGGGAATTTCCTCGCGGGGTGTCATGCATACTGCAGGTCCTTCAACAGCTGCCAGAAGAGGCTTGCGTACAGACGCCATGCCATGGCAGAGATCCTCAAGATATCGACATGATCGGGCACCAGCTGCGTCCAGCGCGGCGATATCCTGGAGATCGGCGCCGGCTATAGTGCAGAGGCCAGGGGCCCCGGTAATCATCAGCTGGGGTTCATCTCCAGTGGGTCCCTGAATCACATGGGAGGAGAGGGGCCAACTGGACAGACGGAGAACAAGAGGCACTCCCAGGCCTACCAGTGTCGTGATATCCTCAAAGTTGAAACTCACCGGAAAAGAATCCTCCAGAGCCGGTAAGAATAATGACCTTGACCGCCGCGTCTTTGGAAGCTGCGGAGAGTTCGGCGAGAAACCCAGCCAAGAGCTCAGTGGAAAGGGCGTTGCGCTTCTGGGGCCTGTTGAATGTGATGACTCTGACACCACTGGCGGGGGAGGATGTCTGGATGAGTTCTCCGAGGGAAGATGTAGATCCGGACATTTTGACGAGATTGCCGATCAGTCCGCTTTAGCCGGGAACCTTGTACAATGATACCCAAACGACTGAACTGGAGAGGTCGCTGGCGCAAGAGCGAGGAGAAAAGGCGAGTCGAGGGGAATATGATAGGGATTTGGGTTTCGGCGATTGGGCTGCGAAGAAGACGAAGCTGGCGGAAACGGTGCTATATAGGACCATACACACAGAGAAGGCGAATGGTAAGGTAGCATTCCGAGCGCATCACGCGCTGGACTCCACTGATAGGTCGTGCATAGCTGTGCCGCGAGCTCTCGATTCGTGTGCTTCCCTTTGCCACCATTGACTCGGCTAGCTTTACCCCGGGGAGATAAAGAGGTAGCATATACGGATGGTACAGTATTGCATGCATAGCGTGCAGCGGCTTGCCAACAGGAGACCCGATTCGCCCTCTTGATTGTACCCAATTGGAAGTCGCAGCGAAGGTGAGAGGGCGGCTGGTTGGTTGCAGCTGTAGGTGACGGTATGAGGAATCTGGGAGTCAGGATATCGTGATTGAGGGCAAAAGGCGCGATGCTGGGCTGCACTATCGAGCACTTGCTTGGCTAGCTCAGTCGGTGCTGTCATCTGGTCGTCTCTTGCACGATGCCTGTAACATATCACATCAGAGCAAAGCCCTCGCGGAGCGTCCAAGGGCGGCCGAGGGCGCACGAGCCTGGCTCACCGGCGCCTGCTAATTTCCTTGTGTTATTATCGCCATCGTCCGGCTGCCCTGGCGCGGACGGGGAGTCATGACGCACCCCGAGCGGACGGGTCTGGGATCAGCCGGGCAGGCATCTGCTGTGTGCTGTGCTGCAAGAAGAGGATTGGGGAGGCCACAGGGGGGGCAAAGGGCCCAAGCTTGGTGATGTGCAAACTGATGCTGTGATGTGATTTGGTGGAGAGGTAAGATCACCCAGAGACAGCAGCGAGGGCGGTGTGTGGGAAAAAGAAACTCAAGGAAAAAAAAAAAAAAACAGGGCAAAAGCGGCAGAAAAAGAACAGGCAGTCGGTGCTGAAGCTTCCTTCCGCCCACGATGGACGGAATTTGCCCACTACTAGGTACTGCCCCATTGTGTTCGGCCGCACCTTCCACGGCCATCAAGGTCTAGAACTGATGAAAGGAACCAAAGAAGTCTCTCGTGTGGCCTCAGGCGTCCATTTCCAATCCCCCTCTTCGTCTCGTCTCGTCTTCGTCTTCATCCCACGTCCACCGTCTTCGTCTTCGACGCTCAGAGACACGCAGAATCTCAAATCATCCACGACACGAGGCAAACGTCCCAGCATCACCACCACCACCACCACCACCACCAGCAGCATCACCGGCATATCTCCATCGCCAGCACTGCGGCCAATCACTGCGGCCGCCTCGCTGCACCACCTACTACTTTCATCCGCATCCGCCGCCGTGGGTTACCGGGGTAGTGGATCTGCCATGCCATCATCTGCACAACTCTGCACGCTTCGAGTCCGAGTAGCACGGGCTACGAGGTACCTCCCCTCACAGTCTGCGCTTTTGGCCGGGGCGTGTGCGTACGGCTGTGGGGTGGTACCTTTTTTCGACTCCCTCCGCTTCTGAACCCCTTCCCAATGGCATGGGACGGACAGAGCAGAGAAGTCAGTGTCTCGGTTGGTGGAGAGTCGCCGGGGCAGGCGTGCGCACCAGAGACGGACAGAGGCGGTTGGCTGTGCCCAGCACGGCCGGCAAAGCGTTGACAGCGGCTGCAGAGCAGCATATCTGCATCTCCCCAGCGCTGCTCCACGACAAACAACAGGGGTCCGCCCCATCGACGAAATGTGCTCTTCCTTGCTGAGCCTTCGGGCGCCAGAGACATGCACCATCGTCTATGGACAGACGCAATTGTCTCAGCCAAGCCTGGCTCTCAAAGTCATGATTCTGGCCTTGAACGGGGATCACCCGACTGGGCTGCACGCTATACTGCTCGCTTCCCTTTATGTCCGCTGTAACCAACCGTGGCATTCCTCCGCTTCCGCCTTTGTCTCTGTCCTTTCTGTCCCTCTTTTTTTTCCCTCTTCCCTTCTCCAGCCGGCCGTGTCTCTCACCCATTGGTACCGAGCTACGCGGACCCAGTTGCTGGCTCGCCTCTCGAGATGTAATCCTATGTGCATCCGTGCGGGTACGTGGCAAGGTACTTTTCACGCTTCCAGAGTGGGCTTCTGAACAGCTTTTGCTTGGATAGATGTTAGTGACACGGCGAGCAGATGTCTGCTCAACAACCTCGTCTCCCTCATGTTCATCCCTCTATCCCTCATAGTGCCGTGTCTCTCCCTTTCCCGAGCTCGTCTGTTTGACCACCCACCGCTGTGGCGTTTTATCCTTCATCCTTTCTCCTCGAAATGTGACGGTAGCCCAAGCGGCCCTCACGCTCCTCCTTCTTGCACCTGATAATCAATAGCATCTTACCATCATATTTCTCCACTTTGTTATGAAGATGAGGGGAACAAGAAGAGGAGAAACGGGAGAATTAACAAGGCGAGGAGTAGCCCTAGTAGCAGCTCCTGTGGTCAGTATGATCGCAATCGGATACTGTTCAGGTGGACGTTGACTTCTCGGCCGCAGCATGTCTGGACCCGGCACGTCAATGCGGGAGCTTGTCCAATGATGCCCGGTCTGCGTGCCACCAATCCGCTTCATCATCTCAAGAGGTACGTCAAGATCCTGGTATGCCGCTTCGTACCATGTTGTCTTTGGCCTCGTTCTCCCCTCCTAGGCCCTGCCTGTCCCTCCTCCGCCTACACCCCCTCTTTTGTATCTCTCGATGTTGCAGTTCCTGCCCTTGACCCTAGCTGGTCTCAGCCGCCACGCGTATGAGCACGGGTGTCTTTTGCATCGGGCATCAGTATCTCGATGGGTCTTTTGCCCAAGACCACTCACACACATTCATCTGCGAGCGGCCGCGGTAGTCGCCGCTGTCAGAAGCCGACTGCGTATATGCTGAATACCTTCCATCCGTTATGATCCGGTTCAGACTAGGGCTACAATCCATGGTTCGTTATCCACCATGAACGGAACCCCTCCTCGACAAGGCTCCGCGATACGTTCGCCATTGGAAGAGGGGAGAGGCGAGGGGAGAAGGACTAATCTCTGCTCTCGAGTATATATATCATGGTCTACTCGGCCTCTCCGTCAGGTTGGACGACAGTAACACACATCGGTCTCATTGCCTTCTTCATTACACAGCTCTTCTTTGTCCAATCAATACTGCTCACCCGCAAATTCATCCATCCATCCATCCATCTGTCCATCTGTCCATTCCCCCATCTGTATACAGATATTGGCCACCATCATGGAAATGTCAAGTCCAAGCTGGGACTACACTGCTATGCAGTTTGGTCCAAAGATTCCGTGCCCCTTCCCAACTGTCACAGCATCATTCTATCACCATGTCAGGTCCTTCCCAGACAATGTGGCCCTCCATGACCTGTCTGGTGAAACCACCCGACTCATCACATATCGCCAGCTGGCTGTTCGGGCTCAGGCTCTCGCCGCCCAACTCCGCAGCCTTGGCGTTCTTCCCAACATGAGGATCCCTCTTGTTGTAAAGAGGAGCGCCGAGATGGTGGTGGGCATATGGGCCATCCTGTCTTGTGGCGCTCAATACGTGCCTCTCGATGGAGGTGTCGTACCGGACTCAACCATCCGCCACGTCTTTGAGCAGTCGGGAGGCAGCATTGTTTGCTGTCTACCATCCACGGTTCATCGCATCCGCGACCTCTGCCCCGGCGCCACCCCTGTCATTATTGAACAGCAACAGCTCGATAACAAGACGCATGATGAGAGGTGGCTCGATTTGGCTACCTCTGATGGTGGATGCTACATCATTTACACATCCGGTGAGTGCATTACTTAGAAGTCTCACCAGCAGCGCAGCGCCGAGGCCGCTGCTACATGCATCCTCCCTTCTAGCACGCAGCTGAATTCTGACACTTCCGAATAGGGACAACTGGCAAGCCCAAAGGCGTCGATGTATCACACAAGAATGTTGCCAATCTTGTCTGTATGTCTCCCGGAAACCTGGGGATTCGACCAGGCAATCGAGTGGGACAAGTCCTCAACATCAGCTTTGACATGGGTATGTTGCTTCCTTGGTGATGATTTCCTCCATCCCTTGACCGGATTCTGCTGTGGATAAAGGAGTTCACATTACTAATGACTGAGTGACAGCCGCCTGGGAGATCTTTGCGTGCCTGTGTAACGGTGGCACCCTTGTCATCCGGGGTTCCAAGTGGGAACCCGCCATTGAGCTGGTGAGTGTCCGAAGGGGGAAGAAGGGAGCAAGAGCCCACGATGATGGGACTACAACATGTTGTTACACTGGATGGTGAACATGGGCTAATATTGATTGAAATTGACCGATTTAGCTCGACACACTCATCTGCACACCATCTATTCTGTCCAAGTACCATCCTACTAAGTATCCCAAGATCAGAGTCGTGGCTACTGCGGGCGAGCCAACCTCACAAGAGTAAGTCAAAAGTCCCATCCACCCTCGTGTTGGTCCCTTGCAAGTCTGTCTCCTAACTCACCTCATCCTTAGTCTGGCTGATCTGTGGGCGACGCATGCGACGTACTGGAATTGCTGTGGTCCTACGGAAACAACCATTGTCAACACTATGCAGAAACACATCGTTGGAGACGGCCTGTCTATCGGCTCCCCTACCCCTAACAACAACGTCTACATCCTTGACGACAATGGAAAACCGGTACCGGCAGGTGAGCCTGGTACTATGTGGGCCGGGGGAAGCGGCGTGTCTCGCGGCTACGTTGGCCTCGAGACCAAGACAAAGGAGTCTTACATTCCAGATCCCTTTGCGAACGATGGGTGAGTTCTGTCAAGGGAGTGTCTTCGAGAGCTCTCTCTCAGCTGGGGCCCTGCCAGCTGGGGATCCTTTGCAGATTGAGTAAAGTGACTAACACGCTTGTCGTGTCTTACAAAATAGATCCAAAATGTACTGCACCGGCGATCTGGGTCGATGGCGACCCGACGGCTCCATTGAGATTCTTGGCCGTGTCGATGACCAAGTCAAGGTCAAGGTGAGTACTCGGTTTCTGAGTCTTGCCCTCGGGGAAGCTCCTTGAAAGTATGGAGTCTAACATGCTTTACAACTAGGGTTTCCGCGTCGAGCTGGATGGCGTCTCCTCGTCCATGGCCTCAGCGCCTGGTGTCACCCGTGCCTGCGCACTACTAATTGATGGCGAGATCCACGGCTTTGCCATCTCTTCGAACCAGGATTCTGAAGCCATTTTGAACCACACTCGCAGACTTCAGCCCTACTATGCTGTGCCGTCAAGCCTTCATCTTCTGGATGAGTTCCCTACGACCGCCAATGGGAAGATTGACAAAAAGGCTCTCCGTTTGCTGGCTACTGTCCCTGCCTCGCCTGCAATCTCTGAGTCTTCGACCGTGTTCAGTTCCACGTTCCAATCGGCTGTTCTTCCGAGAAAGGACAGTGCTACTTCGGACTCTCTAGCTAGTCTTCGATCTGTTTCTTCATTCTCGACCCTAGCGGCCGCTTCTGACAAGGAAGAAGACAGCAAGATTAGCGAAAAGATTGACTTGTCCGCGTCAATTCCCGAGAAGAAGTGGCCAAAGCCCTGGAGAGGCCTTTTGAAGCGTGTGCTTATTGTGTACCGCGTTCTCTTGAGCTTTGTGGGCCTCATCAACATTGGAGTCCTCATCGCTGTCCTCCTTCTCAACCCCAATGTTGAATGGCTCGCCACCATCACGGCAGCAAACCTCGTCGCTGGTGTGCTCATCCGCCAGGATGCTGTCATCAACATTCTCTATACCGTTTGCTGCTCTGTTCCGAAATCCTTTCCCTTCTGGATCCGCCGCCGCTGTGCCAAGATATACCATCTCGGCGGTATCCATTCTGGCGCTGGTATCTGTGCCACTGCTTGGCTGCTGGCGTCTACTATCCAGGCTACAGTTGCCCGGTTTCAGCATGGGCGGCCATCTGGAGCCTCCTTGGCCAACCTGGTGGTGTCGTGGCTGCTTTGTGCGCTCTGCTTTGGTATCCTCGCCTCGGCCCTGCCCATGTTTCGCAAAGCCAAGCACAACATGTTTGAGAAGATGCATCGCTTCATGGGATGGACCGCACTTGCACTCTTCTGGGCCAAGACTGTCGTCTCTGTGTACGACTCTACCCCGGCTGGAGAGGACCTTGGCATAGCGCTGATCAAGACACCGTCCTTTTGGATGCTCGGTGTGGCCACATGCAGCGTTGCCTCCTCTTGGGTCTTCCTCCGCAAGGTCAAGGTCAACGCCGAGCCGCTGTCCGACCACGCTATCCGCCTGCACTTTGACTACACCGTCCCCGTCAACGGCAGCTTCACTCGCGTCTCCCACCGCCCGCTCCTCGAGTGGCACTCGTTTGCAACAATCCCGGCGCCGCAGCCTGACATCGAGAACGGGATTGAGTCAGGATACTCTCTCGTGGTATCCAACGCCGGCGACTGGACCAAGGCATGCATCCAGAACCCCCCTACAAGCCTCTGGGTCCGTGGGGTTCCGACCTGCGGTGTCATGCGCATTGCGACACTGTTCAACCGCGTGGTAGTTATTGCTACAGGATCGGGCATTGGCCCCATGCTAGGCCACATCGGACAACCGAGCTGTCCCACTCAGCTCATCTGGTCAGCTGCCTCTCCTGAGAAGACGTTTGGCAAGAGGGTCATGAATACCATCAAGGGAACAATCCCTGGCGCTGTCATCCACGACACCCGCACTCAGGGCCGGCCCGACCTTGTCCGCATGGGCTACAACATGGCCAAGAGCTTTGGCGCCGAGGCCGTCATCATCATTGCCAACGAGAAGATTACTAAAAAGGTGGTATATGGGCTGGAGACGCGAGGCATCCCTGCTTACGGTGCCATCTGGGACAGCTAAGACAAGGCGTCCTCTTCTACGAGTGCCTTATTCCTTTGAAAAGCGTGGTGTCTTGCCACTCTTCTGCTTTCTTTTTCTCTGGTATCATTCTTACATTCACTGCACATTAAGTTTGTCCTTTCTTCTTCGAATAGTTCTTCCTTTTTCATCTTCTTCACTGATTCTCTGTTTATATCTTGTTTTTTTTTTCTATTCCTTCCATCTTTTACCTGGTATTTCAGGCTACTCGTGGGTGGTTGTGTTTTTTGATCCAACAGGAACGGAGGCATGCAATCTTTTACAACTGGCAAGGCAGCCCTCGTCTCTGTCCTTTTGGCCGACTTGGTGGGCCATTTGATACCTGCTTTCTTTTACTGCGCAAAATTAGTCGGCACATGTAGCTATCCTGAATTAACTTGCGATTTACAGCCAGCCGAACCTCATTGGTTCCTCTCTGGTGACATGGTGCATCGTGACATTGGGGCTAATGATCCGATTGCTCGTGCGGCAGTCAAGATGCAAGATCGTGCAAGTCACGGCCCCAGCCGCCCAGTATATGGATCACGGCATCGACACCGTGCCACAAAGTCTCTTTGCAGTCCGAAAAGACAGGGAGGTTGCCCCTTGTCGAGGTGACGCGCCCCACAGGCTCCCCTGGACGAGAGAAGGTGATCGGTAGAGGCCGATCGTCGGACGGGCATCGTCGGCGTGTTGACGTGGTACGGGAACCTGTATATCGGTGACGAAGCTGGTCATTGTGATCCTGGCGTTGACTTTGGACTTGATATTGAGAATTGGACAGGCATTTGTTGCTTTGGCTGCGTGAAAATGGAGTAGGTATGAGGATTATGATGATGTTAATGGGTGGCCCAATCTTTCTGGTGTTACAACATGCGAGGATAGCACCACTTGCACGTTTCCGCTTGTTTGCATTCATTGTACGAGGCCTCATATCTGGGGAGGTTCTGGCCGGGGTAAAGTTGGACTACGAATACTATAATGGACACAACCGAGAGGGGAAGCAAAGCAACACGTGGACGGGTGGCTACGCATTTCCGGGGCGCGGATGTATGAAGATGCATGTATGTATGACGAGAGACAGTCTCTTTTGCTTTGGGGGGTCCACGGATGAGGAGTTTCATGTATGTGGTATGTTTAAATTTGCTTGTCTGCTTGTTTGTCTGTAAGGAGACGGATTGGGACGAGACTGCTGTTCTGGGGTGGGTTCCGAGGCTTGAAGCCTCTCAAGGATACGAATAATGGCTGGATCAGGGCGTTCAATAGGCTCTGTGTTGCTTGAATCAGGACTCCTTTGGCTCGTCGACTCGTTGGTGTGCCAAACACCTGGATCCCGGACAAGGATGTGAATGGCATGGATGTGTTTCCGTAGCGGCGGGAAGGTACATGACTCGCCCGGGGGGGGGGGGGGGGGGGCAGCGGCCGGAAAGAAAAGCCGAGGATGAAGAGAGAAAATATTTCAGCTCAGCTGAGTGTGACGATCGTCTTGTGTTGTCTTGCGGTAGTAGTATATGCGGACGCTTAGCTGTGATACTGGGCTCTTGGCAGTTCGAGGAGCTACGGGAGGGTCTCGATACTACTATGGGGGAGTGTGATTTGAGAGAGGGGGCGGAGGGAATAATAGTCGGATGCAACTTGGACCAGGGACGGCTTTTAGGGCCGTAGATCTTGGGATGTTAGTTGAACACCATCCAGGCGGGTGACTCTTGGGGCAATGCTTGGCAGGTTGCCTCTGTTCAATATTCCGTAGCCGCCGGGGGGGCATACACTCCTCCTCTCGTGGGCTTATCGCCGATACCACGGCGGATCTCCCGGCAATGTGAACGGAAACTACTCATCATCACACATGGGTTTGTAGATCTTCAGCTTGTACTGTAGTAAGTGATGCACATGTGTGAAGGGCATCGTCATCGTCTCACCCCTGCTTCAGTGACAAGGGATGCTTGCAATATTTGCTGGGAAAGAGCCTGAGGGCCTGCTCACCTGACTGCTACGATCTCAGTTGTGGCTTGGAAATTCGCTTGTCACGTTGGGGTGGCAGATCGAGTTGCATTCGATCAGCTCCCATGGGGGCGTGTAGATGAAGGATATCGGCTGGGTCTTCTTTGTCAACACTATTCCGTATACTTGACTATAGGCAAGTCAAGTGAGACATACATCCACTGTTGAAAAGTTGAATGATCACCTGGTGACAATAGGCGTGTCAGAAGTCGGCAATCTACAGCACAGAGATGACGGATCCTGTTGACTGATTGTTCGTCGTTTCTGCAGTGGATGTCTTTACTACCTAGTTAGTTGCTCACGATGACTTGTATAAACGCACAATTACGCGGTTGTGCTGAGACTGTGTTTCTCATATGATCAAGTCCTTCGTCTCTTGATATGCAACTATTAATGCAGACTTGCCAGTGTAAGCCGACCACAATGTGCCAGGATTTGCCTGAAGTAGTAGGTATGTTTGTAGTTCAGCTGTGTTGAGCGTCAGTACCTGACCAAATAATGGACTTTAGGCGATTAGACAAACACACCGCTGAATTCTCAATAACTCTACGTTCTCAACTCAAAAATTCTTTCCGATTAATGACTTGTTTTCATGACTTTTACTAAGCTGAGAAAAGATGCAGCTACCATACTGATCTGGATGAACTCTCAACACAATGCCTCTCGAGTCCCCAGGCAGGGCATACCTGATGGAAAAGCCTTAGTAGAAGTGTCTATCCTTGGCAACGGCAATGGAACAGTCTGCTACCAGCCAAGGTCGAAGCAGTGAACTTTGTGTTGCATAACCAAAAGTATAATGAGTTCGGAGACTTCAAGGAAGAAGAAGAAGACAACGATGGTGATGATGATGATAAAGATAATGGCCAAGTTACCTACAGGTGAAGCAAGGCGAGTAAAAGTCCGGCACCGGTAATTATACAAAATCCCGGAACCGTACATGGCCGCACGTGTTTCCCAAATAAGGCAAAATATCGGGCTCCGGACATTAAAATGATGCCCGGATATCCGACAAACTTCCTCCTCGACGAGTCACGGCTACAGACTTCCACAGAAAAGACTCATAGTGCCGATGAGTTCTGAGAAGCCTTTTGTGTCTGGATATTTTGAACTTCGCAAGCACGGTAAAACCAGCCATAGTCTCCGATCCGTGAGCGCAGCAGCCATGGATGGCAATTGTCCTACCGCCGGAGATGTACTTACAGCCAACATGACCGCCAACGGAGAAGTCGTTGCTTCCGATCATCTTCCCACGGCTTCGGAGGCTATCAAAAGCCGGGCTTGCATTAACTGTGCCCGGCTCAAGATGAAGTGTCGGTGGCCGGCTCCTGGGACCGGGCAGGAGGAGGGAGGTTGCATTCGGTGAGCTTTTGCGTGTTGTTGTATCAGCAATAGGATGTTGCGTTTGACGCTGACTTGGCATCGGACCAACCGTCTAGATGTGCTCGCATGAAGATTTCATGTCATATACCAGCGCCTGTCCCGAGAAAGAAGCGAGGCAAATCGACGTATGTCTTCTGTCTTTTCATTGACCTGCAGCCATGAGACTGCCCGGTATAAGTGCGTCTTCTGATGGGTCCATGTTTGAGAATAGGCGCGTTGCCCAGTTGGAGAAGAAGATTGACAGCTTGGTGTCCATGCTTGCATCAGCACAGCACATTCAGTCCTCCGGAACGCCTCCCCTGACTCCAGAAAGCCACGACGCAGATATAGAAGCCAGAGGCGTGCCGAAAGAACCAGCCTCAAGGCCACTACAGGAGGCAATCTCGACCATCCCACAGCCCAAAAGAGCCGTTCGCGAAGCTCCTGACATTCCACTTTCCGTCCCATCTAGCCCAGAGACGACATTCCAGTTGATACCGGGCTTCAGCTTTACCCTTGAGGAAGTGCTTTCGTACTTTGACATTTACCGGCGCGAATACATGCCCAACTACCCCTTCGTCATCATACCGGAGAATCTAGATCCTCGGGCGTTGTATGCATCTTCGCAATGTCTCTTTTGGACCATCATGGCTGCTGTTGCGCCACAGTCGTCGGCCACTCAGCAAGGCGTCGAGACTTGGTTCCGGCAGTATATCGCGGACCGGATGGTTGTGAAACAGGAGAGGAACTTGGGCATATTGCAGGCTCTGCTGCTTCACTTGGCTTGGTGAGTCCCCTTGAGACTCCGTCAGCGATACTTATCAACCCGTCCCCCCATCTGCTAACGTGGAAGCAAATAGGGGCAATTTTCATTTCTACCTGAATACAGAATCGACAAACTTGGCTCACCTAGCCGTGGCCATGGCTCTGGATCTCAAGCTTGACAGGGCTCCAGAAGTTACTCGGTCGCTCCCAGGCCTCTTGGGCGAGGCTTGGGCTACGATCAATAAGAATGCGTTAAAGCAGAGGCCCCATACTGTCGATGAGAAGCGGGCTGTCCTTGGGCTTTATCACGTCACTTCGCTGTGAGCACGATATTACTTGATCCCCTTTGCTTTCAAGATGCTGATGCTTCCCTCTGCAGCATCTCTGCACTGTTCAAGCGAGGCCACTACTTCTCTTGGAACAACTATCTCGCCCAGTGCTGCGAGTCACTGGCCGAGTCTTCTCTGGAATCAGACCTGTTCCTCGTCGCTCTGATCAAGATGCAACGTGTAGTCGATCGAGCCAACTGCATGCTTCCCGGCTGCGACGTTGTCAATTCAACGCTCAGCACATATATGTCGCCAATGGACATGATCATCAACAACCTCCGTCGAGAACTACACGACCTGATGAGCAACCAGCCAGAGTGCGTCAAAAAGAAGGGTAAGTCACAACAACACCCTTCTCTCCCACATAAATACCCACCAACTCACACAATATCACCAAAAGACTTATTCAAAGCATACTACCACGTCACGCTCATGCGCTTCGCCGAGCCCGCAATCCCCATCCCCTCTGCCGCCGACTTGGCCACCCTCAACCCCGAACCACTACAACGCTTCGACACCCTCTGGAAGTGCCTCCTCTCAGCCATCGACTTCTTCGACACCCTGCTCTCCTTTCATCCTAATCAACTCCCCGGCCTTCCTACATCAGTCACGGGGTTACTTGCCTTTGCGATAGTAACTACCTCGCGTTTACTTCTCTTGGAGCCATCGATAGGCTGGCAACCCGCCATGGCACGCAAAAAGCTCGACTTTGCAGACGTTGCAAAGCGTCTTGGCGATCGCTTCGAAGAAGCAGACGTCTGGGCCAAGGAGGCCGGTCGCAGGCGCCGCCTATTGGAAGCAGGAGGCGCGCAATTTTGCAGGTTCAGCTTCAAGTTGCGGTGGATTCGACAGTGGTATCTTTCACGGGTTCCTCAGGAGGAGCAGCAGCAGCAGCAGCAGCCGGCTGCTACTGCTGCGGAAGCTCAGTTGCCTGGTGGTTCTGGAGAGGCGTTGCAGGATCTGGATGGAGTGTTCTGGGATGAGCTTGAGCTTGGGGATGCGCTGTGGCCGGACTTTATGACTCTGTATCATCCCAGTTATACTACGGCTACTGTTGCTGAGACGTGATGGGTGATGATGATTCATCTTGTGAAGAGGCGGGAGGCATGGTCCAAAGGAGACTACATTGTACAGAGACTTTGATATTGCAGTACAGAGTGTTACATAGTGAGCTTAATGGAACAGATACTGAACGGTTCGGAAACAAGCATCATCCATCACCTTTGAAATAGCTCGGAACGCAGTCTATCAGCATACAGCTGCATCCCTCACGGTAACAACCCCTACCAACTTCCCCTACTATCGCCAATCACCCAAAGTCCAAAATGGCACGCGATCGCAACAACGCGGCAATTCATCACAAATCGAAAAAAAAAAAGATCCCATCTCGATCATCGAAACCCGCATCTCCCTATCCCTAGCCCCCTCCCCTCCTTAACCCTTCACACAACAACCGAGGCTATGCAGCCCCATGACTCAGTCAAGCAGCAAAACCCTCGTCCATAACTGCATTCTTTCAGCTGAAAAGTGTGCACACAGCAAAAAAATAAATGCAGATTGTAATTTCACCCTCAACCAGGAGATGGGGGAAGGATGTCGACATGCTTTTGTCTTTATCCTTGCGTTACAGGGTTTTTCATCGTTGTTGCAAGGATGAAGCCCCCAGTCTGCGGTGAGTGAGGATCATGTGCGCAAGGATCTTTCAGCTCCCATTGTCAATACCAGGGTATGGGATTTCAACCAAAACTGTCGTCATGATCTAATCAATAATATTATAATACTAGGACTCTATTCTAAGGATGTCTTTGAGTGTGTCATCAAGTCGACCCTCCATGTCATGTCCGCAATCCATACGAATTCATCGTTGTAGCGGCTGTTATAAGTATATCGTGTAGAAAAGATGCAGCAACGTGCTCGTATCTGAATGTTCAAAGGCGTTCCTGCCTCCGTATACTCATCAATAACAATAGTATCTGTTTCTTCATCACAAAGGAAAGGGTATATATCTTCATATGAAACCGCCTTTTATATAGAACTCTTTGCTCAGGGTTCAATGTTCATCGGCTCAGTTGTTACCGGCCTCAGCGCTGGCCAAGTCAAAAGACCGCCGCTCCTTGATAAACTTAGGCCATGTGTTCGTCAAGACCAGGTACTTGATGCTCATCTCCGCATCGTCAAACACATGCTCGTCAAAGTCGGCCGGAACATCGCCCCCGTACCGAACGTCAAGAGTACTCTCAGAGTCGTTTCGGTGGGGGATGTCGGCAAAGGGCGTGCAAGGGTCGGGACTGCTGCGTTCTCTGCCGCAAATGTCGCTCGCAGCCTGCTCAAAGATAGTTTGGAGGGCCTTGAAGTCTGTTGAGGAAAGGTTGATCTGGAAATCGGCGTGGGTCGCGCTGATGAATTCGACGTAGATCTTGAGCGCGCTCTCAAAGCACTCGCGAGGCAGAACCTTGGCCGCGCCATCCTCCTTCTCCGTGTCCTTTGTAGTGGTGGGAAAGTAAGTAGCCTTCCATTCCTTGACGCTCGTAAGGAAAGCAATGTTCTCGCCAGAGAAGTCTCGCAGTGCGGAGAACTGTTGCAGCGGCTCAGGGTTCTTTGATAGTGTGTGCTCCAGGGCTTCCATGGTCAGGATGCTTCCGCCAGAGGTGCTTGTGTGGACAGATGACGATCTTCCGTGTCTTCCTCCCCATGACGATCTTGTAGAGTCTGAGTTGATGGACTTGTTGCCGCCATTGAATCCCTTCTTTTGGGACTCCCAGCGCGCAATGGAGTTGAGCGTCTCCTGGGTAAGAGCTTTGTGCTTCCACACCTCGATGATGGGCACGAAGACGGTGAAGATTTCGAGAAGCATAACGGAGACGGCGATCCTACAATGGCCAGATTAGATGCAGTTCCATAGCATGCATCAGGTAACAAGACAAGATACTCACCATTGCGGAGGGATAAAGTATGTGTTGACTGGCTCCATGGCGGGAACGTACAAGGCAATCAGCCACATCGGGGCGGCGTGAAGACTATCAAAACTATTAGTGGCAAGCCCAGATCACGAATTGAAGGGCTACATACTTGGAGATGCAGCAGGCAATGGTCTGGAGCCTCCAGCCTTGAGTGTCTCGGAGTTTGCGAGCGCGGAAGAGGATATAGGGAGCAAAGATCCATGCCCAGAACATCTGCCAGAAGATGGAGGGAAACCTATACAATCCATTAGCTCGATGTGATAAGTTAGATTACTTCGGCAAGACTAACCATTCCCAACCGCGGCCTTGAGCCACCTTTCGCTCCATGAAGCTGCCATGGACCTCAGTGCCGGAGACGCCAAATGAGCTGTGAAATTTGCGCGATACGAGGAAGACAATGGCGGTCAAGGCGAGCTGATCACGGTGTTAGCCATCAATTCCTCCAGAAAGCCCAACTCGAGGTTCAACTTACCTGAAGTCCCATGCAGCTCAAGATCAGGATGAGAGACCGGCGATTGTGGTCCATCTTCCGCCATCGAGCCAATAAGCCCCCTTGGCTGACGGGCGCGGATAGAGTCTCGGATCTCTGAAGAAACTTCCTCTGGCCATCGGCAACGTAGAGGAACCTGCTGTTGGAGGCGTGGAAAAGCGCGATCCCGAAGGGAAACCAGACGCCCATGATCCAGAATTCGGCGACTTCAGGCATCAACGCGCCATACCAATAGGCCAGCTGGACGGCAAGCCAGTATGTATGCATGAAGGTGATTGCTGCAAAGGACAGCGGCAAGCCCCGGATCCTCAGGATGGGCATCTCACGCCGGATCCAGAGGAATATCATTCCCGCCAAGAGAACAGCCGTCCATAATGCAGCAAAGACGATGTAAAAGATGCCCACAGCTCCGAGACGAAGCTCGGGCTTGGTATCCTTGTTGATACCAAACTCGGTACCCATACTGAAGGCTTTCGGTTGGTGAAGATTATAGAATAGTCATCAATAACGGTAATGTGAGACAAAGGGGACAAGTATAACAAGGACGAGAAATGATAGTAGTATCGGGAATGTAACAGAAGCTTTTTGGAAAGGGAATGAAGAAGTATCCAACCAAGGAAGGGCAACGAGGGAAACACACGGGTTAAGTAGTAGGCGATGAAAGAGGGTTGAAGAACCAAAGGGCAACATGAAAACCTCGTGGCTAGTGGAGGAGTAGGTCTTTAAGAACACGAAGGGTTGTCGAGCACAAGTCTAGGATCCCCGTCTCCCTGGGCTGGAGGAAAGCTTCCGACACGTGTGGTATCAGACCTCTTCGAACTAAATCGTGGCTAACCAACGCCCTTTCACACGTTTCTGTCGATCATGGTGAGAACAGAGAATAGTGTCCAGGGGAGAGCGGAAAGGGGAGTCGAGGCTTGCCTTGGCGGGCCTGGGAGCAAGGTGGGAAGAGGAAAAAAGAAAAGCAAATGAGCAACCGGGAAGAGTGTGGGAGCGTAGTACGAGTACCGTCAACGACTCCCCATAGTTTTCAAGTAGAGGCAGTTCCCTTTGCAAGGGTCTTGCGTGGAGCCAACTCACTTCCGAGGGAGTCTTGACGCACAGCTGCAGATTTGCTCCTTGCGTCAGTCCCTCCTTTTACCGGCCCTTGCACCGGCGCGTGTGCGTCTCTGACCCGGTGATGTGAATGAGTCTGCCCGGCAATGATTGGTAGCGACTCAACGGTCCACTCATCAGTCAAGCTCCTTGATGTGCTGTGGCCTTTGTTGATTCGAACCACACTGGTCTAGACAGTTGCTGCTCACGACTCAGAGCGCCCCAAGATATCGAACAGCCACCAGCTGTGAGACACGGCAAGGGTGCACATGTAAGTATCCTGGACGGGGCTTGCTGCCGCTTCCATGGCCTTTTGTCGCCCAGTAGTTGTTAGTCACCACGCCCTCGCTTGTCTGGTTGTCTAGCCATGCTGACATGGGACGCAGTCCAGCAAAGGTCTGACTGAAGTCAGCCCGATCATTTTGTTTCCACAGATGGCGGCATGGTTTGTCCAAGGTACAGCTGCCCTCGCAGCAAAGTGGACGTCAAACTTTTGGAGTTGTTTTGGCCGGCTCCCCCTAGCGGGCTCCACGATATCAAATCGAAGCTGGGGCGATCTTATGAGAGACCCATGTTGACGGGGACCTGTAAGCCCGATCTAGTTAACCTCAACCAACATCTTCCGTGCCTGGCCTGCTAGAACTCGCAGCAATGGCAGCTAGCAAGGATATCCTCACCTTAGCGCAGGTGTGAGAAGCCATGAGCCGCCGGGCAAATGCCATGGCCGCGGTGCGACAGGGCGGGCCGTCACTCCGCCAAGCCAACCATCCAGCTCAAGTTGGACAGTGTGAGCCAGCCATACCGTAAGTGTCGTGACACTGGCTCTCATTTCTCTCTCAGCCTGGAAGAGACGAGGTTGATCTCAAGTGGTTGGCCAGGAGGTGATGGATGGTGATGAATGACATCGATCTCCCCCTGTGGAGATTATCTGACAGGGCCTCTTCAGCCTCGCTCGTCAAGCTTTCGACCGCGCCCGCACGCCGACGCTAGCATCGTCCTGTGCCCGTCTGAAGGCAAGTGTCCACAGGCACTGCTCTCATTGTAAAGTAGTCGATGATTTGCTTTCGGCGATCGCTCTTTCACGAGAAGAAAGCCACACAGGGGAGGGTCAGTCGATTCCCGGTAGATGCTCATGAACATACATATGTGTTTCGCCTATCTAACTCACTCACAGACGAGTTTCACGCCCACGCATAGACATAGAACAGGCGAGTGTTTGCAGCTTCTTGGCTCAATTGTGGGTTTCGACTTCAGACAGGGTAACCGTACGCGATGATGCTCTTGCGTCGTGTCGCCTCCCTTGCTTCCAACGCGCCGCTGTTGCGCCCTTGCAGCCCGTTTGTGATGCTGAACCGGGAAATTCAAAGCCAGTCGCTGCTCTTTCTGATCACTTCCTCGTCGGAGCGAACAGGGTCGGATATCATTTTTCATCACCGATTGATGGACTGGTAATCTCTGATGCGTCCGATCGTGGTTGGGCGAGAGCATCGCCCCTAGCCATGATGCCCTGTAGTTTGGGTAGCATTGCGGCCGATGCCGACGGCCGACTCGAGCTCGTGAGCGGTGGAGGCGCTCTGCGGAGGTGTTCTCAGCTCCAATGCAACCAACGTCATGACCCTTGCTCTCCCCCGGCTACCATTCACTTCCGCAGCTAATCCCTGCCGAACCGCGGTTGCCATGGATCGGCCGCAAGCTACTCAGTGGTTGTCGGGAGAAGCTTGGTCCTGTTTTCGTCGTGATAGCGGGCAGCTTTCGGCGAGCAAACAATAATTTCTCTCAACGGATCGTAGCAGGGTTCCAACATGACGGTGCTATCATGTTTCGCTTACACGGTCATCTCCCGGCCATTATTCGCAGGCTGGCTCGACGACCGTCCAGACAATCCATCCGTGGTCACATCCCTTCAGCCAGCCTCTTCGCAGCCAAAAGTCGGCGCTATCAACTGGGGGCCTCGAAATACTATGATCCACGGAGCACGAGAACAGCGGTCGATTTCTCCTACACGGAATTCCCCTTTCCATATTCACGATAGTATCCGTGGCGGCAGGAAAGCAACCGCGTCGTGACAGGTCGCATTTGGGGCGTCGGAAAGAACTCCAGCCATACAAGTGGGCATGAGCAGCAGGCATAGATGTGGCTGTGGCTTCTTGAATAATGACAACTCAGCAAGGCGAGTTGGGAAGCCCGCAATCTGTGCTCGTAGCTCCCGAATCGACGGCCAACGCCAACTGTCTGTCTTCTTCCCACCATGGACTGCACGTATGTATGCTCAATTGTCGTGGTTTGTGTTCGGGTGCCTTCTCGAGACCATTGCGCAGGTGAATCCCAAAGAAAAAAAAGGAACATTACACGCTAGGTGCGCATCCCGTTGCTGTCCAGGTTCGTCACTTGTCACGAAGTGCTGTTATGAGGGCCACCAGATATATCATTTATCATTTGACTTTGGCCTTGACAAACGGTTAGACTGTCTCAAATGCAGTAAACAGAAAGCGCCCTATTGGGTATGGTGGTTCTTTGACGCCGAAACCGTTGAAGCAAGGGAGATGATGCGTGTGATAACGGTTGCGTCTCGTGTGACGAGCGAGGCAGAGGGTCAAACTAACGCATTGCCTCACCAAAACCCGTTTATCACTGCACGGTCTTGACCATCTCGGGCCTCCGACAGGGGACTACCGAGCCCATGTTCATCAGTGTTGCCCATGGCAGTGCAGTATTGTCATGTGAACTGGAACGTCAATAACTCCCAAACTAAGAAGATGATGTGCCTTGGTGATCGGTGTCTCTGTTGTACAGATGTACCAAGATAGACAGAATCAGGTCTTCCGTCACACTTCTGAGCACTGATATCATGGGGAAGGGGTTATAACGAAGAATGAGACAACATGTCCGCATTCTGATGCTTGGTTACATGATGCTAAACAAGCGGGCCAACGTCGAGGTCTGCTTGACGAAGTGGTGCCGCTGGGTGTAGTATCATGGACATTGCTCCAAATGTCAATGAAAGTGATGTCCGTCACTCATCCCAGATAGATAACTGTATGCAGGTTCTTCTGTATACAGAGGCTCCATAGCCATCCTGCTCTTGCCGCTGAAGTCTGAGACATGGAGAACGTGGAGAGCTTCGCTTCAACCGTTGTAGACAAAGAGGTCACACCAAGTGTGGAATATCTCGGCTGTTTTGCCGACATTCTCAGGTGGACGTAAGATTAAAAAGCCAGATGTGATGATGGAAATTTCCAGCGCTGTGGCCTAACATCGGCAACATCGATACTCACGTGGCGATGCTCGTGGCAGACTCGACTATGGACACAAATGGGTGCGTGCATCTGGGTGCCACTATCGCGAAGAGATGGGTCAGCGAAATGGACTTGAGAATGGGGGAAAGGGGCGGACGAACGACTTGATTGACATGCTATTGTGAGCTCTGAGAGCAGATAAAGATGCTCTAGAACGAGTGGCAACTCATTAATATCCGCAAAAAGCAACTTGAGGTCCAGCAAGAACCAACAGACCGGCCAACGTACCAACAGCAAAGCACATCGGTTCGGCGAGTTTCCTTGAAGCACAGCCCTCGTGCAGAATCTTCAAATGTTCGCTCAGAGATGCCGCTTCAGAACATCCGGGCTCCGCGCCGCATATGCAAGAGAGAGGGTCGTGTTCCCGAAGCCTGATATCGGATTTGTTGACTAGCAGCATGTTGAATGTCTTCCAAGTTGTTGTCAAGCCAGATGTGTGGATGATGGAGGTTCAAAGTTGCAGTCAATCTTGATGCTAAGTAGAGGTACGATAGTAGTAGTAGTAGTAGTAGTAGTAGTAATGCTTTGTCATTCGCCTTCCTCGTCGACGCAATCTGCCTCCCTCTTTCCTTCTTCAATACCAACGACGTTAGTCATCACCTCCATCAACTACCTGCCCCCTTCTTCGTGTCATCATCTTCCAGCTTTGAACCTCCTTTACTTGTTGATCAATTATCCTTCACAAGAGCAGAACAACACACTTCGACTCGGTCATATCGATCCCAAGTCTGTGAGGGTTGATGCTGTTTCGAGATGCCGGAACTGACCAACTGACGACCGATACGGAGTAGTATATACCCGTCAAACGGAGTATCAAGCATCGAAGAAGCCCAGCTCCAGCTGATCAAAATCTGCAAGTCACAGCTGAAAAGAGGCTGGGGATTACAGGGTAATCTGGCTTCCTCTTAGAGAGGCTTGGCTTTGGAGCAAGGACAAGTTGACCCTCAGCCCTGGGCATACTGAATGCCTACATGGTTCTCCTTTATGCTAACCAGAGAATGATGCCGAGTAGCTTGGACATTATATGCGAGCCATCGGATGTAGTTCATCGATGAATCAGCGTTCGGTTTCCCATTGTCGTGAGATCGAATGAGTCTGCAAGTGTGCAAACACCTTTTCATGTCGACGCAAATGCTGCTGCCAAATGGGGGCATCTGAGAAAGCGGGACATGCGGCTGAGATGTTGCTGCCGCCAAGAGGCAATGTCTCGTTTGTTCCCTGCATCACATCCCCATTGTCACCCGCAGCTTAAAGCCTGGAGGACAGCTGCTTTCCTGGCGATTGTCTCTCATTGAACTCGATCGGTTGGAAGGCGCCCTATGGCCTATGGATGCACAGGATCAACTGATCAGATAACACTCCAAGCAGCTCGGATTGGTGTAATGGCGCTGTGGCTGCAGTGTGAAAAGAGCCACTCGCTGGCGGTACAACCTCACATGCATGCGATGTGCATATCGCATGCAGGGTTGCCAACGAAAGCCCAATAAGACGACGCAAAGGACAGCAACCTCCTACGACCCCGGCCTCAGCTCTCTGAAAACCAGCCCTCCCTCTTCTCTGTCCTCTCTCCCCCTCTCACACAGCAATTCGCATGTTCATTTGCTGAGGCCTGTGCTCAACTGGCCGCTCCGTCATCCTCGGCGCTGTTTTGTACTGTCCTGTTGGCCTCGCCATCTTGGCCGCCCTGATTCAGGCCTGTGCTCTCAATGCCGATTCGCTCGCCCAAGCTGCTGTCACCTATCCCCGCTCCCTGTCACATTCCCAGATCGCGTGATCTCCCTCTGCCAGTTGAACTCCCCTGGGTTGCAGCAAGCATTTGGTGCGCAGAGGCAATCCTACGCCATCGGGACAGCCATGGGAAGTCCTACGAGAAGTTCTGCAGGGAGCAAAAGATCCAGCCGAAGTGACTCACTGGCTGGGGCTGCACCTCGATCGAGCCCCGTGGGCAAGTTGAGTCCTACAGGCGTTGCAGGTGAGTTGCAGTGTAAGCCGGCCACTCATGCTCTCATTATCAAGGAGCGAGCGAGCCAAATTGTCGTGATCTACTTTCTCATGTACCAGAAGAGTCCCAGCTGTGGAACCCATGTTCCTTGCTGAAACTTGTTGTATCCATGTATCGGTGCAAGTTGGTTGACACTTTGATGACCTAGATGAAGCGGCCGTAGGAGAGCACCAGGGGCTCTTGCACGGCAACGCCGTCATTGAACCTGGCGGCAGTGATGAGGAGGGCGAATTCTCACCAAGCGAATATGATTCAGCGTCGATAAGTGACCAATCCGACTTTACATCGTTGGGATCGAGCATCTATGACCACAGTTATGTCAATGGCCGACGCTATCATCGCTACCGACACGGCAGATACCCAATCCCCAACGATGAGGCGGAGCAGAACCGCGAAGACATGCTGCATACCATGATGCTAGAGGCGACAGACGGCAGGCTATTCTACGCCCCGATTGGAGACTATCCGCAGAAGATTCTTGATCTGGGCACTGGTACCGGCTTATGGGCCATTGAGAGTGCGTTAACACTGCGTTGTCATAGACGGACATGAAACCCGAACAAGTTTTTTAACACAGGATGGCAGTGGGCGACAAATATCCGAGTGCTGAAGTTTTGGGAATTGACTTGAGTCCCATTCAACCCTGCTGGGTGCCTCCAAACGTCAAGTTTCTCATTGACGATGTGGAGGCCGAGTGGCTCAACGGCGATAACTGGGACTTTGTCCACTTGCGCAACATGATACCAGTGATGAAGTCGCCCGTCGCGCTGCTCAAGCAAGCATACGAGTGAGGCCTTGTCATTGCCAAAAACTCTTTGGAGATGGAAGATGGGGACACAAACTGACTCTTTCCGAAACTTAGCAATATCAAGCCCGGTGGCTGGGTCGAGATACAAGATGTAGACGGAGATGTCCATACCGACGACAATACGGTCCCGGACGACTGGCCCCTCAAGCGGTTCACCGAACTGATGCTCGAGGCGTTTGCCAAGTTTGGCACCAACGCTCATGCTGCCGTTTTTGGAGGGCAGTACTTGGCAGAGGCCGGCTTCGTCAACATCCAGCACAACTACATCAAGCTCCCATACGGCACATGGCCAAAGGATAAGTGAGCCGAGCCGCCCCTTTATTCCCTTGGACTTTGGACGTCGCTGACACTTTGGTCTGCAGAATCATGCGGTTAGTTGGCATGTATTACCGCACTGCCTGCGAAGAGTTCTTCCCTGCTGTCGGAGCCATTCACTTTCCTATGCTCGGATGGGACAAGGCAGAAATGGAAGTCTTCTTCATGCAGTGCCGCCAAGCGATGCGCGATCCCACGGTCCATGCGTACGGCAAGATGCACTTTTGGAGTGGGCAGAAGCCGTATGATGCGGATTGAATGGGGTATTCCACAGGAGGATGACCTAGGGGAGCGTTGGCGTAGAGGGTTCGACTTATATACCCCGACTATAGAGGAGGAATTGCGAAGCGGGAGTCTTTTCTTATGGGCGATTTCAAAGTCTTGTTTCTTTGAAATCATCTTTCTGCCAGCGGCTAGATCGTGCTTTGGGGGGTTTGTGGTTGATGGATGCATACAGATTGGCTTCAAAGCGCTGTGGCATTAATACGAGATGTTTTCTCATCCTTTGACTATATACTCCTGTACAGACTTGACTTGTGCATACAATCAATGCAAAATAAACTTGTTTCTTCTACCTTGCCAGCATCCTCTTATCTCTCTTGATTGCTTCACCGCCGCCCCTTCTTACTCTTCTTATCCCGCGGCTGATCCTCCTCATCCCCCCCAACCGCCATCTTCCTCTTCTTCCTGCCCTCATCCAACAACTTCTTCATGCCCTCCGTGGCCTTGAACTTGGGATTCGAAGGATCAATCGCAAACTCGTGACTGTCAAACACGGCCTTGAACCGCTCATCCTTGACGTCAATCTCGAAATCCTCCTGCAGGCCCGCCGGCGCATCACCGGCCCCCTTGCCCTTCTTCTTCTTCTGGTACTTGGCCTTCTTGCCCTTTTGCTTCTCGGCGCGCAGAATCTCGTTCATGTCAAAGTGGTCGAGGTGCTCCGCCTGGTTGCTGTCGTTCTTGTCCTCGGCCATGACCTTGGCCAGGTGGGCTTTTTCCTGGGCGTCGAGGGCCGCTGCGGCTTCGCGGGCCTCGCGCTTCTTGCGGCGCTCTTCCTTGCGGATGGAGGATTTCGTTGCGGGGGCGGGGTCTGCGGTTGTGAAGAAGGGGTCGTTGAAGCCGAGGTCCTCGCCGTCCTCGTCATCACCACCACCACCGTGAACGACGTGGACGTCGTCGTCGTCGTCGTCGCTGTCGTCCTTACCACCGTTGAGGGCCTCGCGTTTGGCCTTGGCAGCTTGACGCTTCTTTTCTTTGCGCTCGCGCTCTTTGCGGGCGTATTTCTCGATGGTCGTCTCTTCTCGGTCCTCCTTCTTGGCTTTTTCGCCTGATAGGGCTGGGGTGAAGGTGACTTCCATCTCGCCCACGGGGGCATCCTTGGATTTCTTGGTGGCCTCTGGTTCGGCCGCGAGACCGAGGGCTTCGCGCATCTTTCTCCGGGCCAGTTCCTTCTTGCTCAGCTTGGGTTCGCCATCGGCAGCTGCGTCACCGGCATCGGCATCGTCCTCTTCGTCTTCGTCGCTCTCGCTGTCCCCGGCCAGGTAGGCTTTCAGATCCTGCTCGTCGATTTCTGCCCTGCTGCCCTTGAAAGCTCGCTTGATGGATTCTTTCCGGTTGATCTCTTCGGGGTGCATGTCCCAGGTGAGCTTCACCTTTGAGCTTTGCAGCGCGTTGGTGACAAACTCGATGGGCTTGTATGACTCGGGGACCTTGTCGCATTGGTCTCTGGGCTCGTCGTCAAAGGTGACGTCGTCCGGAACGAACCGCAGATCGATAAAGTTGGACGAGGCCTGGTACTCTGTTCCGTCTGTCGCTTCGTAGATGGCCTGCGCAGTGCTCTTACTGGAGCAGGTCATAACGGCATAGTAGTACCGTAATCTGTCGAGCTGATATGCCCTCAGGGCGTCGCTGTCGAAATCTTGGTCGTCGCCCTCCTGGATCAGCTTCTTCTTGATGGCGGCCTCTTCGGCTTCGCTGTCAGATACACTCTCGTCGTCGTCGGATTCCTCGTCCTTCTTGCCCCTCTTAAACAGCTGTCTGGGTGGGCCCTCCAGCTCTTCCTGCTGCATGCGCTCCTTTCCGAACTCGCTTGGGTATATGGCCACGTTGAGGACTTTGCCGCCGTCGTTGGCGGGGATGAAGCTGGAGAAGAGGGCCATCAGGTCGGTGGACTTGACGTGGTCCCAGTCGAGGTTGACGACGGCTATCCGAGTTGTGACTTCTCCGGTCTTGATCTCCTCCTGTTCAAGCCGCTGCATGTCGCCGCCGGTGGCGAGATCCAGCACTGATTCTTCGGAGTCTGAGTCCGAGTCTGAGTCTTCGGAAGAGGAGAAGCCTCCCTCTCGGGCGGGATCATACTTCCGAGACCGTGAAGCAGCGCGTAGCTCTCTCTCGACGACCTTGTCGTCTTCGACCTCGATATCCTCCTCCTCTTCCTCGTCTTCTTCACTCTCATCTTCCTCGTCCTCTTTGTCCTCTTCCCCGGCCTTCTTGCCCTTTACTGGCTTGTCGGCCTCGTCCTCGTCGGAATCGGCTTCCTTGTCCTCGTCCTCGTCATCGAGCTGGTACAGCCTCTGCAGGGCCTTCTTTTTGGAGTCTGACTTGATCTTCCGTCCATACTTGTCTACCTTGGCCGTGGCGGTAAAGTCATCGTCCTTGAGAATGCCCGCGAATCGCTTGTCGACGGTCGTCTTGGTGTGCTTCCTCGACGGCAGCCGGAATCGAGGATCGGTCTGGAAGCTGGCGAACCGCTCGTCGGAGATGGGCGCCGGAGCTGCGCCGCCAGTCTTCTTCTTTCCTTTCCGCTTGTCCATGTCGAGGGTCTGGGGATTATAGGTCGAGGTATGAAAGAGACGGGGTGAGGCGCGCAATTCCGGTTCGAAGCCTGTGATTGATGATGGTCGCAACTTTTTCTTTGGGATCTGGACGGAAACTTTTTGGCAGGGATGCTGCTATCGGCTTATCGCTGGCCAATGACAGCGCTCAATTTGGTACTGCTTTTGGTGTAAATTTAATATGGGTCGACGGACTCGAGCAGAAAGGTACAAGTGCACTTGTACTCCGTCTAATAAGAGCCCCAATAACGCGCATCACTTACAGCATCAACGTTGGACGACTGGAAGCAGTTCTTCTGACTCTTGGATAGAGACGAATATCATTCTTGATATTTTGGTGCCTCTTTGGTCAGGTAGATGGAGCTACTCGACTTTCGACAGAGGACTCGCTATCTCATACAAGGCAACATAGACTAACGCATGACACACAAGGTCGAGATCAAGTCGAGATTGCGGAATTCCGCAGATGAGGCATCATTGATTGGTCAAAGGAGACCGTTTGAGCATTTAGTATGACAGGGAAGAGTTCTCACTCATCGAACTCGAGGTATCGTGAACAGTTCGTCCATGTTCATCAGGCAAAATTCACGATGACAAAACACTGCCATTCGCGGGCTATCCCCCCTCTTACAATGTAATCTCCAAGGCCATAAGCCATGTGTCTCTCTGTCTTTTGATCTGAAAATCGAATATAAATAACAAAGAGCTTCCTATCGCTTTTCACGAGATCGTCATGCTCGGCATTAACACGCTAAACTCAGGCTTCATCACTCACAATGGGATTCGCCACGCATGACACTTCTTCCCAGAGACTCTTGGTTAGTCCCTGAAGCAAAATGATGACATTTTTAACCCAATTTCGACTAAATTACTGTACAGATCACTGGAGTCACGGGCTTCATTGGCTTCAAAACCTTGCTCGTCGCTCTCGAAAGGGGATACGCTGTTCGCGCCGTCGTCCGACATGACCGACACATCTCAGAGCTTGCGGCTAAGAGTCAACTCATTTCCGAGGCACATGAGCAAGAGACTCTGGACTTTGCCGTCATTCCTGACTTTCTGGCCTGTGACAAGTGGCCCGGAGTTCTAGAGGGAATCACGAGCATCATCCATATCGCATCCCCGTTGGCGCGCGAGGTAGGCGCTCTCTTGTTCCCATCGCTTGACCATACATACATCTTTACATGGCTCACACAGCACAATCAGAGTGAAGACTATGAGCAAGACATTGTAAAGCCTGCCATCTCCATGGTAAACACTGTCCTCGAAGCAGCTGCCAGAGTCCCTTCTATTCGGAGGGTCGTCATCACCTCTTCTTGTATGTTCTTCACAAGCGCCATCACTACCTGACATATGTTAATGATGGATAAAAAGGCGTCACATTGATCCCTTTTGAGTGGAACTTTACCCCCGACAGCGAGAGACTATACACTGGTAAGAACTTGCTTGTGTCTCTATAACATCAGCCACTGACAGTTGGCAATAGTGTCGGATATCAACTCCCACCCCAAGAAGCCCTACGGCAGCGCAATGGAAGCCTACTGGGCTTCAAAAGCCTACGCAAGACTTGCGACACGATCCTTTGTCGAAGCCAAGCAGCCACAGTTTGACTATGTCCACCTGCTTCCCTCTGTCGTATTCGGCCCTGACGACCGTATCCCCCCAGATGGCGCTGCTGAAGAACTCTTAAAGGACAGCCGGGCTGCAGTCATTGCTCCGGCACTCGACGGCTCGACAAACTCCCCGTTTCCGTTTGTCGGCGTGCCTGTCCACGTTGCCGACGTGGCTCGCGCCCATGTCGATGCAGTAGACAGCACACGAATCCCAGGAAACAGCGAGTACATTACCAGCTCCGACACGCCTGAAGGCATTGTCTGGGACAGAGATGCGGCAGCTGTGGCCAGAAAATACTTTCCGGAAGAGGTCGAAAGCAAGGTGCTACCGCTTCAAGGGACATTGCCGTGTATCAAGTTTCGACTGGACGGCGCCAGCACTGAGAAGGCGTTTGGGTGGAAGTTTACGAGCTTTGAGCAGACGATGAGGGAGCTGCTTGAACAGTATCTGAGGCTCAAACGCAATGCCACAGCATAGGGACTGCCATCATGATAAGATTGAGTCAACCTTTGACGATAGACAGGATATACATAGATTTTTAACGTTACATGATTCAATAACTCCTAGAATATAGTAACGAGCGAGCCAATTCGATTCAGCATCACCAATCATTAAAATCCCACCTCCGTGATGGGCTTGATAGGCTGCAAAGTCCACATCATTGCAGGAGAAACCTGGGGATCCTTCAGCGACAACCCTCCGCCAGAGACATCGGCCGACAAGACCAGCGGCCCAGAATACGAATTCGACAGCTTCCAAGTCCCATTACCATTCCTCACAACGCTCCACTGCTGTCCCGAGTAGTTTCCAGCAGTGGCCAAATGCGGCTTCGTCTTGTCATTGCCATACACGTCCAAGCACTTGCCCGCTCCAAGCCACATGTTGCAAAGATTGTAGGCTCCGGGCTGGGTTCTAGATGGGCGAAGCTGCCAGTGCTGGCCGCTGAAATTGCCTTCTGCGGCCATCTGCACCTGTCCATCTTGTTGCTGGTTGCCGTCGTTGACAACGTCAATGGCCATTCCAGGCTTCGCCGGGTTGGTAATTCGGTACCACGATCTACTGTCTAAGCCAGCTGGGTTCGACTGTGTGGTAGGTTGTACCCCTGGTGGTACTTGGACTGGAGCCGGCGCCCCCTTGGGCGGCAGGGGCTTGGTGATTCGTATGCCGATATAAGGTTGGAAGTTGTTGGGCAGCGGCACAGAGCCAAGCGGCGTCTTGAGCTTGCGGTGGTACGTGAGGATGCCAGCCTTGACCCCTAGTCCGTTGATGTCTCGCTCTCCAGAACCCCCATTCTGTACGAGGCTTCTGAGATACTGCGTTGCTTCTCTGACAACGTCGTCGGAGACGGTAGCGAGACTTTGGTTGAACTTTTGGACTTGGGCATCGACTTGGCTGGACACCCAACCGGCGACGGTGCCGGTGGGAATGGATATGACGAGCTCGGCTACATCGGCCTCGTTGATGAGATCACCGTAGACGATGGTCCAGTCGCCCTCTGCATTGATCCTCCGGCGCTCGTTACGATCGGTGACTTCAGTCATTATGGAGTAGTGAGTGGATCAGGTATCATTAGAAATCTCAAGCCTCTGATTTGCGTGGCAAAGCAAAAGACGAGGTTTACGGGACGGCACTTGGCCTTTCTTATAGAAAGGGGAGATACATACTGTCTATCGGATCTAATGAAGAGCTGAAACCGCACCGCATACCCTTCCTCTGAGCTGAGCAGCTGTCTCTGGAATTGTAGCTCAATTGACTTCTCATTGGCTATGACGCCCAACCTAGTCTTCTGAATACCAGAAAGGCTGCAATGAAGCAGCGGAGTAGAAGCTGAAATAACCTTATTATTTACATACCTAACGCTAGGGGCGTGTGGCTTGCAGTATAGAAAACTATAAAGCAATACGAATGGCAAACACTCATGCGGGGGAGTGAGCGTGGCTCGTGATTTGCTCCAAGGAAATATATGCCATCTTCAGCTGAGGAAAACAGTAACGAATCTGATGATGTGGCTTGAAGAGACTCTCGAGGAGTGCAGTAGCTTGCAGCTTAGCGGCAGCAGCCGGATCTGCAAAGAGGCTGGCTGGCCTTCATGACAAGGGACTGATATCATGTTCAAATAAGCTACACATCAGCACGGGAACGGACCTTGGCGAGTGAAGCTTGATGCTCTTAGCCGTCGCCCTGCTTGTTGCTTCCGCCTGTCTCTCAGCTGAGCTTCACTCGCAACTCTATGCCTCTTTTAGTCACAGAAAGACACCCCTTTGAATAGCCCATATGAGTCAATGGCTACCACCCATACTCGTAAATTCCCAGCCGTTATACACAAGAGTTTGCAAGCCACCATTCCAGGCCGTCGAGCAACGCCGCTAGGCAATACCATTACATTTCCTGCCCGGACACTTTTCCTTGCGGTCCTGCTTCAGCTGACTAGCTGTAGCTGCAGCTGATTCAAATTGCCGGCTTGGATTGCTTCAAGCGAAAAACTCAGTCACAAACGGTTTTCCCAGCAAAGGATTTCACTTGAACTTACATTGACTTTATGTGCGCCGAACAACCGAACTAAATAACCCCAAAGCTATGCAGTTTATCGCCCGCTCGTTGGCTTCTCACGGGGACATTCCCCGACTCGAGCCGCACTCTTCCCGGAACGAATCTTCGCATGTTGCCTCTCCCTGAGACGTAGCACTAGAGACTATGAAGGACAACAATAATCCCAGCTCTTCCGCTTCGTCCGGGGGTTCATGTTAGCAACTGAGTGTGAATTACAATCTCCTCTTCCTGACTGCAATGTGAACGGTGGAAACTGATTGTCTTATCTGAAAACAATCCATGTACGCTGTTGACGATGAATATGTACACTCTCGGTGCCCCCTTTTACACATGTATATATTCGGTCTCGGGTCCATCCTAAAGCTGACACCACCATGGCAGATTGAGCGGAAATGCTTCATTCAGCCGCCCTAGGTATGCTAGATCAACACACTACATGAGCCTTGTTGAACATGTCCCGCCTTGTGCTCCAAAGCCAGCGGTATTATTCGGCATAGGACGCATGGGAACTTAGCAAGCCGAACCCCTCGATGTTGTGTTTACCGCAACCAACTGTCCCCCTATAACAACATTCCCATTCACCGGCGTCTCCATTCCACCTGCAGTGACAACATAGAGAATATTCTTGTCGTGCGGCCCACGACCAAAAGCACAAGACGTCGGCTCCGCAATCGCAGTAGAATTGAGATTGCCAGCAACGACAACCTGGCGCTTCCCATCCGCGGAAATCATCTCAATGGTGTTTTCGCCTCCCGTAACCACAAAGGCGTTCCCGTCACAGTCAAAGGTAAAGTCATCGTATTCGTGAAGCGGCCCGTGGTTATGGGCAAGCGTCGTGACGGGCCCTGCTGGCGTTCCGTCCCGGTTGATGGGCATCTTGTTGAAGGTGCCGTTTCCAAAGTTTGTAAAGTAGACGAAGCCATCGCGGACATGGAGACCGTCGACTCCTGACGCGGAAAAGGGCGTCGCTGGGTAGAGCTGGGTGTAAGTGTTGTTGATGGCGACCTCGTAATGTCCCGTCTTGATGTCCAGCCTCCAGATGACGCCGCCGTTGACGTCGCCGACAAGGAGCGTTTGGTCTTGCTCCGAGAGAACTGAAATGCCATTGAGGAACTGTGCGGCCTCAACATGCGCAATCTTCTTCACTGCAGGCGGCGATGCAAGTAGTCCCACTTGGCCGTGCGTTGAAGAGATGTCGACACCGCGCAAGTCGACGCTCCAAACGATCCATGTCCCAGCACTGGGGACGTCACTTGTGAAGGAAGTATTGCCTGTGATGACGGCGAATACGTCTGGCTGATACTCTGCGATGCCAGCAAGGCCAAGAGACTCTGTGAAGTCGTGCACAAAGACGGGTTTCTTGGGTCCCGAAGCTGAAGGGTCGAAGAGGGTGAGCTGTGAGGTGCTGAGATCCGAGATGAGAATCTGGCCGTTGCTTCGGACGGCCAGGTTCTCAATGTAGGAAGGGTTGGGGAATTCGAACAGAGTGCTGACGGGTCTAAGTGGTGGTGCTGACGGTCCGGCAAGGGAGACGCCACAGAGGGCGAACAATGTAAGGGATCGGAAAGCCATGTTCAAGGCGTGAATGAGCGATATGGAGGTTTGAAGATGACTATTGATCAAATTGCTTGCTTTTCTGCTGCTCTGTTCTTTTGACACGAAATACTCCCTGAGCATCACTTACACTTATACTCTATTACACCCATGCGCTTGGGGTACGTTGAATCTACCCCGAGCCGAAAGATGGAGCAGATTGGGGTCGATACATGCTGACAACGTCTGAGTTGCAAGGATAATTTCGGCGATAATGATGCTGTCCTTGCAAACATCGCCGCACAACGTCGTTTCTTCGGCTGCTGATCTGTGACGGGGGGCTACTCAAAGGCATGGCCGGCGATTGTGACGCTGAGTTCACGGACTTAGCGGGGACAAGTTTGAGGAATCGGAAACAAGGCTGACAGTCAAGGTCAGTGATTGTACGGAGGACTATCTGAAAGGAGTGACCATGTCTGCAATGCCATGCCTTGGGAATGGACTGCGGTGTCGATAGTCAGGCACCTTTCAACAGGTAGGTAGTCAAGACACTTCCTGATCCCCCAGATAGTACACTAAGCCACGGATACCCAACATGGCCAATATCCTACTCGAATAAGAAAGCAACTGGTCATACACAAGTGGACGAAAGAGCCATGACAGACTGCTTCATCGATAGTATAACATGATCTCCATCCAAGCCAATATTTGAGGCCAATTCAATAGTTTCTCTACGTCACTGGAAAAGACTGCCTCTAAACGTCGTGTCACCAGCCAACCTCCCGAGGAAGCCACGAAAGGACGATTGCCAGCACAATTCAATTATGAAGGTGAATGCTTCATATTGGAATAAAGATTCCACTCTTTGAGCCAGATTCATTCCAGATGATAGCGTATAACACAGTTTAGTTAGGACAAATATCATTAACAAACTGTGTGCGTGCTGAGACAGCAGCTTGGTCATCTATGTCACCTCCGTTCATGCTCATATTCTCCGACATCGAATGCATATTCCTCCTTCAACATGTACTGCACCTGCAAAAGATGAATCATCCGGCGAGTTATTGTACCATCGACGTCAAATTTCACCCTGATGTCCCTCTGCATGCCGTCAAACCGTGATTCCTGCACCTTGTTCTATCCACTCCAGGGTAGCCTCTGCCTCCCACCTACATGTACCGAGTGAAAAACGCGCTCCGACTCCGGCGCTGCCCCTCCATTTGACGTGCTCGCCGGTGACTCCAGTAATAATTGGGCTATTACTGTATAGAACTGCATGCAGCAGCATTGAACTCTTAGCTTGACAGACGCCACCAACCAACCAACCAACCGCATCAAGTCATATAACAAAACAGAGGGCTCCATCAAACTTTTTTTCCCCTTCTAAACCTTCACCATAGCTCGCCAGCAGATACAGCAACAATTCCCATACGCCAATTGACCTCTGACAGCTGCAAACATGGCTCCCCAACGTGCTCTGATGCTGTAAGTGCGACTCCCGGAAAGAAATACAATCAAAGAAAAGAGAAGAAAAGAAAAGAGGCGAAAAATGCCACCACCAGCTGCTGCCCCTCCCCCACTAACATATCCGGCTTCACGATAGCGGCTCCGGCTTCGTTACCAAGCCCACGCTCGACATTCTCAACGATGCCGGCGTTGAGGTTTCCGTTGGTGAGCACTGAAACAATCCCTGAAGAAGAGAGCCTTGAGCCTCTTCGAATATCATCTCCTCCTCCTCCTCAACCTCGAACCACCACCCCCCAAGCTAACAAACAAACCCCTTCCAGCCTGCCGAACCCTCGAAAGCGCAAAGAAGCTCTCTGCCGGCGTCAAGCTGGCCACGCCCATCTCCCTCGACGTCAACGACGACAAGGCCCTCGATGCCGCCGTTGCCCAGCACGACGTCGTCATCAGCCTCATCCCCTACACCTACCACGCCGCCGTCATCAAGTCCGCCATCCGCAACAAGAAGAATGTCGTCACCACCAGCTACGTCTCGCCCGCCATGATGGAGCTCGACCAGCAGGCCAAGGACGCCGGCATTACCGTCATGAACGAGATTGGTGTAAGTGGGAAGCCGACGCTGCTGCTATGCCCGTGTTCTGGGGACGATAACTGAGCGCATTTGTATAGCTTGATCCCGGTATCGACCACCTCAGTGCCGTCGAGACCATCTCCAACGTCCACGCTGCCGGAGGCAAGATTCTTTCCTTCAAGTCATTCTGCGGTGGACTGCCGGCGCCCGAGAACTCGGACAACCCTCTTGGCTACAAGTAAGCGAGACAACATCCTCAACTGCCGGCAATTGCTAACATTGTCTGCGTTCAGGTTCTCCTGGTCGTAAGTAGCCCGCAAGTCCATGTTCCGATGCAAGCGGGCGGCTCGTCAAGAGTTCGCATGCCGCTCACTTTTCGACATTGAGAGCGTGGTATTGCTGGAGCTCCATCTAACATCTGAAAAACAGATCCCGAGGCGTTCTCCTTGCCCTGCGAAACGCTGCCACCTTCTACGAGGACGGAAAGCTGGTCAACGTTGCCGGCCCTGGTAAGTAAATCAATGGACATGGCATGTCGATATATACAAACTAGACACCCTAACACATCTCATAGACCTGATGGCCACCGCCAAGCCTTACCACATCTACCCCGGTAAGCACATCCCAATATCAGGATTTCTATCAACCCCTCTGACCATTCCCAGGCTACGCCTTTGTCGCATACCCCAACCGCGACTCCAGCGTCTACAAGGAGCGCTACAACATCCCCGAGGCCCATACCATCATCCGCGGAGTAAGCAGAAGAGTTACAATCCACACAAGCAAACATTGAGAGACTAACGCATCGTACAGACCCTGCGCTACGCCGGATTCCCCGAGTTCATCAAGGTCCTCGTCGACACCGGCTTCCTCAACGACGAGGAGCAGGACTACTTCAAGCAGCCCATCCCCTGGAAGGAGGCCACCCAGAAGCTGCTCAACGCCCCTTCATCCAGCGAGGCCGACCTCGTCGCCGCCGTCTCGTCCAAGGCCACCTTTAAGGATGACGAGGAGAAGGCTCGTCTGATCGATGGTCTCAAGTGGAGTATGTCACACACCCCCCCCCCCCCCCCCCCCCCCCTTTTTTTTTTTTCCTCTCACCCAAACTTGATTGCCTACATCTTCGCTATTCCGTATCGTCCATGTTCATGGAAGCAAGAACGCTAATCTCGTCTGACAGTCGGCATCTTCTCCGACGCCACCATCACCCCCCGCGGCAACCCCCTCGACACCCTCTGCGCCACTCTCGAGGAGAAGATGCAGTACGAGGAGGGCGAGCGCGACTTTGTCGTAAGTGCTCTCTACCTTTCCCCTCCAACGCCCTCCCCAACACTTTCATTCACACAAACACACCCTTTTATACGCACCATAACATACCCACCCCAATGTATCAGAATCAAGCCAGCTGACCTTTATCCCCCCCTCCTGCAGATGCTCCAGCACAAGTTCGAAATCGAAAACAAGGACGGCTCCCGCGAGACGCGCACCTCCACCCTCGCCGAGTACGGCGCCCCCGTCGGCTCGGGCGGATACTCTGCCATGGCCCGCCTGGTCGGTGTGCCCGCCGGTGTTGGTAAGTCCAGCGAATCCCACGAGATCCCCTCTCAAGCCCATCCAACGTGACATGAATGGAGGAGTAAATGTTTGGAAAGAAGGAAGATGTGCTCACTGTTTTGTGTGTTCCGTACAATAGCCACCAAGCAGATCCTCGACGGAACCCTCTCCGAAAAGGGCGTCATCGCCCCAATGAGCCCCAAGATCAACGATCCTCTGATCAAGGAGCTTGCCAAGTACGGGTAAGTCTTACAAAGCCCCCCCCCTTTTCTCCATTCCCCTTTATTCTCTCTACCCTTTCTCCTTTCGTCCTTTGGGAGGTAAAGGAAGACAGAAAGAAAGAAAAAAAAAACTGATAGATATATGTCCGTATAGCATCGCTTTCAAGGAAAAGGTCATCAAGCACAGCGCTTAAATCTAGAAATAGAAGCGTAAAAAATAAAGCAGTTGAGTGAATAAATACTATTGAACTCGGGAAGGGCAACCGTTGTTGCACCATTGTTGGACATTAGAGTGATATGCCTTGAAAAGCCTCAGTAGCTTTACCGCGTGAAATACTGAAACCCTCGGTCTCCTTAACGGACAAGAGTCGTTCATCACCGACATGTCACGCCAAGCAGCAGCACTCAAAGACACTCATGAACAATTTGATCCAATTTGCACTAGTATCATCTAGCATCTAATAGTAAATCTAACGGAAACCTCACGGACAAAAGCCGTAACCAGAAGAAACAACCTCATCTAGTACTCTCCAATGCGAAGGTTGGGAGCCCACATCAAGCTAGTCAAATCTAGCCAGATTCCATCCGCATGTTATTTGCAGACACATTGTTGTTCGCCTATTCATCTCCAACTTCTAAGGTAGCGTTGTCATTACCACTCTAGGGGGTCATGCAGGTTTCTTCCCAATGGTATATCCATCTCAAATGCGTCCAAGAAAAGAAAAAGAGGGCAGCTTGGCCCTTTGTCAAGGGGCTGAGAAGAGAAAGAAGGAAGTAAAGAAAGAAAGAAAGGGTAGAAATATAAACAAGGAAGAAGTGAAGAAAGACAGACGTCATCAAATCGTACAACCTCGTCTGAAGGAGAGTGTAGAATGCAAAGAAAGAAAAACGCCCATCGCTTGATGATTGTATATATATACATGTGTCGTGAGATATGTGCTGAGAAAATTGCGATAAAGAGATGGGAGGAAGAGGAAAGGATTGTCTTCCTCAAGAAGCAAGTCTATCCGTCTTTCAACAGGGAACCGACATCCTGCAGCTGCATCGATGGGGCCATAGGAGGCCCTCCCCTGTCGATACGACCCCAGCCTGCTCCCCAGCTGGGCACTTCTTGCTGCATGTATTGTGGCCGGTATCGCGAAGAGCTCGCCGCCCCCGGGGCCAGAAAACCGTCCGTCAGGGTGACCTCGTCCGACGCGGCAGCCTCGTGAAAGCTGCTCGGGCGACGGCTGAGGGCAATCTCGTCCGTCCTAACGCTTCTCTGGGACTTTCTAAATCTTCTGCGCCAGAATCGTGACCTTTGTGAGGCCGGGTCGGAGGCATAGATCTCGGGAGACTCCATGATTCCGGGGTGAGGGGAGCGTCGGCCGTTGACAAAGGTGCTGCCATGCGCCCGCGGATAGAAGAACCCGGCTGGCCGGCCACCGCTGAAGGGGTTCCACGGTCGCAACTGGGGCGAGGGAATGTTGATGCTGCCGTTGCACCCGGCATTGTAGCTGGTACGGGCCTCTCCTGACAGCTCCTCCAGCGTCAGCCCCTTAGTCTCCGGAACCAACAGCGAGACCAGCGTGCCCAGTAACATGAAGAGGGCAAAGAGCTGCAGGAGGCGGTTGAGATGTGGCGAGCACGAAGTCCCCTTGCAGTCAGCTGGGGCGTCCTTGTTCAGTATGGGAATGCTAATGACCTGGGCAACGATGGCGCCGACCTTGCCCGCAGCTGCAGAGAGGCCGTGGCCAGTCGATCGGTATCGCGTAGGGAAGCATTCTCCGGGAATGATGAAAGTAGTCGTGTTGGGGCCGGCGTTGAACAAGAATTGCGCAATGATGTAGAGGACAAGCATGGCCGTCTCGCTCAAGGCGTCAAAGCAGAAGCCGAGAACGCAGAAGATGACAGTTAGCAAAAGGAAGCCAACGAACTGAAGGGGCTTGCGGCCGACACTGTCGATGGTGAAGACGGCGGCCCAGTAGCCAGGAATGGACCCGGCGCATGAGAGAATGATCATGCCAACGGCCTGGTTGTATAGCTTGTGGTATAACGTGCGTCCATCAGCATAGCCAATGGCACTGAGCACTATGGAGTTGTTCAGGCCCAGACCGTAGTATGCGAGATCCTATCCATCCAAGGCAGTCATGTTAGTAGACCAGCGCCCCGGTGAGGACGGAGTGGTTGGGGCATTACGAACCAAAAAGAACCATGACATGGTGGTACCAACGAGCACCTTGAAATTGCTCCATGTCCCAAAGTAGCTCATCAAGTCTGGCCATGACGCTGCGGGTACGTCGAGAGGCTGTTCGGTCGTCAGGGTCGTCGAGCGGGAGCGCTTGATGGAGTAGTCGCTCTTTGACTTGCTCGATACATAAGCCCGGATGTCGGCATCGGCCTTTTCGATGTCGTTCTGTACATCAAAGGTGTATCGGGGCGTCTCGGGAATGGTGATGCGGTAGTACAGGGCCAGGCAGGCAGGGATGGCCCCGAAGCCAACGACGATTCGCCACGAGCGATCCGCGGCCTCCCTGCATGCCAAATCGCAGGCTCCTTCCGTGGGGATGTCGATATAATGCTTCTTGAACGCCACCGTGGTGACAAGCGCGACAACGGCGGCTAAAAGCTGACCGAGGCCCTGCATGGAGAAGACGGCAGCCATCATGGCCCCACGCCAGCGTGTCGGTGCAAACCTAGACGCAGTTAGTGATTATGGCCGGAGCAGCGACATCCGGGATGGATTCCGTACTCAGAGGTAATGACTGAAGAAAGGGGGTAATCGCCCCCAATACCGATGCCCTGGAAGCTGCGTTAGACTTGTTTGATCGAACTGGAAGAAGAGGGGCGGCTTCCATACCATCAGGACACGCCAGAAGATCATCAGCCCGGCGGCACTAATCGTGGGACTCGGAGACGCAAGAGCACATCCAAACGTGCCAACCGTGATAATCATCAGCTCGACGCCGTACATGCGGCGACGACCAAGCGCACTAAAAGTCGCACAATCCGGTCAGCATAACCACGTCTCTGCGAGGAGGTAGTTCTCCCTCATGACGGCGAAGTGATAAGTGCCAGACTCACTCGGCAAGCAGACCAAAGATGAGCATTCCCAGCACAATACCGCCGCTGGTCGAGGCCTTGAGCGCTTGGTTGACGGTGTCGGGCAGAGCACCACCATTGCCTCCGTAGCCGTTGATGTGATCGTCTCCGCTGTAGAAGACGAGCCCAAGCAGGGTGGTAATGAGGTTGATGGCAAAGATGTCGTAGGAATCGAGGAAGAATCCGGCTCCGGCGACCAGCACGGCTCGAACATCTAGATTCAGTCAGGAACAAAGTTACTTCAACGCTGGGAAGCCCCCTGATAGCCAGTCGCATGTCCGGGGTTGGGAAGGGTCCAACGTACGGTAAAACCCAAAGGGAACCTTGTCAATCTCGGAAAGGGCCAGACGCCTCCTCAGGTTGGGGTCGGTGATGTGTGAATAGTCGTTGTAAAAGTTGTGGAAGGCATTGTTGCCGCCGTAGGTGTGGTGATCGCGGCGCATTGATGCTGCCGGCGGCGGCAGCATCTCGCCGTCGAGAAAGGTGGGCATCGTGGACGAGCGACTGAGCTGTGTCGAGGCGATTCGATTTGATAGATATAGCAAGGACGAGCCCTGTTTGCGGCTACGGAGAACACATGAGGGGGAGCCGGCGCCGACAGAAGAGAACTCGAGACAAGGGCGAGGTTCTCGAACTCAGTGATATGACGATGCGCTGATGTCGGTGATCTTTCGTGGTCTGGTGATGGACGTTGTCGTCGAGCCAGGCAACAGTCTGCTGCGGTTCGTACTCGGGCGCCGGTGGTTCAGGACAAAGAGACAGCTGGGGGATGCCGGCATCGACCGCACGAGCGTCGAAGAGTGTGCCGCGTTCAGGGCCGTACAGGCATCTATGTACGACCAGCGTGTGCCCTGAGCTTGGCGTAAGGCTGAAAGCGCGCAGACGGAGACTTTTGCTTTATCAAGGCGGCGAGCGAGGCGCGGATAGTATACTTCTGGTGCAATGTGTGATGCAAGCCGTCAAGGCAATGGCGAAGGCCGCGATCAAGTAGGCACCTAGGAGCCCGAGTCTGGAGGTACGAGTGCGCCGTACCTGTAAGCCATGGACCGGCCAGAAGCAGGAATCCGGCGCTAGACGGGCAATAGAAGGCCTGGCCACTGGGGACGGAGGCGCTGAGGATTTGGGAGGGTGAGACGAGGCAAAACGCAAGAGTCCTTTGTTTGCTGGAGGAGGGCGACTTGTATGTATGTACTGTACTGTACATGCGGCTGGGTGGGTGGATGGTGGATGGATGGATGGGAGCCCACACACAGCGAGCCGCCACCAGCCCCGGCGACGTGCTGCCAAGGTCGACAGCTGAACGGGCTCGTCTGGCAGGTCAGCGAGCAGCTCGTACGAGGAGCATGATCGGGTTACGTACAAGCAGCCGGGAGGAGTGGGTGAGTCGTGGAGGCCGGCGAGGCGAGTCGTGCCTTTGTCGTATTATGTATGTACTACCTTGGTAGTATCTGCCTGCCCCGGTCTGACGATCCGGGTCTGATGCTGGATAATGGTGGCTGCGCTGGATCGTGGTGTCAATCGATGAACCGGGTCAGCGTCTCAGCGATGCATACATACAGTGAAAGGCGGGCGATAGACAGCTGTTGATGGTTGTGATGATGCCTCGAGCAGCAGAGTTGCAGCCTGAAGAGAGCAGCCCGGCCGTGGTTGTAGGAATACAGTGAAACTTGAAGCGACACCCCCTCCCTCCCCTCTTTCGACAACGGGAAGAATCTACCTATCCATCCATCCTCAGCAGAAAAAGGCTGGGCTGCCCGGGCTTCCAGGCTGCCCCTGTCCAGCAGCCCCGAAGGTGGATCTGCTCGTCTACAGCAGGTACATCCAGCGCCTCCACCGCTGCACGTGCATGGCTGGCCGGTTCTCGAGGGCTTCCAGAACGCCTGAGCAGCGAACCTGAAGCCTCTGCAAGCCCTGTGGCAGCCTGTGCCTGTCGCGGCCACAGCGCTAGCGAGCGCTAAAACAGCGCTGGAACCCCCTCACGGCTTCTGTTGACGATTCTGTCCCTTCGGCTCTGCGCCCATCAGACGCCGGCTCGCCACTAGCCTCCAACCTGTTGCATCACCCGCGTTTGATGTCGAATCGAAGGCTGAGGAGCCCGTTTTTTTATTTCCCTTTTATTCTTCATCTTCCATCCTTTTTTCCCTCGCCTTATCTTTCGGTCGTCTTTCGTCTCCCGCTTTTTATTCCCGGTCTAGTACCTTCATGCAGGAATCACAAAAGTATGTACACCAACACACCATTTTCATCGTGGATTGACTCGCGCACGCCAAGCGCAGTCATTGTGGAGCGGCAACGTGCGAGATTAAATGCTGCGAGAATTGCCGTCGCAGGCCCAGTCAGCCATTCGTGCTCCCCCCATACACCGCCAGAACTCGCCAGAAAACAAAATGTCACAGATTGAGCAGATGGGCGACTCGCGTCAAAGAAAGGCCGATGTCGCGAGATCAGCTTCTCGTACGGAAAGCCGAACGCGGACGGGAATCGATATCGCTGCCAGCGACTCCGTGTCCAGATCACTTGCTGATACTGTACTCGTAACGACCTGCAGGCATCCTGCATGTGCTTTGTTCTGAATGGAGCTGTGCCTCAAAGAGCAAAGAGCTTCCACCGTCGAATCAGCAGCAGTCGGGTTGCATCGACAAAGAGCTCGAGCTGCTGCCCAATGCCCGGATGCAACCCTGAAAGAAACTTGCTTGCTGCCTGCCCTGTCCTGGCCAGGACCGAGAGGGTTCATGCACCTCTCTCTCTCTCTCCATCAGACAGCAAGGATCGTCCCCCTTGCTAGCCACGCCCTACGCCCGCTTGTCGTTTCGTCCGTCCGACGCTTCGCCAGCTCCTCACCACCAAGCCCCGGAGCGACGAGTCGGGACACAGCTGAGAGACAGCTCGTGTTGGTCGTTGGTTACACCCCACGTGGGAGCTGCTGTGGCTTGTGAACTTGGCCGTCTCGCCAGGCTGCGTGCATGCCGCCAGCCTCGAAGCGAGATGCTGCGTGGGGAGTGCAATCGCGAATGAAGTCGACAGTTCGGAGTCTCGAGCCTCAGCGGCGCATACAGTAGGGCAATAGCCAGCTGGACGGGCGGCGGGCAGCTCAAGTTTCAGGGTTCTGCAGCGCATCGTATTATCGTATTGTATCATACGTGAATACTACTACGATGGTGCATCCCTTTTACAGCATCTGATCTGGGCTGCTGGGGTCCCGTCGTGTGCTGGCCGCATACATAGGCAGGCCGTCAGCACTGTGTTGATCAGCCCGGAAGAGGCTCTGCTGTGCCATTCGTATCGACCACCTGCATCTGCATCAAGCGCTTCCAGCTCTGGTCGGGTTCTTTTTGCACTGCTTCCAGCTGTCCGGTTCGTTGGCAACAGAGCGGCGGCAGCGGGATGCTCGATGACATACCTCCCCTGCTTGCTCAGCAAGGTGCCGGTGGGTATGCCGTCGATCGTCGAAGAGCTTTGACTCTGCGCAATCGTCCCAATGAACCTGATGCCGCTCCCACTTACCTGGGTTCCGCTTCCTCTCCTTGAGACGCTTTTGGCAGTCAGAGACCAGCGTCCACTGCCAACAGTGATGCTCATCAATGCCGATGCGTAGAACCATACTATAATGCAAAGGCATCCCGATCGTTTCAAGCGGCTCTCTCACTTCAGATCGGGGCTCCTCAATCCCCGAGCATGAAGTTTCCAAACTGATACCTGACACCGCGGCAATTTGATAGTATCAGCTGGCATCCTTCTGCACAGCTGATGCTCGTAGATTCCTCTGCACTTGTTTTTAAGCTGCCGGCAGGATCTGAACCTTGAGAAAAGCCCGTCTGCTAGTGTCTCTGCATCATCATGCCGCCGTTCAATGCGGTCTTTAGGACAGAGCAGAAACAGACCTCAAATAAGATACTGCGTCATAAATCATCTGCGTCTAATCATATACAGGGTTTTTAGGTATTGTGAATTATGATCTTTCAACTAGTCAATGGTTAACAATCAACAACTCAGAAGATCAAGCGGTCGGGCCAGGCCATTGTCTAAACACCTCAGTCCATCCTCTTTAACAGCGTCTTTGCAAGCCGATGTCGAAATTCATCAAGGTTGTCAAACATTTCCTCTTATTGAGAGCTTTGTGAGCTCGCCGCTTTGCTAGGTAAGCCCCCATGGACTGACGAAAGGCATGCAAACGCCATATTGATTCTATATCTACTTAATTGATGGGTGCTTACCCTATCTCTAGTTCTCATGATCCTGGTCGAAATTTCAGGCTTCGCGTTTATGAGAGGAGTTTTGATGTTGCTTCTTATGGGTCCCTTGGTTAGGATATCGAATCTATTGCAAAGTAATGCCTGAAGAAGTTCTAAATTAGAAGTAGTAGTTACATATCGCATTCATGTTTCTGAATGCAGTTCACTTCTTCACTGTCAAGATACCTCATGCTCACAGCTCCCACCAACCAGCAGTGTACCACTACAATGTACGACCCAAATGCGCTTCTGTCAGCTTCATAGAGTTTGGCACAGGTATGTCTCGATACAGCTAAAGAAGAATTCCATTGCATTCACATCTACATATACACCTACAGGCGACCTGTTGCGAGCTTTTGGCTCAACCCGGAACTCTCCTCAAATCCGCCCCCACGCCACACTACCCAACCCACGATATCCACTGCCTGCTCATTTCTATATTTGGACTAGCGTCCCAGACTCGCGAAGCCATCACGACCAGATATCAAGCTCGCCTGCTCGTCTTCCCCTTCGTTCGATTGCCCATAGAGCTCACGGCATAGTGTGGTATGTGGGCAACTAAGCATTCACACATATTATGGCTTGAGCCATACACTTCATATCACTTGTGACAAGATGGATAGAAAGCCAGCATGCCACGAAAGCAAATTGGTACCGCCTAGTATTGCTCGTCAAGATTTTTTTACCCACGGCGTCATATGAGCCCATATACGACCGCCTATATACACGACAGCGGAATGAATACCACCGTTACCATGCAGTAATGTCTTCCACCTCGGCTTCACCAAACGTGCTCGACTTGGTCAGCTGTCCCACACCGACCTCCTCAGGAGCGTTACCCTCGACGGACATGATGTCGGGCAGAATCTCCTTCAGAAACTCCAGCACGTAGCGGTTAACCTGCTCAAACTGCAGCAAGAAGGCGTCGTGGCCCTCGGAGCTGTCGATCCGCTCCAGCCGCGCGTTCTTGACGTGCTTCGCAATCTCCTCCTGTTCAGCAAACGTGAACAGCCCGTCGCTCTCGATGCCAAGGACAAGCATGGGCTGCTCAATGAGCGCAAGAGCCTCGGGGATCGACGCCGCGCGGTCCCTGGACACATCGTGCGTGTCGAGCTTCCGCGTCATGGCAATGTAGCAGTTGCTGTCGAACCGCTTGACAAACTTTTTGCCCTGATAGCGCAGATACGACTGTGCAGAAAAGTACGTCGACGTGGGAATCTTTTCGCCTCCCGTCAGACTCTCCTCTTGGTCATTTCCAGGGCCATGGAACTGCGGATCAGCGTTATCGGCTGACCGCGAGCCCGGGCTGCTGGTTCCGGAGCCGGCCTGGCTGTTTTTGCGCGAGACCGATGTCCGCTTGACGTTGTGGCCGTCGTTGTGGATGTGAAAGTGCGCTTCCGAAGGCGTGCTTGGACGCGGACGCTCTCGAATCGTCTGCACCTTGGAAGGGTCGGGAATGTTGCGCCCAAACCGGGACTCGAACGAGTTCCGGCTGCGGTAGGTGAGTAGGGCAGACATGCGAGCCGCGCCGAGGCCAGTCACGGGCGGATCGTCAAAGGAGTAGTAGCCGTCGTCATACTTTGGGTCGGCGTAGATGCTCTGGCGTTGAGCCTCGCCCCAGCTGATGCCCCATGCGCTGTGCCGGCTGGACGTGGCAATTGGCACGACGCAACGCACGTAGTCCTTGCCAAAGTATGCCCACTCCAACACGAACATGCCTCCGAGCGAACCACCGATCACAGCAGCCACTTGCTTCACGCCCAAGTCATCTAGAATGAGCTTGTGCAGGCTGGGTCCAGGTCAGCCCATCTGTGCCGTGATGACTGGCGGCGGGGGGGAAGAGGGGAGCAGATATAGGGGGGCGTCTTACTTCACGTCGTCTCTGATCGTCGTGAGAGGAAACTCGGGCCCATAGCGACCGTTCTTTGGATCGCCATCCTTGGCCGTGACGGGACTTGCGGTTCCGTAGGGGCTTCCCAGGCTGTTCATGCACACAATGAAGAATCTCGACGTGTCAAAAGCCCTGCCTGGGCCACCGAGCAAGGGACCCCACCAGTCGCTCACATCAGCGCTGCCGGTCAGGGCATGGCAGATGACCATGGCATTGTCGCCAGTTGGCGAGAGTTTGCCTCGTGTGGTGTAGGCGACAGGAACATTGTGTAGCGTGACTCCGGATTCGAGAGTGAATTCCGGCACAATGGCTATTTGCTGATCGGGGATGAGAGCCGCAAAGGGGTTCTCGGGTTGCGATTGGATTCTTTCTTGCAGGTATTCAGCCACCACTCTTGTCAAAGTTGTGATATAGAAGTGGGAATGGAGGAGAATGCTATGGCAACAGCCTAAGCCAGTTGGGGGCCGGGATGCGTTGAGGGGAGAAGTTGGGAATAAGAGACAATGGAGCCCCTTGATTAGGCCAATTGAGGAGAGAATGTCGCTTGAATAAGGAAGACAACTATGGAGTGCAAGAGAGCATCACAGTACTGACCGTATTTGTATATGGCTTTGCCATTGGCGCCTGTTGTCTCGCTCATCTTGAGAGTTGCGAGTTGCCAATTGTTTGCTGAGAGTCTGGCCTCCGAGAACGGAGTTGCAGCGCAAGCAGTGAGGATGGAATCCCCGGCAGCTGAAACAACGGCAAGGACAATGCGACAATGCAACGACAAGGCTGAAATCGAACCACCCTATGGTTGCACAACAGCAAATGGTGAGTGAAAAGTGAATCAGAGCAGAATTAGCTCAGTGCAAAGTGAATCAAAGGTCATGTGTGGAGGTTGAGAATGTCGCCATTCTGCCCCCCCGGTTCGTTCAAAGACGCTTGATCACTGCCTTATCTCTACCTATCGCGGCGCGTTAGTCAGCGACTTGGTGACTTGACGCACCAATCACGTGAGCCAGCGCAAGCACCGAGCTTCGGGTACCTCGTGCTCCCTACAGCGCGCGCCTGCAGGCCGTGTACCTCCTGTGCGCCGAGTCGCCGGGCGCAAGGCTGGCCTGGTCCGTGCACAACTGCTTTCGCATCGTCACGACCTTCACGCGGAGCCTCTCCAGACTTTGGTTTTGATTCGACGCTGCAGCTTTTCCAGCGTCAATCTCCAGCCTCGACACGCCGGTCCCGTACGGCGCTGCTCTCACCCACAGAAGCTCGCCTTGGCTCGACTCGTCTTTATCGAATTGATCTTTATCTATTTCCGTAGGCCTTTTGGCCTTCTTCTTGTTTACCCTTTGTTTGCTTGTTGAGCCTTCCACTCTTTTTTTGCCTCCCGCATTTCTGTCGCAGCCAGCTACGGCCCAGCTCCCAGCGCTCGCAACTTCGCCCAGGTCACCGCGTGATCGCCTCGCCTCTCTTCAAAGGATTCCACGCAGAAGCACGCAGATGATCTGATTAAGCTGCCGCTAATGGTATAGCACGCGCCATCCCTCGCAGCATCTTCGAGCGTCATGCCCGCGAAGCGAAAGCGACTTGATCGATCTTCAGGCGAAGGAGGCAGACCATCGCCGCATAATCCGGGCGACGCAGCTCTTGCGCTCCACGAACGAGACGACAGCATGAACCAAATGAACCAGGGTCAGGGTCAGGGCCAAGGCAGAGGCCGAGGCCGGGGAGGCCATCGGGGGGTCGATCGGAGGAACTCGTCGCGTGTCCAGAACGGTCGTGGTGGTCCTCAAACCCATCAGCAGAACCAAAACCAACCCCAGTTCCAGAACCAAGGCCCGAGCCATGCCCAAGCCCAGGCTCAGGGCCAGAGCCAGCCTCCCGCTTCGCGAAGGCCCAGCTCCTCCTCCCAGCCGACACCGCAGCCCTCTCCAGCACCTCGAGGAGCGCCCAACCCACCTCCAGTAACCAAACCACCGCCGCCTGCCTTCTCGCGGCCTCCGCCAGCTTCACCTCCACCAACTAATGTTTCTCCCGCCGAATCTACATCAGAAACCGCCCCTCCCACAGGATCGAAGTATCACTATGATAATCTCACAGAGGAAAAGATCCGGTCATGGGCTGAACGAGGGCGTGAAGAGATTGTTCGGCATGGCGTGCAGTCGCGAGAAGACGTCGACATCACGGAACTGTCCAGCTTGTTCCAGGAGTTTATTTATGCGGTTGTTGAGAACAGGCTGGATGCCACAGATGCTGGAACGTGTGTCAAGGAGATTTTGGGGGACGAAACGACAGAGGTTACTAAGGATTTCTATGTCGCTCCTCACACGCTACTCCTCGACTCGCTGGCTATTGTCATGGACAACCAGCCCGATTTATACCGCCCGGCTCTTCGCAACTTCCTCATTGCCACCGAAGTCTCTCCCGCGCTGATGCGACAAGTGCTTGATGCGCCTATACTTCAGCAGCTTGGCCTCATCAGAGATACCTTTGCTAGACTTGGTGTCAGGCAGGCGACAAACCTGTTGTACCGTCAAGCAAACTACAACCTTTTACGAGAGGAGACGGAGGGATACTCAAAGCTCGTCACCGAAATCTTCACAACGAGCAGCATACCGTCACCGTCGCCGGATCTTGCAGAACAGACGTTTGAGAGGGTCAAGGCTCTGATTGGAACATTCGACCTGGACGTCGGGCGAGTCCTCGACGTCACTCTCGATGTTGCTGCTGCCGTTCTCATAAAGCAGTTCAAGTTCTTCGTCAAGTTCCTGCGAATCAGCTCTTGGTGGCCGCGCTCGCATCTTATCCTCAGCTCCTCGGCCCATGCCGTCGGCGGCTTGCCAACCTGGGCTCAGCCGGATTATCCACATTGGAACACGACCGCAGAAGACGAGGAGATCAATGCACAGCACAGACTTGCTCGAGACGTTGCCTTCTGGGCTCGAGCACGGGAGGTGCATCTGGCAGCGTTCTTTGAACTCGGGGGCAGGGAGGTATCTAATCTGACGGCCTATCGACCGAAGCTCGCCAACGGCAGCAACTCGAGCGAATTACCTTCTGATCTTGATCAACAATGGATCGAAATTACCAAAACCCTTCCGCCACCCGGCAACAAGGTTGCTGCGCAGCTTCTGGGCTTCAAGCTCCTCTTCTACTACAGCGATCTGCGGGACCCGACCGATGTTCTCCCCGCCAATCTGCTCTACTTGGCGGCTCTCCTCATCAAAGTCGGCTTCATCTCCCTCGCCGACCTCTACCCTCACCTTTCACCCCCGGATGAAGCGATGGAGCGCGTTCGCGAGGAGCAGATGAAGGTCCTAGAGAAGGAAGAGAGAGCGTCCCGGGGAGGCCCTATGAATGCGCTACTCATGGCCGGCGTTCTTCCCCAAGGCGACGACGATAACCCTGTGTCTTCCAACGTCCCCCGACGAGAACTACCGAAAAAGGTGGAACCCGAGCAGAAGCCAGCCACCACAGAAGCGGCCGAGGACAAGAAGCCTCTCCCGGAGCCCATGGAGCAGAAAGTGAGGCTCCTCGACCAGCTTCTCACCATTGGCGCCATCCCAGAGTCGTTGTTTATCCTTGGGAAGTTCCCGTGGATTCCAGAGACGTTCCCAGACATTCTATCCCGAATTCACCGCATATTACATGTCTCGATGGAGAAGGTATTCAGCGAAAGCCGCCCAAGGCCTGTTGGTAGCGCCGAATGTCCAGCCAAGGAGATATTTTCTGCAGACCAAACGGGTGTCGCCAAAGGCAGTGTCCGGCTCGTCAGGCCGCCCGTCAAGAAGATATGGCGGTGGCCCTATCCTGACAAGTTTGACACGAACGAAAGCCAGAATTATCGATTCTACTGGGACGAATGGGCCGATAACATCCCCGTCTGTCAAACCGTGGACGATATCTTTACCCTCTGCAACACCTTCCTCAACATCTCCGGTGTCAATATCGGCAAAGACGAAACTCTGCTTTCCAAGCTGGCCAGTATTGGAGCAAAAAGCTTGACCGAGGATACATCCGAGTCGAACTATGCTCGCTGGCATGACCTTCTACGCAGGCTCCTCGTGCCGGCGCTTAGCCACACCAAGGCCAATGTGGCAGTGGTCAACGCAGTGTGGGAATTACTCCGTCGATATCCGCTGACAACACGATACTCGATATACGCGGAGTGGTTTGAGGGACAGATCTCTCGGCTGCCGGCCATGCGATCGGCATTTGCTCGTGCAACTGCAGAAACGCGAGGAACGATGAAGCGGTTGTCTCTCACCAACATCAGCGAGATGGCCAAGCAGCTGGCCAAGACCAGTTATTCTTCTCCTGGTATCGTGTTCCGAGTTGCTTTCGAGCAGCTCGAGTCGTACCCGAACCTGATCGAAGGCTTTGTCGAATGCGCCAAATACTTCACCGACCTCTCCTATGACGTCCTGGTCTGGTCTCTGATGAATTCCCTGGGCAAATCCCGAAGCCGCACACAGGCCGAGCATGCCCTCACGACAAGCAAGTGGCTTCAGGCCCTCTCGAGGTTCTCTGGCAAAATCTTCAAACGCTACTCGGCCATCAATCCTATTCCCGTTCTCCAATACGTTAATGACCAACTCCAGCGCGGCAATTCAACCGATCTGATCATTCTGAAAGAGTTCGTCAATTCCATGGGCGGCATCGTCGACTCTGTCGACTTCAACGACGCCCAGATCCTATCAATGGCTGGCGGAGAACGACTGCGTCGTCAAACGCTGATCCGTGGCCAGGATAAACGCTTTGACAGTGTTAGGAGCTCAAAGCGACTCATCCAGGCCCTCACGGACTCGAAGCTTGCCGCCCGGCTGCTTCTCAACCTCGCGCAGTATCGCCAGTCAGCTATATACAAGGTCCCCGAAGACGAAGCTCACGTCAAGTACTTGTCGGCCCTGGTCGATGATTCCCATCAGATACTGGTGTTGTATCTCGACTTCATCTGGAGCAATCTGGAACCTTCGGCATTCGACGCTTTGGTCCCCTCCATCAACGAGCTGATTAGTTCCTACGGATTGGACACAAGCATCGCTTTCCTGATTGGACGCGCCAGCCTGTCTCACCGACTGTATCCTTGGGGTCAGAAGGAGGCAGAAACTGCAAAAGAGAACACTCAATCTACGCAACAGGAGGCTACTGACAAGGAGGGAGATGTATCTATGAGCGATGAGCCCAAGGATAAATCGGGTGTGGCTGCTTCTACAAACGATGAGCAGGTGGGAACTGATAATCCTTCAACTGGCCCGCGTGCCGCAGCTGATACGAAACACAAGCAGAAATCGGACGATGCGACGTTGACGCTCGCGCCTCTGCAACCCATTGTCGAGGTGCTCAAACAGACCGTGCGGCCCGAGGTCTGGCAAAAGATCAACCCTGAACTCTATGCTGTCTTTTGGGCCCTGCAGCTCGGCGATGTTTTCTGCCCCGAGGAAATGTACAAGGAAGAAAAAGACCGTCTCGAGAGCGAAGGTCAAGCCATCCTCAGGGATCGATCGGACATGTCTCGCAGAGGCCAAGAGCGAAAGAATGAAAAGAGACAGGAACTCTTGAAACAGCAGCTCAGCCTCTCGATGGAGCTCAAGGAACACCGCCAGCGAAAAGCGAAATGGATGGAGTGCTTGGCCGAGCAGGTCCAATCGCTTTGTCCCGACCCCAAGATCAAGCCCGATAGCCTGTCAGACATTCTTCTGGAGCAGTGCTTCCTCCCTAGGGCCCTTTTATCGCCAGCAGACGCCGAGTATACCTACAAGTTCATCATAATGCTGCATGAATCGAGAGCGCCCAATTTCAAGCTCATGTCCCTCTACGATCGACTCTTCAACGCCAACCGGCTGCGGTCTCTCGTCTTCACCAGCTCCGTCAGGGAGGCCGAGTACCTCGGCCGATTCCTCAAGCTGATCCTCCGAGACCTGTCCAGATGGCACAAGAATGAGCCGACTGAAAAGGGCAGGCCAAGCAAAGACCAGCCACGTCTGGGCGCATACGACAAGGAAGGAAAGGGACCTAGTGACCGGCCATATCTCGGATTCGCTGTCAGTCTCAAGGAGGACGGAGCACCGGATACTTTGATGGAGCACGCTCAGTTCAAAGATCTCCTGTTCCGCTGGCATAAGAACTTGAATACAGCGCTCAAGAGTTGCTTGGCTGGGACGGAGTGGATGCACATCAGGAACGCCCTTACCGTTCTCAAGGCCGTCCTGGATTACTTCCCTGCCATTGATTTCATGGCCACCCAGTTCACCGCACAGCTTCAGAAGATTACCAAGCAAGAAGCTGCATCCAAGACAGCAGCCGAGAATGAGGAGGGCCACAGAGTGGACTTGTCTGTGGCCGCCCAGGGAGCCATGTCGGAGTTGCAGAAGCGAAAGTCGAAATGGGTTATGGTCCAGGCTTTCCGACCCAATGCAGTGAGTCCTCACCTTTTGCATTCACAGCATGTGCAAGGCGCCGTGACTAAAACTATCGAATCAAACAAGGGCGGCGCTCCTCAATCCGATGCTGATAAATCGGCTGCGTCGAATTTGCGTGCTACGGCTTCTGATTTCCAGCCACAGACAACGAGGTACTTTTACTCACATGTCCCCCAGGCTTTGCCTCCTACTAACAGCCAACGCTACAGATCACCTGCAAACAGACCCCCTACGGCTGAGAAAGAAGATGGAGAAGTTCCAGATGGAAAAGCCCAGCCAACCTCTGCCATGTCAAAGGACACCTTACCTGTTAAGCCGTCCGGTCCTAAACGAGACGTCTCCATGTCTCGAGATGATGGGCCTCCACGCTCATCTACTCCCATGGGCGGTCAAGGTTCAGGTCCTCATGGTTCAAGAAACGACACTCGCCCCCACACTCTCCCCGACAGGCCCGCACACAACCTTCCCACGCGACCCGATGTTCCTATACCGAGCCACTTTACCCCAGAACGTTATCCGCAGAGTCGAGGACATGACCGTCGCGATGCGAGAGACGGCAGGGATAGTCACAGAGTGCGTGACAGCCGAGATCCACGAGAGTCTTGGGAAAGTCGTGACCCTAGAGAGGGCAAAGACCACCGTGACACGAGGGATCCTCGCGAAACCCGAGCTATGGAGGTGGACAGACCTGATCGCTCTCGCGAATACCTGGACCGCCGTGGAAACGACATGGCGCCCCGCGACGCTGGCCCGACAGACCTGCCGCCTCGCCCGAGACAACAGGAAAGAGAGTGGATGCCAAGAGACTCCTGGACAAACAGACCCCAGGACCGATTGGGCGACATGCCCTCTCAGACACCTTCGGCTCCTCCCGGCCCTGCTGATGCACCCGAGCCAGCCATGAACCCCCAGAGGGCGGCATTGTTCGCCCAGGATGACGGGGACCGACCGCGACGAGGCCCGGAGCCAGATCGAGGACCCCGCAGCCGACGACCCGGGCCGCAGGATTCGATGGAATCGATCAACCCGGAGCGCGCTGCATTGATTGACGAACGCGATGATGCTGCGCATGGGCGGTTGAGAGAAGACGTTCGAGAGAGAGGAGGACCTAGGGCGCAGTCTCCTCGGCGCAGCGGCGGACGATATGGGCACGAGCATGGACCCCCGTCTGGACCCTACGAGGATCGGCACGGGCACCCCTTCCCGCAAGATGTCATGCGGCCTACCGGACGAACTGCCCGCGAACGTTCACCACCCGGTGGAGAGAGCTATCGCGGCAGCAAGGGCATGGAGCGCGACGGGGAGAGAGCCCATATGGACAAGATGCGGGATGCCTCTTCTTCTTCAGGCTTCCACAGATCAGCGCTCGGACAGGAGGTAGAGCACAGGCCTCCTTATCAAGATCAAAACTACGGACGGCTCAATCCGGTGCCAGCCGCTACTAGTACTCCGGATATTCCTCTCGGTCCCCGTGGGCGAGGCCGGGGTACAGCAAGGAACAATCCACCAGGGCCGCTTCCCGCGATGCCAAGTCGGCCCGACAGTCGATATGGAGTTTCCGAGGCGTCTCGACCACCCTCGCAAGAAAGGCACCCCCCTTCAGGTCCTGCATCCGGCCGTGGCCGTCGTGGCTATGAGCCCGGCGGTAACAGCACTGGGCCGTCGGCAGCTCCCTCTGGAGCTCCAGGCGGACCACATCCCGATAGGATGAGGAACTTTGGCGGCGGCGGCGGCGGCGGCGGCGCACAGGAGAATACACCTGGTGGCCAAGGCCAAGGCAGCAGCACAGCGGCATCGTCTGGAGTGCACCCCGATCGACTTGCGCAAATGGGCGGCCCCGGATCCAACGCTCCGCCACCGCCTCCCCCACCTCCAGGACCTCCGCCGTATGGGCATGGCAACGGACCCGTGCGTCACTCCATGTCTTCCTCTGGCAATGACAGGCCGGGACCTAGGTCGTCCGCCGGCGCTCTCCCGTTGGAGCCTGCTGTGCCTACTGGCCCTGCTTCCTCTGGCGACAGGTCGTCAAGATCTGGTGGCGGGAGAAGACAGCTGGCAGGCATCAATAACATGCTTCAGCAGGCTCAGGCGGCCATGCCGAATGAAGGACGCCCAAGCGGCCCCCGTGTCAACCCTCCCCGACAGATGCTCGGCCACTCGGACGCTCAAGTTTTGGCGGGAGGAGACATGACGCCATCCGTGCCTGACCGCTCAGATGCACAGTGGCATGAATCATCAGCCCGGAGCGGTCCCCCGAATGGGGATGACGGGCCAGGGCGTGGAGAGCACGACCGGAGCCGACGAGATCGCGGCGATGGCCGAAACGACCGATCCAAGCGGTCATCGCGCCGAAGCAGCCGCGAACGAGAGAGAGACGGCAAGGAGCACAGCGAGCACCGTGATCGACGATCCATGGCTGGTGGTGTAGAGGGCGCGACCCGAGAGGATAGGGATGCTCGCAGGTCGGCCCGAGATGGCGGATCGAGAGACGCACCAGCAGCGCCGAGCAGCGGCCGCGAGTCGCGGCACAGGGGCGAGGGCGGAATGGGAGCCAGGGGCGGGGACGAGCGCAGCGGCAACAGGAGCAACCGAGGGACGACGAGGGACGGAGCACAGCGTACGGAGGAGCAGCGGAGGGAGCATAGAGATGACCGAGGACGCAAGAGGAGAGGCGAAGAAGCCGACGGAGCCTTGTCAAGCGATCGTGAGAAGCGAGCACGACGGTGATCCGGAGACTGCGGGAACGGAAGCGACGAACCTGCACATGGCATCGTTTGCCGAACAAAGACTAGGTAGTCTGGATAGCCAGGGGAGGAGGTCAAACATTTGTTGTTGATACGACCGGCCTTTGGATCCAAGATTGTTGTTGTTGTTGTTGTCTTTGGAGAGGATGGGAGCTTATTCGCCCTTTTCACCCACGCTGCGATCGATTTTCAGAAATTGTCAGATACGGAGCTACATGTTCTTCTCTTAACGCTTGTCTTATTACAATCTATTCTTTGTCCTTTTTTACGACAGCTGGTACGGCCGAATGGAATCGATTCAGCAATCATGATGCAGATGGCATCTTATCATCTTTTCCGCCTACTACGTGCCTACGTACCTACCTAGGTACCTACCTACCTTTTACCTACGCCTGCCTTTCCGGTCCTTATAATACCGTGAGAAGGTCAGCTTCGAGCCTCGAACCAAGATTCCTTGTATCAAATAAGTGTATCAATATTGCCGTTCCGGCGCAACAGATAAGTGCAGAAAGATGAACGCAAAGAAAAGGGGAGGGGGATGAAGCGAAAGAGGAATTATACCGACAGTCGATGCGATCATTTGCGCCATGGTTTTTACGACTTTTTACTACCTTGTCTCTGGTTTGATGAATTATGACGCCCGCCATGTACGATAATGTAAAATCTGAAGGAAGAAAACAAATCGGGACAGAGGAAAGAAGAAATGGAAGCTAGAATAGATGGAATCTTTGTACGGGTATATCAAGTCCTACCAAGGTAGTGAGGGGGGTTGGGGACAAGTGCTGGATGGCATTTGTCCTACCCTTAACAATGAAACCCTTTATAAATCAGCATATGTTGAAATTTGACTACATAAGTACAGGGAGAAGAGCAACTTGAATGTATAGAGTAAAGGTTGTATAAGCAGGCCATACCGTACCTTGTGGTGGTTCTTAGTAAGTGCTATTTCTGGCTACCTTACATGTACCTTAATACTGCATGGACAAGTGTCCGTCAGTGAGGAGGAGGCTGTACATACATGTGGCGACCAACATGATAAGATGGATTAGGATGGCGTCAGAAGTCTATTTTTTTTTCAAAGCAGCTGTGCTCCAAAGTTCAGTATAGACATTCCTATTCAAGACTCATCATTTATTACCTTCTTTGCGAATGATTGATGGATCAGTAGTATAACAAATCGCAGACAAACATGTCATCATCGTACTTTTGACTTGGAGCCATATGATAGGGCGGCAAGCAGCGGACAAAATAAACCAACCTATAACCATACTCGTACATGTAGTTGGAGGGAGGGGAGTGTGCATGTGAAAGAAGAGGGCTGTGTCAGATCAGATGTGGCTTGCTTGGAACGCAAAAAAAAAAAGGCATCTTGGCGCATGATGCAAGATTGCCGATTTTCCGGGCGGGAAGAATTGGGAGGAAGGGCGGGGGGTTGGATGATGACATTTCTCTGGATGTTTTTTTCCTTTGAAAGGGGTGTCGGGTGTGGGCGCGTATTTGTCTCTGGTGTTGAGGGTTTATACTATACTATGGAAAGGAAGTTTGGCGAGGGTGTTTAAAAAACCAGAAGAGGTTGTTGATTAGCTGAGCAAATGTGCAAGGTAGACTATGTCGTATAATGATAAATTAGCATTACATAGTTAGGCTTTTCAGAATATTTATTCCGACTATGTCTGTGGTTTGGCTGGATGCTCCGAGATGGAGGAGATTGGATTTTTGATTGAGTGATCAATGCGGGCAACCCGGGTTTCGGGGTCGGGCGTTATTCGCGAACCTTGTGGGAAGGGGGGGGTCCTGGCCAAGAGGTGCACTCTCTTATTTGTCTTTTCTGCGGAGAGAGAAAGAAATCATTTGCCCTGCCTTGAAGTGATTTGTTTGCTCCAGCTTGGGTCGGAAGCATTTCCGTTTGGCATCATGAGTCAATGGGCTTCTTTTGTTGGCTTGCTTTGTGATGATGCTGCCAGAGTCCAATACCTCCAGCTAGAGCATGCAGACAGAGGGGCGTGTGCGTAAGAGAATTTAGAGTACGTGTACCGAAAAGTACATGTAAAGAAGAAGAAAAATCCACAGTGACGTGACGCCGTTTGCGCATCGTTATTCAAGGGAAGCCCCTGAAAGGGAGTTTCGGCTGGTGACCAAGGTGCTATTTAGGGGCAGTGGCATAAGGTAAGGTACATGTAGCTTGTAGGTAAGGTACTTTGGGGCTCGAATTGCAGGTCCTGCTGTGGATGGGGGATCTGCAGAGGAGCGGGATGGAGCTGGGTTCAAGTTTGAAAGGCGGTGATCGCTATGAAAGGCAGTATGTAGTATGGACAAGAAAAGTTCGAGAGTACTATTTGTATCGTGAGTTGCTGGATCAAGATGAATGAGATGAATGAGTGAGTGAGTAAATGCATGTACATACATGTCGAAATGAGGCGCATTTTCATGACGCGCGTTCCTGGGCTGGGCTTGGCTTGGCATGCCTTGTATTTAAATAATAAACGGGTGCGGGTTACGTGATAGTAAGGTACATGTATGTATGGATTGATGTCTGTCTATTCCGCTGCTCGTCCGCACTCCGATCTCCGGGTCCGAAGTGCTAAAGACGTGCAGGACTGGGCTTGGTCCGATTCAAGTTAGCAAAGAAAGGGAGATGCATTCACTAGTCGAGCGGGAGGGAGGCCGCCTTTTGACGAGGGTATCTTCATCTTGTTGTCTTTAGCATCCAATGCGCCTTGTGTGGATATGCAGATACGGTATGTAGTCAGACATGGTCGATAGGCGAGCAACGCTCAAACACCTTGGGGTGGCCAACACCCGCAGTGTTACAGCCCATCTTCGTGGCCTTGCTATGACTAGGTAGTAGCAGCACCTAAAGAAAGTTCGTCACGGCAACTATGAAACGAGGCGTTGATTGGGAGAGAGAGGGAGAGAGAGAGCGGGAGAAGAAGGACAGACACTCAGCCTCCCACCCCCCTGCCACACAATCGCCAATCACGAGCCGCTGGGCGACGCGGCGATGGAGACGCAGCCCGTCCATGTGAAACGGCCTGGCCTTTTTTTTCTTCTTCTGCGGTTTTGCTACAGATACTACACTTGGGCGCAGCATGACAGACGAATGCTTGACGCGGCCCAAGTTACGAGCTTCATCTGTGAGAGGATGTCTTGTTTACGAGTACGTGTATCTTAGGACAGTACATGCAATCATTAATACGTGCATGTCTGAAAAGGGCAGCAAGATGCGGGAGGACTCCATCCAGGTGCAAGTCGAGTCTAGGTAAGGTACCTACCTTGATCCACGAGGGCGTCACATGAATGTCCAACGGTCCCCCATGCCCTGAGTTACAGGCACCACCCGCTACAGCCACCCGCTACAGCCACCCGCCAAGCGGCCTTTCAGCGGCTATCCAAAGCCCCCGACACTCCGACTTTTAGCGCTCTCCTACCTCCTACTGGAACGAGGCAGCCTACTTAGTAGGTAGGTACCTAGAAAATGACAGCCCGGGCAGCCTTTGCATAGGTACATGTCCTTTTTACTCTGCTCACCCCCCCCCTCCCCTGCCTGGTCGGGGTCCCTTTCTCTACCTCTCTCTCACCTCGTTCTTCTTTTTCTGCACCTCTCTTCTTTTGTCTCTCCTCTTCCCGGATCCCTGTCCGCACTTTGTTCTGCTTCTTATTTCTCTAGTCCAGTCGATCGCTCTCGCTGCCCGTCTTTTTACCCACTCGCGACATTCCTTTCCATTCCTTTTTCTCCTCTTGTTTTCGATTTTCGCTCTTCACCCTTTGCCTTTCCATTCGCTCCATCTTCTCTCCATTCTCTGCTTCGCCGCTGCCAGAGGGTCACGACGAGACACCTTCTGTGCCGCTTCTCCTATACGAGGCACGACGGGCTGGCTTCGTTTCCAATACGAACACATTCCCGACCCAGGCTGGATCCGACCAAATCGACCCAGAATTCGAAGCCCCGGGGTTTCCGCGACCGAGAGAAGGGAGGAGTGTGTCGAGACGCACAGGGAGGAGGAGAAGAGCTTTTGCGGGCGACTGTCGACGGATCCTCAGCTGCGCGCCCCTTGTCCCACGACGGCCGACGACACAGCCCTTTGTTCGCATGATCCAGGAGGAGTCGGTCGCACGCTGTTGAACGCATCGCCGGGCGAAACCATCCACCGAGACGACGAGTTGATTCTGCGCGCACGTCGCTGGCCACAGAGCTGGCTATTGCCCCCCTCGGAGGGCTCCCATACGAACCACGACTGACCGGCCTCGACGCCAAACCGCCATCATGAACCTCACGTGCAACTCGACGTTGGAGGAGATGAGGAGTATGTCTCTCTTGCGCCGCCATGCGTCTTCCGTCGTCCCCCTTTTCTCCGCGACGACAGCCCGGATTCGTTGCACAAGACTAACGCTCCCGCAGTCTCTCCGGGATCCGAGATCAAGATCGCCGGGCCTCTCAACTTCCACGACCTCGCCCGCGTCATCGCCGCCGGGTCCACGCTCATCGCCGTCGTGCTGAGTCTCTATCTCATCTTCATGCACGCCACGCATTACACACAGCCCAAGGAGCAGCGACAGTGAGCATGCCGGAACAATTTGTCTTTGACGCATCAATAGCACACATCCGGCTAACCTCGGCAGCATCATCCGCATCCTCTTCATGGTCCCCGTCTACGCCATCTCCTCGTACATGCAGCTGGAGTGGTACTGGCGCGCCACCTACTTCTCCGTCATCTCCGACTGCTACGAGGCCTTTGCCATTGCCTCCTTCTTCGGCCTCATCTGCCACTACTGCGCGCCCGACCTGCATACGCAAAAGGAGTTCTTCCGAGGCCTTCGCCCGATCCAGGGCTGGGTCATGCCCATCAACTGGTTCGCCAAGTGCTGCGGCGGCGATCGCGGCCCCTGGCGCACGCCCAAGAGCGGCCTGACCTGGTTCAACATCATCTGGATCGGCGTGTACCAGTACTGCTTCATCCGCGTTGCCATGACCGTGACGGCCGTCCTGACCGAGCACTATGGGCGCTACTGCGAGAGCTCCAACTCTCCCGTCTTTGCTCACATCTGGGTAAGTAACCAGCACTCTGGCCCCTTCGTACATGATGGCACAAAGAGCTATCTGTCTCTAGCATCTCGGAAGCGTCTAACATGACTAGGTCCTCGTCATCAACGCCCTGTCCGTCACCATCGCCATGTACTGCCTCATCCAGTTCTACATTCAGCTTGCCAAGCCCCTTTCCGAGCACAAGCTGTTCCTCAAGATTCTCGCCATCAAGCTCGTCGTCTTCCTGTCCTTTTGGCAGGCCTCGGCCATTTCCGTCGGCACATCGACGCTCAAGATTGTCAAGCCTGGCGAGGTCCTTGCCTATCCGGATCTCAAGGTGGGCATCCCAGCCCTGCTGCTGTGCGTCGAAATGGCCATCTTTTCCTGCCTGCACATCTGGGCCTTCCCCTATCAAGTCTACCGCCGCGGCGCCGCCTCGTCCTTTTACCCGAGCCCCGATGCGTCCAAGGGCACCATTGGACTGGAGAAGCCTGTTCTGCCCAACCGCGGCGGCTTCCTCGGCCTGCGGGCGCTGTGGGATGCCATGAACCTGTGGGACCTGGTCAAGGCCTTTGTGCGAGGCATGCGCTGGCTCTTCTGCGGCATCAAGAGGCGCAAGGAGGACGTCAGCTACAAGCTGGGCACCGCCAACGACGAGGCGCTGAGCCTGAGTAACCTCCACGAGCCCAAGCCCGGCCAGGACGCATACAATCCCGCTTTCGAGGACCCCACGGCCACCGCGTACCACGGCGTCGGCGGAGGCGGCGTCATGTCCCCGATCGGCGACGAGAGGGTCGGCCTGATCTACAACGCGCAGCCCAACCCCGACTCGAGCATGGGCGCGTCACCGCCGTCAGCGTACGGCCAGCAGCACCTACAACACGCGCAAGCATATTCATACGATCCGCCCCCATATGGCGGCGCTGCGCACGCGCAGTCACCCTACCACTCATACGATCAGTCGCCCCCACAGCGACCATTGCGGCCGTCGGAGCAATACAACCAAGGAGATTGGAGACAAGGTTGAAGAAATTAGACGAAAGATGATCTTTTTTCCGTCTAAAGAAGAAACACTTAGAGAAAAGGAGGATGAAGTCTCGTTCCATTACTACAATCACGACGGCTGTCTTGTTTACGATACCAACGGTAGGGAGGGCGCACAGGTGGCTGAAGGTTCTTTTTTTTTTTTTGCTTCTTTTTCTTGTCATCTTGCGCATCTTGTTTTGCATCTGCGCTTACGCATTTGTTTTTTTTCGAAACCCCACCCCATCTGAAAGGAGAAGAAGAGGGTGATATCCCGATATCATGGGCATTTTTTTTCCCCACTGCTTTGCGCATTTTCCTTCTTTGACTTAAAAATTGATCATTTTGTTGTTCGGCTCGAGGGGGGAGGGGGTCATGGGTCAGCGAGCGGGCACGCCTGTACATAGACTGGGTAAATCAGACATAGAGGAAGAATGAAAGAAGAGAGAGAGAGAGAGAGAGAGACAAAGAAGATATTTTGAATGGCAAGGATGGACAAATATGTGATGGTATGTATGGCTTGATGAGCAAATACCATTGTTTTGGTTGTGTTTGCCGTCTTAATCTTTTCGTGTCTTTGTTCTGAAGCTTGGTAGTCGTTGAATAAGGAAGCTGTTGCTGTGGCTGTCTGTTCTTCTTGTTCCTGTTCCTGTTCGAGTTTCTGTATGTACCGTTTCTCGTCAGTGGCGTCCCACAACCCCTACCCAAGCCACTCCCACCAGGACCCACACCAACGTGTTGACCTTATGCAAGCATGTGGTCTGCACTATAAATAGCACACACTACTATCCGAAAAGAGACCTACACTCACAAAAAAAAAAAAAAAGCGCTCCTAAATATGGCAAAAGGTGTATAGTGGGAGTTAGAGAGCGAATCTTACAACGAAGCACAAAAGGCAGAGTGCCAGAGTGGTTAATGGGTATGACTAGAAATCATATGGTTTCGGCCTCGCAGGTTCGAATCCTGTCTCTGTCGAGGGTCACTTTCTTTTTTTTGTTTTTTCTTCTCCCTTTTCTTTTTTTGTTTCTTTTTCTTTCTTCTCTTTTTTCCTTTTTTCTTCTTCTTTGTATTCTCATCTACTTTCCATCTCACTCATTAGCATTTTTTGATAAGGTTTTGATGCCGTTTTTCTTGAATGGATGAAAATGCGAAATGGAAATGCTAATAAGCTGCAACGAGATGGCCCATTGCGTTTGATAGTGTGTTGCGGCCAGCTGAATTCTTTCGACTTCATCAATACCAAGTCGCTATTAATCCAGGCACTTATAATAGCATCAGCATCAGTTCACAGGCCGTGTCCCATCCTCATCCATGTCAGCAATTCAAAACCAATATATATTCTTGCAGCATCCGCTCAGCTTTCCGCCTCGCTGGACTGCCGCTATCGTGTGCGCTGTATGTCTGCTCATGCCCATTGTTCCAATATGTACACCTATCCAGCCAATCGTGCCTTTGAGCTCTTCCTGCTCAAGCCCCATTATCGCAAAAACCCGTTATGCCAAACGTCGGCTGCTGTCCCCTCGAATCCAAAACGACTCAGACGCGATTATTACGACTCCGTAGAGGCACCAAAAGATGTCGTGCGTGCGTCGGTGCCAGTACTATGTCGAGTGCAAGTGCCCCCAGGGGTCCGTCGTCGTTCGTAATCTCGCCTCGTTTTGCCGAGCTTCTCATCTCGACCGCAGAGACGACACGTCCGGTTGACCACCCCCTTTTTCTTGCCTTATCCCCTCCAAAAATACAAAGGGAAAAAAAAAATTTGCCAACGCCATCCTGGTATCTCGAAAAGCGACAAGACCCCAAATCTTTTGTTTTTGTCATGTGTATTCGAACCCGAGCGGCGAAGTTCCATATACGCGGTCATGACACTCGGATCGTTCTAGAAAAGAGAGAGAAAAAAAAGGCGCAATAGGGAACCATCCAAGGCAAAAGAGAAAAGTGACGAGAAAGAAAAAAAAGCCACCTATGCACAAATGATTTGAAAGAAACAGGCATGTCGATGACTGCCTTAGGGCTCTTCGGGATCCGGGTTGACGGCCCGTAGCACCTTGGGCGGCTGGATGCGTCGAGAATAGTCGTGGTCGTCGCGCAGCGTGTTCAGACTTTCGTGGCTACCGCGGATGTAGAGGCCTTGCTTGAATGGGTCCATTCGAGGATCGATCTGGATCGTGCTGTTTCTGTTGGCAACCGAAACGGGCGAGGCTGGCGAGCCGCTGTTGCCCGTCAAGTCTCCGGGAATCACGCCCACCATGCCGGATGAGCTGCCTCGCACGCTCGGGTCGTTCTGGTACTCGTCCTTGCCCTGTCTCCTTCGTCGGAGGAACAAGAACAAAAGAGCACCGGCGAGGGCCAGCACGCCGAGGACCACGCCAACTGCGATTCCGGCGATCGCCCCTGTGCCCAGCCCCGACTTCTTGGACCCGCCGCCAGCGCTGCCGCCGCTTTCATCCTTGCTTGGATCGGCTGTCTGTGAAGGAGTGCTGCCGGTACTGCGGCTTCCACTGCCGCCGCTGCCATCGGTAGGCGTGGTCGTCGGAGTCGATGATGGCGGCGGCGTGCTGGTGGAAAACGTCGTTGAGTCGCTTGTTGACTGTGGACACACGTTAGCCCTGCTCTCTCACCGCGCACCAAGTTTGCATGCAAAGTTCCGCGGCGCAAACCACGGTCAAGTCAAGTCAAGCCATACAGAGGATGAGCTACTTGTAGAAGTAGTCGACGTCTCTGATGTGGAAGAAGAAGTGGAGGAGGAAGAAGAGGAAGAAGACCAGGCGGAGGTGGAGGTAGCCATGGAGGTGGAGGACGTCGATGCGGAGGTTGAAGCTGTGCTCTGCACCACAGTCTTAGTCACACTAACGGTCATGATCACGATACTCGGTGGATGCCAGGGATGTCTGTCTTCATCCCACCGGTTTTTCAGGGACAACAAGGCTGGGGTGTTTGGACAAAGAAGAGGCAGTACACAAGGGTGGCCAGGCAGTCAAGAGATCTTGTTCCTCCAGGTCGCAGTTGGGCTCTCGCACCATGGGTTCAGGGATGGGATCAATTTGCAACAGAAAACGGGCTCAAAAATGCAAGAGTCGGGAGCATCGCAAGAAGATCATCATAGACGTACCTCAGTAGGCGTTGATGTGGAAGCCGGTGCCGTCTTGGTGCCGGACGGGGCGACTTCGTTGAGGGCGAGATAGCCATACAAGCCACGGCCGCCGCAGTACTCGTCAGGCCAGGCAGGGCAAGGCACGTTGCACTCCTTGATGCTGACTGTCGAGGCCTTATCAGGATAGTAGTTGGAGCACCAGCACGAGTTCTGCTGCGTGATGGCAAAGGCGTAGTTCTTGTCTACACACCAATGCGTGCACAGCCCATTCGTTTGGTATATGCTGACATCTGCGAAGGGGTTAGAAAGGCCGTTTCTTGAGTTCCGCTGCTGCCAAACTTACTCAGTGGCGTTTCGGCCGTGTTGAAACTAGAACAAACGTCGACCGTTATGGCAGAGATTAGAGTTGAGAATGCCAATAATAGGAAAATAGCGTAGCCCTGTTGCAGGGCAGCGGTCCTAAAGACGAGCATGGTTGATGCTGGGGAAGAAATAAGAGAGTCTGGAATGGTGTCCTCCTAAGCGCGACTTTTCCAGCGGTCGTGAAAGTCTGAGATGGTCGCTCCCTCAGGTCGGTCGGTGACGTGACTTTTGTTTCTCCCCGGAGGGTTCCCTTCACTTTGTTCGTCGGTCAAATGGGCCCTCGGGAACAAGCCATAACCGTCCCTTTGATCGCGTGTTGAACAGCTCGCAGCACACGGGCTGGGCGAGAGGAATTGCGCGACGCAGTTCTTGTGACGCACGAACGAGCCGGCGTGTCAAGACCGTTCAGGGTCGAAGTTGTCGAATAACGGAAAAAGAAAAAGAGACAAATCCAAGTCGTGCTCGGCGCGGCAGTGAAGTAGCCAAGTCTCGGTGGATGGTGTCTTGGCCGAGGTTGGGTGAAAGCCGACAAAGGCTTTGACGGGAGTCAGAGACACCACGGTGCTGCTGAACCAGAAACCGACTGCTGGAATGCTTCGATGACAACCGCGACGGTAACTTCAACACCGAGTAATTCGAATCTTCTCTCGATCTTTCTGGGGCGGGCGATGTTGTAGATTGGAACGTGCAAGCGAGACCAAAGCAGGGCCGAAGCGAGCGTCGCAAGCAGCTGAACGATGCAACGCAGGGAACAAGAACAAACGGCGCGCAGTGCCGAATAGGCAGCTTGTCTCAGGAGCACAAAAGCTCAAGTTGGAAGCCCAAAAAACAGGAACAACAAACCGAGGACTAGACCAAGAAAACCAGAACAGGATAAAGGAAAAACAAGGAATTAGAACCAAAAAAAAAGAAGAGGAAAAAGGAGGATGGGACGGTCGGCCAGGAACAGCGCAGCCGGGGAGCGGAGACGATGAGAAAATGTCTTGGACTAGACTAAAAGGCTGCCGAAGATGCCTTTTTGTTCAAGGTCCGGGGCTGTTGAGAAGCCCAGATTGCCCAACCGCCTTCGGAGATGATTGACAGTGGCTGGTGGCAGAGGAAGGCCGAGTGTTGCTGTACTGTAGTCTAGGTTGTAGGAGTGTTATGGCGAGTGACTCTGGCGCGTTCGCTCTGGCTGTTGAGGCGCTTGGCGACGGTGCTGGTGGCTGATGATGGAGGACGGCACTGGCGCTGCGTGGGAGGTCGTGTTATAGTCGGGCCAGGCAGTGCTGCGCAGGAGGGCGACAGGGCGACAAGGCGTAGGATGAGAGGCGAAGATGAGGAGAGCGTCGGGTGTGTGAGAGGTGTGAGGAAGCGGGAGGGAGAGGGAAGAAGTCTGGAGATTTGCAGAAGCCTTTGGCTGGACGGCACAAGCATGGAAGTACAGGTACAGGTACGAGTGCAGCTGCATGTAGCGTGGACCTCTTACACGCCGCGCTGCTTCTGCAGGCTTCTCTCCAGGCAAGGTACCGGCTTCCAGCGTCCCGGGGAGGCGATCAGGCCCAAGCGCTGGCAGTGACAGGCGTCGCCTGGGAGTGACTGGGGGTACCTAGGTTATTAGGTTCCTAAACATGCAATGTACCCATGGGTAAAGGACAACCCGTCTTGCTGTTCGGTGGCGACGGGCTATTGTGTTCCGAGTACGGGTATTGCTCTCAATGGCTCTTTCGTTGAGAAAACAAAAAATAGAACAGCCTGCAAGCATCGTTCCTGATGTTCATTTCCATGATCTTCGCCCATCCATCCATCTGCCCAGCCCGTGCCTGTGGCTGCTTCTTGGTACCGGTACTTCGTAAAGCAGCCACGCTAGAGCCCGTCCTGACCCCTGACCATGGCGTCACTGCGGCGCTACGGGCGACGGGGCAGCTGATGGCGGCATCTGGCCAGCGGGCCAAGGGCTGCTGGAGCCCCGCTAAGAGGCCGCTAGAGGCGCCGTGCGCTCGAGGTTGCAGGCAAGCCACAGTGGGCGCCTCGTTTGTAGTCGGGTAGTAGTGGTATCATGTCTCGCTACCAGGAGGACGAGTCGCTCCAGACATGGGAACCGCTGCTTGTGAACTCTGCGCTTCCGTTTGCGATCGATCTTGCCAGAATCTCTGAAATCCCAACCCTTGAATCAACAAGCACATGGTGCGTACGGCCGGACGGAGTGGTTGCAGGTTGCGGCTTGGGCTGCAGGCTGCAGGCTGCTCGTCGCGTACCGACACATGCCCTACCAGCGGAAGTACGGCTTCTCATTTCGCGATCGAGCTGTGGCTGACAGATAAGGTCCCTTAGTACAGGTACAGCAACACAGACGGCAGTACTCGTGCCTAGTTGTACATGAACATCACGCCTATCCGTGGAAGGAGAGCAGTCGAGGGCTTGTGTACTGTATGTACTAGGTATGGCATAATGCGTTAATGCTGCCAGCATCGCGGTGCTTTCTTGCATCTATGACGCGACTATGAGGGCAGAGACCTGCATTGTGCTGGCAATACGTTGCATCACCGGCCTATCGTTCATAGCAGGGGGCGATGCTACCTCCAGTTGCGTGAACGTAAGGTAAGGCAGTCCAATATCTCTACAACTTCAACTGGATGTTCACCAACGCGTTGGAGACGGCTGATTGATAAAGCTCAGACTCGACGATATCAACATCATCAACGGGCTGGACATCAAACGGAGCCCAACCCGGGTCGATGGCGCTCAACTTTCGGTACGTACCGTCAGCAGTGCCGTGTGCGGGCTTGTTCGAGGCTCGAGGCTCGAGGCGTGGCTACACTGGCGCTTGTACCGGTACGAGCGGACAGCGACCAAGAAGAACTTGGAACCTTGAACCAAACAAGAACCAACTCGCGCTGCCACTAATATTGCTCGTAGCACCACATGGCAGGAACGAACTGGAAGGTGCCATTGGAGCTCCTAGCGGATGCTTGTATTCTCCGCCGCCGCCAATCTCTCCCATCTTCTTTCTCCATTCATCTCCATCTCCTCCATCGCCCACAGAAACAGTCACGATGCCGACAAAGAAAGAACATCATCAGACAAAGGGTCACGATGGCCGTGCAGAGTCACAACCAACCAGTACTACTTAGTACATGGGCCACTCACGAGGGAACAGCCAAGAGCACGCAAAGGTCACGGAACAAGACAATACGAAACTGATGTGCTGCTCTGCACTTGTGCCTGTGGCCGACGAATACGAGCAGCAGATGACGGTGTGTGGGCTGCTGCTCGTACGGAGTAACCAGTCCTCAACCTGTGGTTTGTGTGGCTCGCTCAACCTAGGTTGACGATTGGGGACCGCCTGCGATTCCGTTGGCCCACGGCGAGCTGCGGCCAAGGAGCTTGCAAAGGCTCCAGAGGGCACAATCTCCACCATCGACAGCGTGCCCACCCACACCCACACCCACAGCAAGTACAGATTCTTTCGTTTGTCTTCCTCTCCATCTGCACAGGTGGTACAGTACAGTACTAGTACTCGTACCCATTGCCCGCTGCGCTGCGCTGCGCTATGCCTCTCGCGGCATGTATTTATCTGGTAGTATCTCGTACATACGGCGGGATCGTGGAATTGACGGAGTTGACGAGCAGTTGGCAGTTGGCAGTCGCCGGAGCAGATGCGATACGAGGACGGGATCACGCGGTGGAAACATCCCCGGCTGTCGAGTGATGGCCACGGAGCAATTGCCGCTATCTACGCAAGCAAGTCCGCCCTAATCTCGTGGGCATCTGCCATACATACTAGATGTCGTGAGCGATTTTGACGAACACACAGCGCACTCTGGGTCCGTGCTGGATGTTTCAAATCGGATCCATCAAGAGACACACATCTTGGGGCCAGAGGGCAACTGTCTCAAAAGCTCAGTCCTCGCAACCGGCAGCGACAATTTCCTGGGTCCGTGACGATGGCACGTCTGGCTGGGCGGGAGAGCAAGGACCAGGATGCGGCCGGCAGTGGGGAAGGTGTGGCACCGCCCTCACAGCATTGCTGGATCGAGGCATTCGTCCTTTGCCATGTCTGCCGCAGAAGAAAAGCTCGGGTGGTGCTTGGTGCGTGCTCCAGATGCCCCTGTAGGTACGGATCACCGATCGAAGCCTCCCCAGAGCACGATGACTCGTGGCTCTGCATGCCGTCTGCGGTACGTATCGTATGTACTTCCATGAGAACTTCCCAGCATGTCGCAAGAGACCTGAACTGGCCTGAACTGGCACTTGGAGGCGAGGCAACTCATGGATGCGCAATGGTCGACAAGAGCAAGTGTCTGGAGTTTAGCCGTGTCGATGGTATCTGTGGCAAAGGGCAGCATTCAGGTTTCGTGTCTTGTACGTATGCAATTGCCGCCCCTTGGCAAAGCAGATGCATATCGTATGCACTTTTGCTGGCCACAACGGAACAAAGGACTGCGCTGACAATGCCTTGATTTCGCTCTCGTGCGCCATAGGGAGCTATGGGAGCCATGGGAGCCCTATCGAGTCTCTCTTGGGGCAAGGCGAGTCCATGAAGCGGATCGTCTTTCCAGGATGCTAGTATTCACGTCCAGTTCGCCTCTACTATTACTATCACTTGTTGAGCTGCTATTTATACTTGCACCAGCCACACCAGATCTGTATCTGGACTGTTTCTGGCTTGAATCTTCGAGGCGAGGTGGCAACGATGTGCCTGTACAGTACTGTGCAGTACATACTATTACATGCTCATACACACATACGAAGAGGAAGCAGCAAGTCGTCTGTCTGCAGGGTGCAGAAAGCGCAAGCAAGGAGCAAGACGTCGACATCTGATCCCCGCATGAGAGGCAGAAGCTCATTCGACATGAGCTCTCCGCAACCTCTGCAGGACCATCCCCGCAAACTGCTCGCACACACACGCGGCCTCACACTCGTACAGACAAGCCACAAGTCCCATTTCAGAGGCCCTTTCCGAAGGGCAACTGTCTTGCATTGGCCAATCGCGAGATTATCTCCCCCACGGTTCGTTCCCCCCTCACCCCAACCTCCTTACCAGCCTCCCATATAATACTGTGCAGTATCATGCAGCCAACCAAAGGGAAAATGAGGTTAGGTCTCAAATCCGGGACACCATCATGCAAGTGTTACGAGACCTTTTGCGGAACCTCAACGACAACCTGATGGTCTATTAGCGGTGTTTCCCTGGTGGTGAGACTTGCTCGTTGGCCTCTCGTTGTGTCGGATGTCACGGCGTTGGCCTTTGGGAGGGATCGGCGCTGGTAAAGCGGTCGACTCGGCATCGCATCGTTTTATCATACGATGGGTTCGTCACGAGCAGACTGTGGGGAGGTTCCTGCGCATATTACGGCAGTTGACTGTGGCATCGAGTGCCCGGCATGCTCATGCCTGCCTGATCTTACAGGATGGTCTACAGAGGCAAAAGAAAGCCTTGCTTCAACTTGACACAGCAGCGGCCTTCTTGTAGCCGTGTTGGAGGAGGCGCCAGCTCGATATCATTATGCCCATCTCTTCTGCTCTTGGCAGCGTGAGAGGCGTTGGAAATAGCAGAGATATGAATCGACGGCAAAAGTCGCTGAACCGACGGGAAAGCGACTGGGACAGACCTCAGCCATCTTCTGCGCCACAAATGACGCCTCGTTTGCTGATCTCTGTACAGCTCATGAAGGGATCGACAAGCTAGGACAATGGATCGTCACGGATATTGGGAGCAGCCGAACGGTTGTTTCATCAAAGCAGTAAGTATTCTCCATTGGCCATGTGAGGAGCAGCAAGGGCGGCGAGCCATTCATACGAGCGGTCGCTGTCCAAAGCGTACATACAGATACATCATCGGCAAGGCATATTCTTCTCTTCTCCTGTGCGCAAAGGGTGTACACACGGCCATCTTTGACGCTGCAGCTGCTAGCACCATCACGAAATGCATTGCGGTGACCAATTGGGTGTCTGAACTGCCATACGAGAGCGATGCAACGCCCTCGACTCGACGCAGCTCTCGCCATGTTAGCGCGGCTGCTCCTCCGCATGTTTGTACTGACGACAAACGAAGAGACTCCATTGCCAAAAGGCACGCGGACACCGAGTCAGTCAATCGGTCCATTCTCCAGCTTTGTTGTTGCCTGAGCCTTGGCTTCTCGCGACCAAGGGTTTGATGCACAGAGTTTACGCCGCCGATGAACGCGTAAGTCGAGCAAATACGAGGAAACTCTGACAGGGAAGCGCTGGCTCTGTCTGATGAGTCTTGGTATGTACGACGACAGATGGCCTTGTTGCAACGGGTCCGCCTTGTACCTGTACTAGGTACAATATCCGCTCACTTGTCCAAGAGATCGAAGTCGATGGTTCTGTCATGGTGGACCGAGTGTTGTTTGAAGCTTGTGGATGTGGCTCTTCAGCCTCAGCTCCAGCAGGAGACGATGGGACAGTACAGTGCTCGCTTCCAAGGTTGCGAGCTTCAGCCCCTATTGCCTCAAGTCTCTCTCAAAGGCAACCAACAATCCTTCATGTGCCTCGAGCGATGGCTTGACATGTCCAGGGTCCATCCCTCGAGCCAAGTGTAAAGTCTAAATCGGAAAAGCGACCCCAGATGGCGACATACACTCCTTTCTTGTGCCGGAGCATTTTCTATCTGGGGGCTCGGGCTGAGCTCCCTCCCGCGCCGCGCCAACCAGCGCCCGCGAATACGAGCAAGCCGCGTTGAGCTATGCATCGACGGAGGGTCTGCTCTAGGAGGCGGTAATAGTGCCGTGGTCCGGGGGCGTCGCAACTGCCCGGCTGTTGTTTGCCCCGGACTGCGTATCTGAGCATAGGTATGGTAAGGCTCTGCGATGACATGTGATGGGATCAAGGTTGGCAGGTTGCTGCTGGGGATGAGGGCTGGAGAGGACCCTGCAAGCTGCGTTTTCAAGATTGGGATTCGTGGCCCAAAGTCGGTTGTCGTCGGGGAAAGTACATGTAACTGAGCGTCAGCAAACGTGTAGGGGGTTTCCTTGAAAGTGAGATCTGATATGCGGGATGTGCAAAGTACTGAGACTTCCTGGGTGAGCATCAGAGAGAAGCTTTCCAGTAGCAGCGAGATTAACAAGCCGCGATTTCTGGGTTTCGCCTTGGCTTGTTGGAATCTACTACTTGCCTATCTACCTAGTAGGTAGTCAATTGTCAAGAGTAACCTACTCAGATGTTAGAAAACGCCATGAAACGAAGTGGCGGATATGCTAAAACGCCCAGATTCGGATGGCCGAAGGATTTCGATGGGCAAGGGTGGCTGATTCTGGAGGCTTGCGTGTACTGTAGTATTGAGGTTGTTACACGTGGGCTGGGCTGGGGAAGTGATGAGCCATTGAGCTGTTATGCTACAAGGAGATACTTCCTCAATGGCGGTATCAGGTGAGCATTACGACAATGGTTTAATTTGCAAGATGTTCACATTGATAGAACCTGTCTGCACAACAGATTCAGAAGAGCTCAAGCTGTTAATTCGTACATAGTGCATCTCGAAGAGGCAACTTCACGATCTAGTCGGCGTGGCCAATGCCGGTCCGGAGAGAGTTGATAGCGGCGCATCTTCGGGTCGCGATAAGTCTCACTCACCTCTTGATGTCCGGCTCCGATTACATTACAAAACAAACATCCAACCAGCATCAGATTCATTCATCATTCCCAGCAGCAGCGATTTGTGAAACCCGCATTCTGCCGCACTTGTGCAGATCAGGGGCACAGAGTGAGGGAGAATCTCTATCACGGCTCGTCCTTGATGCGGGTCACGCATGTGACTGTTTGCTGCAGCCCGTGTCTCGACTTACCGGAGCTGGAACCGCATCTCCATCTCCATCTCCATCACCATCAACCTCCTCCTCCTCCTCACCCTCACCCTCACGTCTCACCGACTGCAGACTCGCGGCCGCCCTCCGATCCGACACTCGACCGCCGTTGCACCGGTCACACGTTTCAATCCTCTCCGAACGACCCGTATCTATCTATCCCGACCTACCCACGTCTCCCCACGCCCTCTACGCTTCTCGACCATGGGCGCCATCTCGCTGCCCGTCAAACCTCCCCCTCCGCCTCGCCGCCGCCGCCGCCGCTCCCTCCTCATCCTCGTGGCGACCTGCCTCCTCGGCGCAATGGCCCTCCTACACATCCTCATCACCCTGGCGCCCTGCATGGTCGGCGCGACCTGCTACCGCGGCTACCAGTCCGCCTACAGCTTCGACGCCGGCGACAGCCCTCACCCGGACTGGATGGCCGCGATCCCAGACGACGTGCACCTGACGAGCCTGAGCATCCCGGGCACGCACGACACCATGACGTACGGAATCGCGTCGCAGACGCTACAATGCCAGAACTGGAACCTGAGCACGCAACTGGCCAGCGGGCTGCGCTATCTCGACATCCGGGCGCGGGTGAGGGACGACGAGCTGCACATTTACCACGCGAACGGGTACACGGGCTTCAGCTACGAGCAGGTCCTGCTGGACGTGTTTGACTTTTTAGATGCGCACCCTTCGGAGGCGATCATCATGCGTGTCAAAGAGGAAGGGGGCCCGATTGGGACCAACAACTCGGCTTCGTTTGAGGATGCGTTTCGCTATCACCACTGGGCGTCTCCGACGACGGCGCCCGGCTCGGCGAAGCACCTGCATACTTATGACTTCGCGGCGCCGATACCGACCCTCGGGGAGCTGCGCTCGAAAGTCTTCATCCTGCAGAACTTTGACGCGCGGGACGGCGGGCCCTACGGGCTGCTGTGGGAGGGCCCCGAGATGGTGCTCGAGGATCTGTGGGTGATTCCGGACGTGTACCACCTCGCGGAGAAGTGGACGGCCATTCGCGACGCGCTGGAGTACGCGGCGCTGGCGCCCGACGACAACAGGTTCCTGTATCTGGCGCACCTGTCGGCGTCGGTGGGTGTCTTGCCCATCGAGGCCGCCGCGGGGCCGATGAACAGGACGATTCAGGGCATGAACGACATGACGGGGCAGTATCTCGAGGATGCGTCGGGCAATGACGACCTGGCGAGGGTTGGGGTCGTGATTGTGGATTTCCCGGGGAGGAGGCTGATTGAGACTGTGCTCAGGTGGAATGCTTGGTTGCGGTGATGATGGTAGTATGTACTACTAGTACTGCCATCTACCTATATTGTGCTTGGCTACTGGTTGCATTCTTGGGTTGAGACATGGCGTTTGTTTGTTTACTTGGCGCCTGGTATAAAAGGCACTGCTCTCGGTGTACTATGTGTACGATATACTATATAAGCGGACAACTGCGGCATCGAAATAATGGGAATATGGCTGGGACTTGGAGTTGCATTTGGGCTTGGACAACGTAGGTATGTATATATATTCATACGTCTCCTTGTATGGCATCAACATGGTTACATTTCTTCATCTCTCGCTCCGTTCCCATCCTTCCAACGCTTCCCCCCATCTGTCCTGGAGCATCCATCCGTCCGCCGATATCATCCATCTCCCATGCCATCCATCCTAGGCTGCTAGGCTATATACAAGAAATCGCCCACTCGCCGCCGCATCTCCAACCAAAGACCCAAACCAACGCAAACGCAATAAAATAAATCAGAACGCTCAATTTACACTCCAGCAAAACGAGAGAAGATGGTGATATGAACCCCCAACAACAAATTCTCCAAACCAATGCAATATCCCAATATCCCTCCTTAAATTAAATAACCCATATTCCCCTAATCCCACCCTGCCCTCCTTTATCATCCTACTTTCCCCCCTCCCCTCGGTAAAGTGTCATAGGTAGAGAGTTTACTGCCTCTTCAAATCTTCATTCCGCAAAGACTTCTTGCTCTTGATGCTCCGTATCCCTGGCGTCCCCGCCCGACTCACCGAGGGACTGCTGTCCTTGCTCTCCGTCCCAAAGCTCTCGAACCGGTCCACCATCTGCAGCACCCTCGTCTTGGGCCGCTCAAACGTCATGGCCTCGGCCGTGTACACGCTCGCCGACCGGGCAAACGACACATCCGTCGCAATCGAAATGGGTCGCTCGCTCCTCGTCATGTCCGTCACCACCGACAGCGGCCTCTCGATCCTCTCCGCACGGTCATCATAGTCGTCCTGGTCGACCCGAAGGAAGCCGTCGTCGCGATCGCCTTCGTCCACGGGCACGCCTCCGCCCTCGTCGTCGTTGTGGGAGCTGAGCTTGCTGGTGCTGCGGAGCGAGGCCTCCATCAGGGATGACCGCTTGTCCATGTCCACGAGCTCCGCCGTCTGTGGCATGTGAAGTGGCAGTCTTTCGTCGGTGCTCGTGCCGTCATCGAGCTCGTCGGCATTGACAACGCGGAGGCGCTCTTTGGGAACGGTAAACATGACTTGAACCAGGCGGTTCTCCACGGCTCTCTCAATGTCCCATTCGTTTTCTCTCTCCATGGCGCTGCTGCTCTCGCCGCCCTCCCAGTCCTGGCGCCCTTGCTTCCTCTTTAGAAGCTCGCTGCCCAGTGCTGAGAGCGGGGGCTCATAGTCGTGGCTCAGCATGTCTGTGGAAATCTCCCGTGGGGCTGGTCTGTCCATGGCAGGCGAGTCACTCGAGGGAGACTCTGAGCCCGAAAAGACGCGTCTCAACGAGCCTAGCCAGCTTCTCCGAGGCGGTTTCGATTTCGATGGCGAGCTGGGCTGCTGCAGTTCGTCGTCCTCGTACGGACTCCCGGGCGTGGTTCTGCCGAGCAGCAGGTTGGGACCCTCGGCCTGCAATGCGCCGAAGCCCGACTTTGCCGTGTTGTAGCTGCTCGAAGAGGAGCTGCCAGGCTTGCCCGGCTCTGTCGTGGGCGCAGAACTGCCGCCAAAGAGGCCAGCCGTAGCAATAATGGCGGACCATCGACCGGAGCCGGAGCGGCCCAGCCCATCTCCCGCGCTGCGGGTAGACTCTGATATGCCAGAGTCCATATGAAGATCCTCCTCATGCATGCCAGATGAGCGCTGAGAGCTTCGCCGCGTGGGCGATGAACGCCCGTGTTGGCGAGTGCTATTATACCTCGCCAGCATGGCATCCGCGGCGTCGACATCCGATACCCAGTCCTGCACATCTGGATCGTGCTGAAATGGGCCATCTGTGCTGGGCCCAGCCGTGCTCTGGCCAGGGGGCGGAGGCTGGAAAACTGGTAGAGCCCCCGAGGCCACGGCAGCTGTTGGCGTCATGAAGGGATCGGAATATGCGTCCGACGTGGGCGTCGTGGCCTCGGCGGGATTGGCCTGTTGGTAAGACAAATCTTCCTCGTCGTCCTCCATGATGGGGTGAATCTGGCCCGGAGTATGAACAGGGTTATTGAGCGGAGCGTTGGCCGGCACATAACCGCCACGCATCTGCCTAGCCACTGGCTTCCTCACGACCCCTGGTACGACAGGTGCATAGCCGCCATACGAGCCACGCATGCTTTCATATCCAGAAGATCGGTCGTCTCCATTTGTCCGGTATGGATCCTGCCCACCATTGTACCAGCTTCGATAACCCCAGGGGAAGGTATCAGGTCGCTCAGCCATGTCAACGCCGTCGTGTACAAACATGCTGGCGTCTTGGGCCATGGCCCTGATGGTCTCGTCGCGAGCGGCCCGTCTCCGTTGCTTCTTGCGCCAGTAAAAGAAGCTGACCAAGGCCAACATGAAGAGGATCAGCCCACCTCCAATGCCGAATCCGAGACTCAGCCCCAACACTCTTGACTTGGCTGCATCAGAGGTCTTGCCAGGGGCATCTTCCGGGTTTTGGCCACCGGTCTTGGCCGGGGTAGGATTGCTATAGGTCGTCGACCACGTCATATCGGTCAGGTTCAGAAACAGCGGTGCCGTGGTGACGCCAGACTGTCGCTTCATCTTGCTGGACGTGTCGGAATCCTTAATTTGCCAGCCACCGTACACCATCATGACATTTCCCGGAAGGATCGCGGCTCCGTGCCCATAGATGCCGGCCTCTGCAAACTTCGGCTGTTGCTTCGGTATCGTCCACCTCCACGAACTGTACGCCTGGCTCATCTCCAAGATGGCCAGCTGCGGCTCGGCTGCATTCGTCACATCGCCAACCCAACCCCCAAGCACAATAATGGAACGCCCATCCTGGCTCAAGACGGCTGTATGACCAGATCGACTCTCCACGCCATCGGGGCTGTCGGTTGATTGCTGAACGTTTACGTAGGACCAAGACTCCTCGGGGAGATTCCACACAGCGGCGGTGCTCATGTTGATGAAGGCTTGTTTGGTGTGGCCGCCGAGGATGACGTACGCCGTCTGCTGTGTGACGGTACCGGAAATGTTGCTCATGGAGCTTTGCAGCGCGGTGAGGCTGAATCCAGCTATGGGCGTCTTAGGCCCAGAGCTTGAGGCGATATTCTGCGCGTACGACCTGGAGGAAGGGCTGCTGTCGGCTGGGGCGAGAGTCAGCATGCCCGTGGAGTAGTTTGCCGCAGACTGCCAGCCCTTTGAGCTGTCCGAGGGCGTATCACACATGCCACCGTAGCTGTATATCGTCGGCTCGTCCAGCAGCGGTGCAAGCGTCGCGGAAAAGGCAATGGTCCCCCCAAGGAAGTACGGCCCTCGCGACGAGCTGCCCTTTTGCGACGTGCCAAGCGTTGTCGCATGCTTCGTCCAAGCCGCATCACCGCTACTCCCCGAGGCAGCCCCCTCTCCATACGTCCACACGCTTCCCGGCCCTTTGTCACATTGTCCAGAGTATACCAGCACAGCGCCTTCTTCTGTCCTCACCGCGCCAAATGCCGTGTTCTTCGGATTGTCGCCGCCCACAAAGGGTAGGCTCGTCGTGACGGGGCTCAGCTTGGTGTCGGCTCCCACGGTGCTCGAGATGTTTAGCGACAGGAACTGCACATTGTCGTCGCCGTCCTGGGTCAAGATGTATGCCAGATCCGGGCGGTGGCACGCGCTCTGGTTGAAGCACGCATCGGGCGCGAGGATCTGCGTCGGGACATAGGGGAAGCTGTGCGCAGCGGCCGCCAACGGAGCTCCCAGCAGCAGCAGCAGCGCCGCGGTCCCCAAGAAGCGACTCGACGGCGCACATCCTGGTGTTGCGCGATGCGGATGCGCGCGTCCGCGAGCAAACGGATCTGGTGGTGACACGGCCATTGATCGGGTTCGCTCCGAGATCTCGCTTCGCGCGCCGAGGTGCTCGTTGTTTGCTGAGTTTGTTCTGGGGTATCTCTGCCTTGTCGTCGCTTGTCGATCATATCATCGTGGCATGTCGATCTTGGCAGCCTCGTCGCAACCGTGAGCCTCGGGCTTGGTGAGCTTCCTTCTCCGAAGCTGGGTTGATGCTGTTCGTGCCTGGCCCTCGCCAGCTTGGAATCTCATCCACCGCCTGCTGCCCAGTGAGTCGTGACGTTGCTGCAGCTCCCCCACAAAGGATCGAGGGCGCGCAGTGGTAGAAGAAGAGCTGAAGCCGCGGAGCCAATCTCGCTGGTCTCACAATACGAGGCGGCGCAAGAAGCGAAGCTGGGGGGAGTAAAGCAAGGATCGATCGGTATGAGGTCAGCCGCCTTCGACCAGCTATTGACTCGGCGCAAAAAAATTACAAGGAAGAAGAAGCCAACAAGAGCAAGCCGAAGAGCCAAAAGGCGCGAGAGATGCAGGGAGGAACCTCGAAGTGTTGGAGTGACAAGGAATACGATCACAGGCAGAAGGCAGAAGGCAGAAGAAAGACGCCCAAAGCGGTGGGCTGGACCCCGGCTTTAGCGCTGGCCGAGAGCAGCAATGCTTCCTTCCCAGTCAGTACCTTACTGTCAGTTGTCAACAGCAGCAGAGGAAGGCGCGGCACACGGGCGACTGACAGATCCGGGCTCAGGCTGTCAACAAGGGGGCGGCAGGAGCCAGTCGGACCCGATGGCGAGGGAAAGAGCTAGCATGTGCAGCTGCAGCCGGCCGCTGTTGCCGTGCTTTGTGGGCTGCGGGTTGGACCTGCGCAAGGCTTTAGCCGCTGGCAATCAAGGCAGGTGCGGTGCTGGTGCTGTCCTTTGATGTTAGTATGTATGTACCTTCTTTGATGATTCACAGACATGGTGCTGCCAATGCTAGTTCATAAGACTTTCTGCCACGATATATTCTACAGCATTCTAATACATACCTTACCATTATACTCATTCCTATAACCTAATGCTATTCAAGACATTATTATCGACTCCGTCACTAATACTGTACGATATCAGAAATAGCTGACCACCACAACGCTCACAGCTACCTGCATTTCCACATCACTTATCCTCTCCTCCCCCCACTTCTCCATTTGTTGTCAATCAGTTCAACCGCTGTTGCACGGAGCAACCAAAGCTTGGCCCTCTTTCCGCTGCCCCAGTTTGGTTTAGACCCCTCTAGCGGCTCCAGGTCCCAAATTGGCATCTGACCATTTGTGGCAGTATTCAGTTATTTTTGCCTGCAGGTGCTGAAAAGAACATGAACATGCTATTACCTATCCTGCCTTGAGTTGAGCAATGGTAAGCTGATAAGATGTTGTTACTAGGTGCTTCTGTTATGACTGCAGGGAACTGTGAACAGGAAATGGAATCGAGAAGACAATGTGCTGCGTCTCACAGAGGTCACTGCTGTTTACCCTCTCGTCAGCCCAGTTCGTCTCCCGAACTGCCTTCTTGGGCAACCCTCACCCCAGCCACCTATCAAAGAAAAAACAAGCACATGTGACGCACCGAGGGGCTGGGCAAAGCACGATCACCTCAACGAATCAGCGTGTTTTACTCACCAAGCCCGTCCAGCCACAATCTTTGGGAAACAACAGATGTTGTGCAGCCCAGATCGATGCCATTGGACATGTCCATTTCAATACGACGCCCATCTTTTTACGGTGTAATAGTACATGTTGAACTTCCACTTGAAAGAGGCAAGACTTGTTGTTGTATGTAATTCAGGCTTATCGTGTACTATCATCTTCAACGCGTGCTGACGGGCATCTTCTCCATCCATCGCCTCAGCCCCCACCGCTGGGAAATGACGAGAGCCTAGAAGCGCCGTTCGCCGTCAACTAGCAGGGAAGAGGCGGCAGAGGAAATGGACATGCCGGTTGTACATATCATTTATCGGGCAGTATTGCCTATTGTTACTAGTATTCGCTTTTTGTAAGAGTCAAAACGAGCATTCAGTGCACATAGACGGCATTCGCGATTATTCTCTCTATTCTAGACGATATTGACCTGAATCGAAAACCGCAAGATGCTGTAGCCTGCGTGTTCTGGCCCTCTTGATATCACAATACAAACTCGTCTACTACCTTATTCTCGAATTGCTGCCTCATGTCGTCGTCTTACACTGATATCATGCTAAAACTTATCCTTAAGACATTACAACCTCTTCTTTCTGTCTTTTTGTTACTTCTCTTTCCTTTGAACTCGACGCAACAACGAATCTTCATGCAGAATAAAAAACAGGGCCAACGCAGAACGCAGGCAGAATGCAAAAGCCGGTAGGGGTATCAGGTAAAGTATTAGACCGCCTTATCAATAATGAATCTTCTCTTCCCAGATCGGCGGTCGAGCGCCCTCAGCATCCCACTTGATATGGTTCTTCTCGTCAAGCTCCGCACCCTCGTCGGTAATGGGAATCACCTTGCTCGTCGCAGCAACCTCGTGCTTGGACAAACCAGCCGGGTCCGCGGGGATCCAAAGAATGGGCGTCTTGCTCGCGACGGATGGTGGCAGATACGCCTCGGCCTCAATCTCTTCAGCATACTGCGTCGGCTGGGCAAGGTGCTCCTCAGTGAGGAACAGTTGGCGCAGGGTGTGGTAATCCGCGTAGATCCAGGGCTTGAGGAACCTGAGGATGAAGTTGCCCCGCTTGGCAGATGCCCTGGGCGCAAAGTTGGGGACGGATCCCTTGCCATTGGTATCGTCGTGCGATGCATTGTTCGAAGCCAAGCCCTCCTCCACGCTGGTGCCAGTCTTGCCGGCGGTGCGCTGCTCAAGAGCTTCCTCTTCCGCCTGGAGTGTCCGTGGCAGGCCAAAGAGGAGGGGATCAAGCGTTCTGGACAGGGTGATGTGGTACAGAATGGTGAAGACGAGGAAGATGGCCATGAGGACGGCAGGTCCAGCGGCCTTGGAAACGGAAAACAGACCGACCATGCAGATTTCAGCCAGGTAGATACCGGCAAACAGCTGCTTGAGGGCACGAGGATAGATCAAGCCGTGCGTATCGATGCGAGTCTCCGTGACGAAGAGGACGTTGTAGCGATAGGCGAGGTAGAACAAGCCCATACTAATAGTTGACCAGAACAGAATCAGGGGAGCAATGACTGAATATGTGATGCCTGTGACGACTGTTAGCGTATATTTCTAGTGTAGAGGCAGCCAGGGGTTGTGATGACATACTGATGACTGCAATGTTGGTGTAGACAGGGAGAAGGCTGCCCCAAGAAAGAGCGCTGAGGCTGGTCCACTTCTTGTACATGGCTCGGGGCGTCTTGGCCAACAGCTTGTACAGCAGGGTAAAGACGAAGAATCCGACGACCTGAGTGACGACGCTGGTGGCAATGGTAAGGCCCTGGACGATGAAGTACGAGATGTAAAAGTTTGACGCAGTCGGGAGGGCTGAAGAGAGGATGTTGAAGACTTGTCCCGGCTGCTGGGCGATCTGGACAAGGGCAGTCGAGGCGGCGTTGGTCAAGGTTTGGATCAGGAACACTTGAATGAGCTGGAAGAAGAAGTAGGAACTTTGGGTAAAGAGCTCGACGCGGGACTGGGACACCTCGCCAGCCAGTCGAGCGCAGAGGCGCATGATGACGGGGACCAGCGACATGAGGACGGACAAGGCAACTGCTGGCAGAAGGCCTGAAATAACGCCGAGAATGGGCTGTTCTGGATTAGCATACACCGTACAAAGTAAAACGGGACGGAGACAGTACTCACCTTGGGGATATCACCGATCCAGGTCAGACCAGGAATACTCTTGAGCGTGTTCACCTGGGCAATCAAGCCGACAATACCAACGGGAATGGCCCAGAAGATGATGAGCGCCGCAATGAAGCCATATACTATGTAATGGCGGATAATGACTTGCCACCAAGGGAGGGCCAAGTTCTTCCAGATGACCTCACCAGGCTGGACGCCGATGGCCTTGGGATCCATGTGCAGGGCTTCGTGGTGGGTTACGGACTGGTAGGCGAACTGGGCTTCGCCCTGGGTTTCGAACTCGACAAAGACGGCGCGGACCTTCTCGTAGTTGCCAGACCTCCAGTCAGCCTGAGCCTTGTCAACCTCGGGAATCAGTCGCTGCAGCTCAGAGCGGCCCCATTCGATGGTGTCGACCTTTTTGCCAACGAGGCCCAGGGGACCGAGGCGGTGGTGAGGGCGCTTCTTATCCGGGATCCAGCGCGAAGCAATGTTGCCCGTCTCGATATCGCCATCTTGGGTGTTGGCGGAGGCGGGGCCTTCGGGCTGAACCTCTCCCTTCTTCTGAGCCTTGGTACGAGCCTTGTTGACGAGCTTCAGGAGACTGATCTCGCCCTTTTCCAGCTTCATGGCGGCTTCATCTCGCTTCTCCACCAGGTCGTCGAGCTCGTCCGTCTTGCCGCAGACCCAGACCCTCTTGACTCCGCTGAACATGCCTCGGATACGCTCCTCATTGTTGTACTCATCCGGAACCGACGTGAACAGAACGGTGCGGGCAGAGATACGTTTGGCGTTGTGAGGGTTGATGTGATGTGCCTGGCGCAAATTGATGTAGAAGATGCACTCGCGTGTAATCATGTACATGAGGAAGCCATAGACAGCCCAGCCGACAAAGGTGTGGGCGTAGAGATAGTCCTTGTGAATGTTGATGTCGATATCGCTGTAGGACAGGATCTCGAGCTGGGACAGGTGCTTGCCTCCGGTGGCATTGATGGGGAACAGGATGGGCCAGGTGATGAGCAAGCTGACGAGGCAGACGATGAAGCAGATGCGCAAGAATCGAAGGAAGAGGTAGGCATCGAGACTCTGGTGGGTGAGAACGTAGGCGTCGGGGATCTTCCAGAAGGCAGCGAACCAGGTCAGCCAGTTGCTTGGCACACTTGGCGTTCGCTCACTATGGGTCGTCACCGTCAGTTCTGGATCAGGCAATAGAAAGCTTTTGAGCATGGAGAGAAGCAATACTTACTCTTCGCGTATAGACCCTAGATATGTACGTGGTGCATAGAAGCGCCGCTGGGACCTCCTCAAGAATAAGAAGATGATGATGTAGATGCTCGATACTACTAGTACGGGTATGAGAGTATCAACCATGCCTGCAGCAAAGCACAACGTCAGTCAGCCATCCAAGAGAAAGTCTCATCGATTCTATAGCGAAAGCACAACTCACCCCATGCCGACTGTGGCTGGGTTTCCCGCGCCGAGCCCTGGTTCTCATCGGGAGCCAAGTTCTTGTTGAGCCAACTGATAAAGTTGCCCATCTTGACGGCGTCGTGCTCGCAGCCGATGCCGCGCGCGTCAGGCGATGCTCGAGGCCGTTACGAGAGATGGATGGCCGTTCCGGGTATATCGTTGCGTCGTCCGTAATGAGTGAATGGAGTAAACGAGCGACTCGGAATAGAGGGCTGGCTGCGCAGTTTGAAGTGAACGCTCTAAAGACGTGGATTGAAGAGATGCAAAAAGCAGGGGTTTTGTGAGATTTGATAGAGGTCTGCCAAGGTGGAGGGAGGAAGATGAGCGAGACAAGAGGCAGGCCCGTCTAATAACGCCAGCCGAGAGCACTAGAGCGCTTGTCTCGTGCCCGTGCTCTGTGAATCAATGCTAGTCGCAGAATTGATCAACAATCGATCTGTCGATGGCGACACAGATGGGACAGGGAAGGCGAGTTCCGAGCAGCCAGCTGAAGCTGAGCGGCAGTGGGTGCCGGATCTGAATCGTCAAGTATAAACGCGTATCTCCTCGTCGAAGAAATGCCACGAGGAATGCGCCCCCCTTGATTAGCACCAGGTACTAGTAGTAGGATTTCTACCTCTCTTTGTCGTCTCGTCTAGCCTAGAGGTAGCTCGTATGTCTCTCTTACTCTTCTCCCGCTCTTTTGACTTGACGTTTGATTGTTTCCTATCAACCCCCCCAGAGCTGAGCTGGGCCCGGTGATGAGCTGGCCGTGCTACTAATAAGACACTGTCTCAGCCCGGCAAGGACCCGGCTGCGGCGCCAATCTGCTGATCTAGCCTATGTGGGCTCTCCCTCGCAGAAGCTTGGAAGAGAGGGTTGGGCGTTTTGGATGGTCTGGAAACCTGCGTGCTTGTCCAGCTGCGATTGGATCTCGTGCGTATGTGGCTTGGGCGGTTAATGAGCGGACTTGGCCGTGCCAGACGACCGGAAGGGCGAGAACAAAGAAGTCGATAATAGCGAGGGACAAGAAAACGGAGGAGAAGCACAATGCAAGGTCGAAACAAGCTGAAAATTGAAGAGAACTCCGAGACTAGCTGCGACTATCATTCATTGCCTGCAACGTCGATATGCAATTATTCGCTTGCAATTGAAGGCCTTGCGCCTCCCCTACATACTCACTGGTGCACCACAAGACCCTTTTCCCCGGTAATTTGAGCAGAATTTTCTTCTCGTCCTTTGCGGCTCGGCCCTCTCTCGTCTTTCTTTGCAGGTCCTCCCTGCCTGTGCACCGAGTTTCAACTCGCAATCTCATTTCCCACGAGGGAGGGTCACCGTTCGATAAACTCAATGGGGACGTGGCTTGTGGATTCAGCGCCGCCCCCCTGCTCGGCTGCCCTCTCTGCTTGTTGATTAGCTTGTCTTTGTGTTGGAAAAAACTTGGCTTGCAGCTCACTCACTCTACTAGTACTGCTCTTCTCCTCTCTCTCTATGATCCCTGCTCAGCTGTATCTTATGTGGGCCAAAGGGAACGGCGCCAGTCACACGCAGGCGTGGGTGACAAGCAGCTGTTTTGTGTCTTTACTCAATTTCAATCTCGTCATACTACCCCTTGGCTGTCCCAAAACTTGGTTTTGCAGCCGGGTCTAGACTCGGTGCTGGCCACGCGGTTCAGTCTGGTTTGAGCTGCGTAGTGTGTGGATGATGCCGACCGTTCTTTGGCTTCGGAGCCTGATTGAACTTCATGTCGTCTTGATGAGAATATCGGGCTCATTCTGGCTCAGCGGGATGCGCTTCCAGGGGCAATGGTTTAGGCACCTACCTACCTTGTAGTTTCGGCGCATTGTGAAGTCGTTGTGGCGTCAAGTTTTGTCAAGACTCGCCTGATTTCCCCCACGGGCATCATGAGCACGGCCACAGAAGATGAATGCCCCTAGGATCTGTGGCCCAAGGAGTATCAGAAGTTGTTCGTACACTTCCACTGTGCATTCTACCGAGGAGCCATCCCTGCCATGCTCGACTTGTCTGTATCTGTTCCGTTGTTGGCAGTTGTATATGCTTCAAGGGAGTCTTGTGAGAGCACAGAAACGGAAACATGCATTCTCGTTAATTTCACATCCGCTTGGGATCATATCAGAGCGGTGCAGGTACGGCCGGGTCTTCGTTCGCCTAAGCCCAAGGTTGCAGCCGCTGTGCTGCGACCATCCGCGAATCTGTCTCACTCAAGATGCATATGCTGCTGGATGCATCGAGGTTCGACTTCAAGGCGGCCTCCTACCCGTCAGCTCTTCTCCGGGTTGCCCCTCGAATTCACATGTTCTTGGTTCGCTATGAGCAGCAGGGTATTCTGCCCTCTCCCCACGATTCATGACAAGTCTGCGAATCATGGCCCTTGAGTGACCCCAGCTTCCCCCGACTGGAAAATCGAGATGATCGCCGTTGAAGCTGGCTGGTACTGTACGCATACCGTGTGGGTGGTGCCACACTCCAGCTGTCCTGCGTCATCAGCTTCTCACCACTCGATGACATAGTCCGCCATTGTTTTCTCAGGAGATTGCCGGACAAAATTCGGCACTCTGGGCGGCTTCTATTGTTAACCCAACTCGGCTGAAACAATCACGCGATGTGAGGATTTGTCAACTCAAAATATAGGGTAGCATAGACCAAACTTGACGAGCCTTCATGGCCCCTCAACTACAGTCAACCTATCTGAAAAGCCTCGATCGTCTGACCTCTTGAATTCATTACAAGACCAAGGTTATGAGGCATTGCACACGAGAGTTGCTTTAATCTAGAAAGTTGATGTCGCTTCTAGCTACTATGTCTTTGACGCACTAGATTTACCCCAAATATTTGACAGATGTCGAGCAGGCCTTCCATTTGAGGTATTCTGCCATATCTGGACGTGAACGTTTTCCTACTGCAAAGTGTATATCAAGGACCATGGACCATTTCAGATATCGTAAATACATCCAGATTGGGCGGCCGTGGGCAGAATCCCGACATATAGCGTCAATAGCACCCATGATATAAAGGCTCGGAAGCTGTTTGCGTTACGCATAGCGCATAGTGGAAGGGGAGAGGTGGAAGGAGAATTGCTACGAAGAACGAGAGCTACACATCATGGAGCAGGCCGAGGCTGACTTGTGGCACGAGGGTTCATATCTAGAAAGCATGACTTGGCATTGTATGAACTATCTCCTGATTCGTTATCGCACCTCAGAAGCTACATGTATCTCATACGGCCAGTTTGATACCTCTCTGATATTGTGTCTTGCGCCGTGATGTAATGTTGACAACTTTCCCAACGATGAGACATCCCAAGTCAGATTGAACGGTGTTCTTCTATTGCTGATATGGCAATGAGGAGAATTGGGAGCTAAGCGGAAGGAAGCGTCAAGATTCGAGTTTTGCGGACTTCCTCGCCAGATGTTCCAAAATATCGACCAGAGCGGAAACTGTGAAGCCGTTAACACATATCAATCATGGGGTTTCTGGGCCACGGATTCTCTTACCTCCAGTGAAGATTGCCAAGACCCACGTTACGACAAACAACCAGATATCTGCGCACCTCTTGGTCGATTCCTGCCCCCCAAACTGGTAGCTCATCCATTGCGTTGTACCAACTCTCATAGCAAGCGTCGAGCATTCTGCCTATTTTGTCCATTGCCTCCTGATCGGAGAGGTTCTGTGCCTTGAGTATTGTGACTAGATTGTTCCCTGCATCATTGAGCTCCTGGGAGAGGTTAGTAGCATGTCTCAAGAGCATGGAGAACCTTGTGGGAGACACATACCACTTCTTTCTTGTATGATAAGATGTCATTTGAGCTGAGAATTGGTTATTGAAAAGCCATCATCGGTGATTATGTGATATTGACTTACAGAATCACGAGATCTACAATCGTTCGAGTGCACAACTGCAGTGCCGGGTGATCCATCTGAGCTTGGGAAAGCTTGATGTTCTCTGCATATCTATGAGAGACAAAATGTTAGGGATTGTATATCTCAAGGGACGAAAAGAAGACTTACTCAACCAGTCGAATAGCCAATATAACACCGATCGTTTCCCTTCGGTAACTCATGTATTCATCCACGCTTGCGGAGGCAGCAGAACCAAGCTTTGTTCGCTGAGTTTGATAGATCAACCCCTCGACGTATTTCTTATGGGCATCTTTCCAACGTTCGCGTACTTCTGCTGACTAGTTAGGGCTTTTTCTTGATCCTGGGATGAGGTGTTTGATTTGTTTTACCTGGTGTGGCACCCTGTGATGCTGTGGTTAGCTGTGAACAATCAGATACGCAGAGGTCTACATACCGCCTTTATTCTGTCCCAAATAGACTGAAAAGCATATATGAGTGGCTTGTCGGTCTGAGCAAGAGTTGGCTTGTCATCCAGGATGGCGAGTATGGAATCAATCTCTGCCTGCGCCGCAGCTGGATCGTTTGCTAGATGTCCTTCATCGAATTCTATTCAACGAACGTGAGCTGTCTTCTCACCATATTCTGAGATCAGAGTGACTTACGATCATCAAAATAGAATATCTAGGAACATTCGTTAGACAATGAGCGATATCAATAGTAGGCAGTACAACTTACCCAATTTGCCCAGTCGACAGCTGTGCGGAACCTGTCCTTGTCTGCTGAAGGGGCCCATACAGCAGCTGCGAATCCAAAGTCGGTCTTGTTGAAAGTCGCCTCTGCTTTCCCTTTCAACTGCAACAAACTAATTCATGTCAGCCAAGCTGGCACCGGAAGAGGTTGGGCGTTTCCGTCAAAGTTACCTTTTGAACCACGCATCTGCTTCGGCCTTGACATCTTTGTAATGAGGATTGATGGTGGGCTCAACAGCCATGATCGAGGAGAACAAATCCGGAATCACGACCTGGAGTTGCCTGTCTGCTTGCTTTGGTGATTGTAACTTGACTGTAGGTGCGTCTAGCCGCAAGGTAGGCTCCAGAACTGTTAGAGTAGACATCGTAACACAATTGCTGCACTGTAGGCTGCGTGTTCGTCAACACAATAAGCTTAAATCTTTCTTGTTGGTCGTCTTTATGATACATCATCTATGTTGGCTCGGGCTCTGACGACTTAAGTAGATATCAAAACAATGACAAAACATTCCCAGACCCAGCAGCGAGCAATCTTAGGGGTAGAAGCTCGTAGAACAGAAGAGGCCCCTTCGCTTCTGCTGATGCCCTGCCATGTTGCTCTTCCCAGTCCTCCATCCTCGCAAGAGTAAGATATCAGACGGATCTTCTCCGTATCTGCCCCGGCAATGCCATATATCCTGGGCTGTATCGCAGATCTTCTGCTGATTTCGAAGGCGGCATCGTACTCGTTATTTGGCTGTATACGGATCTGGTTGTCGGACGTTTTGCGTAGCAGCTACGGTTACCTATATCCGACATGTGTAATACTCTTGGCTTATCTGCTGCGGGCTGCGGACCGAAGTGAACTTCTCCTGTTGCTTCTTTGGGAAGTTGCTGGTTTTCCTGGGACGTCTTGACAACCCCGGACAGTCCAATCTCACTGCCTTTTTCAGACGCGGCACTTGAATTAACCCCCTGTAAGACAGATGAGAACATTTTACATCCTCTATACGCCGCCGTATCCCGGGTTTCGGTCTCCATCTTCCGCCACGTCACATTGCTATCAAAGACGATGTCGTCGCTTTGTTTGATGACAAGGGAACAGAAATATGACGGTGTAGGGGTAAAAATCCTTCAGCAGCGATCGGATCGCAACCGAGGCGCACAGCCTCGAACTGTCGGCTTGACGGATGACAGCGGCACTTGATGACCGGGGAAACATTACCGATCATACGCGGCAAGTGAGTGGGAGGGATCATCCACTTACATACATACAGAAGTAGGTGTGGACTTGACTTGTCATTTTCCAACTGCCGGGCCGAAGTAATCCTGGATTTCCCCTTGAGATGACGGATATAGCCATTTTAGCGACCTGTGCTTCAAACGACACAGGCATACCTGAGTACCAACAATATCTATCATCTTTCATCGGGGACACGGAAAGACGCATGGTGTTTACTATACGACTGTTGTGCTCTCTGAGTCTCTGCATCTACTTCATATCGAAGATGCTACCTGACACATCGTCCGCAGCAAGCCTACTCCAGCAGAGTGCTCTTGGCAGGATTCTGCCCATACATCTACTGTCAGCAAGTTGCGATAGAGCTTCATCCCGTTGGGCACGGAGTACACCTCGGCAAACCTGGAGCATGGGCTGCCCGTGTTGTATTTTCGCTTACTATCGAGAAAGTTCCAAAGGTTTGCTAGACCTTCCTTGCCTGTCGAGGCGCTTAGAGAATGCCCACAATGCTCTGGGCTCATGGACCCTGGATACTCGAGTCTCCACTGACATGGCATCGAAATGTCAAAAGGCCTTTCAGTCTAGGTAGGTTCTATAGTACATATACACCCTACAAGCATCACAAAGGTTAGCTCGGTACGGATCAACAAAAGTCGCCACAGGTAGAGCAACCTGTAGAGCAGTCGATCGTAGTATGGGCAAGTAGGTTGCAAGACACTAAACCCTGGTATTTCTCGTACCTCACGATGTGCAGAGCTAACCTTTGTGATGCTGGTAGGGTGTATACTATTAGTACTCCTATAGACCCTGAGCATGGTTATCCCTTTCCTTACCAGGTTGCATTTCTAATGCTGTCACTTAGTGGACCAAGATGGTGATCATCTTCCTCTTATACACCCCCTGTCCGGGTCGTCAGTGCCGAAACGCGCGCTCCCCTGCATTCTGGGTTTACGTCATTTCGCTTGCGCGATGGGCTTTGATATCACTTAAGAGCACCTATTGCACCCAAGTTGACACTGGAGTGGTTATTCTTTTGTAATGGAAGGCACAGTACTGAGCTGGGAGTGAAGATTCCGACCTGTCAGCGGATACTGCGAATCGCAATCACCTTGATGTTCATAACAATGGTGAAGACACTTGAAGAGGCACTGAGGAGATCATTGACAATTTCAAAATAGCATCATTCATGTTCTCATATGGCCTGATAGCTTGCAGCACAAATGCCTTCTTCGGCCCAAGGTTCTATGTACAATTTGAAAGGATATACCCAGGGCTAACCAGCACCTCAACCTCCCCAAAATGACCATATGAAGCGTTGCCGTAATATTCGACAACCAAATCTCGCAACGGCCTGCTACTTGCTAGGACAATCAAGGAGGAGGCGCGCCGATGTAGACCGTGAGCTTCTCAGGAGTCCCCGTAGCCAAAGTTCCCGAAGCGTTCTCCTTGTCATTAGGATTGACATCATCATAGGGGAATGCATAACCACGCCCATCAACCTCGTAGTGGTGAACCAGACGGCTGTAGTGGTTGGCAGGGTTGGTCTTGTAGTACTTGGATCGGCTTACTCCAGGCTGAACGTCGCCGCCGGGAATCAGCAGGGTAGCTCGAACAAAGGCAGCACACAGGCGCGGAACAACGGCCTTGTGAAGCTCATTGTCCCCAGCCTTGATGGCAAACGGCCCGCTGTTGCAACCCCAGATGTCATTGGCACTTGGCTTGCTGTAGCTGCGGTTGTCGCCATCGCACTGGAGCTTGCCGTCCTTGACCTTGCACTCGACCTTGCCGGCAGAGGATTGCGTGTTGATGGTGAGAGTGTTGCTGGAATAGTGGTCCCAGACTTTGTCGACATAAGACTTCCAGTAATTCTTGAAGCCGTTCTTGTCGATGTCGCTGTAGTCGCCTGGTGCCAGGGCGCGGAGAAGTCTTCCCTCGGAGTTCCTGATGCACAGATTGGCCCAGGGGAAGCCGTCTTTGGCCGTCTGTTTAGCCAAGTCTTTGCAAATCTCACCGAGTGCGTAGGAGTGAAGACCTCTGGTAACCTGGGTGCTTCCATCCGTGGAGCTCAAGCTCATGCTGAGGATCATGCCAACAAAGTCGACGTAGCTGATGTTCGCCCAGACAGCCTTTCCTTCGGTATAGGAAAGCTCGACGAAGCCCCAGTTGATACCCGCGCTGGGGTCCTTGAGGTTTGCCGGAGAAGGCTGTACCAAGCCGTCGCCAGTAGGGATCTTGACGATGAAGAAGGGGAGAGTGCCTTCGGCGAAGTAGATGCGAGCAGACGTGATGACAATGGGGACAGTTACTGTGAGGGACTTGCCCTTTGCAGGCAGAGAGATCTTGATCTCGTCGCTGACGGGGACGGGGATCTCGGAGCCTCCGGAGCTGGGATACAAGAGGCTGCCATCGCCCTTGACGAAGACGACCCTGTTCTCAGAGTCGAGACCAGCAATGTACGCATTGACGTGACCGCCGCCGAAGCTGTTGACGAGTTTGATCGGGAGATGCCCAGACTTGGGATTGGCCTGGTTGGCGAATTTGTTGGGGCCGGTTGTTGCTGGGCTGTGGTATGTGCCGTTGAGGATGTTGTTCCCCGTGACGGAGATGTCGTCGATGCCTCCGGGGCTGGCGACGGAGAAGGGGGTTGCAACTCTTGTGATGAGAGAGGGGGCTGCCGATACTGCGCCCATGAGGGCAGTGAGGAGAGTGAAAGTACGCATGATGCTGTATGCGTACTTTCAGCAAAGAGGAAATCGTAGTGCGAGCAGGCAAATCCTTCAGGTAGAAGCAGACGGTCGCCTCTATTAGTCTCGAGGATCTACTCTGTTGCTGAGACTTTCCATCGATAATTCATGTCTGGAAGTCCTCTATATATAAGCGTCTTCATAACACAATGCGGGTTCAGGCTCTTGAGGTTGAGTCTTGCTCAATCTCGACATCTCGAGCCAGATATCGGACCGAACTTTGAAGCACGGGGATGGTGAGCTCCGCAGTGCCGCGCATTGTCCCCGGGGAGGATCCTGCAACAGAACCACTCATATTGTTGGGCTTCCATCTTTTAGTTGCTGGCCCGTGTTCTCTTCTGCTGCCTAAGGTGTGTCCAAGGCCGAGTTGAAGCAACTAATCACTCGGTGAGATGTCGCAATATGTGTTATCTCGAAGTGAATCTCGTGATCTATTCCTGTTCAGAACTGTCCACCTTCTGGCCGAGAAGCAATGGTCATAATCAGGGGCATCAAGTTACACGGCATACAGACCAACAAACTTCCGGACCGAGGCCTTTCAAATTACTGCACTCCCAACGGTTCGATTGATCAATACTGTTCCATCAGACACATTTCGGCAGTTGATAGTGCCCAGTTTCATGTTAAGCATATTCTTTGCTTAACGCCACTGCCTCTACAAGATACCCTACAAGAGATGCTCCTTCGGTTGAAGTCGGAGATTTGAGGTTATTCTTCTGGCCATCGGTGAAGTTGTGCCTCCGCACCAACGACCAACACTCCCAGCTAAATCAGGCACAAGACGCTGCACCCCACACTTTTGACCAAGGCATTATGCACAACAGCCATTGACGAGGTTATTGCTGCAACGTGACAGGTTGAGGAGGCGGGGAATCGGTCCATTAGTCGAAGAAACCCCCCACGGAGGATGAGACGAACGATCCTGGCTCCCGTCCTGTCCATACAAGCACATTCTAGAAGCTGATATATATAGACACGGGGGCCTAGTATAGCTGCTGCAGCGTAAGAAAGTACAACAATTCAATACATGCGAGTCTAAGGTTACAGGGGTGACTCAAGGATGGTAATATGGACGTTTGATCTAGTGCTGGATAAACTGAATCACCAGTCAGTTCATGACACGCTTGCAGACTGGCTTCGGGCAGACCATAGCCGTTGGACTCCTCATTTCCAGGATCATAGTCGGCACCGTTGTCTACAGCGGGGCTTTCAGGATGCATGCAGGTGTTGCGATATTGCAAAGCTTCAACAACAGACACGAAAGACGATCGTCATTGGCTACCAATGGATGCACGTGGTGAGTGCAGCCAGAGAAACATTTCCCAATCTCAAAGCCAACACGTAATTATAGCCAGATGTGCTTGTTACTATGGTGTATGTTATCTAACTCTAGGAGACATATGCCAACAATGACTCTTGATTCTCCCCCTTACTTTCGAGTACGACTCCACTCCAGAAGAGCAAGTTTGGGCAGACCTGGGGAAGTGGATTCAAACAATACCCACTGAGGAGACATTGAAGAGTCGCATTATGATTAGCAAGAATCCGTGCCACAGGTCCGTGAGGCCTGCAGCTGATGGCGCGATGATCTTCTTGTCACCTCTCATAAACCACAGGGTCAAAATACCTCACCCAGCACCGCCCGTGCGCAATCCGTGCCCCCTTATAGTTGCGAGTGCAGAATATGCCATCTACACGTGATAGACCGAGTTCTTGATACCTATAGAGTAATGCAGTAGCGAACATTCAGCTCGAAGAGGCTTCAATAACAGAAGTAATGTCTTATTCTTCAGTGCAAAAGCACATAAACGTTCTTGTGGAGGTAAAGGTCTGGTCCAGCTAAGGTGTATACAATTGTGCACGATATCTTGACCCCCGTTCAGCTGAATAGGAAAGTAGCCGACTTAGATCACAGCTGTAGTGGAGAGAGCACAGGGGCGGCGACAAATGAACCGTTATGTCCTTGGTCCATCATCTGAACTAAACCAGAGCTTGACCAACATGTGTTCAGTGCATTGACCATTGGCCGGGGCAAAAGTGATACTGAATGCGAATTGAAGGGTGAGGTCTGATATTGGCCACACATTGCAAAGGCCCATGTTATCTATGTGTATCTGCAGAGATCAGCGCGTGTAATAAGTGGTGCACTTTCTAGATAAGGATGGAAGCCTGACCTATTGATATAGATGAGATAACTGTCTTAGTTCGGAGTGATTCATATGCTTCCGCTGCCATGCCAGAGCACTAGCAATAAATACAGCAGAGGGGACCAATCTCGGCGACAGTGGGGTTTGCAATGAAATCCCAGTGCTCGACAATGCAGCTTCCCTTCTTTCAATGGGCATCGATGATTGTGATGGGAGAGTTGTAACCTCATGATGGTTCACGACGGCACTGTTGTTGGCAAAGATCTGGTGAACAACGGCCGTACCGGTCTTTGAGTTGTTGGAGTGGGCAGCAATGGCGGTGCCTCGGCCCTGTTGGATGAAAAGACCATGTTGGATGTAGTCGGTCCAGACATGTTTGTTCAATTTTTTGAGGATATCCATCACGAGGAAGAACTCCATTGCCAGATTCATAGACAATTCTCCCCTGTCCTTCGGGAGTGGAAGGTTGAAGTGGACAGACAAGAGGAGTTGTTTGACGGGCTTTGGCCGAGGGGAAGACAGATGGAACGGAAGCGGTGAGGATACTGAGGAGAAGGAGAAGCTTCCTCTTGCACTTTGTCAGATGAAAAACCTGGAGTCGGTTGCGGAATGCTGAAAACTGCAACGCATTGGAGTTTATTTGCAACAAAGGGAGATAGCTGCAAACTTTGCAATGGCATTGCAGAATGTGGAGGGAGACCTACGACCGATCTGCCTGTCGAAATAACATAGAAAACCCATGAAGCTCAGCGAATTGGAATTTTGGAGATACTATCGGACACAGAGAGAAGTACGACTGACACTCCGGTCGGCCTCTTCGCCCTGAAAACCCCTTCAAGAAGCACGATGCCTGTCGGATTGTTAGTATCTTCCCGATATGTAGCAAGTGTGCTGGCGCCGATACCGACTTGCTGATAGGGTGAGCTTTCGGAACTCTTTGGAGTGCCGAGCACCGACATAAGGCCTGTGATTCCCATCATGTATGGGCCTCATGCGATTATCAATTACACGGAAGATCAGCCTAACTCCGTAGCTTTTGATACTCTCCAACGAAAAGATTCGGTAGATGTTCACGGCTATGTTTATAATGTGCCGTCTAGGCCAGTATATAAATGGTGCTGGAGGCATGGAATACTAGATATGCCCTGGAATCTGCCAAATAGCTTTCAGCCCATCAAATCCCTATTTCATTTCTAGTAAGCGTTCCCATTACAATCACACGATTTCTTGTGCAGATTGCTTCAGGGGAACTATCCACGAGGGAACTCCAAGAGGCAAAGAGGAGACATTGCATCATGTCCTCACATATATCGCCGCCCCCGAGACGCACTCGAGCAAACTCACGGGACAACCAGCAGAAGAGGGCGGCAGCACATCTCTATTCGATGCTCACTTCGTGGCGCACCCAGACGGCCTTAAGGTACCGGATGACTTGTGTGTCGCAGCCAGCCGGTTCAGAGTCCCCGTCAGCCTTGCAGTTGGAGACCCTGACATGGTGTTGTCCAAGGCAAATATTGACAGCATTGAACGCGGACTGCGGAAAGCTTTTGAAGGAGAGACGGATAATAGTAAGACTTGTCTATCACAGTATTGTAAGGCTAACAGAATGTAGCTATATAGCAGGCTCTACTTTTCACTTAATAGACGCGACAATAAGAATAGTAATTTGCTAAAAGGCTGGACAAACAGGCTAATTTCTGTCTCTGTCTCTCGCTTGCTTGCACCCTATCGCGGCTATATCTGCCCAGGCGGCTCTTCACATGCGCAGCAACTGCAAGGCTCTGCCTATCTAATGCTAATATCATCTCACTATCATACATGTGTCAACCTCCACATCCATATCCATGACCACTCATCTCGTTTTCATACAGTTAGCTTACGCTTTGTGCTCATGAATATAGCTAGTCGTCCTCATTCATCAGCAAACCGAACTGTGAAGAGACTCTACTATCTCGGCCTGGGATTGTCGGCCGCCTTGATACGCGCGAAATACAGCTGTTGAGGCTTCTGCGGATTACCGTCTGACAGGACTGAAGCCATGACACCATGTGAATGCCTATTGACCAGCGATTGTTGCTTGGTTTTACGAGCTTCGAGTAAATGGACTTTTGACTTTATCCTCTCTCTGTCTAACTTAGTTTGGGAGTCTTGATCTAAGATCTCTGCAACTTGCTGGGTATCTACGAGTATTTACTCGACCGGCCCCTGAGCTAGGCAAGGGGATAACGGCATTGTCATGGAAGATTTCTCGGGACGGCCCCGAGACGACCTTATAGGTAATCGCCTTCCAGGAGCTCTTTAGACACAGTTGAGAAGCATAACGGTCTTATGTGGCGCTGTTACGCAAGCCTGACGAAGCGCGTCCGAGCACGACACTCTTTGGCCCTGCCGAGAGGAGCACAAGTGATTTCACTGCGATTTCTTATCAATTTACAAGACATGCCGAATTGTCGACTTACAAATATATATGCGCAAGGGATCGGTTCGCTCACTCGTATCTGCTCGTGACTATTTATCTGGAGATCCATGATGGATTCCCAGATCTGGTGTGGTTCATCTTGCATGTAAAAGCCCCGCGCGGGCCGCAGTGGGCCGAGTATCGCAGGGGGGTTTGCTTGTGATGCTATTCAGGGCACATAGCTTGCATTGTTCTTAATCAGTCGATGCTTCGGCTCGGTCTTGTTTCAAACACTTACTCTGGTCGTTTGACATGATTCTTATAGAGCTTAGAACTGTAGTATACTCTCCATCTCGCTCATACACGGGAACTCCCCGGTAGTTGTGATGGCCATCTTCGGCACTCGGGACTCCACAAGCCCTAGCGTAGGTAGCTGACGACCTCGGATCTCGATGCCGAGAGCGGTACATCATTGGCTGGTTGTTGAAGGGCGTGACGGATGAGAGCCTGGGACGAGGTATGACGCGCCCAGACTTCAAGTCCCTGAAAGAGCATGCTTGTGCCTACATTTCAGCAGGTACTGGGCGCTCTTACAAGAGGGCTGCTGTTGTCGACTCAACCGAGATTTCGGATAAACATTACCTCTAAACCTTTCGTGATTTATGCTTTAGCACGAGGCCAAAGACGGGTAGATTGGAGTACCAATCAGCTACCCGTCTCCCTTGGGCATTGGTTGGGTATACACACATTCAACGGTGTATTTAAGGGCAGATCCATTGTTTCAGTAGGTAGATGGATTGTAACAACGGTCAACATTCCTTGGCCCGTAGCTGTCGCAGATTCTCCCGGCTTGACGCCCACAGCCTCTTCCTTCATCTGACGCGTTTGCATCAACCTCCTCTACATCGACCATATTCATCCCAGCCAACATGGGCGATAACAGCACATCTGATATTGGCGACGCGGCCTTGTACCACCTGGAGAGGTTCAAAAGAAGCCTCGACGCCCTCGACGGCAAACCAACGTGGGACCTCGCGGACACGGCCGACTTTGATTGCATGCACTATCTCGGTGACGTTGCTCTGGAGAAGGCTGCCAAGGCATTGGATCTGAAGCCTGGTCAAACTGTTGTCGACATTGGATCGGGCTTCAGTGCCACCGGTCGCTACTTGAGCAAGCACTACGGTGTCGACGTCACAGGAATCGAGCTCCAGCCCGAAATCCACGAACTCGCCGAGCTGATTACTGCACGAAACGGTCTCTCCGAGCACGTCCGATCGGTCAACGCCGATTTCACGACACTCACTCTCGATGCTCCGGTGGACCACATCATCTCGTTCTTGTGCATTCTGCACATTGCCGATAGAGATACCTTGTTCAAAAAGGCCGCCAGTGCCCTCAAGCCGGGAGGCAAGATGTACATTGAGGATTACTTCGCCCGGACAACGCTCAGCAAAGACGTCCGCGATACATTGCGCAACATCGCGTCCTGCCCATACCTCCCGAACCGCGATCAGTACATCGCAGACCTGGCAAAGGCAGGGTTTAAGAACATTCAGTTTGAGGATATGACGGAGGAGTGGGCCAAGTTTGTGCATGAGCGGGCAGTGAGCAACAGGCAAGGGGGGACTACCGCGGCACCGCTTACTTTGTTTTACGATACTATTGATGCATTGTTTGCTGGTGGCGAGTTGGGTGGTGTGCGCATTACCGCCACCAAGGCATAAGCATCTTTCTCTTTGGTCAGATTATAATAATTACGAGGAATTCTATTTATCTAGACTGGTCAAGCTCTAGCATTGAAATTACTTACCGAGACCCCAGGTTTAAGTTTCTGAAGGCTTGTCTAGCCGTGCTGGATGAGAGGTCGAAAGCGATGGCATCACGACACTACGAACTTGTTCCCATCATCTAGTATTCTAAGTGCCCTGGGGGTAGAATCTTTATGCATGTGCTCTTCTCCTATAACCGCATGCTTCAGTATAATAGAAGCTAATGTCATATCATTTAGTAAGCTAATATAGTATAAGAAGAGAAGATGGACAAAAAGGAGAAAGAGTAAGAAGTAAGAGAAAAAGAGAAAGAGGAGAAAGCTGCGCTAGCCTTATTACAGGCCATAGCCTTATTATAGCCTGATTATAGATAGACAACTTATTACTAGCAGCGCCATGCCGTTATTGCCTTCATTATTACTGCGGAGGGCGAGGGCAGTATTGTTTATGTCGCCAGGGAGCGCGTTTCCGGGAACAGATCGGTCGCCCAAGAACGAGGGCCCAGGGACGGGCGTGTTAATCAGCTCTGGGGTCTATAGTGCTTTGAAGGCGGCCTTGGAAAGGAATTTGCCCGTGACGGGATCTCGAGGACGGGTGTTGTTAAGGTTCCTCTTCTTCGGCATGAACGAACGGCTCGTCTTCGTCTTGGTAGTAACTGCCGCTACGTCCTACGCTCTCCTCACTCTACAGCTGCTACTGCCTTAAGGCTAAGGATAGAATAGCAGTAGCAGCAGCAGCAGTAGTAGAAGTAGTAGCAGTAGTAGCAGGGCCTTATCTAATTTTTCATAAGTTCTTATTTACAGCTATTAATCTGTATTAGCCCTTCCATGTTAGTATTAAACCTCTATTATGTCTTCTACATTATATACCTCCTTACTAGTGTTAACTGCCAGTGTTAACTCCTAGGCCTTAAACAGGGTACTCAACAGCTGCAATAAGACTCTAAACCCGCTAACCAAAGCCCTATGAAGAAGAGATTCAAGTAGCTGAACTCGAAGATGAATGAAACCCTGGAGCAGTAGGCTTATCTTAGACTGGGCCAGAAGTGATATGTGTGTCCTGCGGTCTCTTCAAGAAAGCTCAATCCGGTTTCCGTAGGTGACCTGCGATTATGGATGGCTTATGTTGGCCTATCAGAGAGAGAGTAGCCAGCACTGCCTGCATTCTCGGCCTCCCCCATCCAACGACCAAAAAGGGCTGCAGCCAACAACAAGAAGCATGTACCCTGCGAATGCTCGCCCCCTCAGACAACACTATCTGTCATGAATTGTGACTTGGATTGGGGCGGTGTACGAGGATGTGCATATACTAGCAGTCAGGCCGCAGCGAGGCAGGCCGCAATCCTTCGCGAACTGCAAGGGCTTCATCCTTGCCCCAATGATTCCCACCTATCAGTCCCCCCCGGCATCTAATGCAGCCCTCTTGATACTTGTACCAAAAGACCTAAGCCTTGTTTTCTCCTCTCAGCCTCAGTGCTTCTCACCGACATCTGTCGACACTGAGGCATTCTATGAGGCTGGCTGCGGGGCATATATGCAAGTGGTGCGGACTATGTTGCTCTGTACTTTGTAAGACTTTTACCTCAGCTCTCATGCATGCGGGTGATATAAAATTGGCGTCGTGATTTTTTGCTCTGGCTTGCCCCGTTATCCTGTTGGCATTTGCAATTGTGTGGCCATCCAACAATAGCCTGGTTCCTCTGACGCCCTTCTGTCACACAGTCAAGTAGTAATGCGCCTCTTACAGATTGGACAGGATGGCGAGCTTAAGTTCACTAGGAGATTCGCAGGCGGGGATGTACCTCAGTATGCTATACTCTCGCACACGTGGGGGCCGGACGATGAGGAGGTCGTCTTCAAAGATGTGGAAAACGGGACGGGGATGAACAAGGCTGGTTACAGCAAGATACGCTTCTGCGCCGATCAAGCAAGCCGCGATGGCCTCAAACACTTTTGGGTCGATAGTTGCTGCATCGACAAGTCGGATAGTGTTGAGCTGTCAGAGGCCATCAACTCAATGTTCCGTTGGTACAGCAATGCCGCTCGGTGTTATGTCTACCTCTCAGATGTTTCAATTGCCAATCCTGAAGAGGCCAGCGAGCTCAAGCTACTATACGAATGGGGGAATAATTTCGAAAACAGCAGGTGAGTATAGCCGCTTCGGTGTGGTATCGTCGTTCGCTTCAGCCATAGGTACTTTAGGCCGATGTGGACTCAGATGTACTTACTTCGCACCCCGATCCAGGTGGTTCACTCGCGGCTGGACACTCCAAGAGCTCCTTGCCCCCAAGACGGTCGAGTTCTTTACCAAGGAAGGCTGGATGCTTGGCAACAAGGGACTCTTAGCCCAGAAGATTCATGTGATAACGGGCATCGCCATTCCGGCTCTTCTTGGTCAACCTCTGTCTACCTTTACGGTTGAGGAAAGACTGGGATGGGCCGAGAAAAGATCAACCACACGCGAAGAAGACTGGGCATACTCTCTCTTGGGCATTTTTGGCATCTTCATGCCGCTTATATACGGTGAGGGGAAGGGCAATGCGACGCGCAGGCTCAAAGCCGAGCTCAATGACAAGATACTTCGTGAAGACGCCTCTCACCGTCTGCAAGGTAAGCAGAACCAGGTCCCCAAATGAGCTTCACTAAGGACTGCGTGATCTTACTTACCGTGTCTGGGGAAGTAGGTGCGGGTGGACTCGCCAAAACCGGGGAAGCAACCCGCCTGTTCTCAAACCCTCCCCCTGGTGCCGAAGCTGTCGGTGCTCCTTCAATCGTCTATAACCGGCAGGACAATAGGCCTTGTAACCTTCACCGGTTCGTCGTTGAAAGCCAGGTTGCATTCGGAAAGGAACTAAACCATGACGTCTACTCTGTGATTTGCCAATTGTGCAACAAAGTCCGTAAAAGTTGCCAATTCTCTGCCTCCTCATCTCGCTAATGACAACATGTGGCTAGAATTACGCGAAAGAACGTATCGATCTTCTTCCAGGTACTTCCGAAACCAACGAGATGCGTGGGAAGCAGATACGGAATGCAGACATGCAGTTCAATTGCTACAAATCACTTGATCATCCACACATCGTTCAGTGCGTTCAGTGTGAACTCAGCGATTTCATGGGGTACCAGCTGAACGTTTACATGGAAGATTGCAATTACGGGAACCTGGAAGAGTTGTTTCAGCGTGGACGGGTGTGAGCAACAATCGAGCACTGTTAAGGTCATCTTGATCGCAAGTTGACGACACTGACGTTTTATGTAGGAACAGATCTCGTCTCGACGTATTTGCGTGGAAGGTGCTGGAAGCTCTTGCATCTGCTCTGGCTCGCTGCCATCACGGGCTTGCGGCATCCCACATCGACGGCGTTCTTTCGGAATATACCGACTTTCAGGATGGATGGACCACTATTCTCCATCGACATATCAATCCAAGAAACAGTGAGCTACACCGACATCTATATACAAATCCGGGTCAACAGTAACAGTTGAGTTTAGTCCTCAATAAATTCCAAAACCTGGAATTGGTTCCTAAGCTTGGAGGCTGGGGGGCATTGTTCAAAATGGAGGACGATTGTAATTTTCCGTTGACTCAACAGACTCGTCCCAAAACCTACTGGGCACCGGTAAATCGGCCTCAGCATGAACTTCACGCTTGCAGTGGGTAGCTGACAAACTTGACAGGAAATTGTCAAAGAAGCGACGTTGTTCAGTGGGCGAATCACCAATTGGTCCACCAAGAGCGATGTATGGGCCGTTGGTGCGGTGATATACTGGATATTGACGGGACAGGCACCCGTCCAAGACCCAGTCAAGGGCCATTTAATGAACTCTGGCAGCATCCTTCTATCTCTCGCGGGTTTAAATGACGATCCTACTTCTATGTCGACGTCACTCGGCCGGCTCGTTATTCAATGCCTCGACAGCTCCCCAGACGCTCGGCCCTCAGCACTAGAGCTTCTGGCTGTCGCTGTCAATGCGGATACTTCAGGACAAAGCTTCCGCAAGAGTGTCAGCTTCTGGAAAGCCCTGTCGACGCACACAAACAGGGAGGTTGTAGCCACGGTCACAAAGCACTTTGTATCCACTCACCTACCAATCCTAGCAAGAAGCCAGACGGTGTTCGATCCCAAAGAAATCGCCATCATCATGTCGCTGGCAAAGGCCTATTGCCCCGAAAACCTTCGTGAGTGTCATGACGACTTGTGCGCAGGACCTACGTATAAGAAAAAGGGGAGCACGGCTTTCCATGCTCTGGCTTGCATCGAAGTCGAGGATGAGGAAACCATCCGCCTTGCCGTAACCGATTCAAAGTGGCCAGAGACAGAGGAATTTATGCATCTAGCGCTTCAGAAAGACAACCGTGGACTACTCCCCAGTGCTCTGGCTGCATCAAAGCAAAATCTACCACTTTGTGCCAGCTTGACAAGCATTGAGTAAGCTTACAGCGTGCGGTTGGTTGGGTTAGATCAGTGTAACTGACACGCAGTGCAGGGACCGGTGCAGAGAGGCGATATCTGATCAGCTCTTGCAAAACCAGATAAACGCTCTTAATAGCCAACATGAGGACGAACTCGGCCTCGTTTTTGAGCATCTGGCAACTAGATCAGGTGGTCAGCTAGACATACCAGCCCCCCACGCAGCCACGATGATGATTCGAAGCGCCAGTCGGGGCTCCTCATACGTTGTGCGGAAGCTTGTCGAATGTGGCATTCGACCGTCTGTCCAGGACGGAACGGGCAGCAGCACGGTACTGCACATTTTCTCTGCTCGAGGAGACCTGCCAATGATCAGCTTTCTCTTGGGCCACGGGGCGGACGTCGAGGCCAGAGACAGGAATCACCGCACTCCTCTGCATCAGGCTGCTTTGTGTGGGCACACTGACGCAGCGCGAGAGCTGCTGAACAGAAATGCAGACCTAAATGCTCAAGATCGACAGGGAAGAACACCACTCTATCTAGCTACGTTACGAAAGCATGCAGATGTGGTTCGATTTCTATTAACTGTTGGCGCTGATAAGTCACTCCGTGGAGGGTCTCACAACAGAACGCCGCTGGAGGTGGCCATCAGCACCGACCAAGTGGACATATTTAAGATACTTGAAGATAACGACGACGGGAAGTAGCTGCGAGTTACAGTGTTGTATTCAGGCCTCATTAGCTTGAGCTCTGCGCAGCAATACAAACCATGGAGCTTACAGAGGGGGAATCATCACATAGCATACAAGTATGCTGAGAATATTTATGCAGTTGAGGCTCGAGCACCTTAAACCATCCAACTCTATACACCTACAATCCAAGACGGCTAGTCGTATCCCGACGCAGGTCATCACTGCAGAGAAATCAAGGATCAATTGTATTTCAGAATATTGCAAGCCCTTATCAAGCCGGTACTGAATCATTGTTTTATTGAGAGGATCGAGTGTTCCGTTCTTGATGAGAACAAACAACGTTCCGACTTTTATCCCTGAGTATCATGTATCTTTAGTAAGCGAAAATCTCATAATACGAGCAATACGGCAGTACGCCGTTGTCCTCCTATTTTAAGCAGCGGGATTCTCCTATTTACTGCACTTTATTTCAAGCTGCCTCAGCTTCTCTTCTCGCCAGTTGATTAACCTTTGGCACTCTTTGCAGACGTCCTCAATGCCTCCCGCGGCTCCTCCCAAGACAAACATTATCAATGTTTTCGCTCGATGGCGGCGGCTCGCTCAATCGGAAGCTGCAGAGGGCACAATTGATTACAGCACAAGTTCCACGGATTCCCACGGCCTTTTGTCAGTATCCATAAGCGGAGGGAATTCAGGGTCAACTCAACCATGGACGAGCCCCCCAGCCTTCAACGCCATCTTCAACCCCGAAGACGACAACGGCAAGGTTTACAAGTCCATTGTGGCGCCTGCCATACCTCATGTTCTGCGAGGGGGGAGCTGCAACTTCTTCGCATACGGCCACTCTGGGAGCGGCAAGACACACACCATTATCGGCTATGATTATGAAGACGAGAGAGAGCTCGGGCTTTGTCTCGCTGCTGCTCGGCAACTTTTCAAGGTCATCGACGATCTGAATGCGAAGAACGCTGGAGAGAAGCTGGGAGTCGGCTTCAGCCTGTTTGAGATGCGCAAGAAGTCGGCCTTTGACCTTCTCAACCGGCGCACCGAATGCCACGTCAGAGAAGGCCACGATGGCAAAGTCCACATTCGCGGAGAAACCGAGATGCTAGAAGGTGGAAAAGTCAGAGTCTGTCCGATTGTCAAGCGACCCTGCTGGAGCTACGAATCTTTCCGACAGGAGCTGACGCAGGCCATTGGCACTCGAGCAGTGGGCTCGTCCAGCGTTCACAACCAGAGCTCCAGAACTCACGCAATCTTGGAGTTGGAGATCATCTGCCAGTCGCTCGTGGATGCACGCCAGGCTGTAGTTGATCGACAGTCGGAGCTCGTCCCTGTAGGGAAGCGGGCGACGGACATTAGCATTGAAGAGCAGATGAAGGCTCTCATTCCCCTTCCTGGAGGGAAATGGGCCCCCAATCCTGATTACGAGATGAATCAAGAGCGAATTGATGCAGCTGAAGCTGAAAAGTCTGAGCACGAACGTCGAGTTGCTGTTGCAGAAGAGCTTGTCGACAACATTCTCAAGTCATCAGCGACCCCTTGTTTAGGTGCCAAGATGGTATTTGTCGACCTTGCTGGCGCCGAGTATCACCAGGAGAAGGGCGCACAACAACTACAAATACCGAAGCAGACTCCTCAAGAGCGCCAGGAGGGTCGCCAAATCAATACAGATCTGTTAGCACTAAAGGAGGTCATGAGAGCCTGGGCTACGAATCAATCGAGAATACCATTCCGCTCGTCAGCTCTTACAATGGTACTTCGTGAGCATTTCTTGAGCTCTGAGAAGGGAAATTCTACCATGATTGTCACTGTCTCGCCTGCCAAGGAGCAATATGCAGCTACCTTGAATTCCTTGAAATATGGTAGTCTTGTTGGGGTTACAAGGGCTTAGTTAATTCTCATTTTTGTTCTTAGCTCGTTAGGACTTGAATGCTTGGGACAAGAAGGATAAGATAACCCTTTACTTGGCTGTTATGCATGGATATGCGGATGTGGTACATCTTGAATTGTCCATTCTATAGATGAGGTACAGTGAGAATCCAAGCCGGAGAGTCATACGCCGACGCTGGCAATGAGCGCAGAGAAACGAAGGCTTCCAAAACGAGATACACCCGCGCAACAACATACAAAGTCCCTCCTATGCAACACAAAACGTAAATAAGAACATGACTCCTCTTTCGCTCCGCCCCTTCCAGTATACCGTACCAGAACCACCATACCGAGCCGGACAAGTGGCCCATGAGGTTCAGCAACGACCACAACAATCCGCTGAAGACAATGTAGACGCCCGACGCTCTCCAAAACCAGGACTCGATCGTCGTAGGGAATATCTCGTTCCACCCGGCGATGTGAACGGCGCCGTATACTGTGCTGGAACTCCATAGGATAATTCCCATTAAGTGGCCCTGCATGTGACGCAGCAGGTCATCGCCGGGCCAGTTTCGGGGACGTTCGACGACGAGCTCTTCTGATATACACCACCAGCTTAGGTTTGGGTTTGCCTTAGCATGGTCGCTTGGCTTGTGGCCGCTTGGATGCTGGCTTACTCTATCTGGCATCTCAGGATATAGTCGATGGGCCTCTCGATATCTCAGTTCAGCCTGGTCACATGGAGGGACGTCGAGACGTTCGTGAATGGCTGGGTATCGTTCGATAGCGTCGCAGGCGAGCTGCCATCTGACGTCCCGCATGGCCGATGTAGTCGTCTTGGTAACGGCATCCTCTATGTGAAGAGTCTGCCCTGATGCTTCAAATTCATCGTTGAATGCCATGTATCCTTTCGTTGCAAATGCCCTGTTTGGTGGCGTAGATTGAATATCCTCTTCGGATCCTGTATGGCAGTGTATATCCTCTGAGCTGGAGTGACTCGGTGTGTATAACACTCCGCTCATTTCCGTCTTGACGCCAAAGTCGCGTAGAACGTCTCGATTGGCCCTGTTCTCCTGACTGACTTGGCTAGACATGTACATGAATGCACATATCTCTCGCGTCCAAGCTCCCCTTAGTATCGTGGGCTCTTTGATCCATTTTGGCTTATACCACCAGAGGACATAGTTGATCAATGCACAAACAACGTGTCCGATGGTGTTTGTTTCGAGCGGCATTATCGGAAGACCCGCTGCTACTCGCACAATAGCTTGCACCACCATCCAGCCGACTTGGATACAGCAGATGAGCTTTCCCGACCCGTCGGTTTTGCTTTTGTCTTTGATCTCTTCGACGGAGATGTCGGGCAGCAGGCCGCATCTCGCGAGGAGCTGGATCCCTCGTGGGGTTACATGGAGACGCCGCTGGGGTATGAATGGTGGACCGTGTAGCATTTCCGGGGTGGCTGTATCGAAGACGAAGCCACCCATGCCTGCATAGAAGCCATGGACCATGGTCCACCGCTGTCTCCCGCTCATGTCTGGGCCGTTGTTGCTGCTCTAGTTAAGGAGCTTGTTAGCAATGAACATGTTGATTGCGCAAGGACGGCACAACCTCCTTGATAAACTTGGTCAGTGTACGAGCGGATATGAACTGGCGCCATGCCGCCCAGATGACGAGCTCGGGCCCAAATATCCCCAGTACGCCCCATTTCAGATATCTGTAGGTGTACTCAATGTCGCTCTCACCGTATGGTGGGAGATCCAAGTGGATAGCGGACCAAACGCACAAACTGAGCGTCAGGAGACATGAGAAGAGCAGCGAAAGAGTGCCGCGACCATCTGGATTGGGCACATAACCGACAAAAGTGTAGTTGACGAATTCAGGGCGCTGAATCTCCATGGATATATTCACATCTGTGAAGGAAACCTTGGTGACGAGTAATGGAGTTCGGATTGGAGGACTGTCATGGCAACTCAACTTCAGGCCTTGGGGCCACCGTTCAATTCATATCCTGGACTCTTTAGCAAGGTAAGACGTAACAGAATGTTGATTGCGCACTCGAGTCCGGCTGAAGATGCTGCTACAGGTTTGAAGCAGTGAGCCGATCCTTCAGGAAGGGCTGCCTGGATATCCATCCAACCAGAGTCTCGCGTGGCTCGCGGGAGAACGGCTGCTCCCTAGCTCTGGCTTCAAACTCGTTCCAAAAATCATGCAGCCAGGCGTTGGTTGGACCAGCTGTAGCTGTGCTTCCCCTCATTGGATCGCGAACCGCTCCGCTGACTTATGACAGGGATTCCTAGCGGCTCTTGAGGGAAATCCTTCCTCGATATTTCCGTACTTCATCCTTCTTACACTCCATCCTCTTCTCTGACGAACTGGAACCTGCTGTTGCTGGATGCCTCGTTTGAACAATGTCTCTTCGGAAAGGGGCATCGCAGTCCGCTTCGCAAGTGAGCATGGAAGAAAGGAATCCGCTTGTGAAGGACAATAAGCCGGGCCATCTCTGGCTGAGGGTGCCGAGGTTGCTGTACTTTCACGAGATCCCCAGCTGGCAACAAGACAATGAGTATCTGTTGTCTGGCTATAGGTCAGTGTGCCGTCTACCTAGTAGCGTCGTTGTTGTCTTTGCTCATATCTTTGCGGCAGACCTACGTCTGGCTCTACTTGGACTTCCATTGCCGGCTTATTCTATCTACACAACCAGACGATCAACATCTATTCACATCTAGTCGGCGCTGTTGTGTTTTGCGTACTGCCGTTTTACTTTTACTGGAACTTTTATCGCTTCCAGCCCAATGCGCACCTTGACGATGTGATTGTCATATCCACTTACTGCCTTGGAGTTGCAGTCTGCTTTACCTTTTCTGCGACGTGAGTAGAGGCTCTAGCCCATCCATTGCTAGCTCGAGTTGCTGATGTTTACACAGTTTTCACATCATGTGGAATCACAGCCAGCCTCTGACTTCGTTCTGCAATAAGCTGGACTATCTCGGCATTCTTGTTCTGATGTGGGGAGCTGGAATTCCCACGATTTACTATGGCTTCTTTTGCAACCAGAACTTACAATGGCTTTACTGGATGACTGTAAGTTACAATTGTTTATCGTGACCTGTTATGTGAGTCTAACGCCTTCTTCATAGACATCCAGCACCGCACTTCTCTGTACCATAGTTACGTTGCACCCGCGATTCATCTCGCCTCATTTCAGGCATTGGCGTGCGTGCTTCTACGCCGGCTTTGGGCTGAGTTCTGTCATATTCGTCGTTCATGGCTTACTTATCCATGGGTGGGCCGTCCAAAAGGCTCACATGTCGTTGAACTGGATGGCATGGATGGCCACCTCTAACATCCTGGGCGCAGCCATCTATGCAGCCAGAGTAAGACCAGTCATCTCTTGAAGCTGCTTGATATTCTTGGACCTCGTTACGCTGACTGTACACAGATTCCGGAGAGGTGGTTTCCTTACACATTTGACATATTCGGCGCCAGCCACCAGATCTTTCACGTTGCCGTCATGGTTGCCGCCGTGATACATTTCTGCGGCCTGCTTCAAGCTTTTACTATCATTCGCTCAAACGCTGCAGTATGTTTTAGGTCATAATGCCTGGATCGGTAAAACCGATGGGTAGATTGAGGAGTTATAGACCTTGGTTCACATCTTCGTTCAAGGCTGTGTCAAAGTAAGCTTCTATCTAAGCATTCAGCCACTCGGCGATGCCACAAACCAACGTAACCGAGACATTCTGCCGAGGTTATAATGGACTAGATGATCAGTGAGAGCAGCCTCAATTAGGTACATTAAATTAAAGAAGACTACCTAGACTCTTATAGTCAAAGGTGACCTGTTGGTGGGCATGGCTCACCATAGAAGTACTTTAATTCCCATGCCAAGTACTTACCGTCTGTAACTCAGAGCCGTGGGCTCAATACATAAGACAGCTATGGCCCAACATGTGGTGAATTGCAGCTCTGTTGTGAGACACATCACAGCAGTTGTTTGGGTGACGAGCTTCGCCACGAGAAAAACGCCTCGACCAACCTTGAGACGCCAGCTTCATTTCTTCCAACACAGATAATGCACGGTTTCTTCATCATCACGACTGCTCTCTTGGTTTCTATCATAGGCTTTCTAGACTACTTCCGCAGACGCCGTCACGTACGCCATACGCTGCGAACTTTAGGTCATGCAGCCCAATCGAGCCAGCCTATACCAGGAGTCATTCTTGAGCATGAAGGCGATTCAACCCAGCCAATGCTGCCCTCATACCAACAAGCAACTGAAACAGTCGACGACACAGCTTGCCACAGTACATCTCGTCTTGACTCACCATGTGTCTGTCAGACTCATCAAGGCTGTTGCCGAAGCACAGCTCATTGCGGTCGCCTCATCGGAGCTTCGTTGGGCAATCATCCAGCTCCCTCCATTTCCAATGTTTCACTTCCAGTGAAAGTGACGTTTCGAAGACGAAAACTGGAGACAATGAGACTGAGGAATCTACACCTGGGCCGCAATCATCCCTCACGATTACGCCTGTACATGCCGTCATGGCCTACCACCTCTCACTAGACCACCTAAGTTGCATCCGTGGCCGGCTTGCCCCTGGAACAAAAATGGCCTTTATCCCGGAGCTTTCTTACGAGGATCACTGTGTCTCTGAAATCAGCACTAGCTATTGTTTGTCAAGTGAAATTTACTTTCATCGGGGAACCTTTTTACAGAAACAGGAAGTAGACTGTTACCTACATCGACAGGAAGAGAACCAACCGGAGCATTTCACTACCTGTCCGCATCAGATCTTGACCGTCTCCGCCCCCCAATTCACTATCAGTAACAGCATGCAAGAGGTATCATCACGGTTAACAAACAACCCACCCCGGTGCGCGTCTCATGGAAGCGAGACATGGAGCAACACTCAAGGACAAGATGCTCAGATCGTGAGCTGCAGAATCTGCCACTCAGAGGCAGAGTGTGTTTTAAAGCTACATTGCCGCAGTTTGCGCATCAGATATACCTGTTACAGAGACCTTGGCCCTGGAATGGATCCCAGCCATCCTAAATGGCTTGCGCTGCTTACAGGCAAAGGGACCCTAGTCACCAGGAGCACGAGCTGGAAGTATATACAAGGGTCTGGAATACGGCCAACGACTTGCGGCGACGTGGTCTGAATAAGGTCAGACACCAGTTGCCAAGCGGAGTGTTTGAGAGAGGTACTTAACAGATCATACTCAATGATGAAGAGCAAAAGGGAGTCATAGCAAGGGAGGATATGGGTACTGGAGAAAGAAAGCTATAGAGAAGGAGATAGCGATAATAGAAGATATAAGCTACCTAGGTATAGACAAATAATAGTAGGGCGTAGCGATAATAGAAAGGCATAGCTTCTTGGAAGGGGTTCCTAAAGCAATGCCAGGATAGCAATAACAATGTTATCCTTATTAGCGACTCTCCTTACTCTATGCTCTCGCATCCCCTTTCGATCATGACTCCAGGCCGGTGGCTTAGTCGGCAATGCTGATGGCGACCTCGCTGTGCCAATGGGGGCTGCTTTTGGCCGTTGCGTCTGGGCTGTTGTTTGTTTGTTTGCCTTGGTGTAGATGTCTTCAAGTATAAATATTCGCATTAGCAATGTTGCCGTTGCTGCTGTTCAATCCAAATTTCCTCCCGGTGCTCTTGTTCATACCCAATTCCCATGTGTATATCTCCACACTATCGTGTACTGAGCCTGACCAATGTCTGTACCACGATAAGCAACAACCTGCGAGGATGAGTTGAACATCTGCTTGAAGCATACGGGTGCTTATGTAAAAGACTGAGAAATATCCGATTGGGTATTCGTATTCGTAGTATTGCCTGGTACTTTGCGTATCAGGCATCAGCCAAGGCTTTGGGCGTGATTTAGTTTTCTCTTTTCTCTTCTTTTCAACTTGCATCGCAGAGCGAACTTGCCATTCACAATCTCGGCCTGCAATCAGCGACGTTTTCAGCTATTGCGAGGTCAGTCAACCCTCTACATACCTACCTCCTTGCCTTATCACTTTCCCTCACGTCATGTCTGATGCCCTGCTGGAGATTGAATGCTCTATGTGCACTGCTTTTGAAGACGTACTTTCTGGAGAACAGAAAGAATTCGAATTTGCCATTTGGGACAACGTATCCGCGTGTAAGTCCCATACACCCATGCTCGAATGGATTCAGGAAGATTATCATAAATGGATGAAGATTATGGCTGCATCTGGGTTTTTCAGGACCGAATACCCTGCCCATTATGTGAATGTATGCCAATCTCGAAAGGGCATGCCGACACTTGAGATTCTCGACTATAAGAGACGTGACAAGAAATCCTACGAGTTTGGAGTGCTGCGATCAAAGCCGAACGTCGACACATCAACTGGAGAGTTTACGATCAATTCATCCTGGGTAGACACGAAGCTCGCGACTACGTGGAAAGACAGGTGCATCAATCATCACGGATCACCTTGCCGAGATTCGAATCAAGCGGTCTTGATAGCCCCAGACTGGCTCATCGATACTCACGATAACTGCGTCGTGCGTGGCGAGATCTCCATGGAGTTCGTGGCTCTGAGTTATCGATGGGGTACATCTGTTGGGCCTGGAGTAAATAGAGATGGCCTGAGGGAGCTACAAAATCGAGGTGGTTTATCTAGCGACTTCGCCGCCAGGCTACCCATCCTCAGAGATGCAATGCATGTCGTCCGGAGCATCAATGAACGTTACCTATGGATTGATGCAATCTGCATCATCCATGATGACAAGGATCATTTGGCACATCAGCTCCAACATATGGGAGAAATCTACGCCTCTGCTAAGCTTACCATCATCGCAGCCGATGGCGATGGTATGACGGGGCTCCCTGGTCTCCAAGGCTGTTCTCCTCCTCGAGAGCTGCCCAATATATTCTCTTGGACAAAAGGTCGGGAGATTTGGGTCAGAAATTTGCCTGACTTGGGTGGCGGAAAGCACATCACTTCTTCCGAGTATTTTCAGAGAGGTTGGACCTTTCAAGAGTATACACTATCTCGAAGACGCCTCATATTTGGGAACCAGCAAATTCATTGGGCTTGTGGCTGCGGAACGTGGCATGAAGATCTTCCAGACACACAGGCTCGGCCTGAAGCTACGCAATCCTCGAGCAGTCTACGAAGATGGCCCAATTTCGGGTTGCTCGATAGGCTCCTACGAGCGTACAACGCTATGAACATGACTTATCCCGAGGACGCTTTACCAGGAATAGCAGGACTTCTTGAACTCTTCAGCTTCTCCTTTGACGGTGGTTTTCTCTTTGGGTTGCCCGTCATGTGCTTTGAAGCAGCCCTACTATGGAATTGTCAGTTTTTTTACAAGTCATTCAATGACTTTGAAATGGAAGGAGTCGAAAGGCGAAGTCGCTCCAGCAGAGCTCATTCTCTTCTTCCCGACGCTGAGTTGCCCTCTTGGTCTTGGATTGGGTGGAAGGGGAATAACTTGAGTCTCTTAAAAGAAGAAGAAGACTATCAAGTCGTTCAAGCTGTGCGATCGCGTGGAGCTGTGGAGAAATGGATCACGATATCGACCGCGCAATGGTATTGCCATGACTTGCCAGCATCGGATACCAAATATCGCATCTGTTCTTCTTGGCACTCCGTTTCTCGTGAGGTTCCCAAAGGCTGGGTAAAGGAGAAATATTCGGCTTGGAGAGGTCATGAGAAAGCAGAGATGCGTAGCTTACCATTTGGAGTCATTGGGGATTTCGTCTATCGTCACCCTAAAGTACCGAACAACATATATTGGCGGCCATTTCCGGTTTCTCCTGATTCGGATCCCTCCGCTCCCTGCCAAATGAAACAAGGCAAATTCCTATCATGCAGAACGAAGCGAGGCTGGTTCCGTTGTCTGCGAGCCAAGGGTTACTCATTTGATGTCAGCATGGACTATCACCTCAAGTTGATAGGCGAGGAAAATCACGTCTGTGGTTGGGTCCAACTCTGGCATTCGGACGCGGCATTGCCTAGACTCTTGAGGCAAGCGAGTGCCCGTCTTCATGACAAATCGAGAGATGACACCGATACCTCATCAGATACCTGCTCTCTCACTGACAAAGGTTCAGCAAGTGAGCAGGAAGTTGTTGAGATTGTCATCATTTGCGAGCGTCTGAGGTCGAAAAGCTATTGTTGGGTGGAGGGCAAACCCAAATGGTTCGACAAACGAGAATATCGCCATTATTATGGCGTCCTTTGTGTTGAATGGGACAACGGTATTGCATACCGGAAGGGCTGCGGATACATCAAGAAGGAAGTTGGGGAGCAATATGAATTTGAAGACATAGACTTGATATTGGGTTAGCCACAGGGTGAAAGGAAACACCGCCTGTCAGCCGCTGTAGATCCAGGGAGTCGTTATCCAGCACCTCCGGTTTAGGCATACAGGCTCTGAGCCCAGTTTGAGATTGTTTTATATGGTATATGTATAACAAGATTGAGGTACTAGTAGCTTATCTTAGGACTAGATTGACATAGCGATAGTAGCAGAGAGTATAGAGTATAGAATATAGAGTCTTTTGCTAGGTAGAGAGCGAGCCACTCTCGGTCTAATTTGTATGTGATGGGCGGCGGTTTTAAATTTCAACCCCTTTGGTTAGGTACTTAGGTGAGGTTGAGAGAAATGAATACTGAGACTTTCCTGGCATATCGAAAATACACCGCTCGGATACATTCAGAAGTGTCACGACAATCCAGCGTCTTGCCTGATATCCGTTGATACAGACTATATACGCTACAGACCGAAACACATCCAGAAATTACATGATTAACGACTCCTTAGGTCGCGATATGACCCGAAGCGGTGTTGAAGCTGTGCTATAGCTATGTAAAGTAAAATAAGAAAGACAGTTTCAACAAGAGCCGCCTGAGCTCAACCGGCGTCTATGATTGGTCAATGACCAGGTCACGTGACTAGTGGGCCCGGTTAGCTCAATCGGTAGAGCGTGAGACTCTTATTCGAGAACACGTTCTGATGCAATCTCAAGGTTGCGGGTTCGACCCCCGCATCGGGCTTTTCCTATAATTCAGTCACCAGTTGAGATTAGGCGGTTGTTTTTTTTGTGTCTTTTTGACACATTTTCCTTGGTTTTGCATGTATTCTTTCTTATATGCTTTCTTGTATCTTTATGTACATTCTTATTTTTTTGCCATATTTCACGCATTACTGGCATGATGACCACCACTCACTCGTGGCAACGCACTTGTACGGGGCCACACACTGCGTAGGACCAGTGTAACCATCACCACCGCACTATCAAACAGTCGTTAGCTTTCACTTTTCCTTCAAAAACTCATTCATGGGTAAGGAGACTCACCTGCCCCCATTGGGGAACCGAACCGCCTGAAGGGTTCGACGGAGTAGAGCTGGCCGGCGGGGGAACCGCGGTAGTCGTCGTCGAAGGAGGAGGGCTGGATTCTCCTCCACACGCAGTGCCAGTGAGAAGGATGTTCTTCGCTTCTTGGGCGTAGTTGCAGCCGTTGTTGACGTTGGAGTCAGAGTAGCCGGCGTCCCAGAGCATGATACCGCCGAAAAAGGGGCTGGACTTGACGCTGTTGACGATGCCGGCCAGCTGCTCAGGCGTGGCGTAGTACTTTGCACCGCCGGCATTGCCATTGGCTCCCAGAGTCGAAGCAGGAGCACCGACAAAGAGCTTTGCGTTCTTCGAGGGGGTCGTTGAGATGAACGAGACCCAGTCGTTGAAGTTGAAGGGGGCGTCACCGGGGAGACCGAGAGAGCACACGGGGTTGTTGTTGTAGAACTGCACCCACAGGTAGTCGAACTGAGAGGTGCTGATGATCTCGCCCATGTTGGGCTCAGGGATGGGGCACTGGGGGGCACCGGTGATGTAGTACGTGTTCTTGGGGTCGTTGGCAAAGTTGGACCGCAGGGTCGAGATCAAGTACTGGTAGTACTGGCTGCCGGCGTTCAACTCAATGTCAAAGTCGAAGCCGTTGACGAAGACGTTGCCAAAGGGCCTCTGGACGGTGGTGTTGCCCGAGTTGCCGTATGCGTTCCAGAGGTACTGGCCGATGGCTACAGCCTGGGACTGCGACTGCAGAGAGTACGAGCTGGCGGCGCCGCCAAGAGATATGATGACTTTGATGCCGGCGGCCTGGCAAGTGGCAATGGAAGACGCCAGGTCATCGCATAGCTGGGGGACGCCGTTTGTGCCGACATAGCACGAGTTGCCCATGTTTCCGGAGGGAAAGTTGCCGGTGGCGCCGTAGATGTCCAGGAATGAGAGGATGACAATGTCGATTCCGGAGCTGGCCGTGCAGTACGTAGACAGGTTGTCGTTTTCGTTGTTGGTGGCGCCCCAGTACACGGCATTCTGGCCTCCGGGAGCTTGACGGGTCTTGACAGTTTGCGAGGGAGCGGCGGCTGCAATGGTCGTGAGACCAAGGGCAGTAAGGAGAGTGCGTGACAGCATGTTTTGGCTGGTAAATATAAAATAACAAGTACAAATATATACAGAGAAGAAGAGCCGCCCACAATATGAACTCAAAGGAAGGTGTATGGCACTGGAGCCTGTTGAACTATTTGCGTTGGGAAAAACAGAGACTCCTCTTCCTGGGAGACACACAGGGCTGATATATATGTATCTGGGCCGAACGGATGACCTGCAGGCCCGAATCTCACGGCGGCGGCACGTTCGTCAAAGGTAAATGCGGAGTAGTGATACCCATTGCAGAAGCTCGCCGGTATCTCATGGAGAATAGGTATACTACGAGGGATGTTGTTTGTTTCACTTACACGGTCACAAAAGGCGACGTTACATGGCCATGCAAACAATTCGGTTCTCACCCGCCAACTGGTGAGATGAGATTAACCGGCCCACTTCTGCTCCCGTCGTTGCTGAGATATATTATATCGAAGAGCACATGGCCGGCCATGTCCTGCTGATATGGGAATAGATGGTGGCATGAACAGACAGGTGATTGCGGTATAATATGCAGGTCGGTTTCATAGGAGAGGAGGGTGGGAGCGGTTATCAAGACACGCGCGTGAACCATGTATGGAGAGGGACATGGGAAACAGATCCGAAAAGCGCATGCTGCATGCTCACGCGAGGGCAGATTGAGATGTATCGAGTTTCCTGGTTCGGCAGCTTCAGAAACAATACCACAATCCCATCAGAGCAGCGGTTCAACGATGGATGTCTCTATATCGTCCCGTTTAGGCAGGTCTATAAGTGGCCCGGCATCTTCAATCCGCGCAGCCGCCCAAACCAGCGCCTCGCCATGGCGAAGACACAATCTGTTACACCTGATAAGGACAAGTCTGTAACACTGGCCAGAATGACAGGAATCGTAGCCGCTGAATGTCTGCTTATCACCGGATGCAAGATACAACGTTCCTGCGCTAGCACGGTGCCAGGGTCCGCCATACCAGCGACCCCCTTGTGAGCATGAAGGGTTCCTGCATCTGTCATGAGATTCTATGTGGGGGAAACGACGGGGAGATGAGATTCCGTTCTTTAGCCATCACTCGAATGCCCTCAGTTCTCAGAAGAAGGCGTACACGATGACCCAGGCATGTCCTAGTCAAACAGTCCGCCTTTACAGAGAGTATACGTAGAATTCAAGGTTGCCCTATCGTAAAGCATCGCAATCGTGGGCGGCAAATGGCTCTCTATAGGTGCCTTTTGCGACAACATCTACTAGCATTGCTTTGCGCTTTCATCAGATACTGCACCTCCTCCCTGAGTAACCATACAACTACCTACCTGACTAGCTAGTATGCCATTCAGGAATCTGCAAAGAAAGAAGATAGGCACAATATGCCGCTCCATCATGCAAGAAGGATAGCTACTCCTCCTGCTGCTGCATACTTGGTCCAAAAGAGCTTTAGCTCAGGAGTTTGGGGCTCTACCGAATGAGCTGTCGGAGCGGCGATATTTCACCATCAAAATATCGCCGCAAAATATCGCCGCTCCGACAGCTCTTCGGTCGAGCCCCAAACTCCTGAAGCGAATCGGCTGACTACGCGTAATGGAGCATTCGGGGAAGGGTGTACAAGTCACAGACACCGAAACTATAGGGCGCAGCAGGATTGAACTGTCAAGCTGTGAGATTGCAAGTAAAGCGGCAACAGATGATATGAAGAGCAAACGTACAGAGTTAGAGTTCCAAGCAAGGGATTTCATGAACTGTATTAGTGTATCTCGTCGCGATGGCAAAGATGCAGAGATCATAAACGCATGCGAGGAAACTTGAGTAAAATCCGGCTGCAAAATGACCGATCACAAGGCTCAGGACTGGTGCTTGATACATTATGCCCAAGATGAGATTTCAGAGACAGAACTTTCGAGGATCTAATGATGTTAGTCATATGCAGATGGAAGAGTTGGGCTGACTGAGAGACTGGCGCTGGCTTACTGCACGACTTCAGCTGCTGGGATTTGTATGCGTAAGGTGAGAGCGCACAGACGAGGTCGGGCCATGTGCTTCTCGGGGTGGGACGGCATGCATTTGCCTCCCTTGATGGTACAATTGGACAAGATGGGCTTCAGAACAGGATGCGCATAAGAGCAAATCGAGAGGAACGCGATCTGATGAGTTAAGCTATATTGAGTGTTTCACACGCATTAGGCGACTCAAAGCTGGATATGCCTGGATGCCATTGAAGGCCTCAAAGCATAGGGGTGCTTGGTCTCAGCCAAGGATGCTGGATTGTGCCAATGTCCCGATTGGCTAACCCGCATTACTATCCGTATGCAAGTCTCACATCCAGTCGTCAGCCTCGATAATCTTAGATTGTCTTCACAAGGGCAAGATGTGGAAGGATTGAAGCCCGAAGAAGAGGCTGAGCGGCAACTCTGTAAGAACATGTATTGACGAATGCCGTAAGACAATGTGTATTACCCCATGGCCTTGGGCTACGACGAAGGAGAGACATGGCTCTCTCTTGCTATTCATCCAATGCTTTCTGTTCCGTGTTTCAATGTTACAAGCCCTTCTTTGCTCATAGCTGTTGTTCGTAGCTATCTGCTGTTTCTGTTAGAGAATCGACAGAAATAGAACAATGCCGTCGCATCTTCTCCTCAAGGCTGCTGCTTCGTCCACCTCGCCCGTGATACGACGGGCCAAATTGCCTTCCCACTTCCGGCAACTTCGCCTACATGCTGCCCTCTCCCCCAATTGCGCTGTACCTGCACTCCACAATCATGTCCGATTACAGAGTACCGTTGCAGAGCCGCAGAAGAAGAAGCTCCGATGGTACTGGAAGCTGCTGATCACCCTCGGAGCCACCGCCGGTGTGACAGCCGGCGGCGTCTTTGTTGCAGACAGATACTTCATGGGAGGCATCTTAACACGCAGCCTGCGAGCATATGCGACTCTCGCGCAGGTCGGCCTCGACTACAAGATGCACTCTGGCAAAAACCCCAAGCAAGGCCGCGTCCCCATTGACGAACTACACGATCGCAACGCCAAGCGCGTCGCCGACATGATCAAGACCAACGGCGGCATGTTTCTCAAAATCGGCCAGGCAATCGCCGTGCAGGGCGCCGCTCTACCGGAGGCATATCAGCGAGAGTTTAAAGACATGTTTGACGACGCTGCGCAAGAATCCTGGGCCGACGTCCAGGCTGTCATTAGGGAGGAGTTTGGAGCCAGCGTGAGCGAAGTATTTGGTGATGAGGTGGAGAGGGAGCCGAGGGCCTCTGCCTCGATTGCGCAGGTTCACTATGCAAGGCTGGGGGATGGGAGGGAGGTTGCGATTAAAGTGCAGAAGAGGAAGCTGGCGCAGCAGGCGTCGTGGGATCTCTGGACGTTCAAGTACGACACAAGCTTGTTAACATACGTATTCCTATTATTGATATGAGCTGACTGGATATTGTGTAGGGTCATGTGTGACTTGATTGGCAGAACGACCGATATCCCCATCCAAGGCATCGGCGACTACATCATGAACAACATCATGAAGGAGACAGACTTCCAGAACGAAGCGGCGAATACGATACGAATTGCTGAGCTTGTAAAGACAGACCCCGATTTGAGCGCCCGAGTGTATATTCCACACGTCTACACCGACCTCACGACGAGGCGCGTCTTGACATCTGAATGGATTCACGGTGCCAAGCTGTGGGACAAGGACATCATCACCGGCCAATACAGCGGTTCTGGTGAAGTCACTTCGGGAATGGGCCTGAATGAAGCCGATATCATGACGACTGTCATTGACCTTTTCTCGTCGCAAATGTTCAAATGGGGCTTCGTCCACTGCGATCCTCATCCCGGCAACATGTTTGTTCGGCGCCTGCCATCAGGCAAGCCGCAAATTGTTCTCATCGATCACGGCCTCTACGTGTCGCTGTCAGATGACTTGCGGCGGCAATACGCTCGCTTCTGGAAGTCTCTTCTTACAGGTGACAAGAAGGGACTGGATGAGGTGTCAGCTGCCTGGGGCATGAAGACGTCTGACGCCTGGGCCGATACGTTCATGTCTCGCGACTCGAAGAAGCCAGAGCCGACCGATGAGACGCCCGAGGAGCGGTCCGAGCGACTCATTGGCGAGGCTGCGGCCTTCTTCGGCGAAGACGGCCTCTATCCTCGCGAGCTTATGTTCCTGGAGCGGAATCTGGCCCTCGTACAGGGAAGCAATCGGTTCTACGATTCCCCTGTTAATCGACTGGGCATGATTGGTCGCTCAGCAATGCTGAACCTGCGCGACGACAGCGAAGTGACTTTCTCGCAGGCGTTGGGCTCGCAATGGGCCATGTTTGTGCTCGATGCGGTGTTTTACTTGAGTCGGTGGAGGCAGTACATGGGCTGGGGGAAGGGCTTTGAGGACGAGTTGAAGGAGGCAGAGGAGAGGATGGCGCAGGATATGAAGGATTCTGTGTCTGGGCTATGGGAAGTTGACAAGAAAGAGGCGTAGAGCAAAGGTTGAGGATGCTACCCTGTTGTACATACAATACTCGGCTTCTATCTCTTCTGTTGGGCGCCTGACAATATACGTAGACGATGTGTGTCTATGAGCGATCTCCTTTTCTACTGTATAATACTCGCGCATGGGTTTATTGATAGTTGTGCAACCTGGTTCTGGACTTTCTGTGTCATATACGTCAACATAAGCATTATCCTGAATTTTCATCAAGCAAATGCCTGAGATGTGCCATTCTGTAGTAAGCGCATGTGCCACACCTAAGCTAACAGCGCAAGGGAGAGACACCATGCTCGGGAAACGTAATACGGAAAAATCTCTTCATACCTTAACCACAGGCGGAAGTGCTAGAATATGATTTAAGTTGCATGCTCGTTATAAACTATCTCAGAATGCTATACATGCTCTTGCCTGTGACACAGAAGATCTTGTTCAGCAAAGGCATTAAAACACTTTGTTTCTCACGGGGCCCGATATAGAATATCGCCTGTTTAGCCGACTTCGCTTAAGTAATACCTGCATATGCAGATGTGATTATAGGAATGCCCGCTTCCGCAGAGACCTTGCAACATGTATAAGTAGAAAGAAGTTCCCGAGTCTCGCGTCTCCGGGCCTGCAACAATTCATACAGTTCATACTTTTGGTCTTCGTTCTACATGACTCGGGGCCTCTCAATAGGTAACCTGAAGCCCAGGGATTGATTGTAGGTACCGCGGGTAGTGGGTCGATGATGTGAGCAAGAGGTGTAGGATCACTGGGTACTCATTAAGGCTACTACGGCTATGTTCTGACGCAGTTTAGATTGAATGACTAGCAGACAAGATAGAAGAGGTACCAGACTTCAAGTCTTTACAGAAATCAAAATGATTTTTTTTCATAAGTATAGACTCATGATCTGAACTTGATATAAATAGCAACTGAAAACCAACCGAATACCTCTGTGCGAGTAAGGAGCGCTTCACGTCGTACTGTAGTCGCCAGACAAAAGCTGTTCTTAATTCCTCTCAAGCTCTGGAGTATCGGCAAACAATTGGCCAGCCATACTATAAGTAGAAGTTAGCATCCAAGCGAAAACGTAGCAGTGGCATCAATATTTGCACTCACGCGTCAGAATATCGGCCCCCGGTAACTTCCGTCTCATCGATTGCCTTGCGAATCTCCTCCTCCTCCTTCTTTGTGAGGGTAACATTAACAGCGCCCAAGTTCTCCTCGAGATACTTGATCTTCTTTGTACTGCTTACACCATCAGCCTATACGGTTCCATACATGGCTATTCATCTCATGACAAAAACTTACCCAGGGATGGGAAAGATGTCGTCTCCCTGCGCCAGCAGCCACGCCAGGGTCAACTGTCCAGGCGTGACGCCCTTGCTAGCGGCAATGCTCCCAATCTTGTCCGCCAGCGCCAGGTTCTTTCCAAAATTCTCCTTGGAGAAGCGAGGCAGAGTCCTGCGGAAGTCGTCTTCGGCAAAGTCGTCAGGGGACTTGATCTGCCCCGTCAGCATGCCTCGTCCCAGGGGACTGTAAGCGACAATCGCAACGCCGAGCTCCCTGGCCGTCTTGAGCAGGCCAATCTCAGGCTTCTCAATGTCAACGGAGAAGGGACTGTATTCGACTTGAATGGCGGTGATGGGATGGACGGCATGGGCGCGGCGAAGGGTGGCGGCTGAGACTTCGCTGAGACCGAGGTGTCGGATTTTCCCTTGCCTGTGTAATCCATGTGTCAGCTTGTTTATATATAGATTGGCAAGTATACTGACTCTTTCAACTCTGCCAGAGCCTTGATCGTAAGCTCAATAGGGGTCTTCCTGTCCAGCCGATGAAGGTAGAATAGGTCAATGTGAGAAACACCAAGTCTTTGGAGCGACTTCTCACACGCCTGTCGCACGTATTCCGGATCCGAACGAACGGAAAACCCCCCAGAAGAATCAAGGTAACCACCACATTTCGTGGCAAGGAAGATTCCGTCACGCTTCCCGGTACGCTTGAACCACTTGCCAATCAAGTCCTCATTGTCTCCGTAGACGTCTGCCGAGTCCCAGAAGGTGCTGCCCAGCTCGTAGGCACGATCTAGGACCTTGAAGCGTTCTTCATCAGAGCCTGCGGGACCGTAACTGACGCTGAGACCCATGGCCCCGAAGCCCAAAGCTGGGACAAGAGGGCCGTTGCGGCCAAGAGGTCTGGTGGGAAGTGCTGTTGCCGCCATCGCTATGAGTCTCGAGGTGTATCGAGGAGAAGATGTAAATGCTTGTTGAATTTGATCTGGATGGAATCTAAAGTGAGCGTTCTCATTATATATATATACGTACATCTTTGTCTATGGAAAGCCTAATAAAAGTCCCGCCTTGGATTAAGTCCGGTCTTCGACGTAGTATCAAGACATAGAAGACTATCCCTTTGCAATAGGGATAGGCCAACATGTATGGTGGGCCACGGTCATTACCGGAGATAGGTGGTGTACTATTGCGATTCCGTCAAACTCCGCCAATACTATGCGGACTTGTACGATGCCGTGTCAGGTTCAATGCGACTCAATTGCCAACTCTGTACTATACAATTGGACTTCTTTGGTGCAGATCTGCCGTCAATTGGGTCTCTGATGCGGCCTGCTTATTTCAGTATGGCCGAGTTGGTCCTTGATGTCTTGATTCCATGTCAGCAGCCTTCAACCAAGAGCTAGCCAGCCTATAGTCCATTCGTAAACTGCGGTTCAGCTGGCACTTCTCTTGGATACCTTAGTATACATAAGCCTGCCTACCTAGTCTTCTAACCAACCCAAGAGTTCCTGATCAGCTCTGCTTATTCAACCCAAGTGGTGGATCATCTCCAATCATCTGCTCACCTCATCGCCCCCCCTAAACAACTCTATGCTCACCACATCAATCGCCGGTCGACTCGACATCGCCCTCCAGCTGCCATCATCGAACCCCCCACGCTGTTGTTGTTTCGCTGCTGTCCGTTGATGACGGCACCCTCGCGTCAATCGCCATGGAGTACATCAACGCTTTGACAGCAGATAAACAACAATCTGCCGATACGCAGATTGGCGATGATAGGAGCAGCAGCGAGCCGACTTCAAAGGAGCCCACTATTCCCAAAGTACCGACGGAGGCGCCGCCGAAGCTCAAGACGTCTGAAAGAAGACGCATCCAGAACCGCCAAGCGCAAAAGACTTACCGTGAGTATAAAGCCGTATCGAGATAGACTGTCCGCCTAATGCATCGAAACAAACAGGGGAGAAGCAGAAGAGGAGGCTACAGGCTCTAGAGTCGTTGGCCAAGTCCAAGACACTCGCGAAAGATGCTCCAGCTTCTGGAACACCAGGCGCCACAATCGGCCAAGACATGGCTGGCATCCTGGCCGCCGACTCGCCAATCATGGTGGGCTTGTCCGGGGTAATGCAGCCTCAGGAGCTCGGTCCAGCTGCTGGCCTAGGTATGGGAAGCCTCGTAGGATGCGGCACGACCTTCAATGCTACTGCTTTGAGCTACCAGACAGGCGCACCAGCTCCCATGTACAGATATACACCGAATCTGGACTTCCACCAGGCGGATACCACCTTGAATTCCGGACGATCGTTCCGGGAGGATCTGTTTTCCGCATCAAATCCGCTGGTTGCCCAATCAGGATCAATTGCTTTTTCCCCAGGAGGCGATCTTGACTCGCCTTCTCTGCAGCAAGTTGCTCCGTCACACACGATTGCGCAAGACGGCCAATTGGCAGAGAGAGATGATACGGACAGCTTGCTTGCGCAGTTTCTGTTACAGGACGACACTGCCTTGAGTACATCTCTACTAGCAAACATCCGCAAGAACAAGATCACACTCAAAGACGTCATTCGAAAAGGTCTCCAATCGCTGGAAAGAGACTCGCACAACACGACAAACCCAGCTGAGAGCTCGATGCAAGGGCGCGTAATCTACAAACAGATGCAAGGTGAATCTAAAGGATAACAGCTTCTGTCTCGCATTGCTAACAAGCGCATAGTGCAGCTTCCCGACCTCCACACCAATACCATCCGCGTCACGCAAATGTCGTTTGTAGCAGCAGTCCTACACAACGCAACCATGCTCGGTGTAACCGCCACAGAGATGTTCGAATACGAGTCCGAGTCCCCCTTCTGTACACCCCAGAGAACGCCAGACACAAGCACAGATGGACTGGCATTCACTGAAATAAAAGACGACTTAAAGCCCACTCAGAACCAGCTCACACAGCGCCATCACCCCTACATCGATGCCCTCCCGTTTCGCGCTTTTCGCGAGCGATTGATCGCCTTGATGTACGCTGAGCCGCCCATCATCAACAGAGATGAGCTCTGTCACGATCTCCAGAGTGACGGAGTCATTTGTTGGGGTTCCTTCGCCGGAGCTGGGACCGGACACTCTGGTGCCCCGTGGGATATTCGAAGCTGGGAAGTTCGGCCTTGGTTCCTGAAGAAGTACTGGATGATCACAGAGGGAGCGCAAGGGGAGATGTATCAGCAGGCGAGATGGTGGTGCGAGTTGAGGGGTGAGGATGTGCCGACATTGTGGTGATGCAATTCGTCTTTCCCTTATACTGGTACTACTCCTACTTTGACACATTATCTCCCACGTCTTCACTTATGCCTAGTTACAGCTTCAGTCATTTGGACTGCGCCATCAAACGGCGAATCCAATTCAGCCTCGCCTGAACCGCATCTTTCGACACCATGGCTTCCGGGGCATAAAAGTCGAACCCATGCAAACCACCCGCAAACACCATCAACTCAGCCTGCACGCCATGTTCCCACAGCTTGGACGCATACCCAACAACGCTGTCTCGGAAGGGCTCAGCGGACCCGACTTCGATATACGTCGGAGGGAGACCCGAGAGATCCGTTGCCCGGGCCGGCGCTATGAATACAGGGACATCATCTGTCCCGCGCAGGTCGCCCAGAACCATTTCGTAGCTGAACTCGTCCGCCTCGCCGGTATAAGATCCGTGGTGGAAGTACTGCCGATGAGAGACGGTGGTGGCCCGGTCATCCAGCATGGGACAGACGAGGATTTGAGCACACAGCTTGGGGAAACCCTCATCCCGGGCCTTGATCGCGATGGCGGCAGCAATGCCACCGCCTGCGGAGAAGCCTGACAGAATCAACTTGTCCGGGTCGAAACCGAATCGGTCTGCTTGTTTCGCGAACCAGACAAGGCCTTCCCAGGAGTCCTCAAAGGGGGCAAGGCCGGGGTGCTCTGGAGCCAAACGATAGTTGACTGAGGCAACGATGCCACCAATCTCTTTCATCCAGGATATCGCCGAAGTAATGGCCGTGTACTCGTTGCCCATGACCAAGGCTCCCGGATGGACGTTGTAGATGGCCGGCCGCTTTTTGATGTCTGAAGCGGCATCTTTTGGTCTGATGACAGACAAGCGAATCTCTCCACTTGGCCCAGGAATGAAGACTTCCTCCACCTCGAGTGTCGGATCGGAGAGGATCGCGTTCTTCTCAACTTGCGCGACTTGGTCGGCTGCTACGCGCATGGCGGCAACTCGGATGGCGGCATCGGTGGGCATGGCCTTGGAGAGGCTTCCATCGACCATGCCTGGGGGAACGCCTTTGGCGACTTCGGGGTCAAAGGGGGGTTTTATGGGAGATATGATGGCCATTGCTGTACTGTATGATCTTGTTCACTACTCTGATATGTGTAGTAGAAGTGTTGAGATCCGAAATGGCGGTGTCCATGGAGTTGCAGCATAGGTTGATATAGGATCTTCGGCTCCTGGTTATTTACATACTGGACCTACGGTGTAACTACATGGTGATGCCCAACATACTGTGGTATATCCAATTGTATATCCGGGACCAATGCCAACGAGATGGTCAAAGTTTCTGAAGACTGCGTTTATTGTAGAGCGGCCTTTCGGTCTTCCTGAGCATTGCTGTCAAGGAGAACATGGAATGCAGCACGTTGCAAGACAAAATACAAAGAAATGGCACACTCGCCCAAAAGTTGCTGATTCTAGGAGCCGATGTCACAAGTGTATTCAAGCCAAGTGACTAGTCAAGGATCAGGATCCTATAGATATAGCTAGTAGAGCCACAGGCACCTTGAGCAGACTCATCTGCCAGCTCAGATGCAAACAGCCAAATACGACACCTCCACCGCTTGACATCGACTATCCTCCCACGTCACCGCCTCGACTTCAAACGAAGACCGCCCCAGCGTCGTGGTGATTTCCAGCCGCGGGTTATGGCCCTTTTCAAATTCAAACTTGGAAACAGCGGCATACACGCTCTGAGGGCGCCATTCGTCGAGTTGAATCTGCTTGGCCCGATATTTCTCTTTGATATGATGCGGGTTGGCATCCGCATCCCGCTCTTTGAAGTTGTGGAACTCGATCTTGCCGGAGCGGATGCCAGGAGGGTCCTTTTCGTAGGCAATCCACGACACCTCGGCACTTTCAAGGGCAGCATTGTCCCATGTTTCGACGTGCAGCTTGAATCCGGTGCTGGTAATGTTGTCTGCTGTGGCATGGAGATTGAAGCATTCTCCTGATTTGAAGTGGAAGCCCTTGAGCCAGACAACAACTTCTGGTACCGTGTTGAAGGCGTCTTTGAACTTGATGGGTGTCACGTACTCCACGCCGTCTTGAGTATCTTCCCGGCTCGTGGTGTAGCAGCCGGTCTGAATGGAGGAGTTGTGCTGCTCGCTCGCCAGAGAGATTGCTGCGGCGGCGTATAGACGGCCGCTTTCCACAGAGCTGAGGTTGAGATTGAAGCTCGTCGTCTCGATGGCATCCGCATATGCCTTGAGCTGCACATCTTGTATTCCATCGTTACACTCAAGATCGAACTTGGTGAGTCCAAGCGTAATGTCCAGAGCTTTGTCGTCTGGGTTCTGAAGTGGAACGCTCTTGACATGGTGTAACTGAGGCTTCTTCTTTCCTCCCTTTTCTTGCGTATCGAAGATCCCAAACTCCGTCGTTCGCTTGTTGGAGCGGTAGATCCTCTGGATAAGCATCTTGTCCCTATCAGACAGCTCATTGGGCCAATCGATGTAGGGAACGTTTTGTGCCCACCCCGGACATATGCGGTATATCATGATGGACCGATTGTCAAACGTGGACGTCTGAATCGAGGGGCTCTTTTGGTAGTGTTTGAAGATGTTGTTTTCGACCCAACTTGCCGACAGTTTCTGCGTTGCATACCATTTAATGACCTCCTCTTTGTTCCATTCAATCTCGGCTGCTGGACTGGAATGCTCATGGATACAACCGAGTGCATGGCCAAGCTCATGTAACGCCGTCCTTCGAAACAGCCCATCATCCAATGTCAGGCCCAACACCATTGTCGATTCCTCCTTTGGTGTTTCATCTCGTCGATGTCTTCCAATGAACGATTGACCCCCCTTTAACTTGCTGTCAAAGAGAATACGAATCTCGGCGTTTTCTGCATTATCAAACACAAAGTGTATGTTTGCATACTTTTCCCAGATCTTCGCCGCGTCTTTCACCATTTTCTCGTAACGAGGGTTGGGTTCCTTGTTCATGAAGCGCACATGGAGCCACGCGCCGACAGGCCAGAACCACTCCTTGCTGACGGCCAGGGACGTGACTGCAGAATCATCTTCAGCATCTCCCTCATTCTTCGTAAGGTTGCTGGGAGGCAGATCTGAAAGGTCAGTTGAAGGCATAGGCCAGCAACTTGCCATTACGAAGTCGTCCATCTTGGTTTCGGCAGGCATGGTCAATCGTTCGCAACAGGAGTCCGAGTGCTCGACAAATGATTCGCAACTTGTTTACACCAACCACGGGTTAGAATGCGATACAAGTATTTATGCAACCCAAGGAATAAAAGCTCCGACCTTGAAGATATGATATTCAGCTCAACAAGACTCCTCATGCTCCATCAACAACATTGCGGCTATCATACAGGCACTTGATTCAGCTTTCAGCTTGCTAAGCATACTGCAATCCCCCATTGCCGCAGAGCTGAGATGTACATTCTCAAACCTGAAACTATAGTATGTGACAGACATGCATGCAATCGCCGGAGCACATTCGACATACTAGTCTACTGTACCCTCTTGAACGTCTTACAGCTGGTTGGCCTTATGCATACCTTGTCATTGATGTCCCGCCGCCCAACTGCCACTATTGATTACCTGCAGTTCCCCCATGCCAATCAGCCAGCCTCAATAGGACCTTCTGAGCCAATGATGTACGTAAAAAGAGTCAATCCAGTTAATTGCTCGTCCCATGCGTAGTTGCCTGAGAAGCTCTGGACTCTGCTTTCTATCCTCGCTTGGAGATGATAGGCCATCTACTTTTCCCATCCAAAACGTGAGACTTGAATCCTTTCTGCCTAGTAGGTCCAATAGAAACGGTCAATTGGACGCAGGTCCCCGTGTTCGGACCCTGCTGTGCCGTCCTCCGCACGAAACAGATATGCAAATCAACCTGATGAGAACCAACTGATGCGACTCCGGTGCATATGTAGTAACGTATACAGAATTCAGCACAACCATTTATTTAGCAATGTATCTCTCAGTCGAATTTACCTACGAAAGCTTTGACTTAGCATAGCTGGATATTCAACCCTGACATACTCATCATAGTCCCCATTACCTTCGGCTACACGGCAGAGCCCCATAAGCAAGACGTTAGATACGTCGGGTGGTAAAAACCAGCTGTAGTATTCCCTTCTAGGCGGATTGGTTACGGCGCAAGCTGAGGCTGAGGTACAGCGATTTATTGGCATTGTGGCGGGCTGAATGCATCAGCAGGTCAAGTCGAGCCTATTAGAGGCCTCGAACGGTCCTGCAAGGGGAAATATTGTCTGCCGGGTGGGGAGCCAGCCCATCCTTGGAGACGGCATGTCCGACTTATTGAAGTTGAAGAAAAGACACGCATACGGTAGACACACCCAGGAAATATCACGAACGTAGCATATTGGCAGCGTGGTGTTTTGCTTGGATTCAATCTCCTCATCTCAACATTGAAGCAGGCTGTATAATGATTCGGACCGCCGTTGCAGAGTACTATAAGAATAACCTCCCTGACGCGCCCTCCATTCCGTCCCTTTCTCTAACAACTTACAGCACAATCCATCCAGCACACTCATCATGTCTATGCCATTAGTCTTCACCCCTACTGAGGAAATCGTTACGCCTCAGAAATGGTACCATGACCTGAGCCAAAATGCCTCCGCCTACAGCAACTGCTTCGTCCGAAGAATCACGCACGTCAAGAACCTCAACTCCTCTCTACTTCACGAATATCTCCAAGTCATTCTCGAAAATACCGGCTCCAGCTCCAAAGACCGCACCCGCGTGCTGACGGAGCGCCAAACGGAACAAGACCAAGTCATTATTGGCCGCTGGTCGTTTGGCGCAAAGCCCTCGGGAAAAGCCTTGATGAGCTCGAGCTCCGGTAGCTCTGGTTCTGGTTCAGGCTTCTTTCAGCGCATCACGTCGCTCTTCGGGGGATCTGCCTCGTCGTCTTCGTCGTCATCCAAGGACCTCCTCCCTCTGCAGCTTTGGTCGCTGACCTTTGACGACAACAACCTCAACGTCATTGCCCTCGCCGAAATTATGCGAACCACTAGCGACAGAATGGGTTGCTATAACCTGGTTCTGAGAAACTGCTACGTCTTTGCAAAGTCCGTCTATGAGACTGTGCTGCAAAAATACAAATGTCAGCAAAACAGCTGGAAGTTTGCCCATCTTCAAGGAACTCTGCCATTCCTGCAGTTGAAAACCCAGGAGATGAAGGTAAGAGGCAGTTCTGTATTCTTCTAGCAAACCTGCTGACCGGATTTGGCAAAAGGAAACGGCGCACCAATTCGACGAAGAGCTGAAGAAGGACTTCCAATGGGCTCCGGCAAACGAGGTCGAGGAAACCCTGGGCGTCTTATATACAGCTGCCATCGAGTTCCTGCGCCAAGACGGCATCGAGCTGACTGATGAGGAAAGCGAGGAACTCATCAAATATTGCAAGCTGAAAGATCTCGCAGATCATTCGACAGAGACTTCTCTAGCGACCGCAACTGCCAACGTCAAAGAGGTACGTTTAAGAGTTCCATGTTGTAAGTGTCGATGCAGCTAATAAAGTATTGCAGTTGGACGAATCGTTCAAAGACTTGGTCGACAAGGTGCTTGATGAGCCACGCAAAGACGACCTCCTGGCCGTATACCAGCGATACAACGAGAATGCCCCTGTATGTGACGTTCAATTGAACCCTCTGTTACTTACTATGTGCTGACTGGTCCTACTCTAGCCGGCAATCGCTGCGGAACCATCAGCCGAGCCGCCGCCTGGCTTCGAGGTGCACAGAGTCTCGGACGAGCTGTGGCAACAAGGACAAGATGCAATCAAGGTGCTTGTGGGCAGCATCTTGGAGGAACTCGAAAGAAAGGGCTCCGACAATTGAGAGCAAATGTCGTCTTTCGCCGATGTGTTGTTTACAATTTGATGGTGAGGGCGCGTACCGTCAGATTGCACGTATATTGAGGTAGCACCACTATGGTCATTCCTACCCTTTCTTCCTCCTCTTCATTGGCCCCCAATTGACGTAGCTGGGAGTTACCAGAAGTAACCAGCTGGTCAGCATTGTCAGCCTCGTCGCATTCCTCTAGCGACGCAGAACTCTCCACACGCGCAGAACCGAGAGACGCCGATTGACTCTCATGGGACTGAAGTGATAAAGTCCGCCTTTGCCGGTATTTGGTCAATGGCCGAGCAGATCTTCTTGAAGAGATCCGGCATCCAATTGTCATAGATATTCCTGGTAAGCCGATAGGCAGTCCACTTATCCCGTCCATCAAGTCCTGTAAAGTCGAATTTATGGATGGGGTGGCGGTAGTATTCAGTGTCATTGCCGTCGATAACTGGGTAGTAGCCATAGATGCGTACTGACTGGTTGTCGTGCGAGATGGAGAATGCCAGAATCTGTCGATGGACCTCGTTTTGGCGTCCCACAAGACGGAATAGCTCGACCACGCCTCGGGCCGCGAGGGTCATGGAATGGGCGTTCTGACGGTCCGCAACGTCAAGCGAACCAGCCCCGGACTGCACTTCGCAGGCGAGAAAGGGAGAATACATGTAGTAAGTGGCCATGAAGAAGGACACGTCTGTGAAAATATCCCCAATGAACGGCGATAATTTATCAAGCTGTTCCTCCGTGAATGCCTCTCGCGAGAACCCAACAGATTAGTCTGGCTGCGGACGGGTCCCGGTCAAAGGGATCGAGTTATTCCAGCCTTCGTTAACGCTTTCTCTCAGTATGTCGAGGTGTGTAGCGCCATATGTTGCAAGATTCTCAGCGGAAGGTACAATAAGGCGACTTATATCTTTGAAAATTCGCTCTTCATTTTTATTTCGAATCTTGCGGCAGGTTACGCCAAAGATGTCATCCCGGAAGAGTGAGTTCTCGGGATATGCTTGGTGCCCCTCGAGTAGACTCTCGCAGAGGGCTTTGCTCTCTTGGGCAACATCCAGCTTTGATTTGACCATATAACTGCCTTTGGTGGCAAGCAGTGTCTCATAACGCGAGTCTCGATACTGGGCAGTCTTCTCTTCACGTGGCCTTTGGTCGCTTGGCGTCATAAACGTACACGAGGACGAGGGCGAGGACGAGGACCGCCTTCGTGCAAGCAAGTGTTCTATACCGGGCTCGAAGAGCTGGATTGGCCAGCGATCCCGTTTCACCCAAAACTCTATGGGGTTGCTGGGGTCATCGTCTTCCGCTGCAGCATCGTCGAGCTTCCTTTTGGCGGCTACCTGGGCTCGAGATTGCTCCATGGCGGCGACGTATAAGGGGGAAGAAAAGGTAGAAGATTTATGAGACTGAGAAGGATGCCTAGCTCATGGTTGGCGAGTATGCGTGCCCGTCCTGCATCTGTGTCTCGACCCAAATAGCTGGAGTTCTGGGCTGTCGAAAGATCAGAAGAAGAAGATGATGATGATCATGTTTGACCCCACGCGCCTTGCGGCCTGAATCTGATAAACACGGCTTCACCCTTGTTCCTTCTGCACCAATCATATGCCCGCGCCACCGATTGATTGGCATGCCTCGATTCGGCAACACCTGCTGTAGCACCAGTCCCAGTTACCATTAATGAGAAGGCCGGAAGGTCCCTGTATCTATTGCTCGTGATGGGAATGGCAGCCAGATTTGACTGTTATTGCCAAGGGGAAATGACACGTCTGTATATTGACTAGACTATCTAGCATCTAGAGTAAACAGAAACATATAGTAACAAGCTAGTATCTCTACTGTTTACTGGAAATTAAGCAGGATACAAAGACTAGAAGTGTGTAGTCCAAGTAGCAGAAAGTAAAACCGTTTTCTTCTATATCAATGGAAGTAAAAGTATTTCATAGAGGATATATAGATAGATCTGCTAAGATGCCAGACGACCCAGGGTGCTGAGTACATGTAGGTAGCCAACTCACACATGATGTACTAGCTCAGTGATGGCATCGTGTACTTCCACTCCTACCATTTAGATTACTATATCGATTTCCTCAAGGGTCATTCCCTTTACTCTCTGCAAGACGTCATCTGCTTTCTGTGATAATAGTTTCAGCTCACGTACGAGAGGACAAGTCTCCCCCGCTCCACACAGATGTTTGTGGTCTCCCCGGGCGTATTGGAAACGCTCCTGAATACCCGACAGATCTGTTGCGGTGAATGGTTTCAAAGAAGGCCACAGCTCACAACGAGTTAAAGTCTCGAAATATTCCGCCACTCTGTGGTCGCTGGTACAGGTTTTTGTTAATAAGTCGGTATTGCAGCATGGATGGCATTTCTTTGCCTCGCCCGGAAGCGTTCTGCCACAGCGGCTGCAGATCAGGCCATACATTGAATGGCAGGCCTTTTGTTCCCGTAGTCGCACTTCTGTACTCTGGAGCAATTGGTGCAGTTCCCTTAGCCCGCCAGCGATTTGATCAGACAGTGTATCTGTAGGTTGTCAGTTGGTAGTCTCTAGCCAGGCAGAATAAGACACAAACCCGTGATTGTTTCTGGCAGGAGTGCCAGTTCCTCATGCTTTTCCCAGATGGAAGCAAAGTTTGGCGTTAGCTGTCTCACAGCCCTTGAGGCTATCTCGGAGAAGCTCGGCGAACGGAACATGTATGCAGCAAGCAACATAAAGCCATGGTCTTCAGGCGCGGTGACTTCTTTCATGTTACTGCACCACTGAGAGGCCCATGGCCTGAGAGCTTCGTTGCAGTAGTACTTGTCGGCATGCATCGCAAGTGTCGCGAGTTCTTTCGGTTCCATTGCCAAGGGGACTTGTGCACACTTGTAATGGAGGATACTAAGGATCAACCCCATTGCCTCGGGATCGTCTTCTTCCAGGCTGATGCGGGGGCAGTCTCCTCGTCGAATCTCTTGTCCCTCCTTGAAGTTGGGGCCGAACATTTTGGAAAAGACTGGCGATGCCAAGCTGAGAACTCTGGAAGAGACAAGGTAACTCTTGTCGCCGTCTGAGCCCTTGATGCTGAGGACCGCGTCCCCTTCAGGGTCCAGTTGCACAGTCTCGGACATGTTGGGTTGGCTTTCGACCGTGCCATCCAGTGGAAAGGCGGTAATTGACTCTTCATCCATGTTGATGCGTCGGTTGGCTCTTTGATGGCAGACTGGAATCACTTTCTCGACCTTGGTCGTTCGTTTATATCCTCCTGGGCAGCCCTCACGAGGTTGGGCGCCGAGAATATGACGAGCACTCTGACAAGTTGGAGCCCAGTCACTGTGATGTAATGAGGGCTGAGAGTTACTGCAGGTGTGCTTGACGAGACCAATCGGCTGTTACCCAGAGGGCACTTGGTGAATGTAGTGGTGGTTAGGATGGTAGGCCTCCCACAGGCGTTTCGTGAAGTATTGATTGGCCAGAAGAAGAAGAAGAAGAAGAAGAAGAAGAAGAAGAAGAAGAAGAAGAAGAAGAAGAAGAAGAAGAAGATCGTTTTCTTCACAAGTCTTGCCATGCAAGCATTAAGGATAGCAGTGACTTCATCCTGCAACATACATGCAAACGCGGTTCATCCCCATATCGCCATGTCAACGTTGTCCAAGATCCGGACTCGGCATGAAATGGTTTCACCAAGAGTGACGATGGACCCTGTGAAGTGCTGAAACGTCACCAAGCTGCCGGTACCCTGCATATGACAACAACATAAGGCAGGTGAGCGATAACCTTTACTGCAACTCCATGCTGATTAGATCATGATCATCCCCAGAATTATCTTTGTCTCTCTTTCACTCTCTCTCTCTCTCTCTCAGCTTTTTCCCCTAGAACTAGTACCAGAGCTCAGCTCAGCTCATGCAGCTTCAATGGACTCCCCCGCCAAAGCTCTCCCCCCACTAACGCCGAATAGCGCTCGGATAAACCCGCCGATCTTCGGATCGCGACATGACAGAAACCTTCTCTCTAAAAACCGACTCCAACAAAAAAGTTTCTCTCTTGCACAAGGCCCGCCAGTCGCACCCATTGAACGCCGCCCGCCATGTCAATCCGCACTCTGAGAATCGGTAAATCCCCCAATTTCCTCGTTCCATCCAACGCCAGCGTCAAATCCACCACTGTCCACATGCATCACCATCAATCCCAGCTAACAAACACCACCCCCCCCCTCCAGGGCTCATCCCCGGTGACGGCATCGGCAAGGAAGTCATCCCCGCCGGCCGCCGCATCCTCGAGGCGCTCCCGTCGTCGCTCAAGCTCAAGTTCGACTTTGTCGACCTCAAGGCCGGCTTCGAGGCCTTTGAGCAGACGGGCTCCGCGCTGCCCGACGCCACCGTCGACGTCCTGCGCAACGAGTGCCAGGGCGCCCTCTTCGGCGCCGTCAGCTCGCCCACCCACGCCGTCAAGGGCTACTCGTCGCCCATTGTCGCCCTGCGCAAGCGCCTCGACCTCTACGCAAACGTCCGCCCCGTCAAGACCGTCATGACCGCCGCCAAGCCCATCGACATGGTCATTGTGCGCGAGAACACCGAGGACCTCTACGTCAAGCAGGAGACGACGCGCGACACCCCCGATGGCAAGGTCGCCGAGGCCATCAAGCGCATCTCCGAAAAGGCGTCCTTCCGCATCGCCGCCATGGCCGGCGACATTGCGCTGCGCCGCCAAAAGATCCGCGAGAGCGGCGCCCCCAGCATCCACAGCAAGCCCCTCGTCACAATCACCCACAAGTCCAACGTCCTCTCCCAGACCGACGGCCTCTTCCGCACCGCCTCCAAGAACGCCCTGTCCGACCCAAAGTACTCTTCCGTCTCCGTCGAGGAGCAGATTGTCGACTCCATGGTCTACAAGCTCTTCCGCCAGCCGGAGGCCTACGACGTCATTGTTGCCCCGAACCTGTACGGCGATATCCTTTCCGACGGCGCCGCCGCTCTTGTTGGCAGTCTCGGTCTCGTCCCCAGCGCCAACGTCGGCGAGGGCTTCGCCATTGGCGAGCCTTGCCACGGAAGTGCTCCCGATATCCAGGGAAAGAACATTGCCAACCCCATTGCCACTCTGCGAAGCGCTGCTCTGATGCTCGAGTTCCTCGAGGAGCCCGAGGCTGCTGCCAAGATCTACGCTGCCGTTGATGCCAACCTGGAGGAGGGCAAGCTGCTGAGCCCCGACTTGGGTGGCAAGGCCACTACTGATGAGGTTGTTGAGGATATCCTGAGGCGTCTGTAGATGGCTCTCTGAGTCAAAATTGTAAAAAACTTGGCGAGCAATCAAAGAGCGTCGCTACCCCAAATCACTATGTAGGAGAGGGAACATCATGTGTAAAAGTCATCTGATTAACTCACCTGGATATAGAGACACACCCAGGCAATTTTTGTATAAAGCAAAATAAAACTTTTGATTGCAGGAGATGCTTGTTGACTGATCTAAGTCAGCCAACTTGAGTATAAGCTTAAAGCAAAGATTCTCCTTCCCTTTCCCTACCAGACTAGGAGTATTAAGTCAAATGACCGTAAGATCGCAAATCCTCAAATATCCACCCCTCAAGTCTGAATGTCGAAAAGCTAGATATCTCGCAAATGTCGCCATAGAACCGATAACCGAGTAACTGTCGTCCCGTAAATCCGAAGCCTGCCCAACTCTCAAAAGTACCTCACTGCAAATACCGTTCTGCGCGATATTCTCGTGCTCATGATGGAAACTAGGTAGAAAAGCAAAAGGCTCTCATAAGCCCAAAAGTAAACGTTGCCGTTCTGAAAACTGCTTCAGCAAGACACCTCTTCTTATTTCTTCTTCGCCGCTGGAGCCTTCCTCTTTCTCTTCTGTTTCTTTGCTTCTTCTTCCTCCTTGGTCCGGAAAAACGCCTGTTGCAGCTCGATCTCGCTCACCGCGGGCGGCGTGTGTCCATCGTCCTGCAGAGCGTAGTCGACATCCTCTGCCTTCTTCTTCTGAATCGTGTGAATTTTGTCGTCAATCTCTTCTGCGGTCCTAATCTTCACCAGGTGCGTCACCTTTTCTTGGCCCATTCGAGTGACTCGCCCAAAAGCCTGTTGCTCAGCCGTCTGGTTCCACCAGGGGTCAATGATGATGACCCGATTGGCGACGGTCAGGTTGAGACATTGCCCACCGGCCTTGAGGGTTGATACCTGAGAAGCAAAGACGTTCGTTAGACACCTTGCGCGGCTCTGCAGAAGACAGTCGGGGAAAGAATTCACACTAACCATGACTTTGACTTCCGGCTTTGTCTTGATCGAGTCCAGAGCTCTTCGCTTTTGGCCCAGGGGAAGACCGCCATAGTAGTGAACAAACCCGACGCCCAGTGTTTGGAGCATGTATCCCAGGATCTTGGCCGTTCCAGTGAATTGAGTAAAAACTGCGAACAAATGCAAGGTCAGACTAGATTTTCCACCATCGCGCACACTTCTCCGGGTCACTTACTGAGAATCTTGTCTTCAGGGGCCTCGTGCAGCCAAGTCAGGACAACAGCCATTGCTGCTGTTGTTTTCGTGCTCGGCACAACTGAGGCACCATCCAGCATTACGCCGCAATTGAAGAAGCTATTCCGGCCATCTGCCTGCTGAACAGCCGCTCCATTACTGTCTCGACCGGGCTCACGATCCTTCTTGGTCCTTTTGTCCATTTCGGACTGTAGCGTCACGATGGAATCCGCAGCACCGAACTCGTGTCCGCAATCTTCATATGGGCATTTCTAGGAGAAACGCTGCGTTAGGGTAAACTTCTCGATAAGCTCGACTGTAGACACTTTACTCACCGGCTTCTGAATGCTTCCGAAACTGTCTCCATAGGCTTTGCACAGACAGCTCAAGCAGAATATATGGTTACACTGTGCAAATCAGCAGCCATTCTCCCCAAGTAATACCGAGCATTTTCTACTCACAATTGGTAGACGCATTGGCTGTACTGGAGGTGTTGCGTCGTTGCAGAGACGACAAGTAATGTCTCTCACTGCGCTCTCATCCCTTGCTAGGATCAGCAGTTGGTCCATGTCGAAGAACTTACCGAACACGGCCTCCTTCTGCTGCTGCAGTTGTTGAAGCCCTCTTTCGTACCGCGAGATATCGTTATGCGTCCCTATTGGCGAGCGTATCTGTTCAAGAATGGTCCGTTTCATGGCGACCTCCCTGAGCGCGATTCTCAGATCTTCGAGATCATCTGGCTTGAATGAACCTCGAAAGAGCAGCTCGATGGAGAATGCATGAGAGATTGCTTGCCTCTTGCGGATCTGGCTTGCCCGCCCCAGTTTCCAGGCGATTGTCCTCGCAAGTTGGGCGGCCCTTTTCGCTTGATTTTCTTGTTCTTTGTTGTCGGCTTCTTCTTCAGTCTCAGCCACCGCTTTCGAGTCTGCTTGTCCAGCACCCTTCTGTTGCAGGCCATCCACTTCTTCCAGGCCGTCAACTGCCGCTTGGAGGGCATCTTGTTGCAGCAAGCCTTGTTGCAATTCTGCTATCTTGTCTTTGTAAAACTTGTTTACTGCGCTGTGAGAAAAATTAGTATCGAATCCATTGCAGTTTAGAGAGCACAGGAGGTGAGAGAGGGGGTTGACCAGCGTACTCGACAATGATCTGTTCCTCCGCAGACAGAGGAACTAAAAGATCGGTTTCTTTCTGTTCGGGAAGATCAATGATCTTATGCCCCAAGAACTCGTCTTTCAGTGTCCTAGATGCTTTCAGCCCATGCTATCATGCAGTATCGCAGACTTCCGAGCTCACCTCCGAACCATGATGAGGCTGATTAACGCTTCGAGTTTGCCATTTACCCTGCCCTATGATCATTATGTAAGTTGCTCTTCGTTCTTGCGACTCCCTTTCCTGGAATCTTACGTGTTTCGTATACATCCTTTTGAAGTCTCTCAGGCTCCATGTGGCTTCACATTGTGTGAACTTCAAGTAGGGGTACATCTCTGTAGAAGTTAGGTAGTCAGTGCCTACGCACACTCGACGGAATGACGGGGGCGGCGTTACATACCATAGGATGTGTTTGCCAGCGGCGTGCCAGACAAAGCCCAGCGATACTTGCCCAGGATGGCACAGCAAGCTTGAGCAGCTGGATAGGAGAAGGAAGAAAAAACGTCAGTGGTTGATCTGATTTAGCTTCACCCAAGAGGAGAGATGACATACTGCGGCTTTCAACGTTCTTGATAGCATGCGCTTCGTCGAGAATGACGCGATACCACTTGATCTTAAACAACACGCCAGCCTTAGCCTGGAGCTCGCGTTCATAGGAATTGACATCGCTGCCAAATCGTTCCTGTAATTCATCCAGGATGCTCTTGCTGGGGTATTGGGATAGTAACTCCTTGTACGTGGTGATCCTTTATTGCGTCAGCCATGGTCAAATTGCGGGAAGCAGGTTGAGAAGAAAGGACTCACACGATGTAAGACTGTTTACACCTTCTAATCTGCGGGTCGTTAGATGGATCATATATGAATACCTTGTCTCCCACTGGGCCTTTGCAGTGTTTCTGTATGTGTGGTTATCGTCAGTTAAAGAAGGCCCATCGACAGGCGGTGTCTTGAGTTTGACTTACGTGCACTTCTCGTTCCCACTGCTGCCCATCTGATTTGTTACGCACTACAACGAGGGTGGCATTGCAGTACTCTCGCCGGTGCTCTGGGTCTGCTTGATTGCCCACGATACACGCAAGGCTCATAACTGTCTTTCCCATTCCCATGGAATCCCCCAGAAGCCCGCCATATGGCTTCGCGCGAGCCAGTTCCCTCTTGACCATCCATGACACAGCTGTCAGTTGATAGTTCTGCAGGCAAGTGTTCATTCCTTTCAGCTTCCAGAGGCCATTCACAGCCTCGACTCTTTTGTATCCAAAGAGCTTTGCAGCTTCACGCAGATCTTGGGCCTGCGACTTCTTGCGCCTCGTATCGCAATTGTGCGGGATCTGCGCTTTCAGTCGGGCAAATTGCTCCGCGTGAGTCTTTGCCTTGATAGGTTCCATCGTAGGTAGAGGATCGCCGACTGAGGCTGAAGCATCACCGCCAAACCTTGACACTTCAGTCAATTCTCTAGTCTTTGGTCCCTTGCGAGGCCAATCATCAAGCTCCGTGGCTTTCCGTTTGCCTGGAGGATAGTTGCTGCTTTCTTCTTGTTCCAATTTTTTTGCATAGTTCTTGTCTTCTTCTTCATGCAAACGAGCAACATACTCGCGCGCGTTCCGGGCAAATGATCGTCGCGGTTTGCTTTCTTTGGGTTTCTTTGACGAAGCACAATGTTCTTCCTCATCTTCGTCATCTAGGGAAAGAGACGGATCGCTTCCTTCTTCATCCTCAACACCGTCTTCGTGATCTGAACCATTCCCGTTCCCCTCACCATTTTCGTAGTCAGAGACAACCCCATCACCAATATCAAAAGAGCCGTCCTCATTGATGGGATGCTCATGGTCATCTGGCAAATCCTCATCGACCATGTTCAAATCTTCAGATATAGCAGCTTGGAGAATCCCAGAAACTTTCTGGTCAATATCTGCTTCCTCTGCCGCTTTTGCCACAGGGCTGATTGCATTGATGTGAAGAGCTAACTTGACCGATTCATCTCCAAGGAACAGAGCTCTTTCTCCCTCTACCTCCATAGCATTGTGAGCATCTGCTTTGGTATGCAACTTGCCATATGCGTCTTGGCCTTCATCATCTGATGGAGTTTCACCACGAAGGTTGAATGTATCTGTTTTGCCAGCTACCTCTGGCTTATCGCTGTTTGTCGGGTTCGATGGAGCTGGAGAAGGCTGTTGCAGAGAGACCAGCTGATGAGGAGACTGCAGCGTCTTTGGCTCTGCATCCATGATTGGTTCGGCCTATGAGGCTATTAGCTAGACTGTTTCCATCCACTTGGGTTACTCACCTTGAGAGAGATGCAAGCCATGCAGGTGATGTTAAAATCACTCTTGATGAAAAGCTGATGGGGCAAAATCTCAGCGACTTGATCGTGCGCTTTGCATGTCACGAAAACACGAGGAGAGGTTGGCGAATGTGGGCTGGCAGTGAAGCAGAAGAAGAGAGGAGGTGAAGAAAAAGAAGAGCGGAGGAGAGGAAGCGAGAAGGAAAGCAGAATAATTTAAATGGGCAGGCACTTCTAAACGTAGGGCGGTGAGGATGTAGGCAGGTATGTACTTCACATGACTTCATTGTTGAAATGTTCTAAATCGTCTCATAAGTAGGTATATCAGGGTACTCAAGGTAGTAGGTATCTTCGGAAACTTCTTGCTCCAGTTGGCGCAGCTGGCACTCCAATTCTGGGCAATGTCAAGAATCCGAGAGTCACTTTGTTTGCTATACAGTCTGCCCAAGAACTGCCGAGCACGTCATCAAACTCGAGGCGAGTTGCTTGAAGTCTCAACAAGTGAGGTAGGTATTGAAACAATGCTACCTACCTACCTATAATAACCAAATGCATGAGTTGCCACCGAGATCATTCCAACAAGGTCGCTACCATATCTTCCAAATGTTGTTCAGTCTTGATTTGGAGTTCGATAAGTGGGAATAGATCAAGTGAGTCCTCGCATTATTTTGCTATACGTTTGCATAATGAGTAAATAACCATGGGGTTGAAGATATTGCCGTCTGATGATTTGTGGCAAAGCCTCGTTGAAGCACAACATTTGGTGTATGCCTGAGTTTGAAAAGTGAAGTATACAACTCTTCTTTTGCTTCCCATCATATGATGTTGCCTTACACTGTTATACCGTGAGGGCACTACTTTATTCACGTTCGTGGCTGTCTAGCCTCTATGCAAAGCTGTCCCCGAGATTATCCAGGTATCCCTCGGAAACTTTCGAGCTTCTACTAGGTAGTCTTGAATGTTGCACTACCTGTCGAGGTTCTATCATTTATACCATCGCACTATGTACCAGGATCTTCTCCGATATCTCATCAATATCATTTCGCGACCAGAGATCGAGTCCTTGGTTCCACATCATGGCCCAGTGCTGAATCAGCTCTATTTGAGAGAGGCCTGATTTACAAACATTTGGCAAAGTGTATGCATGGTGGTAACCACGTTTAGTTTGTAAGATTTAACGAGGAGATGGGTGTCTCTAGCTTTCAAATAAGTCAATATCAACTCCTTACCGCATCATTTCTATCAGCAGCCACATACACAGCGTCGCAAATAAACACCTGCGGTCGGTAATTGTAATGATCATGGACCCATCGTGCCACCGAAGCTGAAGCGTTAAGCAACTCCCAGCCGGAAGAGCGAAACACCGCCATCAGTGATCCAATCCGTTCTTTGGCTAATTGCGCAGAATGAGTCCATCTGGACTGAAACTCCTCGCTGGATTGATGACGGGCATGCTGATGCTACAGCGTTGTTGCAGCTGCTTACAATTCATCGCGGTGTTTCAGCAAAGTCGGCTATGTTACCCTGCACGCCAGTTGTAACATGAAAGTAAGCGGCCCTTGGAACTGCAACTGTTCCCTCACAACTGCATCATGACGAATGAAGATAGAGCCATGATCCCCATCCGTCACCTCTTTTGAATGACAAGCTCGGAGTATGATAAACAAGTAATACCGGTACTTGGTCGGCGCCGCAGCATTTGAAGCGTCAAGAGTCACGAAGCGAACACTCATTTAGTGGCGGCAACTCGAGTCTACGGAACAGGGGAGGGCTCTTGTTGGTAAAAGTTGGACGTAAAGAGGCGCGATGCCGAGCTATGCGTGACGAGGGGCGATTTATCGTTTGATAGGAAAGGCTTGTGCAATGCGCGCTGTTGGTCCTGCTTAAGAATGGTAGATGTGAGCCGTACCAGTGGGTGAGAGTCTCGTATCATCTGTAAGGAGACCTTTCTCCTCTCTTGTCGAGATATAACTCCGATAGAATAGCATCATCCTACCCGAGACGGCTTCCATCATGAACCAGCTCTACCAATTTTCATTTCCCTGGCTACATCTGTGGTGCAGTTGTCATTGTGGGGTTCATCATTCCAGTGAATTACCAGCTTTACAACACTTGATGACCGCTCCCACACCTCTTCAAGTTGCTCCGTTACCACATCCACGAAATCTTCAGAAAAGAAGTTTCCAGACCATGGTACACCAGATGGACCTCACTCATTATCAGATACCACTGGTCAAAAGGCAACAAAGCACAATATCAACACGAGGTGCACCTCAAATACGGCACAACCTCTCTTCCCTTCTGCCACTCCATAAAGCCAGACACAGTTGCAATCAAAGGCCCCCTCGTCCGCCTTTGACAATGCTTTCAGGACGCTGGAAATTGGCGAGGTGAGCGGGTATACAAAGGACCTCGAGGACTTGGGCTGCATGGGAGCCGTGCGCTCAGCCTTTCCGGTGATAAGCTGCCTGGCCAAGTATCCTCTTATTCCATTCTTCAAGCGCCCCCCTTTCAGGCAACAAAGAACATGATTCGTTATGCATAAGAGTCAATCACCCGATACAGGAGCCTTCTCGACTCGGATCCCACGAACTTCAAATGGACTCTCTTCATCATGGTGTTTCAAGACAGCGAAAAAGACAAAGAGGCCCTCACACCGATCGAGCTCCGGCCAACGCATGAGCCTACAATGTTGCAGGCAATGACTACACAGCTGTGACACTGGTGTACCTCATCTGGTCCGTCTGCGGCCATCCCCACAGTCAAAGCCGCTCTCCTCGAAGAGCTACGGGCTCCCCCATCCGACTTCAATCTGTCCCACCTCTGGGGACTGAGTTACTTGAACCAGGTGCTCAACGAGACACTGCGCCTGTACTCCGGCATTCAATCACCTTTACCTCGTCTTGTATTCAAGGGTGGTGACAATGTTGCCGGATACCAGCTTCCTGGCGGCACGATCGTCTGCCCTCAGGCATTCAGCATGCACCGCATGGCCAGCGTGTTTCCGGATCCGGACGCCTTTGATGCCTCGCGATGGGCGGAGCTGACGAAGGAGAGATGAAAGAACCCCTTTATGCCTTTTTGCAGCGTCTCACGGAGTAAGTCTCTTTGAGGTCTTGATCGTTGCGGCCTGTTGTATGCCGAAACTGCCTTTATTGTCCATAGTCTGTATCGGGCTACATCTTGCACCGACAGAGCTGCGCTATGCAGTAGCCAAGGTCTTTCTGATGATTCTAGAGGCTGGAGTGTTGGCACTTGAAGGCTTCAGGGATGAGGGACATGGCTCCTAGGATATTATTCTTCGGAGAGACAAAGGCCAAACAATGCTTCATTTAGAGCTCCTTGACATGATTCCGACATGGCGACGCTGTAGTTATCCCGTAGAAGTGAATCACATCGCATGGATGGTAATATAAGCAGATTTGTGCCCACTGTGGCCATCCTCACGAGTACGCTCAATACCTGGGGACAACTCACGCAAGGGAAAAATGACTCAAGACAATGTGGGAAAAGAATCTTCAACCGTCGTGCTGGTCCAAGCTTCGTCGTAACGGCTGACGGATTGGTCCCAAGTGACAAAGGCACAACGCCGCGGGTGACTTTCCAGTCTCTGGTTTCAAGCCTTTGTCTTCACTCAGTCTCACCCTACAAACCTCGTTTCATGTCTAATTATGGCCATGATTGGATATGGCTGTGAAGTGGTGAGCTGACAGAAGACAAAAGGCATCGCCTCGCCCGAGAGTCATCGACTCTGTCGACTTCGAGTCAATCCTCTGTTTTGCTTCTGGAAGAAATCCGCGTGTGAAAATAGCTGTTAAACAATTCGAGATACACTGGGCATCACGCCATGTCAGACAGCGACTGCAGCACAGACAGCAGCTCCAGCTGCGATCACGACTCTGTCAGCGTCCAGAGCGACGGCGCACCGTACGGCATAGCAGCAACCGAATATGCGACAGCATGGGCTTGTACATGGAGCGATCCCCAGCTCGGCATACTGACCGAAAATGACCTGCAGCTTCTCAGACACGTCAATTGCACATACCTCTCCTCAGGCAGGCCGCCGACGCTGTTGGCGTTGAAGCAGCACGCCCAGGCCCTCGCGAACCTCATCAAGAAGATATGCATCAGCGACACGTTTGGTGTCATTGATGGAAGGAGAGGTCGACATCCTGCATTTCAGAAGAATGAGGCGTTTGACTGGCTCAACAACCTGGAGGAGGTATACACAAACGACGATGAAAATCATCACCTACCGCTGGAGGCTCTGGCAAACCACATTGAGCACCAGGATGAAGAGACTGGGATCGAATGCCATTGCCCCCTCAAAGTTGCGCGCAACTATGGGCCCCTGGATCCTGGAGAGGGCGCCCGCCGACCATACAGCAGCCATCACAACCTCGTCATGCATGCAAACTCTTGTCTAGAGATTCTGGATCACGAATACAGCGCGACAGGCGGCCTGCTCTCGCTGCTCCCCTCTGGCAACGAAGACGACTGCGAGCAGATGGCAGGCGTGCGGAATACGGTGCTGGGACAGTGGCTGCTGCACCAACAGCACCTGGTTGCGCGCATGCACGAGCTCGAAATCAACTACGCCAACGCCCTCGATCTTCTCAAAGGCGAAGCCGTTGTGCCCATGCAGATGCTGGGACAGTTTGGCCCAGAAGGACGGGCCAAGGGACGCGAGGCGGTCTATCCTCAGGACCGGTTCGTCCTTGCCAATGCGGGAGAAGACGTCTTCAGCCTGCTGCATCGCCTGATGGATAAGGCAGAGTCCGACATCCAGGCCAAGGAGCAGACCTGGTGGGAGTCTGGAGTCAGCGGCGAGCGCATGTGGGCAAACACAAAGGGCGGCGACTGGTACTCCCGAGGGCTGGTTCCCATCGACATGATGACGCGGTTCGTGCGTCTCAAGGATCAGGGAGGAAGATCGACAATCTTTATGCTGCCGGCAATCGAGCATCATCCGGCCACGGCACAAACGCGCAAGATGGAGAAGCGGCCAACCGTCGTCTCCGTAGTGGCTCCAACCTGGCCGGAGCGAGCGTCAGAGCTCGAGAAGCGCGTCAAGGCTCATCGCGACGAGGCAAAAGAGCTCGCTCGAGACAAAACGGAGATGGAGACGCAGATGGCGACGCTCTGGGCGGAGCTGCGCAGGACGAAGCAGGAGGTCAAATTCTATGAGGGCACCTCTGAAGGGAGAACGAGAGACGCAGTTCTCGGCGAGCTGGAGGCAATGAAGCGGCAGATGGAGAAGCTGAGAGAGGCGCTGCCGAGGGAGTATCACCACCTGCTGCAGGCTGAGGAGGAGGGAGTGCAGAATCGATGAGGCACGTGTGCCGAGATGGTCGATCGAGTGCCGGTGATTGTCAGGTGCAGGGCCCCCTAAGGGAGCCGAGAGTGGCGGATCGTAGGTAGGTAGCGGATAGAGTCGATTTCCTGTTTGTTAGTGCTTCTTATTTGAGTTGCCCGATACTATTGACAAATTGTGTTTGCTGTTGGTTCTTGCAGACATGAAATTGGAGTGCGAGTCGTTATTGATCAATGGGGGAGGATAACCACCAGATGAGTTGCTGCAGGCGTTGCCGATGATTCATCGTTGGGTATGTACCTATCGAGGCGGTCTCTCCGATAGATGCATTTCGCGTGATAAGCAATGACCCGGACTTCTACAGCTCATGCACGACATGATGAAAGAAAGCAACCACTCCACCACCGCATCGCATCACATCACATCACTCCCGTCATCACCAACAGTCCGTCTCTGCGTTGTCGGCCCAGGAGCGGGATTAATTTTCCGGGTTCGACATCAACGCCCAGACGTGCAACAGCTCCTGCAGGGGCCAAGTCCGAGTTATGCTTGCCCTCGCATGCGTCTCAGCGGCGCCATGGCCTCCCCATTCATGAGGCATTGTCTTCTTCAGCGTGCTCCATCTGTTCCCCGGACAGCTCGGCGACGCCTTCATCTCGCCCCGCCGTTTCTGCTTGACAACTACACGCCAAGATACCTTGGGCTGTCGTCCAGGGACGCCGCGAAAAAGCGCTCGTTGGCCTACGCCCACCTGCGCAACTGCAACCTGTGCCCGAGACAATGCGGCGTCAATCGCCACGAGACGACGGGCATGTGCCTCATTGGCGACACGGCCAAGGTCAATGTGATTGCGCCGCATTTTGGTGAAGGTCCGTCTCCCAGCCCTCGGCTTGCCCCGAAGTGCGGCTGAGAGCGAGCAAAGAATTGAGGCGCTGCTGAATACCAGTAGCCTCGATCCAGCACTAACAGGACGCCCACGGGGAACGAGCATACCAAAAGTAGAACTAAGACATGCTAACGCCGTGACTAGAGCCGTGTATCCAGGGGCACAATGGCAGTGGCGCGGTATTCATGAGCGGGTGCAACATGCGCTGCATTTTCTGCCAGAACTACGACATTGCCCACCAGCGCAACGGAATGGACCTGACCCCGGAGGCGCTGGCGGAGTGGTATCTCAAGCTGCAGGACGTCGGCAATGTGCACAATATCAACATTGTCACCCCCGAGCACGTGGTGCCCCAGGTGGCGCTGAGCATCCTGCACGCCGCCGAGCTTGGGCTGAGGCTGCCCATCGTCTACAATACGTCGAGCTACGACTCGCTTGCGTCGCTCGAGCTCATGGATGGGCTGGTCGACATCTACCTAGCCGACTTCAAGCTGTGGGAGCCTAGCACGTCCAAGCGGCTGCTCAAGGCAGATGACTATCCCCAGACCGCCAGAGAGAGCATCAAGGCCATGCATAAGCAGGTTGGTGACCTGTGCTTCACGGGCGATGGCATTGCCAAAGTAGGACTGTTGGTCAGGCACTTGGTGATGCCTGGAAGGGAGGCCGAGGGTGCAGAAATCATGCGATTCTTGGCATCCGAGGTGTCTACCGATTGTTTTGTCAACATCATGGAGCAGTATCATCCAGACGCGCACGTGGGGAAGAAGAAACGGAGAACAAAGGCATCCGGGGCCGTGGAGGGGGCCAAGGGCCAAACCGAGCCGGACGAGGGCGATCCGGATGTTCGATACAGCGACATCAACCGCGCGGTAACGAACGAGGAAGTCTCAGTGGTACGAAAAGCGGCCATGGAGGCTGGCCTCTGGAGGTTCTGCGACCCGCCGAAACACGGTGGGTTCGTTATCTGATGGCGCGCATCACGGTTATTCTGCTGAGCCCTCTGGCTGCTCTGTGCTTCCATGTGGCTTTGAATTTTGGCCGTGCGTTTGGTCGATGTGGACATTTCGACATTCGCCCGTTGTCCTTCTTCTTCTATTTCGACTTCAGCCGCAGAACCAATGAGGCGCCAGGGGCGATACGACCCATGACCGTTATTCTGGGCCAGGCAGTTCGACTGGAGACGAGACTGATTTGAGTTACAGACTACGAGGCTAGGCGAAAGCACGGATGGAATAGCGCTGTGTTGGTTCGTCCCCGTCAATGTGATCGGGGAAGATTCGATTGAACAAGCCACATTGTTGGTGGCGGCATCGTATCACCGCCTGCGAAGCAACAGTCAAGCCCAGAATCAAGGTCCAGAGCCCCCATTCCAGAGCCGCAGCCTCGGGTTCTCGGTCCCGGTGAGGGTCAAGGATTGTGAGAACAATAGCCGTCTATCGACCTTTGACATGGCAAGCTGAGTGGGCTCTCTGGTTTGGCTGCTTGGCCGGCCTGCCTTTTAATCCTGGGTCCTTCTCCATACACTGGGGAAATGTTTACTGCAACGATTCTCTCGGCAGATACCAATACGTCAAAGTGCAGCACAGATCGAAACACCAATGGATCTGGACTCAATAGCAATTGCCGAAGGATCGGCGGGAGAGCTTCCTCGAGACGTTTCTCCGTCTTCCCCGTCATCCTGCCGCACCTACTCGCTCGACTCCCGCTCAACCGCCTCTACAAAACCTTCGTCAAGGGGGTCCTCGCCTGCCACCAAGAAAGACATCAACGATGGTGCTCGGGGGAGAAGCCGACGCACCTCCCAGCCAGTCGGCCCGTCCTGGAATTATCTGCTCCACCCGCGATCCTATGAAGAAATCTATGCGGAGCGAGCATATCTCACCGCGTCTCTCCAGGCCTACTCTCTCAGAGCAATCGACATGATTCACCAGTACTCCTTGATCGAAGAGGAGCTTCAGGCCAGGGACCATGTTGGCAAAGAGAGGCGAAAGCTCCGGAAGCAGATGAGCTTCATCAAGGTGAAGCTGTCCGAGGCGTCACGCCAAGAAAAGGCCATCGTCCTCAGGCTGAGCGAGCTACACATGGAGCAGTTGGGGAGGGACGTATGGGATCAAGTACAGCGACGCAGGCTGTTCTACTCTAATTTCCTCCCTCAAATGGTCAAGTCGCCGTCCAAGATGCCGGAACAGCCGCTCAGTGCAGACTCCAAGGAGTTTGTGCCATTGGCCACCCAACGGGGTAGCTCGCCCACCCATGCACGCCCCTGTGCGTCAGAAGCAGAGTCTAGGACACTTGATACGGTGCTCGAGGGCAACGAAGGGGAAGAGGATGATGGCGAAAGCCTCGACAGGCCTCAGGCTGCCGTGGCTGAAGAAGCCGGAAGCAGATCAGAGGTAGACTTGCAGGATGCCGAGTCGCGCAACCATGTGCTGGAATACACGTACCGAGGCTGCAAAGAAGCGCCGGAATCGCAGCTGCGGCCACTGGATGACAAGCAGAAGGTGTCTGCACGCTCAGAAAGGCGAAAGAGTCTCCCAAACTTGTGCTCCGTATGGCCCGAAATGAACGGCCATGCATAAAGGGAAGAACAACTGGAAAGGCGACGCAGGGGGGAATGAATTGGGTATAATAAAGAGAAGGAGTCTATGGATCTAATTGGTGCCTTTTTTTTTCTTCTTTTCTCTGTTCTCTTTGCTGCGCTGGAATGCCTCATGCATCATGGTTAGGTAGCGGAAGGAGGAAGAGCATGGCGAGTCTGAATAGTACATGTACCAAACGCGTCCAACGGGATGCAAATCAAACCATTAATGCCTACTGAGAGAGGGTGTTGTCCAAGTCCTGCTGAGGTAGTCATGCACTGCGCTTTTGTTCACGATTTAATTTCTATTCCTTCTCTTTCGTCGTGCCCTGATCACGTTACGCAAACTCTCCAAACTGGCCGTCGTCGAATCCCAGGTTCTTGAGCGACCTGCGCTTCTCTTTCACGTCCGACGTCTTGGGCGGCGGCGGCAATGAAAAGCCGCCCGCAGGCGGAGGCGGCAGCGCAAACGACTGCAAGTCGGCCGAACTGCTGCTCGACGTCGACGAGTCCTCTGCGTTGTGCGGCCGTCTGCGACCAAACTTTGTGCCGCCGAGGTTGACCGTGATGGTCTCGCCCTCCTTGAGGCTGTAGTCCTTGGTTTCCGTCTTCTTGGTGGCCTTTGCGTCAGCCGAGTTGTTGCTGCTGCCGCTGCCGTGCGCCTGTTCCGACTCCCAGCCGAGGCTGCGCCGGGCCTCTTGCAGGGAGACTGCGAGATCAAAGGCCTCGGAGCGCTCCTCGAAGCCAATGCCAAGAACGGCTTTCCTGCCCTGGGGGTCCTTGACGGTGACTGCGAAGAAGCGGCTGCTGTCGACGACGGGCTCGACGGCGCTGGGGTCGAGGTAGGGGGCTGCGGCGAAGAGGGCGCCTGTGGAGGGGTCTTCGAGGACGAGGTCGATCTTGATGCTAGTTGAGGAGGAGGAGTCGGTGGCGGAGGAGGAGGAGGTGCTTTCGAACGAGGTTTCGACGACGCGGAGGCGCGCGGTGAAGATGTGGCGGGCGGGGTCCTCGGTCCAGGAGGAGGCGGAGTGGCCGCGCATGGAGGTGAGGGGGGGGATGTTGTAGACGTGGACGGGGGTCGCGACGAAGAGGATGCGCTGGATGGCGTCGCTGGGCAGGGGCTGGCCGGTGGTTGGGTCGATGGGATCCATGGTGGTGGTGATGCTTCAATTGGTGGTGATGGTGAGAGACGAGATGAAGGTTTAAATAGAGGGTTGGGAGTGACTGCGGAGGTTGAGGCTGGAGTTGGGCGTGGTTGTCGTAGGTGGTGATGCTGGCGATGGTGTTGAGAGATGCAGAGAGGGAGAGAGAGAGAGAGAGAGAGGAGTGTGTGGTGGACTCTCTGTGGTGCTGATTCCCGTCAATGCGTCTTGTTTGTTCGGAGCAATGGATATTGATGGTGGACGGAGATGCTCTGGATCTCGCGGGACCTCTATTGGGCATCCAATCTGCCTCGCTGCCCTATAAAACTGCTGGCGCGATGCAGCCGGGGCGGATGGAGGGGCTGATTTACAGGGGGTCTTCCAGTGGCTTGCGCCTGGAGCTACGGGGGAGTTACCCCGCCAAGTGTGGCTAGTGTGGGCGGGAAACCTTAAGGTACAGGTGCCGTCAACTGAGCTTTGATAGCGGCAGACGAAATCTCCCACTTTCTCTTGAGTCACATCAACAGACAAGAATCGTCATCTCGACATTGCGCCCGCTCTCTGCCCTGGTGATAGCCTCAACTTTTTGGTCGCATTATCCAGTCCAAATCACTGCGCGCAACAATGTCAGAACCCGAAGCTGGTGCGCTAACCTCCTCCTCCTCCTTCTTTGCGCTCCTCGATCTTGCTGCTGATGCTGTCTCTCTCTCTAGCCGTTGCGCAGCAGACGACGGAGCTTCCTCTGCGAAGCCAGCCCAACGACTCGACCTTTGAGTACGCTCATCTCTCTCTTTTCCCTGCATCATCCCCATCTGACTCGTCGCCCCTCCCAGCATCGTCGCCACATACAGAGACCTCCTCGCCTCCGACCCCGACCTCACCAAGCCCGTCGCCGCCATCGAATCCCTCATCGCCCTCCTCAACACCGTCCCCTCCACCACCGTCTACGAAACCCTCGACACGGTCAAATCCCACTCGGACCTCCTCAAGGCCTCGGTCGACAACCCGCTGCCCCTGCAGGCCGGCACCGACCTCTTCCTCCAGTACCTCGTCGCGTCGCTCAAGCAGCAGGACGGCAGCTTCGACGCCGTGCGGCAGCACCTGCTGCGCAATGGGCGCCTGTTTGCGAGTAGGGCCATCGCAGCCAGGAACGGCATTGCGGAAGCCGGGTGGCGCTTCGTCCGCGAGGGCAAATGCGTGCTCACCCACGGCGCCTCCCGCTCCGTCACGGGCCTGCTGGAGCGCGCGGCCAAGAACGGCGAGGGCAAGTTCCGGGTTGTCTACGTGAGGGACGAGGTGCGCGCCGAGGAGAGCGATCGCGTCGTCAAGGAGCTGCGCAGCAAGGGCATCCCCGTCGCGGAGATTCCAGAGGCCGCGGTGGCGCATGTCATGGGCTTGCTGCGGCAGGTTCACATGGTGTTTACGGGTGCCGAGGCCGTGACGCAGAACGGAGGCATCATTTCGCGCATCGGCACGTATCAGATTGCCAAGCTGGCGGCGCAGGCCAAGATTCCCTTTTACGTGGCGGCCGAGACGCACAAGTTTGTGCGCAAGTTTCCGCTGGACCAGAGGGACATCGGCTACAAGCAGGAGGTGCTGGATTTCTCGTCTACGGGGCCGAGCAAGCAGCCCAAGGATGCTGTCGACTATACGGTCAGTGCTGTCATGCCCACTTGTTCGTTTCCAATAGAATTCATATGCTGACAATCAGTTTTTTCATAGCCGCCCGAGCTGATATCAAACTTGGTGACGGAAAACGGCGTTCATCTGCCCGGATACGTGTTTGAGCAGCTCCTCGATATATACGGTAGCTTGAACGGCTGAGTATGCGGCTAGATAGGAGAGAAAATAAACAAAAGAACAAGAAAAATTAAGAAAATGATACGAAGATTACCTTTCTTCCGGTTCCATGGTTTGACTTGGTGATAGCTGCATTAACCCATACATCCTTGCAAATGCGACAGATAGGAAGGTTCGTCTCAACGTCGAGGTCGATGTTTTGTGCCGGCTCTTTACAAGGAGCTCCCCTCAAAAACATGGCATTGCTTCTTGCACATTTTCCCTCCCTTTCATGATATGATATTTCTCAAATTGATTGCTCGATGTCAGTCCAGGGGGATTTTCTCTTTCCGCTGAGCAAATCATAGTCGTATGTCCGTTTATCCCCGTTCGGGTCGTCGCCTACAGAAGGGACTCGGTCTTTTGTTGCAATCGCATTTCCTCGGCGATACCTTGACTCTCCATCTAACTGGCTGAATATTCTCAGTCTGTCCCGAGTAGTAGCTTCAAGATAGCTAGCTGTAAGATGAAGTTGATCTCTTTTTCCTCTATAATAAACACGGCTTTGAGCTACGCAGCTGTTGCAGCAGGTTGCTGACCGAACCATGCCGTTCTGAATTAAAGTTGACAGGAACCCGGCCCCGAAAGATGGGAGTATTATTAGCTCGTCCGGCCCGCAAAGTTCGGATGCCCTCCCCGGACTTTGTGCAGAATCATGTCCGGGGGATTCGCGTCAGTGGGAATTTTCGGACATGTGAGTCAGCTGCGTCGGCGAAAGAGGATGGGTGCTGCTGTTCATCAGATGGTTGATCGAGCCTCCATGGAGGCTTGCGTATGCTTTGCACACCTACCTACACAAGGTAGCTGTGGAGGGGGCGACTTGTTCCTAGAACAATGCCTGTACCTGGTGGTGAGTATGAAGTGATGTAGGACCTCTTTTTCGTCGCAAATGTGTTGTACGGTGTAGCATATAGGTGATTGAATCTTTAAGGAAGCTACATCATTTACGTGAGTCTCAACGGACAAGAGTCTCTGTTAGGGCCCATGGCGAGGACCAGCGGATGTTGTTTGTGTGCCGTTGAAACATCGTCATGTACATCGTCATGAGAGGTTTCATCAGCAATATAGGTAAGTAAGTAGGTACACAGCTCTCTACGTATGTATACATTGACCCGACAATGCCCCAGGCATGATTCAAAGAGGCAGATTGACGAATTTAGTCCCATCAACTCTTTCGTCAAAGGCTGGCCTTGGGAAAAGCTAGGCAGGCTATGCTATACCTGCATGATGTGCTCAGAGCACGACATCCGCATAACGCCGTATCTCCGAGGGATCAGGATCAATCGTGAGGACATCGCCTCTCCACGACCTTGATATAAGTCGTGTGTACTGCCCGTTGAGGTAATAAGAATCAGTCACATAACTCAAGCAGCCAAAGCCAAAGTCAAGAAACAGTCAGACATATACCTATACCTACCTTACCCAACATGGTCCGAGAGTACACCAAAGACACCACAGCCGACGAGCTCGTCAAAGACCTCGCCGGCGAAATCGCCAACAAGGTCGTTCTCGTCACCGGCGTCTCCCAGGGCACCCTCGGCGGCATCTTCCTCGAATACATTGTCAAAGCGAACCCATCCCGCCTCATCCTCGCCGGACGCACCTTGAGCAAAACCCAGCAGACGGCAGATGCCCTCAAAGCAGCGCACCCGAATATCGACATCCGCACGCTGCAAGTTGATCTTTCCTCGTTGGCTGACGTGCGCGAGGCTGCTGCCAAGGTGAACTCGTGGGAGGATGTTCCGCATATTGATGTGTTGGTGAACAATGCGGGCATCATGGCGATTCCGTACCAGGTGACGGTTGATGGGTTTGAGATGCAGTTTGGGAGCAACCACCTGGGACCATTCCTCTTTACCAACCTCATCATGGATAAGATTCTGGCTTCCAAGGCGCCACGCATTGTCAATGTTTCTAGCAGTGGACATCGTCTCAACCCGATTCGCTTCTTTGACTACAACTTCGGAGTTTGTCTCCCCCCTCAATCTCTGCAAAGACTCGCTGCTAACGGGGGTTTTCCAGGACGGCGAAACGTACAACAGATGGCAGGCCTACGGCCAGTCCAAGACAGCCAACATGCTCATGGCCGTCTCTCTGGCGGAAAAGCTGGGCTCCCGTGGTCTTACGGCGTTTAGTCTCCATCCGGGTACGATCATGACGCATCTCGGCGAGCACATTGACTTTTCAGTCGAGTTTGCGACATTGGGTAGGCACTTCCATCTTTCTCTCTCGATCTTTGTGTACATGTATCTTTGTGATTGTGTCTATGTGCTGACGATGTATGGTGGTATAGCTGCTGCCGATAGACTTCTGGGAAACGCCGAGGGATGGCTTACTGAGTTTGACTTCAAGACGCCGGATAGGGGCGTGGCAACGCACATTTACGCGGCGTTTGAGCCCAGTCTCAAGGGTATTGTCGTCCCCTGTTCTGTCTGTCTGCTTGGGACGAGATGCTAACTCTTGGGGGTGTAGAAGTCAATGGTGTATACCTGGAGGACGCACATGTTGCCGATCCGTTTGTGCAGACGGTCAAGCCATGGGGCACGAGTAAAGTCGAGGCTGAGCGCCTGTGGAAGTTGAGCGAGAAGCTGGTTGGACAGGAGTTTTCTTTTTAACCGGGATACCTGAGCCTCAATTATCGAGAAACGGGCAGCGATTACACTGCTAGCATCGAGATCGATGGTCATTGTAGTAGAGATGCAAGGGAGACGGGCTGGAGAAGCACCGGCAGATAATATGAAAGGTCAACTCAACTCACTGAAGAACAAACGGAGGGAAATCACAGTCCCTGATGCCTAACACGGTGAACTGAGATTCGTCTTCTATCAGAACGCTACCGTGGTCGTAGCAGTGAACCTGGCTCCACTTGCTGGGTGCTCCTGGAGGCTCTGCAAGCAGTGGCAGCAGAGATCTATGCGACATGGCCATCTAGCCCACTGCTGCTTGCTCATAGAAGTTCAAGGAAGAGGAGACGTCAAGACTGCGGCCTTGAGAATCGGCCTTCAGAAGGCTCCTGAGCGTAAACAGCCGAGGTCAGCTCAGCAGTGAAGCAGCTTGCCCTACCCAAAAAGCTGCAATGCCATTGCCTTCAGTATTCCTCTCCGCGTATCAATATTCGTTCGACTCGGAGGGGCTTTGCTCGAATGTTCAAACCGGATAGGATCTAAAGAAAATAGTACCAGCATCGTCCGCAACTTCATTTTGTCTGATTATAAGATGTTCAACATCTCGGGCAATTTTTCGCGACGGGGGACACACACACAGGCGAAGCTTCGACTAGGAAGAGGCTCCGCAAGAGAGCATGAACGTAATGCCCGCCCTACTCTTGTTTCCGAGCTTGGCGCGCGATAGGTCAGATCGGATCCGGAAGCATCATGCAAAAGAGACCATTTGCTACTTTGAGATGATCTCGATATCGGTCGACTTCCGGGTTCGTCCGGAGTCCCCCATCTTTTAACAACAAAGGCCCGTTTGCTGCTTTAGTAACCCGAGAGGGGGGTTTTCGATTAGTCGTTGGAATTGGCAGAGGATTGATGATATCGGAGAATTGATATCGGAGAATGGTCAAGTAGAACGGACTTGATTCCCCCATCCGGTTCGACTTTCGAGGGGTCTGACTTATGGGGCATGGAAATCGACGACTGCCTGGAGCTTCGAGTTGACTTCAGCTGCGTGTACTTGGTCCCTGGGGTCGTTTGGTGAGGATTTATTAGAGAGTGACGCATGCGGGGTTCGTAGACATGGATGGACAGGTGGGCGAACGAGGAGCCATTTTTTGATCAAAGATAATTGATCGAAGGTATGCTGGATGGACGAAAGGTAGATTGATAGTAACTTGCCTGTCGAAAGGTCAGGAAAATCAAGAAGGCGGAAGCAAAATGGGCAGCATATAGATGGAGTATATACGTGGTTGAGCGGGCTGCTAGCGGTTTGCTTCTCATTCAGGGTCCATATGGCGTTATCACGGCTAATGGAACGCCTCCAGGCACAAAAAGAGCCTTACACCCATCTAGAAGATCAAATCCTAGACCTTGTTCCCACCAAGCACTGTATGTATGCCCTCGAAGACTCCCCATCTACGACTGCTCTATATGCCCAAATCGCACAGGACACGAAGCTACATACAAGCGTTTACGATCACGATCGTCAATGCAACCACGGTAAACCGAAAGTACATACACAATCCACCCTCAGGCGGAACGAGGCGGAGCGGCTAGGGGCGGCTGAGATGGGCGAGCTGATGATCACGACCCTTGCCTTTTGCGGCCTCGGCACGCGGACACCTGACACACACACGATCACCACGACCAAACACAACGACAAGAGAGAATGCAAGAGGGTCAAGAGGGTTAACTGGTGCTGATGCCTGATGCCTGCAAGGTACAGCAGAGCCTTTGCAAGAAACCGACTCCCCAAGATGGCCGGAATTCCGCGCCTAAATAGAACTGCGTGAAGGTAACATTGAAGATACAAGTCACAATCGACGCAATTCACAGTGCTGAAGCCTTTTAGCTGTGAATTTACAGCAATTAGGCGCACTGTATCGTGAACGAAGGACAAGTAGCAGATGTAGATGTGAGAACGACGAGATGAAGCTGCTTTGGAATCCACGCTGCCGCCTCCCACTCAGCTCCATCCTTCGGCTCGTCGCACCTTGTCCAAGTGACAAATCCAATATTCATGCGCCGAGAACAAACAGAGTTCGGACGGCATCGTTTAGTATCCCAGCCCAGGCCGCAGTGAGGGTGAGCCCATACTCTACATACACGGGCCTTGTCCTTGTCCGGCTACATGTGTGCAGAAAGCAAACAGCTTCAGGGACATGTACTAACTTGTTCCTTTTCTCACTCATCACCGACCTACTAAAAAGTACTCTCTCTTTCTCTCTCTGCTATTGATGATGAGCATTGCCTCGATTGAGTTCCGTTACGTGAGATGGGTTCCATCTCCGTGGAGCTTCTCCTCCCGCTCAATAGCAGCTGGCCCCCAATAAACGCGGCACGTTGGCTCCCCTCTAGCAACCCGTAGATTGCCAGCCCTGCAAGGATTCGAAGCGCAAGTTCTCCTCAGAGCTGCAGTGAAATGATTCCAAACAGTGCGGGGACCAGCATCCGACGCCCAGCGATCCCGCGAAAATCAATACGGACCACAGCAGCCGAATCAGCAGAAGCCCCAAACAGAACAAGAAGCCCGCAAACAAGGTTGGCCCTCTTACCACCCCTCCCCCCTGAACTTGGCTGGGGGCTGCTGACCATTATCTTGATCCAGCTTCTGGCGCGCCGTCTCCAAGCCATGGCGTTCCGGCCGGTGGTTCCACATGCTTTTGCCCTTGAGTCTTGCTCGGCCGCCGGTGTCTTGCATCATGGCTGCGTAGCGGACCCTCTTGGGGGAGAAGCTCCTGACTGAGAGCGTGGGCTTCGGCATGTCGGGGAGGGGAAACGAGTCCCAAGGAAGATTTGGAAGGGGGGGGAAGCATGTTGGTTTACCTGTGCTCTAGTTTCAGTGCTTAACCGGATAGTACTGTATTGCAGCATTGCAGCATGCCTCTGTGGCATGTTAAATCGTTGAGGTAGCACACATTGACACCCCCCCATGAGGCGGGCGCATGGGGGCAGCCGGGCTAGAACGTAGCGAAGCTGTAAAACATGTACATGATGTACACGCTCACAACCTGGCTGGCGATGCCGGCGTGCAGCGGGTGCCATGTATCAGCCCGGTATGCCCTCCCCGGCCGGGCCCTGGTCTTGGTTTAGGATACCAAGCCCGGCTCCAACATTACGTAGGTAGATCGTGGTTCGACACGTCGCTTGGCGTCTTTGCGGTGCCTGGATTCGTTCGACGGAGCGGATAGTGACCTGTATATTAGATGGATAGCCTGCCGAGGGGGGGGGGGGGGGGGGGGGGGCGTCATGGCTCTGCCGTCCACCCCCTCACTGCGCCGCCTGTGGTTACAAAACGAGCTGGATGACATCCTGATATAAGTAAGACCTGATATTATATATATATATACAGCCTTTGCAGAACGAGTCTTTGTCACATCACATCACATCGCTCACGCACACGCCTGTCCCGTCCCGTTTGTCCCGTTATCCAGCGTATCGTTGTTGCTCTTGGTTTCCGTAAACACCATCACCATGTCCGCTGTCAAGGAGCCCGTCCTCCTTGTGCAGCAGCAGCAGCAGCAGCATACCGACGACGCAATGGCGCTCAAGTCAGCCACGACCACGACTACCACCACACAGAGGGCGCTCGACATCATCGACATTCAGAATGCGCGAATCGAGGTCAACCTCAAGGACGAGATCCTTGCCCAGATGAATCCCGAGCAGGGCCCCCGCACGCTGCCCACGCTGCTGCTCTATGACGAGCGCGGCCTGCAGCTGTTTGAAGAAGTAAGTCTGCGAGAGCCCATTGATCCTAATCCATCCCTCCCTGCCCCGTAGCTGTTTGTGCAGAAGTGTGTAACCGGAGTATGGATTTTGCTGCCAGATCACGTATCTGGACGAATACTACCTGACCAACTACGAGATTGAGCTCCTGAAGAAATCGGCAGCCGAAATGGCCAGCCAGATCCCCGAGGGAGCAATTGTGGTGGAGCTGGGCAGCGGGTTAGTTTTCTTTCTGGCCTGCTTTGATTCCCAATCCCGCCCCCCCTGTCCCCCTTCTTCGTCTTGTTGCTGTTTGTTCCTAACGTTTGAGGTGCTTTCTTTGCTTTTTTCCTGTTGGTGAAGAAACCTGCGCAAAGTCTGCCTCCTCCTGCAGGCGTTTGAAGATGCCAAGAAGAAGATTGACTACTTCGCGCTCGACCTGTCCCAGAAGGAGCTCGAGCGCACGCTGGCCGAGGCGCCCGTCTTTGAGTACGTGAGCTGCCGGGGCCTGCGAGGGACGTATGACGACGGGTGCGAGTGGCTGAAGCAGGAGGCGATTCTGGCTCGGCCAAAGTGCATTTTGCACCTCGGCTCCAGCATTGGTATGAATGGATTCTGTGACTTGATGAGATCTGTCGATATTGTTCGATTTGGCTAATGCTGCTGTTTTTTAGGCAACTTTACGCGCGACGAGGCGGCAGAGTTCCTGAGGTCATTTGCAGAGGTTCTGCAGCCCTCGGATCTGATGATTGTCGGGGTTGACTCATGTCAGAACCCGGACAAGGTGTAGTGAGTGCACATAAGTGACATGCAGTTACAATACCCGCTGACCAAGTTTGATACCTAGCCATGCATACAATGGTGCGTACTCTATCAGATGGCTGTTTCATTGACAAGAAAATGGATCTCGCTGACAGCAGCTCAGACAGCAAGGGCGTCACACATCAGTAAGATGATATATCCACACATCACTTATACTGGGCTCATCAACTAACGCTACGGGCAGATTCGTCCTCAACGGCCTCACTCACGCAAACGAGGTTCTCGGTCAGGAAGCCTTCAACGTCGAAGAGTGGCAAGTCATTGGCGAATACGTGTACGATGTCGACGGCGGCCGTCACCAGGCCTTTGTGTCGCCTCTCGAGGTCGCCTCGGTCCTGGGACACATCATCAAGCCCCACGAGCGCATCAAGATTGAGCAGAGCTTCAAGTACTCTGACGTCGGCCTCGACAAGCTGTTCAAGACGGCCGGCCTCGTCGAGGTTGCCAAATGGAGCCGCCAGGGCGAATACGGTACGTCCTCGCAGTCGTTTCCCCCCCCCCCCTCCCCCCCTTTCCATACGAAGCCAATTGTTGATATCTGACATATCATGCCATTCCAGGCCTTCACATGCTCAAGAGAGCCAAGATGCCCTTCCCCAGGCTCCGCGAGCTTTACGCCAGCGACACCCTGCCCACCTGGGCCGACTGGGAGAACCTCTGGGCGGCCTGGGACACGGTCACCCGCAAGATGCTCCCCGACGCCGAGCTCAACGAGAAGCCCATCAAGCTGCGCAACGCCTGCATCTTCTACCTCGGCCACATCCCGGCCTTCCTCGACATCCAGCTCAAGAAGACGACCAAGGCCGGCGGAACCGAGCCGCTCTACTTCCACACCATCTTTGAGCGCGGCATCGACCCGGACGTCGACAACCCGGAAAAGTGCCACGACCACTCCGAGGTCCCGGACGAGTGGCCTCCCCTTGAGGACATCCTGAAGTATCAGGACCGCGTCCGCGAGAGACTCCGCAAGCTGTATGCCAGCCCCGATGAGCTTGTCGGAGACGTTCGGCGCGCCGTCTGGATCGGCTTCGAGCACGAGGCGCTTCACCTCGAGACGCTGCTGTACATGCTGCTGCAGAGCGACAAGACGCTTCCGCCGCCGCACACGGTGGTGCCGGACTTCCCCAAGATGGCGCAGAAGGCGTATGCCGCGCGGGTGCCGAATCAGTGGTTTGATGTCCCGGAGCAGACGATTACCATTGGCATGGACGATCCTGAGGATGAGCACGAATCAAACCGGCACTTTGGATGGTGAGAGATGTTCTGTAAACATGCTGGAAACTTTTGCACTTACACAGAGGGATAGGGACAACGAGAAGCCTGCCAGACAGGAGACTGTGCGTGCCTTTCAGGCCAAGGCCAGGCCCATCACCAACGAGGAGGTAAGCCAATGTTTGCCATTGGATGCATCCAACAATCAACTGACTCTCGTCCAGTACGCCAAGTACCTCTACTCTTCTCACATTGAGAACCTCCCGGCCTCTTGGTCGGTCATCCCTCCCAACTATCACCACAACACCAACGCCACGACGCCCGGGAAGCCCATCTTGAGCGAGCTCCCCGAGAGCTTCCTCCACGACAAGGCGGTGCGGACCGTCTACGGGCTGGTGCCCCTGCGCTACGCCCTCGACTGGCCTGTCTTTGCGTCGTACGACGAGCTTGCCGGCTGCGCGGCGTGGATGGGCGGCAGGATCCCGACGATGGAGGAGGCCAAGAGCATCTACGCGTATGTGGAGAGGCAAAAGGATATTGCCAAGCAGAGCAAGCTCTCCAACAAGGTTCCAGCCGTCAACGGGTGAGTCCACTCAAACACGTTCATCAACATCGCTCACCTCGAGCAGAAGGAAGAGAAGAGCAAGAGACGCTGACATCAAGCTACAGGCACCTCGTCAATGACGGCGTCGAAGAGACTCCCCCATCCAAGCCCTCCCCGGCCTCCCTCTTCGTCGACCTCAGCACAACCAACACCGGCTTCCTCCACTGGCACCCCGTCCCCGTGACCCCCAACGGCGGCTCCCTCGCCGGCCAGGCCGAGCTGGGCGGCGTCTGGGAGTGGACGAGCTCCGTGCTGCGTCCGCACCAGGGGTTCCGCCCGATGAGCCTCTACCCGGGCTACACGGCGGACTTCTTCGACGACAAGCACAACGTCGTGCTGGGCGGGTCCTGGGCGACGCATCCCCGGATTGCGGGCCGGAAGAGCTTTGTCAATTGGTATCAGAGGAATTATCTGTATGCCTGGGTTGGGGCAAGGTTGGTGCGAGATGTTTGAGAGGGAGTGTGGAGGATGATGGGGAGGTTAGGGTGAGTTAGAAGGTGAATGGGGTGAAGGGGGCTTTTGCAGGAGCAGGGGTGATGATGGTTGCTCGATGGAGGACTACGGGATCTACGGATGGTATAACAGATTGTCACAGACCAGTATTGCAAAGGACGGGCTAAGGGAGAAAGAGGAATGATCTGGAAGGGGGTGATGAATCGAGTTACGGGGGCATCCACGATCTACCTACGGAGGGAATCACAGATTGACAAACAAACAGGAGATCAGCACATAAGGAAGAGAAGGGAACATTGGCAGCGTACCCAGCGCGGACAGTCGTTACCACAGCACGACATATTGTCTTGCCATATCATATCTAGGTAGTCTCGAGACGAGCCTAGCTTCGCCTCGCGCCACTCCTTCAGACAATTTCAATACAAATCAGCAGCGTCATTCCTTCTAACAGGTGGAATAACAACCATGCGTGAACACGATTAGACGGACAATTTGTCAGTCGGTGACAAATGCAATTCCGGAGCGTGATGGAGTAATCATGCAGGCAGGCCCTTGTGTGGAGCCTCTGGTGTACATAGGTGAAGCGTGGTGTTAATCGGTGAAATTTGATTTAAAGGGGGAAAGGGGGGCTATAAGGTGTGTTGACTGCACTTTTCTTCTGTACTTCTGTTAGTTGAACGTGTTTCTGATATTACTCGATGTTACTCGAAAGCTTGCCTTGTCATGTTCATTTATTACAATCTCATTGGGACAATGGCATTGCCATGTAAAGCCTCTCATCTAACAAACTCCAACCCAACAAGTAAAACCAACCATGATGTTGCACAAACGACTTTTGACGCCAACAGACAACCCAACAGCAAATGGAGTCAAGAACATGACCTGAAGAGCCCAAAAACCAAAGCCAACCAAAAGAGCAAAGTTACATTGGCGGCATCTGCACCACCGAGTCGCGAATCGCCTCGTCCACATGCCCCCTCCGGATCCCCGGACACGGCCCCAAGCATACGGCCTTTGACGCCAGCTTGACAATGAGGTTGTCCAGGTTGACCATGATGTTGATGTGGTCTGGGTTATTGTTGTTGTTGTTGCTGTTGTTGCTGCCGTTGTTGGCTTGGTTGTTGCGCATAGCCATGTCTATGGGTATGATATTGGCGGAATCGTCGATACTCCAAGCCGTGGGCGTAAACATGCGCAGTCCCGAAGGAACCACCTGGACGTCGCGCTGCTGCCCAAAGATGGTGTAGTCTGGGTTGATTGCGGCGAAGTTGTCGAAGGACGGCTGCTGCTGCTGCTGCTGCTGCTGTTGTTGTTGTTGTTGCTGATGGTGGTAGTGATGGTGAAGAAGATGAGGAGCAGGAGAAGGACCAGAAAGAGGACCAGGCATGATGACGGAGGAGGAGGAGGAGGAGGAGGAGGATGCCTCATCGACCAAATGCGGGTGGTTGCGGACCATGCGGACGGGGTTCTGGCGGTTGACGTCGTTGAGGTCCGTCGCCTGAAGGGACAGGCCGCCAGCATCGGCGTCGACGTCGAGGACGGGGATGGCTAGATGCAGCGTGTCAGCGTCTGGCGCGTCCTGCCGGATGAAGATGCCCCTCTGCTCGAGATACTCCTCGACGTCCGACGCCTCCAGCCACTCGCCCTGTAGGTCCGGCAGCGCCGTCGACAGCACCGTCCGGGTGCGCCCGAGCTGCAGCCGCTGCAGGTTCGGCGGCGGCCTTCGCGGCACCAGCGTCTGCGACTGGCCCTCGACCATGCGCAGCATCCGCGGGAGGTGCCGCTCCGCCAGGGGGCTGTGCTCGTGGTCCAGCGTCAGGGCGCTGTTGCTGCTGCTGCCGCTGTTGTTGTCGTTGTCGTTGTTGTTATCAGCGATGCTGAGGTAGCGCATCGTCCGCGAGAGCAGGTTGTCGCGGCGGTCAAACTGCAGCGGCAGCAGCATCGCCGGCAGCAGGCACATGACGGGCGACGAGGTCAGGTGCAAGATGTCGGCGGCGCGGTCGATGCAGGCCCGGATCAGGCGCTGCGAGATGGTGACGGGCTTGGGCCGCAGCGGCTGGCGGCGTCCAGGATAGGGGCCGGAGGAGGAAGAAGAAGAGGTAGTCCCGATCCCGTCCTCCAGGATGTAGATGGAGGAGCCGTCGTCGTTGACGCTCTTGTTGTTGTTGTTGTTGTTGTTCTTGTCCTTACCGTGGTATGAGGGGGCATAGCCACCGCTGCCGCCGCCCATAGACGACGACGACAACGACGACGACGCCAGCAGCCGGTCCGCGTGGTCCAGCACCGGCCAGTCGTCCGCCTGCGCGCTCCGGGCAATGGCCATGATGTTCATGGCCGTCCGGTTGAGCTGCAGCACAAAGTCGGACGGCAGGTCCTTCTCCTTGCCCGACGACAGCTCGTGGAAGCGGATGAACTCGTCCAGCGAGCTGTTGAGCGCCTTTTGCAGCGCGTCGGCCCGGGCCTTTGTCGTCGCGAGCTCATTTTCCTTGCGGCTACGGTAGGACCGCTGGGCGAGCCGCATTCGAGACCGGCGCTGTGATAGGGGGTGGAAGAGGAGGCACATGTTAGTCTATTGGTTGTTCTCTTGGCTCAAGTACTTTGTTCCATCTCAGCAGCTCCTGTTCCTATCGTTGCCCCCTTTTTGATTGTATAGTCCCTTTCTCCAGTCTCTTCTCTTGATTTCTGCTTTATCTTCCTTTTTCTCACTATTTTCTTCTCCATGTTGACTCTCTGGATGGATTGCCAGCAGAACAAGGGGGGAGAAAAAGAGGAACTAGATAGCAGAGACAAGCTTGTCTTTGTTTGGTTGTTTCGGCAGCAACTGGGCCTGCAGAAGGATTCACGGGCTCGCTAGTTGGCCTCCTCCATCTCGCCCTCTCGCCCCCTTGGCCCTCTTCGCTTGTGGAAATAAATTGGAAACTCACCGAATTGTCGTTGGGATCCGCGGGCAGGCTGTCCTTCATGCGAGGACGACCGGGCCGCCGCTTCGTGGGAGCATCTGCTCCTGTAGCAGTAGTAGTGCCTGCACTCGTCTCCGCCGTGCTGGTGCTCCCACTCGCAGGATTCGTGCTCATGGTCGTTTATTGTAATCAAACAAAAGACAATTAATATGAGGGGGCAATCAAAGGATGGTGGACAAAGCCTCGGAAAGCGTGTTGTGTGATTCGACAGGATGTAGCCGAGCAGGAATGGGGGGTGGATAGGCGAGGAGGATTCAATGTTTTGTCGTCGATTTGTCCACCTTTTTCAGAACCGTCCTATCTTGCACGATTCATCACACTGGATAAAGCGTAACAAAGTAACGGTTCATCCTCTCCCATCAGACAGAAACCTGCTGCGTGTGATGGCTCTCGCTCCTGGATATGAGAGGGAGGACGCAGATGACAAATATCGCGGTTTTGTCTTGCGCAGACAAATTAATTCGTGCGAGAGCCGCGTATTAGCTGCGGCTCCGGCCTTTGCTCCTCCTCCTCCCTCCCTCCCCACTTGTCCGCCACTCCGCTCAGCAGGACGGAGCCGGAGCTGAGGCCGGAGTTGACCGGGGCAAGAAAGAGTGAAAAGCGGCGGAGATGCCGCTTGTGTGTTGATGGATTTGGCCGAGGTATTCATGTGTCGCCGGCTCTCTGGATTCGACTGGACGATTCGATTTCGAGTTACTTGCAGATGGAGCTTCGGACATAAGCGGTTTTTGCAGGCTTGGCAATGGGGGGCTATGACGCCGTTTAGATATGGATGAAGGGGGGGGGGGGGCTGCTTGGGTTGAGATTGTGTGTGAGGGTGGCGGACGGACGCCGAGTTATGCTAATATAGGACAGCGGAATAGGGCGGAATAGATGCTGGGCGTTCGCGGTGGAAATACATGATTCGATCCTGAAGTCATGGAGGGATTTGGTACGAGCGTCGGACTATCGCTGTGTGTATTTCCTTGAGAGATGAAACCGTGTATGCAAACATATATATACCTTACCTACGTAGATGCTGTCCTGATGGTATATCACAATTTTCATCAACAGATCTAACAACCACCATCAATATCAACACTTCTAAAGCTTCCCACAGTCTTACAATCAACTCCCTTCAAGATGCCTGCCACCCTTACTCGCAAGCTGGGCAAAAACGGCCCCGAAATCCCTGCAATTGGCTTCGGCCTCATGGGCATCGGCATCGCCTGCTACGGTGCAACCGGGTAAGATATCCACTCACACACTCTCTCTTCCTTTCTCTACTCCGTTCCGGAGGACACAAGTTTCTATAAGTATCTGAAACCCGGTCTAACGTGAGACGCACCTCAGCGGTGACGAGGAGCGCCTGGCCGTGCTCGATCGGGCCTGGGAGCTCGGATGCACCCACTGGGACACCTCCGACGTCTACGGAGACTCGGAGGATCTCATTGGCAAGTGGCTGAAGCTGCATCCCGAACGCCGCGCGGACATCTTCATAGCCACCAAGTTTGGCATCAACGTTGAGACCAAGCCTGACGGGACGTATACGGGCAGCGTCAACAGCACTCCGGAGTACGCCAAGGAGGCCTGCGCGAGGAGCCTGAAGCGCCTGGGGGTCGACTACATTGATCTGTACTACTGTCACCGGGTGGACACCAAGACGCCCATTGAGAAGACTGTCCAGGCCATGGTTGAGCTGAAGAAGTAAGCTTTTCTCCTCCACCTCTTCTCCTTCTTTTTCTTCTTCCTCTTCTTCTTCCTCCTCCTCAGTTTATATCCCATCTATGAACAACTCTGGCTGAACGAGAATCAAAAACAGCGAGGGCAAGATCAAGTACCTCGGCTTCTCCGAAATCTCGGGCGACAGCCTCCGCCGAGCCCACGCCGTGCACCCCATCTCGGCCGTGCAAGTCGAGTACCACCCGTGGGCCCGGGAAATCGAGGGCCCCAAGTCCAAGCACCTGCTCCGGGCGTGCCGCGAGCTCGGCGTGGCCACGGTCGCCTACTCGCCCCTGGGCCGGGGCATCCTGACGGGCCAGTACACGTCGACGTCGGAGCTGGACGCCGGCGACTACCGCAAGAACCTGACGCAGTTCAAGGACGACAACCTCAAGAAGAACCTGCAGCTGGTGGACAAGTTCAAGGAGGTTGCGCAGAGGAAAGGGTGCAGCCTGTCGCAGCTGGCGCTGGCGTGGCTGCTCGCTCAGGGGGATGACATCTTGCCCATCCCGGGCACCAAGAAGATCAAGTATCTGGAGGACAACTTTGGGGCGCAGGATGTGCGCTTGACGGCGGAGGAGGCGGAGGAGATTCGCAAGGTGGTGGATGAGTTGGGGGTTGCGGGCGAGCGTGATGTTGCCTTTAACGAGTATGCCGATACGCCTGCTCTTTGAGGGGGGGGGGGGGGGGGGGGGGGGGGGGGGCCTCGGGGGTCGCGATGTGTTTATAGCAACAAACCGCTGTTTGAGCATAGGATTCGTTGAGCGTGCGAGCCAGTTGTCAGTTATCGATCATGAGCAAAACATGAGGCTGTTGATGTTCTGTTTCTTATTGGATCATGTGCTCTGTTGAGTGGTCCCCACCTGATGACTCAGGACCACCCCACAACACCACAGGCCTTAGGCCCGTGATGCGTTTATAGCCGTTTGTTTGTTTTCCTTTCTTTCTCTTTCTCTTTAGCTAGTCTTCCATAGAAGAAGAGAGCTCATCATTGCACCTTTGTCATGCTCTATAGCACCATCTACTTTACCTACCTACCTACCTATACTAGGTATTGCCGAGGTACGAGACTCCATTCCCTGTGAGTGGGTTTGGCAATGCGACTCTACACGTGCAGTAGCCTGTATCCGCAGCTCATGCAAGCATCCTCTGCCCATCCATTCATCCCCATCGTTCCACGCAGCATAATAACCCTCAATCAAGGCTCTGCGATCCTGATGCTATATTTAGCCTTCAGCTGGTTGAAAAAGCCTCAGTTCCACAGCCAATACGTCCTGACGTGTGTGTGTCCATGTCTCATCTACCTACTCCTTTGAGATTTGGCAGACAAAGAGGGAGAGCCAGATGGCGTTTCTTCCCTTCATTTCAGCGCATTCGAATCTTTGCTTTCCAGACCTACGGGCAGCAGATGGACCTGATGCCCCTAATATTCCTCGATCCAGCACTGAGCCGTCTTGATTTCCATCCGTTTCCTTTCCACCCTGGTGCCTATATACATGTAGCCGCCTCGGTGACTACATGGCATTTCAACGCTGTTGGCCTCTGCCGCCCATAGCTCGCATGTACATACAATGTAGCCCAATAATAAGTTCAAGATCCAATGCGATAAAAACGATGCAACTTTGCCGCCTTGCAAAACAAGCTGGACGCCTTGCGGGCGGTTTCTGCATCGTCAATCATTTCCCCTTTGCCCTTTGCCTTGGAACCAACCGCCACAGCCTCCTTCTTCCTCACTTCGCCCCCCCTTTTGTTTCCTGAGGGCTATCGCAACACTCTCTTCACAAACCACATCCTCTTACACAAACCCTCATATGCAGCATCAAAACAACAGACAGTTTTCCGTTCAGACTACATATTATCACTCCTGACATCCATAAGAGAATCCTCAAAGGGAATGTCACGGCAACTCCCGCAGCGACTCGCCATCGCCCCGCACGCCAACTCGGACAGCAGCAGCACCACCAGCAGCAGGCAAATAGGCTAATTGCCCAGATATTCATTCACCCCCGATCAATCCCGACAAATAAAAAAAAAAAAGAGGCCAAAACAAACCCGCCCAGGGCCAACAATATCGACAACGAAAAAGACCGCCAAAAGGGCAGTCAGAAGCCCAGCCCAAAAGATGTGCACCTTTTTCTGGTGCCACGTCCTCTGCCCGTGCCCGTACGAAAAGGACTGCGCCCTGGCCCGCAACCGCATCGTCTTCTGGGACGGCATGTGGCGCCACCAGACGGCCAAGCAGGCGCCCGTGCCGGACTCGGGGACGACGTGCGAGCGGCGCAAGGACAAGTTTGGCGAGGACGCGGCGCCGGACTGGAAGTGTCCGTATCGGGACCTGCTGGGCTGGATGGTGGAGCTGACGTACGTCGTGGACTCGAAGCCGTGCGCAGAGTGCCGGCACAAGTGCAAGACGAACTTTGAGAGGAGGATGGAGGAGGAGGAGGAGGGGAGAGGGGGAGGGCGAGGGGAGGAGGCAGTTGTGTCGTAGGTAGAATGGGGAGGTGACGGTGAGGGATAAAAGGGGGGGTGGTTGGTTGTAGGAGATGATGATGATGAGTATCATGACATTATATGATAAGTATGACCTGGCATTGGAGGACGGATAATGAGGAGGACGAAACGAGATTGGGATGGGGTTATATGATGGTATACCAGCGCCGTCCCTTTTTTTCCCCCTCGAGTATCATGACAGTCATGAAGCAGCCCCAGGCATGTTCTTTGCAGCAATTAGTTCACGATATACGAATGCACGCATATTGTTCAAACGCAGCTCACACTGCCGTGTTGTAACCTGCTGGAACCTCCTCACTCTTCTTGATATATACTGCTTGATTCATTGAATTGGGCTTGCTTCCAAGAGCTTTCACCATCACAATCTCTCTCCATCTGCCCTCCTCCAGAGGCATATGATATGACAGCAGTGGCCACTCGATTCTCCTCACAGCACTTCACGATAGCTTCCTCTGCCTAACTACACAATCGTCCAACAGTGACGTCACAACTCCCTGTGCCACTCAGCATCACAAGGCCAAATCGTGAGAGATACTAGTACAGGTCCTACTCCAGGGCCATCCAAGTCCGAAGCGCAATCAAGTTCACCCTACGGCTTAACCCAGACCCTAATCCGACGCTCCCCAGGAACCGGCCACCCCAGACCTGCATCAACCGATCCACCAATGCAGGGCTGATTCATCCCCTAGTATGCCAAAAGATCCCTACAAACTCAGATGCTCCTCCTCCTCTTCCACCTCCTTATTGCGGTACTAAACAGACTTCTGGTCCATATAAACAACACAGAATCCCATATGTCTTGGCCCGGGAATTTCCCCAGACGGCATGGGGAGAAAAAATGCTGCTAGAAGAACCCTTGTTGTCCTTGACTTCCCCCGCATAAAGTTGAACCACTCGACACGGACACTTGACTCCATGGGCCCCCCGGACGGCGGGGAATTTGTGTCAATGTTAGATGTCGATCCAGCCAGGCCCTTTGTTTGCTTTCAAGGAGGGACAATATGCCGAGACCCAGTTTTCAAGCTATGAGAGGTTCTTTTTTCTAGTAGTACCGTGATGTGAGACCTTACAGCATGGTTCCCCAGAGTTTCTCCCGGGATAGAAATACTTTGTGGTAATACATACATACATACTGTACTTGGCATACGTGGAGAAGGGGGCAAGTTGGCCCAGCATGGAGTGTTATTTTGTGTGTATGGTGATCCCCCGCAGCAGCCGTTCCAAATACCCGTCGGGTTGAGGCGATCTATGTATACACATATAAAACGTCGTGATGGCAGATCTTTCAGAAGTATATCTCATCTCATGAGAACAACTTCCTCCATCCTTGAGGACCACAGGCCTGAAAAGCTCAATTCATCATGAAAAAGGTCGCCGTTGTGGCCGTGCTGGCCATGAGCCAGACCGGCGTCGCAGCGCGCAAGTTTTGGACTTTCAAACCGGCTGATCCGGGCAATGTCCTGATGACGGCATACACCATCGGCAACGGAAGACAAGGAGGTTTGTTTGTTCAACTCGAGGATAGGGATGACGGCTGGCCATTGATGTTTCTTTGGCTTACACAGCGTTTGCACTAAGGCCTGCCGCTGGGGATACCCGGAAACGACTTGCTCTGCCTCAACGACGACAGTCTCTGGCGCGGGGGACCGTTTGCAAACTCGGTGAGAATACGCTCTTGCTTGTATTGCAGCTACCTCATCTTGGGGCATATGATGCTGAATGAGATGCTTCAATTGTCAGAGTTACACGGGAGGAAACCCCTCGTCTTCGCTGGCGCACTTCTTACCCGGGATCCAAGAGGCCATCTTCCAGAACGGAACGGGAGGTAAATCTATGCTTCCCACGTCAGACAAACACGTATCAAAGACCGTTAGATTGACAATCATGAACAAAATTCGGCAGATGAATCTGCTCTGTATGGCGGAACAGAAGACTACGGCTCCTACGAAGCCCTCGCGAACCTCACCGTCTCCATTGCGGGCGTCAGCCACTACCCCAAGTACAAGAGGACGCTGGACTTGCAAACGGCATTGCACAGCGCCGACTTTACCGCCAATGGAGCTTCTTTCTCTACGTGTGTTGCCACAGTCAAAACATAAACTCGAGGTCGCCAGTCCATGTCCATGCTAACTTGGCCCCTGAAGTGTCCAGTTCTGCTCCTTTCCGGACCAAGTCTGCGTCTACCACGTCTCCTCCAACAAGCCCCTCCCTCAGATCACAGTCGGCCTCGTCGACAACTACCGCACCAATCCTCCCTCCGCCGTCACATGTTCCACCGACGGCGTTCATCTGAGCGGACGGACCGTGGCCGACGAGGGCGAGGGCCTCATTGGCATGAAGTTTGATGCCCAGGCTCATGTTCTGTCTTCCAGCGGCGTAAAGACTTCATGCAACAACAATAAACAAATCGTTGTTCACGCGAACAAGGCAAAGTCGGTTACTGTTGTGGTGGCTTCGGGGACAGAGTATGATCCCAAGAAGGGCAATGCTGCGCACAACTACTCCTTCAGGGGTGTTGATCCGTATCCTGGGGTCTTGAAGACGATCAAGGCGGTTTCCAAGAAGAGCTACAACACCGTCTTGCAGAGACATGTGAAGGATCACGGCGAGTGGTTCAACAAGTTCACCCTGGACCTGCCTGATCCCCATCACTCGGCCAGTGTCGACACGACTGACCTGCTCACCAACTACAAGACGGACAAGGGCGATCCCTTTGTCGAGAACTTGCTGATCGACTATGGAAAGTACATGTTCATCGCTTCGTCACGGCCTGGATCGCTGCCCCCGAATCTGCAGGGTTCGTGGGCTCCGGATGGGAATCCGGCGTGGAGCTCCGACTATCACATTGACGTGAATGTGCAGATGTAAGTGCCGGATCTCCAAGATCATTACCTGGGCAGTGACATGTGCTGACCAAGGCTCGAGGAATCACTGGCACGTCGAAAAGATGGGCTTGGGCGGCTTGACCGATCCTCTGTGGGACTTTATGACTTACACCTGGGTTCCTCGCGGGACAGAGTCGGCTCGTCTGTGGTACAACGTCAGCGGATGGGTGGCCTTTACGAACCTCAACACCTTTGGCCACACTGGGTGAGTTGAAATGTCGGATCTTTTGTGCAGCTTCTGACTGTTAGATAGACAGATGAATGATGCCACCTGGTCCAACGTTGCTCATGACATTGCCTGGATGAGTAAGTTGCCATCTGAGATATCACGGACTGTCTGCTGATCAGATCAACAGTGGCTCACGTCTGGGACCGCTACGACTATGGCCGCGACGAGAAGTGGTACGCCTCTGTCGGATACCCCATGATGAAGGGCGTGGCCAGCTTCTGGGTGGACATGCTGGTGCAGGACAGGTACTTCAACGACGGCACACTGGTTGCCAACCCTTGCAACTCTCCTGAGCAAGGCCCGACGGTATGTTGCTTCAAACTCCTGGATCGTTACTCGATATGATCATGTTGACACATGCCACGGCAGACTTTCGGATGCTCTCAGTTCCAACAGGTCATCTGGGAGCTGTTTGACCACATCATCAAGGACTGGGACGCCGCGGGCGACAAGGACACGACCTTTTTGAAGCGAGTCAAGGCGTCGTACAGCAGACTGGATCCCGGTGTCCACGTCGGAAGCTGGGGCCAGATCCAAGGCAAGTGTTGGCATAGCTATTCCAATAGCCGTAGTAGAAGCAGAGGCTGACTGAACCCTTGCAGAATGGAAGATGGACATTGACGTCAAGAACAACACGCACCGCCATCTGTCTCACCTGTACGGCTTCTACCCCGGCTATGTCATCTCCAGCGCCCACGCGGACAACAAGACCGTCATGGACGCCGTCGCCACAAGCCTCTACTCGCGCGGCAACGGCACCGAGGACTCCAACACGGGCTGGGAAAAGGTCTGGCGCGGCGCCTGCTGGGGCCAGCTGGGCGTCGTCGACGAGGCCTACAAGGAGCTCAAGTACACCATCGACATGAACTTTGCAGCCAACGGACTGTCCGTGTACACGACGGGCAGCTGGCCGTACGAGGTGACGCTGCCCTTCCAGATCGACGCCAACTTTGGGCTGTCGGCGAATGCGCTGGCGATGCTGTACACGGACCTGCCCAAGAGATGGGGAGACGACAGCGTCCAGAAGGTGATTCTCGGGCCGGCGATTCCCAGGGAATGGGCTGGTGGAAGCGTCAGGGGCGGGAGTCTGAGAGGAGGCGGAACGGTGGACTTTGGCTGGGACGACGAGGGCGTCGTGAATCGGGCGGTGCTGCGCGGGCGGAGGCTGCCGATTGTGGTGGTGAATAAGCACGGCAAGGTGCTGGCAAGACGCTGATTAACGATGGTGGCAGAGGCATCGAATTCGAGAGGGTATTTGTGTTGTTGTTATTGAGCACCTCAAATGGTTGACTCTGGTTTGTGATGTGAAATTCGAAGGTTGAAAGATGCAGGTGGAGATAAGGTGGATTGAGTGCCCGTAGATACATGGATGGCTTTAGCGGACATCCCCTGGAACAGCCACTGAAACGGAGACGCGAGGCGCTAAAGCGTAGCGCCTGTAGAACCTGTAGAAGCTTAACTTAGCGCCGCTTGTGCCTTGCGCCGGTGGCGAATGGGTGACGCAGCCAGCAAATCACCGCCAGCCGGCGCTTGGGTGGCCAACCACGAGGCGCCGTGATGACGTTTGCATGTGATGGCGGCGCTGCTCAGGATAAAGTCAGGATGAGGCCAATCTATCATGAACTTGACCATTTAATATTCTCTCAGTCATTGATCCTGTCTCTTTGTCTGTTGGTGCTGCCACTTTTTGTCAACCGAGTCATCACAAACAGGGGTTTAACAGTGACAAACCCCCCGCCTAAATTGCCTGCAGCAGTCAACCCCGCGTCATCACATCACCTTGCAGTTGATCGCATCGCATTTGATCGCATCGCAATCAGCTTATACTCCTCTCCCTCGTTACACCTCTCTCCTCCTCTCCTCCTCCTACTGTGCCACTTCTACTAGTCTAGTACATACAATCATCCTCATCGCCGCCATGGCTTCTTCACATAATGTTTGTCTCGTCCCTTGTACAGCAAGAATATCCCCATCACAGCTAACCAACCACTCCTCCCCCCTTCCAGGACCCCAAGCTGCTCTACTCGGTCGAGGGCATCAAGGCCTACCACATCGCCAATGGCGTCGAGCAGTCCCTGACGCCCTCCGGCCCCCAGACCCTGTCGCTGCTCATGGTCCCGACCTCGTCTGGCTTCGCCGACCCGACCGGCGTCGGCAACGGCGAGCAGGACTTCTACCTCCACCTGCATCTGCCGCCCGAGCTGGACCTCCCCCTGCCCGCGACCACGCAGATCTACCACCAGCCCCCCAGCAGCTACCTGATCCCGCGCTGGGACCTCGGCCCCGGCAACGGCGCCTTCACCCGCCTCGAGTTCCCCGTCGTCGGCAGCCGGCCCGGCGTCCAGGAGGATGTCGACACCTTTGAGACCATTCTTGCGCAGTGCACCGCCTTTCTCGAGCGAGCCCCGGCGCCCCCTCCGGAGAAGCGCCCGTCTGCCCAGCGCAAGCCGTCCGATGCGGCCAGGGCAAAGGCCAGAGAGGCGGGCAGGGACGAGCCTCCCGCCTACAATCCGGCCAACTTTGATCCCGGCCAGGGCTATGCTCAGGGGAGCCCCAGCTCCCACGTACCGGGGAGGATTGTGCTTATCGATGAGGAGGATGGTAGCGTTATGGGCGAGCTGAGCGAAGGCTTCAATGTCGTCGAGGACAGCGCCATCAAGCCCGGTTCCAAAGGTGCGTAAATCCTCTCACACTTTTCTGACGTGTCTTGATGATATCCAGCCCACTGACACACTTGCCCTTAGAACCCGTGGAAATCATCCTGCCCGCCGATGGCAGTCAGAACATCTCCGTCCAGCCCGCGTACGACTACATCGAAGACACCATGCACCCCGCCTACAAGAAATCAACCATTGTCTCGTCAGCCTCCAAAGCCTCGCGGCTGCTCATCACCACATCCGACTATGTCGCAAAGGCACTGCAGAACCAGGCCGACAACTTCACAAAGGCCACCAAGCCTGCCGCAAAGCCCATGACGTTTGCCCCCACAACGCACGACCATATCCGCCGCATCAACCACTACTCGAACAAGGTCGCGACCCTGTCGGCGCAGACGATTGGCTCCATCAACCAGTTTGCCCAGAACTTTGGTGCCGGCATGTCTAAGCGAAAGGACGGCAAGGCTCGGGGCTACGACAAGGATGGAAACGTCATTGAGACGTACAAGCCGGGCGTGCTCAACAAGAGTTTGATGGCCTTCAACACGGTTGTCGACGGCATGGAGCAGGCTGGAAAGACGTTGCTTTCCGGGACGACTTCGAGCATGTCCACGGTCGTTGGTCATCGCTGGGGCCCTGAAGCTGGGGAGCTATCTCGAAACCTCGGCAGCGGGTTCAAGAATGTCGGCCTTGTGTACATTGACGTGACTGGCGTCTCTCGCCGCGCCATTCTCAAGAGCGTCGCCAAGGGTATGGTGGTCGGCAAGGTCAAGGGAGGCGGGCAGATTATCGTTGGCGGCGACAACAACGGGACGAATGGAGCTGTTGTCTCCGGAGGCAATGGAAACGGCGAATCGAGCACGATACACAACACCTATGGCGGAGACGTCAATGTCCCAGGGGCAAAGGAATGGAGTGGGAATGGCAACGGAAAGGGAAATGGCAATGGCAATGGCAACGGCAATGGCAATGGGAAGAAGGCGACCTGGTGATGCGACTTGAGAATATCATTGTTGTGCGTTTTGAGTCTTTGTTCTTTGTGTTAGCACCTACCTACCTCCTTACCTTACACATGTACCTTATGACTTGGTACCGAGATACCACCGACATGAGAAACGGCCAACTTTGCGACTTCTTGTGGGAATTGATGGAAACAAAAAGATAGTTCAGGTAGTAAATCGTGTGAGTAATTGAAGCAATAATTCCTGTTCACCAGAGACATCTGGTACGAGTACAGCTGCAACAGCAATATGGGCGTGCAGCAGAGTCGCATCACGTGCCCACGTGGCGATGACGGCACAATCACCGAAGCTTCCCTGTCAATCCGGAGAGCTTCCACCAACAACCGCGTCGGAGAGGCGCTTTTCTTCTCTCTACATCAACCTCCTACTATTCACCATGCGACAATCGCGAGGTTTCAATCTCTGAACAGGCCTCAAGCTCTGAATACGTCTTCCAGGCCTCACTCCGAGCGCCCCCGCCTGCAATTGCTCCCACCTCGAATGCTTCGCCAGCTCTTCCGCCCTCGTCCGGCTTGAAACCCCCTCCATCACCGAACGAACAGCGTCCGTCCCTCGATATAAACACCAATCCTCGCACTTCAAGAGCAATCAATGTGCCGCTTTGAGCTGCTGGGCGTCGTCATTCTTATCGTTCACCGCATCAGCGACTCGCTCAGGGCCCGAAAGGCCAGAAGGAGGTCCAGATCTTCCAAACCAGAGCCATGCTCCACGAAATCCTCCTCTCGCTCTCGGGCCATCCGTCGCCTCTCCTCCGAGCCGGAGCTGCCGAGTCGGGATCTGCATCTGGCGTCACGCCCTCGGAACGGCAGCTGCTCGCGCAGGCAGCGCATCTGAGCGACATCCACATCAAGCTCATCAAGTACGCCGGCCAGATTGCCGGCGCGCATCCGTCGCCGATATGTCGGGCCGTGGGGACGGCGATACAGTCGATACACTTGTCTGCCTTTCAGCGCAAGATTCTCGAGGTGGAGGAGAGCATCCTCAAGGAGGACCCTGACCTGGTGGGCGAATACAATATCGTGCCTCTGACGGCCGTCATGGGCGAGTTTACGCAGTGGACGCGGCTGTTTGAATGGCTCTGGGATATCGTCCAGTTCATGATGACCAAGGACGAAAAGGGTGCCTGTCGGGGTTCGCAAATCATGAACCGCCTGCGCACCGAGCTGCTTAGCGGGTATTCGGACGTCGAAGAGGCGGCCATGAGCTTGGTCAAGGTTGCGGAGACTGCGTGGCTAAAGCAGGTGTCGGCTTGGGTTCTCTATGGAAGACTGCCGAACCTGGGAGGCGACGACTTTTTCATCCAGAAGGTGGACGGGACTGCCGAGGTATGCAGCTCTTACTTCGAGCTTGGATTTTGACTGTCTGACTTGGTGGTATAGTACATCTACGAACCAGAACTGCTGCCGGGGTTCGTCACGCCAGCTACAGCGGCATCGATGCTATTCATCGGCAAATCGCTGAACCACACCCGTGTCAGAGCCACGGTCGACTCAGGCATGGGAGGGCTCGATCATCTGTCGACCAAGCTGCAAGAGCTGGCCAGCCTGTCGTTTCCCGTCAACGGCGCGACGTTCGCGAGGACGATTGTCTCCATCCGGCTATCACTCTCACAAAATACCCTCCAAAAGATCCTACCCACAGCAAAGGTCATTGAGACGCTGCAACTGCTGCGGGAGTTCTTCCTCCTCGGAAGAGGAGAGTTTGCCATGGCCCTAACCCAGGAGGCGGACGATAGGATTCGAAACCGCTGGCGCAGAGCGGGCAATCTGGCACACGAAAAGGACAGCATGAAGAACATTACCGTTAAAGACGGAGAAGTCTCTGCCGTCTTGGCGAGGACGTGGGCCGTCTTGGTAGCCATGCAGCGGAACCAAGTCGAGGAAGACGAACTGCTGGAGCTGGCGAGAGACCTGCTCCGATTACACCTCACGAAAGCCACTCTTCCGCCCGTCACTGTTAGTCCAGGCCTAAATGCCGAAGAGGCCAAGCTGTTGGCGTCGTCGCCATTTCGAAACCTACTCTTTTCAACTCCCGCAACTCTATCCATTCAGCTCCCATCTCCGCTCGACATGGTCATTTCACCCTCCGATCTCCAACTCTACTCCTGCATCAACTCCTATCTCTTATCCATGCGCCGAGCCCACATTCGTCTCACCGACTTGTGGAAGATTACATCCCTACGACGGCATCATCCCTCCCCCCGCGGAGCAACCGAGTATGCCGGCATTCTCCGAGAGCGGTGGTCAGCCCGCGCAGCAGCTCTCCGAAGCTCGTGGACGACTGCCAGCGCCGCCATCTTCTTCCTCGCCGAAACAGAGGCCTTTTTCCAAACTGAAATCGTCGAAGGGCTCTGGGAAGGCTTCCTGACGTGGCTGACGGGCAAAGAGAGGCGGCGAGAGGGCGGTCGTTCAGGCGCTGCCACTCCAGCGGCACATTCAGCCAAGCACAGCACAACCACAATGGACTGGCGGCCGAGCTCCTCCAGCAACGCCGCCGCCGCAAACCCAAACGACGTGTCCAGAATCCTCTCACGGCCTGCCCCCGATCCGCAAACCCTCGCCACCGCTCACTCTCTGTATCTCCGCACCCTCGTCCACCGGCTTCTCCTCACGCAGCCCACCTTTACCAACCTTCTCTACACACTCCTCAACCACATCGACCATCTCATCACACACATCCAGAGGCTACACTCCATCTTCACATCCATAGACCTCGAGACCGACGCAGGCGTAGTCGACTCCTCCATGGACCTCGGCCACGAAGAGCGCCAGACAATGGCTCTCCTGCGAGGCGTAGAGGGCAAGATCCAGCGGGGCATCGAAGACGTCATCGCCGCGCTGCGGGCGCTGGAAGGGGACGTTGAGTTTCTGGGGAGGTGGGAGGGGCTGGACGGGACGGTCGATGTGCAGGATGAGTATGGCGATGGGGAGAGGTATGTCCCCGTGAGGGTCGGGGGGATTAACCGGCTGCTCATGAAGTTGGATTTTGGAACGTGGATTGCCACGCAAGGGGAGTATGTCTGATGTTATTTTTTTTTTTTTTTTTTTTTTCAAGAAACCTCTTCGTGGGCTCCTTGCTCGGTATGGTTACATAGCTGGGTGTTTTGTTTGTTTCGGTCGTATCTTCATGTTATATTAGAAAGGCTCTGTCGGTAGTTTTCACGTCATATCACGATAGAAGAAGAAGAGGCATCATGTGCATGGAATCAGATGGAATGAAGAAAAACTTCGTATTCGAATCCAAATCAAGGGGTCCCAAAATTCCCCGACCAAATCTATCTATCAATGTTTCATATATACGTTAATTCCAAGTCCAGAAATGCAAAAAGAAGAAGAAAAAAATGCAAATGCAATCAATCATATGCCATATCCCATAATATCCATGCAGAAGAAAAAATCGCGCATGTCATCAATCTTTTGCGCTTCAACCTCCCGAAGAAATGTTTGCGTGAATGAGAATTGAAGGTGAGGAGGAGAAAGAAAAAAAATGATCTGCAATTCCAAGTCCCGAAAACGCCAAAGAAATGTATATGTTGTATATGCCCCGTTGTATGTAATGTCCATCTCCTTCTGCTTCCATGTATGCATGCAAAGTGAAAAAAGTCATCGCTAGAGTTCCCAAATGTGTTTTTGTGTTCGTCCCGCTCGCTCGTCAAATATGAAGGTTGCGCTTCATGTATCAAAACCAAGTATTCATCAAAATGCAGTAAAATTCCAAAAGAAATGCAGACGCTCGCTCATGTTGTGGTCATCAATGTGAGGTGAAAAAGAGAAGAAGAAAATTTTGTCTTTCCGGCCGTCAGGGCGTTGTACAAAGGAGAGAATATTCGACAAAGAAAAGATTGAAAGAGTGTGTGGGTAGAGATTGGAAGATGAGGTATATGGATCCCATCGGGTTTTCATAATTCATGGTTCATGCTGTTTCGTGTGATTCAAGGAGTCTGTGAGTCGTGTGGCTGTCTTCTGTTTTGTTGTATGAAAAATTGGTAGTCATGTGTGTGTCTGTCGATATCGGGGTTTAGTAGGCGACAATGGTGTGTCCCCTGAGGCGGAGCGGGCTCAAGGTGTGAGCCTTGTTCAAGAGCCCGTGGACGAGCATCCTCGGTCGCGTATGAGGAGCAGAGACCGTGGTGTTCTTGTTCACGACAATGCGAGGAGCAGTGACGGTGGTGGCCGTTGCGCTGGGAGCCGTGTGGGGCCGAGCCGGCGTGACGGGACGGGTGTAAGTGCCGGCCTTCTTGGCGGGAGGCCAGCGGCTGAGGATGGAGTCGTCGACAAGAGCCATGAGGCCGGTGGCGATGATGATGCTGGAGGGGGCCCGGGTTAGTTGAATTGGCCTGCGCAAGAGCAGATAGGACAAGAGAGAAGAAACTTACTCGGCAACGTCCGTCATGGCGTCAATGACAGTCTTGTCGCAGATCCACATGTAGCACGGGGGAATCCAGTTGCCCGCCATCTGGTCGGCCTCGACCTGGTTCGGGCTTCGGCCCTCGGGCACGATGATGGCCACGGGCTCCGTCTCTCTATCGCGGAGCAGGTGGAAGGCAGCCTTGCCCAGGGCCTTGTCCATGACCCGGCGCCATGCGTAGCCGTGTCCCCACCACTGGAAGTCGTACTGCTTGCCTGGGCGGCGCACAATGTCCACGCGGGCGTAGTTGCTAAACTCCAGCTTGAGCGTGTTGAGAGGGATGGGCCGCGCTGAGGGCAGCTTGGGCTCGTCCGAGTCGGAGCCAGCGGCTTCCTCGGAGTAGATGGAGCCACCGCAGCCCCAAGAGTTGTTGCTGCCAATTGACGGGCGGCGAGGGTTGGGAGCGGTGGAAAGGGCGGCGGCCTTCTCGGCCGAGGCACCGCTGGATCGTCGGAACGAGGTCTTGACGGTTCGCAGAGCGCTGGTGACAGAGCGGGAGAGCGAGGAGGAGGAGGAGCTTGTGGCGCGCTCACGGCGGGGGTTGGCCCCCTTGGAGTTGCACA